TCACGTGTGAAAATAAAAAATTCTAAAAATTATTTAATACGCAGCAATTGTTGATATTTTTAAATTTCAAAAAATTTTTAATTTTTTTTTTTTATTAATTATTTTTTCTCACTTTACAATTGTACCATTATCTTTCATGAAACAATTTTTTTAATTAATCAACAATTAATTAAAAATTAATTAAAAATGATAAACTATTAAAAATTCAAAATAAACTAATAAAAATTAATTTACAAAAAAAAAACAAAAATACACGAATAAATGAACCGTAGAATAAAATTAATATTTAAAAAAAATTCCCTCTCTCATATTGAAAAATTTACAAATTTTCATTTTTTTTTCCTAATTTTATTTTCTGTTATAAAAAATATTATATATAGTACCTACCGAAAACGAACGACAGTCTTATGTCTTGGGGGGTAAAGTTCCTCGCCAAGAATCATGTTTCCAAAAAATATTTAAAAAATCGTGATACCTTTCAAAAAACAAATTTTTTTATTTATTTGCACTTTTTGAATTTTTTGCAAAATTTTTATTTACAATATAATTAATTAGTAAAGAATAATAATTATTAAATTAATTATTAATTATTCTTTAACAATTAATTATCATAGAAAAAATAATTATTAAATTAATTATTATTATTATTATTATTATTATTATTATTATTATTAAAAATCGAAATTAATTAATTAAAAATTATTTCCAAACAAAAAAATTTCAACAAATTTAATCTCATATTTTTTCTAATTAATACATAAATAATAATAATTAATTTACTTGAAAAAATTAAAAGATAAATAAAAAGAAAAATTAAAGTACCGAACCGTGAAAAAATAAAAAATAAAAAAAAAGAAGTTAAACAATTAAACAAAATCACTAGAGAGGAACGTCCTGCTTCCTCGATGCCAGAAAATTGACTGCGCAACATATAAAATGCAATGCGTTACCGGAAAGATTTTTCATAAAGAGGAGGGAGGTCCTTAAGGCTTCCAAGTAAAGGCTTAAAATGGTACTAATTTTAATTCAAGGGACACAAAGTGTGGGTGGGGGAAGGTCATCTACAATTTCGATCATTTTTTTTTTTTTTATCTTTCAAACGAGCATCGAACTGCATTGAACTGATCACATCACATTTTCAAGGTTAAAATCTGCAAAAAAAAAAAAAAAAAAAAAATGACGTCACGTAAATACAAAAAGATCGTGACATCTCTCTCAACAATATATATATATATATCAGTTGAAGCTGTTGGTAATATTAATTATCCTCGTCATTTGCGTTATTAAATAGTTAAATATCCTTTGATTATTTAATACGCAATATTCTAGAGCAATTATAATTTTGTTGCATTTATGAAATGAATTCTCAGAAAAATTATTAAAAAGTCAGTCATGCCTGAAATTATAATTGATTATCAATAATTGTATTGGTTACAATTTTTTTTTTTTTGTTTTCAATTTGAAAAACAAAATTTTTTCTCATTTTAAAAACTGTTTTCTATTTTACAGGCCTCGGATCGATTTAAAGGCACACAAAAAAAGTCGTTTTAGTCGATTTATATTCCAAAAAATGTCGAAAAAATCGATTTTTGTAATTGAATTTTCAAAGATTTACAATTGAGATTTTTAAAATTAATTGAACTTCAAGTGATTTTTAATTAAATTTTTTTTGATGATTTCACTAAAAAATTTATTATAAATTGCGGACAAAAATACAATATTGAAAACCATTTTTAATTGAAAAATGGTTTCAGATAATTGAATTTTCAAAGAATATTATAAAAATAGTTAAAAATAATTTAATTTCCTTAGAGTTATAATTGAAATTGTTAAATTTTAAAAAAATTTTCGATGGAAAATTTTAGAAATAATTAAATTTTAGAAGCTTTTAAATTCAAATTTTTGAAAATAATTGAATTATTAATTAAAATTTTGGATAATAATTCAATTTTAGTTGATTTTTGATTGAAAATTTTGATAATAATTAATTTTGAATTGAAATTTTTCGATAATTATTGAATTTTAATTGATTTTGAATTGAAATTTTTGGTAATAATTGAATTTTATTTGATTTTAAATTGGAAAATTTGGAAAATAATTGAATTTTAAAAGATTTTGTATTGAAAATTTTGAAAATAATTAAATTTTCTTTGATTTTGAATTGAAATTTTGGGTAATAATTTGAATTTTAGTTGATTTTGAATTGAAATTTTTGAAAATAATTAAATTTCATTTGATTTTGAATTGATTTATGATTTTGAATTAAAAATTTTTGGTAATTTTTTTTTTTGATATTTTTTTTAAATTATAAACAATTGTTAAATTTCATAAAAAATTTTAATTGAAAAATAATTTGAAATAATTGAATTTGTGATGAATTTCATTAAAATTATTAAAAAAAATAATTAATTTAGTGAAGAATTTTAGTTAAAAATTTGTTAAATAATTGAAATAAAGAAGATCTGAAGATCATTTGCATTTTATACTAAAAAAAATATATTTTATTTAAAAAATTTTTTTAAAAATGTAAAAAAAAAGTCGAAATAGTCGCATTTTATTAAAATAAGTCGAAAAAAGTCGTATTTTTGTAAAAAAAAGTCGGAAATAGTCGAAAAAGTCGTATAATCCGAGGCCTGTATTTAATATAATTATCATATAATTAATAATAATATAATAATAATAATATTTATAATATAATTATATTATTATTTTTTTTATTTAAAAAAATTTGTTTTATTTGTTTTTCGATAATAAAAAATAAATTTCTTTTTCCTTGCTTTTTGCTTGAACAAAGACCCTATGATATTAAGAGCAGAAAATACGGAGGGTTGAATGATAAGAATCGATTTTTCCGAATCTGCGCCACAAAAAAGAAAAAGCTTTTTTTTTTTCTTTGTTTTTTCTATGTACATGGAAAATTTTTGCTATTTAGAAAATTAATTTTTCCTTTAAATAATATTATCCATTTTTTTAATTTTTAGTTTTGAATAATTATAATATTAATAATAATAATAATAATAATAATAAATAATACTAATAATAATAATAATAATAATAAATAATGCTAATAATAATAATAATTATTATTATTATTATTATTCTCAGTCCTCGAGACTGTTGGATTTATTAAATAAATAAATAAATAATAATAATATTGAATTATTTTAATAATTTTTGAAAAAAGTATTTTGAAAAATTTTTTCCCCCAAAAAAATAATACGCGAGATGAAAAATTGGAAATATCAAATAAAAATGAATTCTCTCTCTCTCTCTATCTATCTCATCCAAATCTCTTTTGCTGCTCAAGATGAACGATTTCAAGTGAAAATAAATTTCCAACCATTCTAAAAATAGTAGAAATGTTACAATAATACACAAAATAGAATTCCAACTCAACAAGACTTTTCAAACTAATTTAAACCACCCACTTGAAAAACTTTCAACATTCTTGATAATGTCAAAATAGTCAAATTTGAAACAAGAAAATTTTCATTAAAAATTTGTTCACACTTTTTTTTTTATTGAAAATTCACAGTAATTAAAAAATTAAAAAATATATAATAAAAAAATAATTCCAAGGATAGAAGAAAAAAAAAATATGATTAATTAAAATTCCTTAAGGGGAAATGTTGTAATAATCTCTGATTAATGTTTCAATAAATTAATTCACTACTTTTCAAGTTCAAAGTCAAATAATTGAGATTGTATTTCTTTTTGGCAATAGGTCACGGTAATTCAAAGAGGCGAGAATATTTTTCAGTCTGCTATACACTATAGCTGATTTTACTATATTATTAGGGTTTTGCTATAATATACCTTTGCACGGTCAGCACAAGGTCATCACGAAATTATAACCTATGAGTCAGTATGTGCCCCCCCCCCCCCATTGAAACCTGTAATTATTTATTATTCTTTTATTCTCGATCTACATCCGTCATTCCAAAAAATTCTCTATCGAAATAATTTTTAAATCATCATATTTCTAAATATCAAAAATTGAAAAGAAAAGAAAAAAAAAATGAAATAATAATTTTCTAATTTGTGTGTAGGGAAAATATTGAAATTAAAAAAAAAAAAGGATAAGCTTCAGTTGGAAAGAAATGATATACATTTGAGAAAGGAAGAATAAAAAGATTTTGAACTGACACGCGGAAGTTCTTGGTAACGGTTCGTCGACGAGCACCTTACAAAAGGGAGATTATAGATTGTAGGTTGAGATCCTCGAGAGAGAGACTCGTTCCGGTTGTTGAGAAAATAAAGTCGAAAAAAAAAAAAAAAATTACATTCTCAAGAACACGAAACGAAAACGTGAACCGTAGTTAAATCTATTATCAGACCATCTTCCTCGATGTTTTATTATAGTTTCAAGAAATCTATTTCAATCGAAAAAGGGAGCGATCTCCTCGCTTCGATTATGTTAATTTGTGGAGGCAAAAAAAAACAATATATATATATATTCGAAGCCTTTTATAAAAGAATTTCTTTTTTTATTCATGTCTCTCTTTATATCAAATTAAATTAATTCTACTTCAACGAAAATGTAATTCTATACTTTTTGACAAAAATAGAAAATTTCAATCTATATTTTCCAAAAATATCTACTTTTTCCCTACGGAGAATTTTAAATTTATTTAATGCTTCCGAGAATTACGAAAAAGTTTTCCCAAATTTTTGTAATAAGAGAAATATTTGAGAAAAAAAAACCGGTTTGGAATTTGGAAACTAACCTCAAAAGCGTACAATTGCTAAAATAAGAGAATATCTAAAAAAAGAAATTTAAGAATTTTATTTACTATACCTCGTTACTGAATTTATTTTTTTCACTAACAATGCGGATTTATGATTTTCGAACGAAAACTCAACAATAAACAATTGCATATAAAAATTAAGGCGCGTAATTCAAAATTTCGAATCTGAAAACAAGAACCTAATGCAAAAAAAAACTAGGCTTCCTAATACGCAATTTAATTTAAAATAAATTTAAATAAAATAATAAATACCTCATGGTACTCTTGAAAATATTGCTTTCGCGATTCATAAGTTCACTTCTGAATCGGGACATTTCATCTTCCATTTTCCTCATCTCGGCATCGAAGCGCTCTCGAATATTTGAAAATTCGGTGTCAATAACGCTGAAGTCACCGAGTTTGATGGGAATGTTGCGTTTGATACCACTGTCAGCCATAATTTTTGATTTTTTATAAATTACAAGTCACTTGTAACACACACTGTTATAATTTTTGAGTTCACTGCAAAAAAATTTTTTAGCAGACAATTGTTGTTTTCTTTTTCTTTTAAAACACAACAATAATCTTCTTTTCACGATCCAACACAAAAACGCAACAGAACTGTTCACACTGAAATCTCCTCTAGGAATAAGCGCGGCTTGTCGGGTGCTCCTTAAATAGTCGGAGCACGAGTCGTGGGTGTTCGTCATTAATCGGGAACTTTCGACAACGCGGGGTTTTATAATTTTTCGTATTTTTTTAAATTATATATACATAATTATAAATTTTCTTTTTGTTGACGAAATAATCATTTTTTTTTTTAGTGGAGAATAAATAAAATATTTTTAAATATATGAAAAAAGTGAAAAATACAGTAAATTAATTAATAATTTAAATTATAAATATATTATCTATATATAATTATATAAATATTATACAATTATATTATATTATAATAATATTATAAAATGAATAATAAATCAATTTAAAAATTTAATTTTTTATTGTACTGATATTTTTTTTAATAAAATAAGAATTAAAATTTCGTTTTTTTTTAAATTTTCTCACGAATCTAAGGGCAATAAATTATTTATTAAATTTTAATAGCAACTTATTGTTATTAATTCTAATTAATAATAATAAATTAATAATAATAATAATTTTTTTTTACTTAATTCGGATAGAATTATGTTTTTCATCTAAATAATAATAATAATAATAATTAATTAATAATAATAACAATTAAATAATAATAATTAATTAATAATAATAACAATTAATTAATAATAATAATAACAATTAAATAATAATAATTAATTAAAAATAATAATAATAATAATTAATTAGCAATAGAAATTTGTAATAATTAATAAATAATGCTAATACCCAATAATTAATAATTTAAAAAAGAATATTTTAACAAAATTTTTTTTTTCAAAAAAAAATTGTCAATTAAATTGTAAAACTAGTTAATTATAATTATATTAAAAGAATTGATTGCAGAAATTCTTTTTGTTAAAAAAAAAAAATTATAAAATAAGTAAATAAATAAATTTTTAATATGAAAAAATCGAAAACTATTAATTCTAATTTTAATAAATATTAATAATAAAATATTATTAATTGATAAATTAAAATATTAAATCAATTAATTAATTATAAATTAAGTTATAATAATTATTAATTATAATTAAGTAATTAATTATAATATATCTAGTTAATTAATAAATTAATTATAAATTAGTTAATTAATAAAAATAGATATTAATAAAAAAAATATTTAAAAAAAAATGTTTATTAATAAATAAAATATTAATATTAAAAAATTTTGATGTAATTATTAAAAAAAAAAAATATTATTGATGACGATTAATTTCATCTGTTTATCTCCAAAAAAGGGAAATTCGTTCACGATTTTGTCATCATAAAGTAAAGTTTGAATATAACGATTCCCGATGGTATTTGAGGGCGTGGGTGATCTCGCGCAACAAAATCGAATCATTACATTCCAAGATGAATTGTGACTCATCTTTTCGGTATCATATTTTATTAATCTTTTGATTTCGTAAATTTATTTTCAAAAAAAAAAAAAAAAACCGTTTGATTTATTATGACTCGATCAAAAAAAGACAAATACCAAAAAAAATAATAGTTTTCATTTCACAATTTAATAAAAATAGAAAACAATTAGAATAATGGAATTTTGTCTAATTTAATATAAATATAGTAAAAAAAAAATTAAATAGACTAATTATTTATTTTTAAGCTGAATTACAACAGTGGCATTTCATCGAATATAAAGCATTCATTAAACAACCATTACACGTGTCATTAGCGCTTGTTTGTAAATCGATCGCGAGGACGTATCCTACATTTCAAGTATTTCAACGACCCTATACATTATTTTTTATTTTCAGATAAGAATGAAGTTAAAAATTTTTTTTTTTTCTTTTATTCCTAAATTAGAATCGTAAATCAATTTTTCAATTTGTAAAATAAATTTAGAATTTCGTAAATAGCAATAAAAATTTTAAACAAAAAATATTGTTTTCTACCTTTTGTTAGGAATTTTTAATTAGAAGATTTATTCAAAATTAAATTACTTTTTTTTAAATTGAATTATAAAAACAAAAATTGTAATTAAAAATTATTTATGATAAATAAATATCAAATATATGTAATAGGAGAAAATTATTTTATAAAAATATATTTTTTAAATTTACTGATGAGAAAATTGTTTAGATTACAATAAATTTAATTAATGAACTAAATTTAATTAATTTAGTATATTTACTATAATTAAAATTTTATAATTAGTCTCTGAATTTTTATTGACATTAATAAGATTTTTTTTTTTTTGCCTAAAAGAATATATTTATAATTTCATTAAAGAATTTCTTAACAATGTTATAAGTTAACGAATCCCGATTGGTTAATTAATTTCCACGGTAGATCAAAAGGGAGTCTCCCTATTGCGCGGTTTTATTTTCATCGAGAGAGGAACGTCAAGTACCGCGATAATCCGCTAACGAGGTTAATTTCTCCCGACTATTTCCTGTCTATATGTATATATCTTTAAGGAAGCTATAATTTAACAATCTTCAAAGAAAAAAGTATTTTTAAAGTTCATTTTACATATTGAAAAATATTTTTAAATACCGTTGAAAATCAATTTTTTCAATATTTTTATTATTAGACATAACCTCATTTAAATAATAATAATAATATTTTTTAAGAAAAACTTGACCAAAATCATATTTATATTAGAATGACTAAATTGTATTTTTAAAATTGACGTAAATGTTATTATTACCACCCACGGGAAAATTTTTTTTTTTTTGCAAAAATTTTCACGATAGAAAATTTCCTGAGTTTTTCTCGAAAATTCGTTTTGGAAAGATTATGTGTCATTTTTGTTTAAAAGAATAGAATCAACGGAGGCGTGTGCGCGCAACTCTTTTTGAGAAAATGAATGGATTTTATGACGCGTTAAATAAAAAAAAAAACACACTATATTCATTAACATACGTGACTATATAATGACAATTACGGAATGTTTACATATGCGCCTGTCATCGTCATCGTTTTATTTTATTTTCAAATGCATCTCTACAAATTAGAGCGTCGTCGTAGTCGTCGCTATTTTAGACTTTTTCACGAATGAATAACGCGTCGCGACGCCCCCTTATTTTATTTATATATACTTACATTCTTTCCAAATATGTGAATAATTTTAACCTTGTATGATTCAATTCTATATATATATATTTGTTTCGATTTTCCACTTCCGATTTCGTAATCGGTTAAATGTGGCCCATTTTCTCATTGATCGATAATTTAATTTATGCAACTCAATTTATTTTAAATTACCAATTTTTTTTTTTTATTCATGCAAAAATGCATTAAATTGTTCTATTGGTATATCACGACAGTTTAGGTTAGGTTTCAAATAAGGTTGATTCTACAAATAATAAAATTAATACAATAAGGCCCAATAAGAACTTCTGAGATATAGAAAAGAATAGAAATATATTTGTATTCCTTTCTCGTGTATTTCGTTCGCGAAACTATTGGCCCATAGAAAAAAAAATTTATTGTGAACATAACCTAACAGTATAAAAAAAATAAAAAATCAGTTGTTTGAATATTTTTGTAAGGGGAAAGAAATTATAATTATTTGTTATAAAGGCAAAAGTTATTTGATCTTTAGTGCGTGTGCGGAAGTGTGTCAATGTCAAAAGACAGCCGCGGGTCTAGACACTAAAATACTTCCTTCTTGTCAGAGAAGAGAGGAAATCAATAAAAAATAATAATTCAGTCAAAAAAAAAAAAAATGACAATTTTTGCGTGGGGGAACTTGAACCATGTGGCGTCATCCCAACGCGGGGGTAAATCGATATAAAAGAGTGTCACACAAGTGTCTATATATGGAGCTTCACTGCGTGAGCTGAGAAAAAATTCATTAAAAATTTGCTCGCATTTTAATGCGTATGAAATTTAATATCGTATTTATAAATAAAATAGAGAATTAACATTTTTTTTTTTCCAATTGAATTAAATTTTCCTTTTTTTAAACGAAAAATAGTGGGATGCGGTCAGTGGCACTATGTGTGAGATATAAAAAATATTAGAAGATAGGAATTTGATGTAAATCTCAAAGATATTGTCATTTTACAAAGTCGTTGTCACAATATGACCTTATCATTTATCTTTTACCGTTTCATATCTGAGATGTAACTATTATGCGCCAAGGTGTATATTTATGATAATAAAGTTGTGTGCGTTGCGTCAAATAGTTTATACGGGTTGGCATAAATTACAATGCGGAAGATATAATATAGAGATAGTGGACTCTTTTCAAGGTCAAACTATTGCCTACTAACATCAAAATCTTTGACCTCTGCCGAAGAACAAAACACTTCCGTTATTATTATTTTTTTTTTTTTTTAATCAAAAATCATGTAAAAAATAATTTTTTTTTAATTTCCATTGTAAAATGAGTTTAAAAATAAAAGAAACTAAAATTTGTTTAAATTGACCCAAGTGGTTCAAGTTAGATTTTCTCGTAACTATTTATAGTTCTTTCGTCTTTCATTTGGTTTTGCTTGTTTTTCAACGCATTCCAAACAAAATTCCTACTCAGAGACTGCATTAAGAAAATTATACACATACTAAATTGATGCATTTTTATCAAGGTTTTTTCTCAGCAATATTTTATAATTTAATCCACTTAAAAGGTGTTATGTTTTTACATTTTGCATAATCGTTTCGATTTAAACAATATACGATTAGATAATTTTTTTTTTTTACTATAAAAATCGAAATCTTTTCTGAAAAATTCTTTGTCTAAATTAATTCTATTGACAATTATAAAAAAAAAAAAAAAAATGAAGAGGTAGTTAAAAATTAAAATGTAAACAAAAATTCTATATAAATTTGGCTCGATACAACATTTTCACCTGTCATTGTCATTACTCATCATTATTATTCGTGGCAGTGACATTGAATTCTATATAGCGATGATTTGTAATTATAGTCTTATAAAAAATTCGATTCTTTGTTCCTGATTACACATATTATATTTAATATAAAATAAATAACTAAAAATACCTTAATTTCTCACTTTTGTCCAAAAAAAAAAAAAAAAAAATAACCTAAAAAGGTGGAAACTTTTAAACTTCTGAATACACAGATTTCAAAATTAATTTAACACTATTACTTTTTTTTTGTTATTCATTTACTGATTCCTCTATAAAATTTCTTAACTGATTGACATTTAACTGACATTTTTTTCATACTGGATAATTCTTCAATCAATTGTTTAAGTGGCGACATCTGACAATCATTATTTGAACTAAAACAATATTTTAAAAAAACTTACCGCATGTTGATGAACAATAAGTTTTATCTTTGTTTATTGTCTTGTCAATTGTCAAATCGTATAAATAAAAATAAGAATAAAAAATGAAAGAACGAGTTATTTCGAGAAAAGAAAATAAAAAAACACAAGGCGAGAAGAAACCATTCGATAAAAAAAAGTACAGATTACAAAAGTACAGCAATAAATTTAAAGGTGAGAATTCTTAATTTTTTTTTAGGTTAGGTTCTACACGTTGTATTAAACTCAATCATTAAATATTATTAAATGTTTATTTAACTTTATAGCTTAAAATTCAGTTAATAATAAGTTATATTATAAAATAGAACTATTTTCCGTATTAAATTACAGTAAATCAATGGGAAGAACGTCGTAAAAAAGCAGTAATACGCAATTTTTACAAGGAACAAGAAAAGGATAGAAAAAATGCACCAGGTCCAAGTAATTTAAACGTACAGGATGACAAAAGGTAAATTAATAATTAATAAATATAATAATTTAAAAAAATGTTCTAAATTATTTTAAATTTATTCTAAAAATGACGAAAAATAAAAAATCCTATACATTTTAAATAAAATTAATTGCATTTAAAATAATAATAATAATAAAAAGAAAAAAGAAAAAATAATAATAATGATAATAAAATAATAATAATAATAATATTAATTATTTTGAAAGTTCCAAATTATTCTAATGTTTTCAAAAAGACAGAAAATAAAAAAATGCATTTTAAATATTTTAAATACTATTTCTCTATAAAGAATAAATAATGAAAATACATTTAAAAAAAAAAAAGGAAAATTTTTTCACAATTTTCAGCTCACCAAACAAGAAAAATCCGTATTTTGCTGCGAAAGCCGAATTTCAAAAGAAGAAACAAGAAAAGAAAAATAAAAAAGAACAAATAGAACAAATAAAAGCCGAAAGGATAGAAGCATTAAAAAAATATAAAGAAAAGAAAATGCAAATTTATAAAAAATTATCGAAAAAAACAAAAAAAGGACAACCAGTCATGAAAGATAGAATGGAACTTTTATTTGAAAAAATTCAACAAAGTACGTAAAATTAATAATTTTTTTTTTTTTATATATAGAAAATATTCTATAATTAATTTTAGTAACAATAATTAATTTAATTGGAATAGAAATTAAATTTTATAAAAAAAAAATCTATTCTAATTTTTGTAATTATGTAAAAAGAATGTCAAATTCTTATTTTAATAAATAAAATAATTTTTTTTTAAAATGAACCTAATCTTTTTTTTTTTCCAACAAAAATTTATATTGATATTATTAACTTCAATGAATATAAATTACTTTAAATTGGCGCGCTACAATTTGATTGGTGTATTTTTATGACACATGCGCAATGCCCTATGCGCAGTTTTTTTCCTGCGCAAATATGGCCACTCAGGGCAGCTGTCTGTGGTAAAGTCAGCGGTTGCAAATGGCGACATACAGAAAGTTCGTGATACTGTAATTAATTTCTATAATAAGTGCAATCGGTGAAACAAATTGTGCGCGAAATACGTTCTTTATTACATTGGTATGTATTTCATTATTTTAACTATTTCATTATCCTCCCATAAATAGAAGCGGTGAAAATAGTTACATTTATAAAAAAAAGAAAAAAAAAAGGTCTGGTTCCGAGACTCACCAATATCAGCGGGCGAGAAAATTCCTCACATTCTCCCATCTTATTGAAAATTCTCAATGATCCCTTCACTTGATATTCTTATTAGTTGAATATGATTACTATGTTAATTTGCTATTTGAAAAAATAAAATCGCGATAGAAGGGTGATGTCTGGAAATATCGGGGGGGAAAAAAAAAATGATGATGATGGTTCGATTGCATGGCCACGAAGGCGGGAGCGCAGGCTGACCTGTCAAAAAGCCACCTTTGACTTTTATCCGGGTTAATTAAGGCGGTCACGTCCCTCTCTCACTTGAGATTTTTCCAAGATTTCACTTGTTGGAAGATAGTTTACGAGATTTTTTTTTTTAGTTCTTATGAAGGGGTTAAACGACCCCGTTTATAATCAGGCAGGTGGTCTTAAATTTTTTTGTTAGTAAAAAAAAAAGGAATAAGTTTTATTTCTTTATAAGTTTATTTTCTAACCTTAAAATAAAAAAAAAAAACTTTGTTATAAACGATGTTCGAATTTTTTCAATTGACATTTGGTAATCTTGAAGTAATTTTTACTGTTGTATTATTAATTTGTTCTCGATTATCTGCATTTTTATATTTTTGAACGAAATTGACAATTAGCAGTTTAATTATTAAATAATTGTATATTAAATTCTATAAAAAAATGTCTAAAAGGGAAATATTTTTTGACATTTTTTATTTGTTAACATCAGTGAAAACGATGAAGGTTTAGAGAATCATAACCTTCGAGAAAATTGGTAGTTTCATTTTTATATCAAGGATGAGCAATTGATGTGGTACATTAATTATTAATTATAAGTTTATTATATCTAAGATATGTAAATAAATTGTTGTTTTTTTTTTTTATAGTATTTTGTGTTAATATTTTTCGATTTTTAAATATTTTTATATGAAAAATAAAAATTTGTTTCTCAAAGTATCGTTCAATTTTTGTCCCCCGCCCCCCCTTTTTTTTAGAAAAAAATAAAAAAAAAAGGTTTGTAATTTCTTTTCAGGTGGTTTTAAGCAACGAAAGACAAGATGCCGGCGGTACGAGGCGATGGCATGCGCGGACTTGCAGTTTTCATATCAGACATCAGAAATTGTAAGTTTTTTTATTATTATTATTATTATTATTATTATTCATAATTATTTATTAATAATAAAATTGTATAATAAAAATTATATGATAAAATTTTGCACTAAAATATAAAAAAAAAATGAAATGTTTCGTTTTTTCTTTTAATAATTGTGACAAAAAAAGGGAAAAATTATAAATAATTATTATTAGCGATAATTACAAAAAAAAAAAATATTACGTTGGCAACACTTTTGGAATTTTTAAAAATACAAAAAATACAAGAGAAAAATTCAAATTTCTTTTCACCTTTTTGGGAATTTTTGTTTTTTTAATTTCGGAAAAATTGTTTTAACGTTCAGATTGAATTTAGTAATTTGCTATCATAAAACAGTTTTAGTTACTTAAAATATGTAAAAAAAATTAAATTAATTTATTATTATTATTATTATTATGTATTATTATTATTGAAACTTTAGCCTATTGACCCAAAAGTGGACTTGGTTTATTATTATTATTATTATTATTTTAATTTATTAATCTTCCAAATTATAAATCAATTAAATTTTAATTTTTCCTTTGAGTGAAAATTGTATTCACTAAATTAATTTAATTTATTGTGAATTTAGAAAATTAGAGTTAAAATTAGATTGTAATAATTATACGAAGTAATTTAAAAAAAAACTTGATTTATTATTTATTATTATTATATTAATTTATTAATCTTCCAAATTATAATTCAATTAAATTTTAATTTTTCCTTTGAATGAAAATTGAATTCACTAAATTAATTTAATTTATTGTGAATTTAGAAAATTAGAGTTAAAATTAGATTGTAATAATTATACGAAGTAATTTAAAAAAAAAAAAACTTGATTTATTATTTATTATTATTATATTAATTTATTAATCTTTCAAATTATAAATGAATTAAATTTTAATTTTTTCTTTGAGTGAAAATTAAATTCACTAAATTAATTAAATTTATTTAATTTACTCTGAATTTAGTAAAATAGAATAAAAATTAGATTGTAATAATTATACGAAGTAATTTTTTTTTTAAAAAAACTTGATTTATTATTTATTATTATTATTTTAATTTATTAATCTTTCAAATTATAAATGAATTAAATTTTAATTTTTTCTTTGAATGAAAATTAAATTCACTGAATTAATTAAATTTATTTAATTTACTGAACTAGTGGAAAAGAAAAAATTGTAAAACTTTGTAAAAAGTACACAATGGAGAAATAAAATCTAAATCTAAAATCTAATTTAATTTACTGTGAATTTAATAAATTGGAGTAAAAATCAGATTGTAATAATTATAAGAAGTAATTGATGAAAAAAAAAAATTCGCGAAATAATTATGTAAATTCAAAATGTCAGCTGTTGTATAAAATAATAAATCAGCAAAGAATTCGCCAAGTGATAGAATGCCATTGAGAATATTGAGATCGACTAAAAGAATTGTAAAGTGTTTGTTAACAGTGGAGAAAGAGATTCGAGGGGCGGAGCTCTGATAGTGGCCTATCTTTTTTTTTTTTCTGATAGATTTACTTTCGGTGTGTATTAAATTCACATATCAAAAGACAACAGCAATTTATATTAATTAGTTAATATGTTATTGTGTTATTTTATTAAATTAAACCAATGTCAAGCTCAGTCTTCTCTTCTTTTTCTTTATTGCTCTCAATTAATTAAAGACAATAAAATTGTTTATGCCATTAATTTAACTAAATATTTCATTTAATATATTTTCAATACCTTTGCGTATAATAATTTAGAAAAATTAAATTAAAAAATTAAATAGAAAAGCATTTATCTAAATCGAAAGATTGATTTTTGATAAAGTAATTTTTATTAATTTGTTTTTAATTCAATTAAAAGAGTACAACAAAGTTACAAGGGTCTTTGGTCTGGTGAAAGACTTGAAAATGGATCATTAGTTTTAATTTTTTTTGATTATGATCCAAATGGCATATTGCCATTGAAACTCTTTGTATTTGTATTCGTAGATTTAAGTTTTCGATTGCAAAAAATTATGAGCTTTTTTTTAAAAAAAAGAAGAATAATTGTAATTTTTTTTATTAAAAATTTTTAGGTAAAAGCAAGGAAGCTGAAATTAAAAGGATAAATAAAGAATTGGCGAATATTCGTGGAAAATTTAAAGGAGATAAAACACTTGATGGATATCAAAAGAAGAAATATGTTTGTAAACTTCTTTTTATTTTCCTCTTGGGACATGACATCGATTTTGGTCACATGGAAGCTGTCAATCTTCTTTCATCGAATAAATACTCAGAGAAACAAATTGTGCGTAAATTTAATTTTTAATAAATTTTGTATTTTTGTAATTTTTCTTTTCTCATCTAATTTCGAAAATTTTAATTATTTTTTATTATATTTTATTTTTATTTTTGCAAAATTAGAAATTTAGAAAAAATAATTTATTTTAGAGAGAATTGTTAATTAAATGTTTCTATTTACAGGGCTATCTATTCATATCAGTTTTAGTGAACACAAATAGTGATCTCATCAAATTAATAATTCAGAGTATTAAAAATGATTTGGCATCTCGAAATCCAATTCATGTGAATCTTGCATTACAATGTATTGCCAATATTGGAAGTAAAGATATGGCGGAGGCTTTTGGAAATGAAATTCCCAAATTGCTGGTATCAGGGTAAGAGAATTTAATGTAAAAAAAAATTTTTTTTTTTCTCTATAATAAACACATACACACTTTCATTCACATTTCACATTCACAATTTGCCCTTTTTGGATCAAGTCGTCTCTACATTAGGTAATTTTCAAATTATGTACAATTTTGCTATAAAACGCCTTTGTATTTGCAATTTTTACATTCACATTTTTCACGTATAGACTCAGGGTGTCTGGCGACGGGAAAAATTTGGGAATTTAGAACAATATAGAAAAACACGGAAAAATAATTTGAAATTTGTAAAAAAACGAGGAATTTCTTAGATTGTACGATTTTTCTTTTTTTTTTTTTGACTTACATTACGCAATTTGTATTTTTATTTATTTTTTTTTTATACAAAAATATGTATTTTTTTAGTATAAAATTCTGTTTTAAAATTAATTTATTTTGATTATTTTGTATCTAAAATTCTTTGCCAATTTTCAATTCTTTGAATGAAGTTTTTTTTTCAAAAATTCAATTATTTAAAATACTTCTCAATTTAAAATTCAATTATTCCTTTGGAAATTTTCATAAACACAGGCCTCGGATTATACAACTTTTTCGACTATTTCCGACTTTTTTTTCAAAAATACGACTTTTTTCGACTTATTTTAATAAAATGCGACTATTTCGACTTTTTTTTACATTTAAAAAAAAATTTTAAATAAAACATATTTTTTTTAGTATATAATGCTGATCTTCTTCAGATCTTCTTTATTTCAATTGTTTAACAAATTTTTAACTAAAATTCTTCACTAAATTAATTATTTTTAATAATTTTAATGAAATTCATCACACATTCAATTATCCTAAACTATTTTTCAATTAAAATTTTTTTTAAATTTAACAATTGTTTATAATTTTAAAAAAATATAAAATAAAATTACTAAAAAATTTTAATTCAAAATCATAAATCAATTCAAAATCAAATAAAATTCAATTATTTTCAAAAATTTGAATTCAAAATTAATTATCAAAAATCAACTAAAATTCAATTATTATCCAAAATTTAAATTTAAAATCAAATAAAATTCAAATATTATCCAAAAATTTCAATTCAAAATTAATTATTATCAAAATTTTAAATCAAAAATCAACTAAAATTGAATTATTATCCACAATAACAATTGAAATTCAATTATTTTCTAAATTTTCAATTCAAAATCAAAGAAAATTAAATTATTTTTAAAAATTTCAATTCAAAATTGATTATTATCAAAATTTTCAATCATAAATCAATTAAAATTAAATTATTATCCAAAATTTCAATTGAAATTCAATTATTTTCAATTCAAAATCAAAGAAAATTAAATTATTTTTAAAAATTTCAATTCAAAATTGATTATTATCAAAATTTTCAATCATAAATCAATTAAAATTAAATTATTATCCAAAATTTCAATTGAAATTCAATTATTTTCAATTCAAAATCAACTAAAGTTCAATTATGTTTAAAAATTTCAATTCAAAATTAATTATTATCAAAATTTTCAATCAAAAATCAACTAAAATTGAATTATTATCCAAAATTTCAATTAAAATTCAATTACTTTCCAAAAATTTTTAATTTAAAAGCTTCTAAAATTTAATTATTTCTAAAATTTATTGAAATTTAATAATTTCAATGATAACTCTAAGGAAATTGAATTATTTTAAACTATTTTTATAATATTCTTTGAAAATTCAATTATCTGAAACCATTTTTCAATTAAAAATGGTTACTGTATTTTTGTCCGCAATTTCTAATAAATTTTTTTGTGAAATCATCAAAAATTTTTAATTAAAAATCACTTGAAGTTCAATTAATTTCAAAAATCTCAATTGTAAATCTTTGAAAATTCAATGACTTTTAAAAAATATTATCTAAAATTATTTGATAAATTATTTTTAGTTCTGTAAAATTTAATTATTGTCTGAAAATTAACAGAATCTTTTGAAATTCAATTATTTCTAAAAATTTTAATTTTAACCCTTCCAAAAGTATTATTATTTAAAAAAAAAAATTTATTTAAAAATCTGTAAAATATTTTAGTTAAAATAAAAAAAAAATCGACTAAAACGACTTTTTTTGTGCCTTCAAGTCGATCCGAGGCCTGTAAACAAAAGTTTAAGAAATTATAATAATAATATAAAATAATTATATTTGAAAGACGTTTATGTTTGAAATAAATAAATAAATTACAAAATTTCTAACTTAAAATTTTCTGAAATTCAATTAGTTCTAAAAATCTAAATTTAAAAATTTCTAGAAATTTAAATTATTTTATAAATTTTTATATAAAATTCTTGGAGAAATTATTTATTTTGATACATATTTAAAACAATTTAAAATTAAAAATTATCTAAAATTTAATAATTTTAAAAAATTTTAATTTTAACTTTTTCAAAATTCAATTATTTCTAAAATTCTTAGCTAAATTAATTATTTTTCAATGGTGTTAATCAATTTTTTCAAAAAATTCAATTAAAAATTTTCTAAAAATCAAAATTCAATTATTTTTAAAAATTTTAACTTTAACTCTACGAAAATTCAATTATTTCTAAAATTCTTACTATTTGTTAAATTAATTATTTTCATTTTTTTTAAATAATTGAATTTTGAAGATTTTTTTAATTGAAATTTTCTAAAAATCAATTACATTTTGAAATTCGTAAATAATTTTTAATTAATATAAATTTTTATAATTTTCAATGAAAAAAATCTTGAAAATTCAATTATTTCTAAAATTCTTACAAATTAATAATTTGTTAAATTTAATTATTTTTATTAACTTTAATCAAGTTTTTCAAAAATTCAAATATTAAAAAAAAAAAAAATTCACTTTAAAATTCTCTATAATTTAATTAATTTTTAAAAGATGGAAAATAATTTTGAATACAAATTTACAAAAAAAAATTTTAAATTATAATCTCCAGTAATTCAATTATTTCTAAAATGTTTCATTAAAATTAATTAATTGATTATCTCTATTTTTATTATACGTTTTTTTGTTCTGTTTTTAGTTTGTTATTTTTGTGTTATTATTCCTTAATGAAATACCGAGAAAATATTGTTTTTTAGATCCAGAAATTTTTCTGGATTTTAAAAATAATGATTCGCTAGACACTTTGTGTAGAAAAAAAATTTTTTTTGGTTTTTTTTTTGTTTTCTAAATTATTTAAATATTTTAGCGACACGATGGACGTGGTGAAACAAAGTGCAGCCCTGTGCCTTTTACGTTTATTGAGAACTGCTCCGGACGTTGTTCCTGGTGGAGAATGGACGTCGCGTATTGTTCATTTACTTAATGATCAACATCTCGGCGTTGTTACTGCTGCAGCGTCGCTTATCGATGCTCTTGTCAAAAGAAATCCAGACGAATACAAAGGATGCGTCAGTCTTGCCGTTTCTAGACTCAGTCGAGTGCGTTTCAACAATATTTCGAACAAAAAAAAAAAAAAAAAATTTCCATCATTTTATTTAAATTATTTATTTTTTCAGAACTATTATTAATTTAATTAATTTTTTGAGATTTATTATTTAATTAATTTATTTGTTTCGATTTATTATTTAATTTATTTTATTTACTGAATTTATTTATTTATTTAGAATTATTATTTAATTGAAAAAATATGCGGATTAAAATTAATTTGTATTTTTCTTTCTTTTCGAAGATCGTAACATCGAGTTACACGGATCTGCAGGATTACACCTATTATTTTGTGCCTGCGCCTTGGCTATCCGTAAAACTGTTGCGATTGCTTCAGAATTACACTCCGCCAGGTAAATTCCTGACGTACACGGAAAAAAACGGTATGGATTATCAAGAAATAAGATTCGAAAATTTTTTCAAATTTTTTATCACTGCCATTGTGCAAAAATAAAAGCCTATCAATATATTTCTCACAAGTCTTTCGCTTGACTATACAAAAAAAAAAATTGAAGAACCGAAAGTTCTAAAACAATTCCAAAAAAATTATTCCTAAGACAATTGCATGTAACAATTTTGCTTTCTATTTCTTGCACACGCATTTTTTTTGTTCTCACCAAATTTCCGGCAATTTTTTTTGTTTTTTTTTTTTTTGTCTCTCCTCTCTTATTGCAATTGAACTTTTTTCAAAATCTAGCCCAAAATTCTTTCCGTGTATGCGCATCTTGTCTCGCAACTGAAAAAGAAAAAAATCGCACAATTTTATTATTTTGATAAAATATTTTTTTTTTTGTTTTTACAGCTGAAGATCCAGGTGTACGAGGTCGTTTAAATGAATGTCTTGAGACAATTTTAAATAAAGCACAAGAGCCACCAAAGTCAAAGAAGGTTCAACATGCAAATGCAAAGAATGCTGTTTTATTTGAGGCAATTAGTTTAATAATTCATAATGATAGTGAACCACATTTATTGGTACGCGCTTGCAATCAACTTGGTCAGTTTTTATCGAATCGTGAGACAAATCTTCGTTATTTAGCACTAGAATCAATGTGTCATCTTGCAACATCGGAATTATCACATGAGGCAGTTAAAAAACATCAAGAAGTTGTTATTCTATCAATGAAAATGGAAAAAGATGTTTCAGTACGACAACAAGCTGTTGATTTACTTTATGCAATGTGCGATAAAAGTAATGCCGAGGAAATTGTTCAGGAGATGTTGAATTATTTGGAAACGGCTGATTATTCAATACGCGAAGAAATGGTATTGAAAGTTGCAATTCTTGCTGAAAAATATGCAACCGATTATACATGGTATGTGGATGTTATTTTGAATCTCATTAGGATAGCTGGTGATTATGTATCGGAGGAAGTTTGGTATCGTGTTATTCAAATTGTTATTAATCGAGACGATGTACAAGGATATGCTGCTAAAACTGTCTTTGAGGTAATTTGAAATTTATTATTTTAATTTTACTTTTTTTTTTTAAATGTAAAAATGAAATTTATTATTATAAATTTATAAATTTGAATTTTTTTTTTTTTTTAAGGCATTGCAAGCGCCTGCATGTCATGAGAATATGGTAAAAGTCGGAGGTTACATTCTCGGGGAATTTGGAAATTTAATAGCGGGAGATCAGCGTTCTTCTCCATTGGTGCAATTCCAACTCTTACATTCCAAAGTAAGTTTTTTAATTTTCAAATTTTTATTCTATAGAGACAGAAAACTTTATTTCTTGCGAATAAAAGTACAGATCTTCTTTATAACAATTATTTAACAAATTTTTAACTAAAATTTTTCACTAAATTAATTAGTTTTAATAATTTTAATGAAATTCTTCACAAATTCAATTATTTTAAACTATTTTTCAATTTAAATTTTTATGAAATTTAATAATTGATTATAATTAAAAAAAAAAAATTAGCAACAAAAATTACCAAAATTTTTTAATACAAAATCACTTGAAATTTAATTATTTGCCAAAAATTTTAATTATTTTTAAATGATTTTTATAACATATTATTCGAAAATTCAATTAACTGAAAGCATTTTTCAATATTAAAAACTTTTGGAATTCAATTTTTTTTTAATGTGATTTCTAATAAATTCTTTATCAACAGAAATCACTAAAATTTTCTCTTATTATAATTATTGTTTGAAATTTAAGACAATTTTTTGAAATTCAATTATTTTCAAAAATTTCAATTTTTAAAAGCTTCTAAAATTTAATTATTTCTAAAATTTGCCATCTAAATTTTTTTTTGGAAATTTAATAATTTCAATTATAATTCTCTTGAAATTCAATTATTATTTTTTTCTAATAAATATTTTAGTAACAGAAATTATAAAATTTTGACATTAAAAATCACTTGAAATTCAATTAATTTCAAAATTTTTTTGAAAATTCAATTACTTTTAAAAAATATTATCTAACAATATTTGATAAATTATTTTCAATTCTGTAAAAGTTAATTATTTTGTTTGAAATTTAATTATTTTTAAAAAATTTCAACTATAACTCTTCTAAAGTTAAATTGTTTTTAATAATTTTAATATTTTTTTAAAAAATTCTATTATTTAAAAAAGTTACAAATAAAAATTCTAAAATTGAATTGTTGTCAGAATTTTTTTTTTTTTTTAGAAATTAGTCTAATTTAATTAAAATTTTAAAAATTTACACCTTCGATTCTGAAATAGAAATAAATTTTCTTTTATAATATTCCTATAGAATTATTTTTATTAAGGAATTAATAAAATCGATTTAATACCTAATAACATTAATTATTTAAAATAAAATACTAATTAATAAATTAAATTTAATTAAAATAAAAAAATTAACTAAAATGACTTTTTTTAAGCCTTAAAGTCGATCCGAGGCCTGAATTCAATTATTTCTAAAATTTGTTACTAAAATTCTTTGATAAATTAATTATTACAATAACTTTTATCAATTTTTTTCGAATAATTAAATTATTTAAAACATTTTTCAATTTAAAATTCTAAAAATTTTATCAAAAATTCTTTGTTTTTATTTTTTCTAATAACTTTAATCAAATTTTTTGAAAACTGAATTATTTAAATCATTTTTTCAATTTAAAAATTGTCTAAAATTCAATTATTGTCTGAAACTTATTTAAAAAAAAGCCTTCTACAATTGAAATTTACAAAAATTTTAATTGAAAATCTCATGAAATTCAATTATTTCTAAAATTTGTTACTAAAATTCTTTGGTAAATTAATTATATTACAATAACTTTTATCAATTTTTTTCCAATAATTAAATTATTTAAAACATCTTTCAATTTAAAATTCTCTAAAATTCAATAATTATTTAAAAAATTTCCTTAATTTTCATTATTTAAATTTCCAATAATTTCAATTTTTTTCAACTTAAATTCTTTTTTGAATTAATTATTATTTCTAAAAACTAATCTAGTTTTTCAAAAAATTCAATTCTTTAAAATATTTCTTAATTAAAATTTTTCTAAAGTTCCATTACTATTTAAAATATTTTCCAAAATTCTGAATTCGAATAATTTTTATTAATTAGATTTCAATTTTCTTAAAAAAAAAAAAAGTAACTAAATAATTTTTTCAAAAAATTTGTCCTTGAAATCTTGAAAATTTGTCAAAATTCAATTTTAAAATGTATTCTAAATAAAAAAATTCTTGAAAATATTTCAATGAAACAATTTTTATTAAGAAATAATTATTTAATTTCTAATAATAAAAATGTTAACTAATTAAAATTGAAAATAAAAAATTAAATTTTTTTTCGATTTAAATTGACTAAAACGAATTATTTGTTTGATTTTATATTAAAATACACTATAAAATTTGATAAATACCTATTTTTGATGTTTATAATTTCACTACATTTCAATTAAAGTCGTAAACTAATTTAAAAAAATTTTTTAAAAATGATTTTTTAAGATATTTGGAGTAGATTTTTAATAAAAAAAGAACCTAAAATATTTTTTATCATCACTATGAAAAAGTCTAACTGATAATTGAAATAAAATATTCAATGAATAATTAATTTTTCAGTATCATTTGTGTTCTCCAATGACACGTGCTCTTCTTCTATCGACTTACATTAAATTTATAAATCTCTTTCCTGAAATTCGTACACAAATTCAAGATGTCTTTCGACAAGACAGTAATTTACGAAGTGCCGATGCTGAATTACAACAAAGAACATCGGAATATTTACAATTAAGTATCATTGCATCGACCGATGTATTGGCAACAGTTTTAGAAGAAATGCCAGCATTCCCCGAAAGGGAATCATCAATACTTGCTGTATTAAAAAAGAAAAAACCAGGACGCGTACCTGAGAATGAAATTCGCGAGAGCAAAAGTCCAGCTCCAAATACAAATCATCATACCGAAGCGAGTTCAATTGCAACGGTGGCTGCTATTAATAATTCATCTGCCGATCTTTTGGGATTATCAACACCGCCTTCATCACAACCAACGAGTAACACTGGCGTTCTTTTAGATGTTTTGGGAGATATTTATAATATGCCAAATAAAGTTGGCGCCACAAATGGAACACAAAGCACATATAATCCAAAAAAGTAATACAAAAAATTGGTTTTAATTTCGAAATGTTTAAAAAAAAAATTTTCAATTTTAAATTAATTGAATTTTTCTTTTAGATTCGTGTGTAAAAATAATGGCGTACTCTTTGAAAATGATTTAATTCAAATAGGAGTAAAATCGGAATTCCGACAAAATCTTGGACGTATTGGTTTATTCTACGGTAATAAAACACAACTTCCATTAACTAATTTTCAACCGGAAATTTCTTGGTCCGATGAAAATCAAGTGAAACTATCGGTACAAGTAAAATCAGTGGATCCAGTTTTAGAAGCGGGAGCGCAAATTCAACAAATGGTGAACGCCGAATGTATCGATGACTATGATGGTAAAATTAATTTTATTATTAAATTTTAATTATTTTTAATTATTATTAAAAATTAAAAATTATATTTAATATTACAATATTTAAAATTTAATCCCTTTTTTTTTTGGTTTTTAGATTCACCGAGTATGGTTATTACATTTATGTACAATAACATTAATCAAAAAATTACAATGAAATTGCCATTAACGATCAATAAATTCTTTGAACCAACTGAAATGAATGGTGAATCATTTTTTGCCAGATGGAAGAATCTTGGAGGGTAAATTTCTTGTTTCTTTTTCAATTATTTATAAAATTAATATTTTAGTTTATTATTTTTAATTAATTGTTGTCTGTTTTTTTTTTACCTAGAGCCAATCAGCAACGTTCACAGAAAATATTTAAAGCCCAACAACCAATGGATTTACAGCAAGTTCGCACAAAACTTCAAGGTTTTGGAATGCAACTGTTGGATGGAATCGATCCAAATCCTGATAATTTTGTTTGTGCTGGAATTGTGCACATGAGAGCGCAACAAGTTGGTTGTTTATTGAGATTGGAACCGAATAAACAAGCACAGGTGAGTTTTTAATTTCTTCTTTTTAAAATTTAATTTTTGTTACCTTGAAAATATTTTTTCTTTGAATTTTAAAACAAAACGTTGAATTATTAAAATTTAATTAAAATAATATTTATAGTTTAAAGAACTATAAAAATCTCAGTTTAAGATTTAAAATTAAAAATTAAGTGGAAAAATTCAAATACAAAAAATTAAATGTAAAAAAAATGTTCACTGTCAATATTCATTTAAATTTAAAAAATTACCTTGCTAAATTTCTGATTAACAATAAATTGATACATTTTTTTAAAACAATTATTAGCACACAAATACGTATAAAAAAATTTGAAAATCAAAATAATTAAATTTTAGAATATTTTTTTTTCTATTTTTTTTTAGATTATATTTTTAGAACTAATTGAATTTCAATCGATTTTAAATTGAAATTTTTTGTAAATTCACACTTTTGATTTTTTTTGTTTAAATACAAATTTTAGACAATAATTAAATTTTTTATTTAAATGTAATTAAATAATTAAATTAAAAAAAAAACTATTAAAATTATTAAAAATTATTGATTTTTTGAAGAATTTTAGATTAAAATTTATAAATAAATTTTGAAATTGTTTCTATTACGATTTTTAAAATTACCATTGAATTTCAGAAAATTTGAAATTGAAATTTTTCGTAAATTTGAATTGCAAAAAGATTTTTTTAAAATGAATTTTAGACAATAATTGAAATTTAGATGATTTTTAATTGAAAAATGTTTTAAATAATTAAATTTTTGAAAAATTGCATTAATATTATTGAAAATAATTAATTTAGCAAATAGTTTTTAGATTTTCAATATAACTGAATTTTACAATTCGAATTTGGCAAAGAATTTTTAAATAATTTTAAATATAATTGAATTTTTGGAAAAATTAAGATTTTTAGAAAAACTATTAAATTATTAAAAAATTATGGATTTGGCGATGAATTTTAGATGAAAATTTTTTTGTTTTACTAATATCAGACACAAATTGAATTTGAGAAAATTTTGGTTAAAATTTTTTTAAAATTTTTGTAAAACTATTAAAATTATTAAAAATTATTGATTTGACAAAGAATTATAAATAAAAATCAAGTTTGCTATTGGTCAGGGAAAAATCAGGGAATTTTGTGAAAATTACTGGAAAAATATGAAATTTCTAAAAATGATGTTAAATTTTTAATTTTTGAAATTTCTCAATTCGAACTATTGCTCCTTTAAAATATTGTTGTCTTTATTTTTTATAATTGGAAATCTCTTGAAATATTTTCATTTGAATCAGGGAAAAAATTTAAATTCTGACTGGAAATAAAGGGAAAAGTCAGGGAAAAGCAAAATAAAATTTTTCTAACAAGCCTGAAAATTTATTAATATTTAAATTTTCCAATTTAGTTTCTATTAAGATTTTTAGAGTTAATTGAATTTCAGAAGATTTGAAATTGGAATTTTTTTGTAAATTTGAATTCCTAACGATTTATTTAAACAATTTTTTTTCACAATAATTGAGTTTTAGAAAATTTGTAATTAAAAATTTTTTGCAAATAATTGAAATTTCGAAGAATTTTTATGAAAATTTTTTTCGTTAATTTAATTTTCCAAGTTTAGGAATTAAATTTTTTTTTATTAATGTTTTGTTTTCAAATTTTAAAAGATTTGCATTTAAAAAATTTGGAAAATATTTAAAAGTATGAAAAAATTTTATATGGACAAATTTTTTTGTAAAAATTTAATTTCAATATTTGAATATAATTAATATCTCGAAGTGTTGTAATTAAAGTTTTTTAATAAAATTAAATTTTTGAAAAATTTATGATATAACTTTTTTACAAATAAAATTAATTTTGTGAAAATTAAGATTAATGTGATTAAAAGTAATAATTTTAATATGGTAATTGCTTAAAATTAAATTATTCAAATTTATTTGAATTTTTTGAAAATGATAAAATTTGCAGAATTTTAGTTAATTTTTTTTGTAAATAACATAAAATTACGGATTTAATGGAAATAAATCAAAATTGAAAGTGTTTTGCAATCAGAGGTTTTAACATTTTTCTATTTTTAATAGATTTTAAACTAAAAATTTAGAAAATAATTCAATTATATCGAAGAATTTATTCAAAATTATGAAGTAATTCAGTTTTTTTAAATAACAATAATAATTTAAATTATATTTTTGAATATAATTCAATTTTCGAATTGTATCGACTTAAAAGATTTGTAAGAAATTAAAATTTCGTAAAATTTGATTGAAATTGAATTTTTAAAAAGAATTTCATTAAAACTTTTGAAAATTTGAATTTCTTTTTATGAATTTTGTTCTTTATACATTTTGGAGAAGAAAAATTTTTTATATAAAAGAAAATAAAACGCATTACTCGTTGCGTTTATTTTCATTTATCACAATTTTTTAAAAATAGAATTCGCATTTGATTAAAAAAAAGAACAAAATTCGTAAATGTTAAAAAAAAAAAAAAAAAAAAAAACTCAAAATATTGTCTTGCAGTCAGGAAAAATTATAATGAAAATTTTGTATTAATTCTGTATTTTTGAAATATTTGTTATTTATTTATTTATTCAAATTATATTTTACAGATGTTCCGATTAACTGTGCGCTCGAGTAAGGAATCAATGTCTATTGAAGTTTGTGACCTGCTCGTGGACCAATTTTAAAAAGGGGCCTATAGCAGAGACGCCTGTGTTGATTTTTGGAGAAAAAAAAAAATTTTTTTTTTTTATTTAAAAAAAAAACCGCATTACTCGTTGCGCGTGGTGTTTTGTCTATCGAATGTCGATGACAAATGAATCTCGTTTCTTTGACGAGAGGTGATGATGATGATGATCAAAGAATGTTTCTTGTCAGCTTGAGAAGCACAACTATAGTCCCCTCCAGTTTCTTTCACTTGTCATCGTGTGAGCTTCGTTATTAACAGCGAATATCACTCTCATTTAAAAAAAAAAAATTGGAATTTTAAATTCATTTTGAAAATAGCATATTGTGGCAAAAAAAAGTAATATATTTATATAAAAAAAAAAAAATAATAAGGAAAAGGAAAAAAGACAGATCGATGGGACAGTATTAGTCTTGAGAGTGAAAACGGTAACGAGAGATTTTATTTAAGCTGTTAAAAAAGACCTAAAGATGTCATGAGGTAAGAATCTGCTCTTAATTTTTTTTTTTTTTTTTTTTTCTTTCTTTTCCAAGTAACCACGTAGACTGAAGCAAAACTGCCGAAAGTCTCATTTATTTGCTTCCCTTGAAAAATTTCTTCATTTTTAGTTTTTAAGGTCCGAGGATTCAAATTTTCTTCCTCAAAAAAAAAATCTATTTAATAGATTAAATTTAAATTTTCTTTTTTAGAAATTTTATTTTACAAACTTATTTTTTGGATATAATTTAAATTCAAAATTATTTTCCTTTAAAAAATTTGAAAATTCTTCATTTGAATCCTCGTTTTTTACAAGTTTGATACTCATTGTTTTTTTTTTAAATCACTACTCCTTCCTATTAATTAAAAAAAAAGAAAGCATTGATCCGTGCGGATTTTTGTAGTCGTTGAGATTAGTTCGCCATAGAAAAAATACCTTTACGTTTTGACGAAGCTCAAAGTATAAAATAAAAAGTACGATATTAATTTGTAATCTAGTTTCCAAATATAAATCACTAAGTTTCCGCTTGACTTTAAGGGGGGAAAGGATGAAAAAAGAAAAAAAAAATCCATGACTGGTTTTAACCTTTAAGTGCTTAAGAAACTGCGAGGTACGACGTCATTATTATCAACGAGTCGTTAATAAATTATAAATAAATTATAATCGTAATTAGGAATGTAAATGATAGGTCTATTATAATAGTTCTCTTTTTCTCTCTCTCTCTCTCTAATCAACTTGGGTGTATATTTTCCCTGTTTCAAATTACAATTAGAGATATTTTTCTGTTTTAGCTTTTTTTTTAAAAAAAAAAAAACGGTCACAAAATTATTCGATTTTAATTGTAAATATGTATTTTAAGAATTTCTTTTCTGTTTGCAAATCAGGTATTTAAGTAGTCAAATTTTTTTTCTATTTTTTTTTTAATGGTTGTACATTTATGTCGATGTAAAGTTAAAGTTTCTGTATTTTTTTAATTTCTATTAATCTAAGTGTAGGCTGTGATCGAGAATTTTTCAGCGATCGTTTCTAAATAAGGGGGATCTGTTAGCATTTGATTTTTGGGATTCGATTTTTATAATAAAAATCGTAAATTATTTTTTTATTATTTAAAAAGTAATTTTTCGTATAGAATTGTTTTTTTACAATTAGTAATTGTAAAAATTTTAAAATATTTTAATTTTACCAGACTCAATTTTAATATAATTTTTTTTCCCCCCCCAGGAAATTAATTCAATTTTAAATAAATTAGAGATTTTAATTATTGAATTAATTTTTTTTTTTTAAATTATAAATATTTTAAATGTTTATAAATTCCCATTCTATCAAATTGCAAAAGAATCTCATTCGTCCCCAAATATATTATATATTTTTTTTAATTTACAAAATTGTCCAAAATATTCTTAACCGATCGCTTTTCGTTTTCTCGACCAAACTTGCAACGTCGCGTTACCAGTCATGGATTTATTATTATGTTCTAACTGGAACGAGTAAATATTAATTTGCGAGAATCTACACTGTAGTTATATAAAAATAATACTAAAAACAAAAAAAAAAAAGGAAAAAAAAAAATTCTTATTATAAAATGCAAGATAGATTGAAAGGTTTAATGGAAATGTTCCCTTTATCGAACGTATAGCTTGTACACTTTATTATTGTACAAAAAAAAAAAAAAAAGAAATATGACACGATAAAAATAAATATCGCTCTTCGTGTGCGATATTAAACGATCTACGTGGACAAAAATTGTTCGTCAAGAATTTAATTTTTTTTCGAAAATATAGAAAAAATGAAAATAAATTCAAAAGCAATGAAAGAACTGAAAAAAAAAATTAAAATAGAAGATCATTTCGAAAAAGAAAATTTTTCACGAATAAATTTTTTCCAAGTATACGTATAATTATATAAAGTAAAAAAAAAATATATATATATACAATTCATATTATAAATATTATATACAAAGATGAATATTGAAAAAAAATGAGGGCTTTGGCTAAGAAGGTTATTTCCCATCACTCTCACAAAAAAAGGAAAAATAATTAATCATTGCATAATTTAACCGAAAAGAAAAAAAAATTCCACCCTTAGAAGTTTAAATAATTTTTGGACGATTAAAGAGAGTAAATTTTCAATTGTTTTTATTTAGCAAGAGTTCCATTGTGTGTCTTTTGTTTTTAAGTGTCGACAATTGTTTTATATCGTTCATGCTCCATGTACAAGTATGTACGTTTGTAAGATATTAACCATTTAAGGCCTGAAATTATTTTTAATTAATTTTTTTTTTAAAATCGTTGCTACAATTATTTACATTAATTAATGTTGAAAATTGAAAAAAAAAAATATATATATGTAGGGCCTTAAGGGGTTAATTCATGTATATTAATGAGCAATATATATATATATACAATACCTCTCGTATTATAAAGCTTTTTGCGTATTTGTTGATTGTTTTATTTTTTTTTTAATTATTATTTTTTTCTTTTATTCTGAGGAATGTAAGCTTTAAGGAGTAATAATAAAAAAAAAGGAAACCCAAATGGTTAGAAATTTTAAAAAATGAAAATTAATTTCAATTTTTTATTTCAGTTTTCTATGAATAATAATCTTTCTAAGATTCTTTCATATTAAAGAAAATTTTCCAAATGTTTCTTTATTTTTAATTAATTATTTAGTTTTCAATTAATAATGAGTAATTTATAATTAATAATTGATAATTAATAATTGATAATTAATAATTTAAAAAAATTTAATTTTCGTTGGAAATTACAGGAATAATTGACCAAAATAATAATCATTGATTAATTTTTCACAATAAGTTTTATTTCGATAAGATTTTTCGAAAAGAACAATAATAATATTATAATGTCCATGTTATCTTTATTTAATATTAACTTTTAATGGTTAATATTAGATATTTGAACTGTTAAAAAGTCTTTGGATATATAGATAAAAACGTAATTATTATATTATAATTATTACATAAGTTATAGTTAGGGTTATATATGTATATATACATAGTACACGTATATTATAATTAAAGGTACGTTGTCATTTGTCTGTACATAATTGAAGTTGAGTGAGTTTTTATTTTTTTTTAAATATTTTTATCACCTTACTTTCTTGGCTAGTATATGAGTTTAAAAAAAAAACCCCATTGGCTGTTCATTCTTTGTTTTTTTTTTTTTTTATTAAATTATATTTACAAATGAAAAAATAATTGAAAATCATGCCAATGCAATTTTTTTTAATCTTAATTAAATTTTTTAAATAATTAACTTTTTAAGTCTTAATTTCTTAAGTTGTAAGTAATTTTTAAATATTAATTCTTAAAGAATTAATTTTTCTTTTTTTTTTTTAAATTTTTTCCGGAAGATTTTTAATTGTTTCAAAAATGAAGAATTTTTTTGTTTAATATTTTATACAATATTCTTAATTTTTTTTGTAATTTTCAATGATTGTATGATTTTATATTTTGACTAGTTTCTCTTAATATGTAATTTTTTTATTTCTAACTTTTAACAAAAAAAAAAAAACTATTCTATTAATCTACAACTCGATGATATTTTCGATTTTTTTTTTTACATTAATTTTTCTAATCAAGATATTCATTTTACAGAACTGACTAGTTTTTTTTCTTTTTTTATTTGAAATGGCTTGAATTTTATTTCTGAAACATAATTTTCAAATCGAAAATTTAATTTTTTGTGAAACTAATTCTTTTTTTTTAATCCACAGATTTTTTTCGGAAAAAAGTTTTAAGGGATAATTTTTTTTTTTTTTTATAAACTTTGAATTCCATTGAAATTTTCATCAGATTTGGAAAAAATTGCATCAACATCCTTTTTGAGAAGTTGATATTTATCGTGTGGATCATCGACATCATCATCGGCATCATTGACGAGAATACTTTCTTCGCCAGTATTTTCAGCGTCTTCGGGTGCAAGGAAAAAATTGGCACGTCCCTTACATTTTCTTTGATAATCAAAATTTTCTGGAGCATGCCTGTGACATGAATCACAAATTGTATCCATTTTCGTTGTACAAGGATGTGCTTCATAAAGTCCTGGACCACAGCGAGAGCATATCCAACATGGTTGAATACTATGATGTGGAGAATAAGTTCCCGATGAACATCTACCGCATTCGGTGTCTTTACCTGGACTACAACGTTTTACCACACCCATTCCTGGACCACATCTACTGCAATGCGAACCCTCACGATGATGCCTAATGTGAGGTCGACATTCTGCAAACTGGAAAAAACAAATGTAATTTTTTTTTTTTTTCATTTTCTTTCTTTTATTTAAAAATTATTCTTTAATTAATAATTAATAATAATTACTAATAATTAATAAATATAATGATAATTTTCCGAATTTTGAACAATTTTAATTTAAATTATTATTATTATTATTATTATTATTATTATTATTGTTATTTATTTAAAATTGTAATCAATATATAATTTTGATCAATCTTCAATTTAATCAATTCAAAATTTAATTTATTATACTAATTTTGATTGAATTAAATTTCTTTTTAAATTTCTTTTTTCAAGTTTCAATTGCTCTAAAATTCAATTTATCAAAATTTCAATCGATTTCAGTTTTCATTTTTAATTAATGTCAAAATTCAATTTACAAAAAATTTTAATCTATTGAAACTTGATTTAAAATTTCAATTTATCTAAAATATTTCTCGATTTCAGTTTCAATTGATTAAAAACTTCAAATTTATGTAAATTTTAATCTATATTCAAAATTGTATTCAAATTTCAATTTATCCAAATATTTATCGATTTCAGTTTTAATTAATTCAAAAATTCAATTTGTTCAAATTTTAATAGATTTTAGTTTCAATTGGATTTTAAAATTCAATTTATCAAAATTTTAATTAATTGAAAAATTTTAATATTCTAATTTATTTCAATTACAAATTTTAATTTTTTTTTTTAAATTTTTAAAGTTTAAATTTAAAATCTAATTCATATCAATTTTAATGAAGTAAAATTTTAATCGATTTCAGTTTCAATTAATTCAAAAATTTATCAAAATTTTTGAATTAATTGAAAATTTACAATTTTCAAAATTTATTTCAATTTCAAATTTCATTTTTTTTATTTTATAGTTTAAATTGGACTACAATTTAATTCATATTAATTTTAATTAAATAAAATTTGAATCGATTTTTAAATTAATGTAAAATTCAATTTATCCAAATTTTAACCGTTTGTATAGTTTTTAATAATTCCAAAATTCAATTTATTCAAATGTTAATCGATTTTTTTTTTTTTTTTTTTTTATTTGAAATTTATTCAAATATTTATTAATTTAAAAATTCAATTTATGCAAATTTTAATTAGTTGAAAATTTCAATCGATTTACGTTTCAATTGATCTAAAATTCAATTTATAACAATTTTAATTCATTCAAATTTCCATCGTTTAAGTTTCAATAATGGATGTAAAATTAAATTTATCCAAATATTTATCGAATTCAGTTTCAATTAATTTAAAATTCTATTTATACAAATTTTAATCGATTTCAATTAAATTGATTCAAATTATTAATTTATCTAAATTTTGTTCAATTTTAATTTCAATTAATAATAAAATTTAATTTATCCAAATTTTAATCTATTCAAATTTGTATCCAAATTTTTATTTCACCAAATTTCAATTTAAAAAAATTTTAATTTACCTAAATTTTAATCGAGTTTAGCTTTAATTGATCCCAAAATTCAATTTATCGAAATTTTCATCGATTTCAGTTAAATTAATTCAATATTTCAATTTATTCAAATTTTAATCGATTTTAATTTTAATTAATTCCAAAATTCAATTTATCCAATTTTTTTTTTAAATCTATTCAAACTTGTATCCAAATTTTAATTTAACCCATTTTCAATTTAAAAAAATTTTAATTTAAACAAATTTTAATTGATTTTATTTTTAATTCATTCCAAAAGTCAATTTATCAAAATTTTAACCGATTCAATTTTTTAATTGATTTCGAAATTCAATTAATCAAATTTTTAATTTAACCAAATAAACAAATTTGAATTTTAAAAAATTTCAATTCATCTAAATTTTAATCGATTTTAGTTTTAATTAATTCTAAAATTCAATGTATCAAAATTTTTTAACCGATTTCAAGTTTTAATTGATCTTAAAATTAAATTTTTCCAAATTTCAATTGGATTTAAGTTTTAATTGACATAAAATTAAATTTTTGCCAAAATTCAATTAATTTAACTTTTTAATTGATCCAAAAATTTTGAATTTATCCAAATATATATATATATATATTTTTCTATTCTTTTAATTTATTCAATTTTTAATTCTAAATCGAATTTTATTAGAAAAAAATAATAAATAATTATTAGAAAAATAATCGGTAATTTTTTTTCATTACAGATTTAAAAGAAAAATATGATTTTGTCATTAAATTTCTATTAGAAATTAATTGTTACAAAAAATAATAATAATAATTATTATTATTATTATTATTATTATTATTATTATTATTTCCAAGAAAAAAAGAAACGATTTATCAAATATTCAAAAAAAAATGCAAACAATTCGTTTCGAATTTTGTGCAAAGACCGCGAAATGAAAGTTTTAATTTGAATCTTTGAAGAGAAATTTTTTTTTTTCGAAAAAGAATTCCAAACTGGTTTTGAAGAGGATACCTTTCTTAAAATTGCATTTCCCGGGGGCGTTAAAGGGTTTTTTTTTTTTTTTTTTAAAGTCTCTCTTTTTTTGGAGTTTCTTTATATCAGTCTCTCTATTCTAAGCGCTTAATGCACAAGACCGTTGGGGAACAGGTGCCTGAGAAATGGGGGCCAGCTGACTTCGGAAACACCTTGCGCGAACTCTCTTCCGTTCGTTTTGCATTTGCTTTTCTAAACGAAACTCGATAAGAATCATTTTCTCGGCCCTTAAACCGAGTTTCTTTTATACATTTAATATTTGATACAAAGACAATATATAAGAAATGAGATTAATTTAATCAAAAATATTGAAATTCAATATTTTAATTTATTTTACATTTTTTTTTCTCTGTGAATTTTTATCACATTTTCCGGAATACTGCGAATTTTTCTAAATAGAATTCTTGTTTTTTTAATTTAATTTAATTTAATTCTATTTTATTTTATTTTATTTTATTTTATATTTGATTTTTTGATTATTGATATTTTGAATCAAAATTTAGAAAAACATTTTTGATGAATTGAATTTAATGAATTAAAATATTGAATGTCGTGGGAATAAAATATTATATAGGTTTCAACGAACTCTTTAAGTTTTGGTTCGTCCTTTAATGTCCATCTGTTGTTATTATCCAACCTTCGAAATTAACCCTTTTACTTGGAATATCGAGAAACGAACCCGCATCTGACATTGTGCCCGCGGCTCCTAAATTCTCATTTTTCTTATTCTAACCGAAAACTATATCGAAATCACGTCTGTAATTTTTAATCATTCATTTTTCAAAATAACCATTTATTTATTTCCTCTTCTTGCTGATATTGAGAAATTTTAATTGAAACTAAATTTTCACCTCATTGATTAAACGAAAATGTGGGATAATTAAAAAAAAAGTTTATGGAGATTTTTTTTTTTAATATTAACTCTAAAAAAAAAAATTGTAAAATTAAAAAAAAATAATTTTTCAATTTTTGTTTAAAAATTTTAATTTTTTCGTGAATAGAAATAATTGGAAAATAATTTTTTCAATTTTTTTAAAAAATATAATTTTATTTATTTTTTTTTTAAGAATAGAAATAATTGGAAAATAATTTTTCAATTATCTTTATTTTTATTATAATTTAATTTTTTCGGGAATAGAAATAATTGGCAAATAATTTTTCAATAAACTTTATTTTCAATATAATTTAATTTTTTTAGGAAAAGAAATAATTTTTTTTAACTCTAATTTTATATTTTCATTTTTTTCAAACATAGAAATAATTGGAAAATAATTTTTTTTTTTAAGTAACAAAAATAATTGTATCAGATAATTTTTCTATTAACTGCATTTTTATATAAATATTATTTTTTAGGAATATAAATAATTGGCATAGAATTTTTTTCAATTAACTTTATTTTTTTAGAATTAAAAATAATTGACAAATAGTTTTTTTTTTAACTTTATTTTTATATTTTCATTTTTTTTTAGGAAAAGAAATAATTGGCAAATAATTTTTCAATTAACTTCTTTTTTGATAATTTCATAAAAAATATAAATAACAATTTATTAAATTTAATAAATAATTTTCCAATCAACTCTTTCTTTTCAATATTATTTTATTTGTTTACTTATTTATATTTTGTTTGTTTTAGAAATAAAAATAATTGTGAACGGAAAAATTTACAAGGAGTGTGGCGAATATTGAAAAAGAAAAATTCGATCTGAAGTGTCACGAGCGCGGTATTTAAAATGACAACCTCTATTTAAAAAAAAAAAAAATAAAACGATTATTGCAGTAATTTTACACATCGGGTAAAGGAGGAAAAAAAAAGGATATTATTTTCTTTTTTCGGATAATAGTCAGCAGCTTAAAGGTAAAGAGTCAGCCGCCAGCTGTCGATGGCACGCGCCAGCGGTTTCAAAAAAAGTCAGGTGAGTGGTAACACCCGGCGAAGCTGGGGCCCAATGAACCAAGTATAAGGCCCAATTTTAAAAACATCTTTCCCTTTTTCTCCTCTTACTCTTTCTTATAAATGCTACTTTCCCTCAATAACATTAAATGCTTATAATTACGTTGCATTCTTTTAAATTGGAAATTATTCTCTTTTTTTTTTTTTTTATTTACCTTAGCAATTTTATTTGTACAATATATTTTATTACAAATTTTATTTTTATATTTTAATTATATTTTTATTTTTTATTACAAATTTTATTTTTAAATTTTATTTTAAAAAATGTATTTTTACATTTTATTAACAAATATTCGTTTAGTTTAAAATTATTCTTTTTTAATTAACTTAATTTACCATTTTTTTTTGTGTAATATAAATTTTTATTAAAAATTTTATTTATTTACATTTTATTAAAAAAATATTTTAACATTCTTTTAATTTAAATATTCTTTTCTATATTTATACATTAATTTGCAAATTTTATTTGTGTATTTATTACAAACTTTTATTTTTATATTTTTATTAAAATGTTTATTTTTAAATTTTATTTTTAAAAAAAATTTATTTTTATAAATTACAAACTCAATTGTGTACTTTTAACAAAGTTTTATAATTTTTTTTTTCCCGCCAGCTTAAAAAATAAAATAATTGTGAAATAATGGAAATTTTATTTTAATATTTTTTCTTTCAAAAAAAATTTTATTCTGTTTTTTATTTTAAAGAATAAATAAAAATGTCTCTTGTATTTTAATTTTTGAGAAAAAAAATTTCCATATATTTGGACAATTTTTTCTTTTTTTTTTTTTGCTTTTTTCAAGTGCGTAAGCAGAAATTATTATTTTCTTTTTTTTTTGTTTATACCTTTTTCATTGTAGCAACGTCTTTTCTTCATTAAGCGAGAAATTAATTTATTTTCATAGAGTCTTCTCTTTAAAGGAAATATAATTAAATTTTTTTTTCGTTATTATTAATTTTTTGTGAAAAGCAAAAAAAAAAAACTTTATTATAAATTTTTTTGTAAAATTGTATGTTCCATTTTTGTTATTTTTATTCCAAGACGTTATAGTATGTTTTCTTTATATTATTTTTTTTTTCTTAACTCTTCATTCTTTGCCCGTTGAACCAGAAAATTGACAAGGCATCCCTACGACCTCTGAACAAGTCTTGGATTCTTGTTACACGTCCAATTAAGTGACAACCCTTTCTAAAGTTCGCAAGGTGACGTTTAATTTCTAGTAGACTTATATTTTTTTCATTTTTTTTTCTCTCTTATTTCGTTGCTATACTATTTTTTGTATTTTCTATTTTATTTATTAAATAATTCATTTAAATTATTACGTTTAGATTTTTAATTTTTTATTTAATTCTATTTTTTTTATTAATTATAATAATTCTAAAAATGAAAATAATAATAATTACAATAATTAAAATAATAATAATTACAATAATTAAAATAATAATAATTACAATAATAAAAATAATAATACTAATTGTAATAATAATATAAATTGTTTAGTTTTTTTTAAGTACTCGGAAAAAAAAATTGTAAAATTTTGTAAAAGTACACAAAGGAGAAAATAAATCTAATCTTATAATACAAATAATAATAATAATAATTATTATTTATTTCAAAAATTTATTATTTTATAATAATAATAGAAATAACTGATAATAATTTTGTTTTTTTTTTTTTTTTTTTCATAAATTACATTTTTATTTTGTACTTTCAGTTCAAGGACACAAATTTCTTTTTGGAAGGAAAAAAAAAAAAGTGAAAGAATTTCCTGGTTATTAAAGATTTGCAACACTTTAAAGTCAAGAGCATATTTAAATAAAAAATAAAAAAAAGCAATAAAAGAGCTTTTTCTTTTCTTTTTGTTTATTTTTTTTTCTCTCTTTTATTTCTCTGCTCCAATTATGGTCTTCAAATGGATTTTTATAGACCCTGACCGTGGTTTATGACAACTTGAAATTTCTGCCAATTATCATCAAATAAGAAAAAAAAAAAAACAAGGGAAAAAAAATCCCATAAAACTTATAGCCTCAAGAAAAGTGAAGAACTTTTAAAAGACTCATTCAGAGATGATGTGGTTTCAATCATAATAGAGAGCCTTTTGGCCAAAGAGAATTTTTCCTTTGTCCATTTTGAATATTTTTCTCAAGAGTGTTGCGAGGAGTCGATTTTTGCAAAAAAAAAAAAAAATCCAATTGCTTCGGGCAAACTTTATAAAATACCTGAAGAAATATTTCCAATATAAGAGAGAGAGAGAGAGAGATATTATATTTTTCAAAAAGCGAGAAAAAAAAGGGAAAAATTGTCTCTCTTTTTCTCTTATGTGTGTGAAAATAGGTCGCACTTTTTCTAATTTATTATTATTTGAAATGGAAATTTTATTCAGCTCTGGGAAAAATTTTCTCCTATATACATATATATACATTGTAAACAAATTTTCCGACCCATTTGAATTTGCTTTTGTTTTTATTTTTACATCCGTTTCATTTGCATTTTATTTCCCGTCTTTTGACGGAATTTGGATATTTTTTTTTTTAGTACAGAATTGACGGTGATTTTTTTTTTTTTTTTGGCACTAGCGAACAGAGTCTACAGTTTTATTTTCAATCGAGTGCAATAGTGATGAGGGAAACAATAAATACGATGACGTATGTGAATGGGAACTTCCGACGTTAATAAAACGGAAATGGTAATTGCGACTATTGTACTATTGCCCCTTTTTTTTGTTATCAGTCCAATGACACCGAACTCTAAATTTCTTTCTGTATTTTTTTTCGAATTTTTTTTTTTTTCGTATAATTTTAGTTTTCCTCTGAAATATTGCAAAAATGTTTCAATTAATATTACGGTACAAAGGATTTTTATTTATTTAATATATTTTGATATTTATATCAATAAATAAAAATATTTTGTTTTATTTTTTTTTCTCAATATTTTACTGCAGCTAAAAATATTTCCAAATTTTTGAAAACGATTTTTAATGTTAATAATTTTTATTATTTCTATTCTTTTTATTATTTTATTATTCCTATTTTATTTATTTTTATTATTTCTATATTAATTAATTTTCATTTAATTAATTATTTTTTATTTCTATATTTAAATTATTTTTTATAGTATTTTTTTTATTAATTGTTATTTCCAATTTAATTATTTTTAATTATTTTATTATTTTTATTAATTGTTTTTTCCAATTTAATTATTTTTAATAATTATTTTATTATTTTTATTAATTGTTATTTCTATTTTTATTATTTTATTATTTTTATTATTTCTTTATTTTTTTATTGATTTTTATATTTAATTTCGTTTATGCGAATTTAAATTTTCTTTTTCTAATTTAACGTTTCTTTTGAAATTGAATGTTTTGAATTTCATTTTCAGGTGAGAGTGCGAAAAATATCCTTTAAGTGACACAAAGGAGTTTGGAGCTTATTCCCTGAAAAAGCTTCACTTCCCCATAGGTCAGAAGGTCACGCCACGATGGTTTCCACACATTTTTCTGTTCATTCTATATTACTCTCGGCGAGGTTTGACTTCCGATAGGAAGTTCCAGGCAAGAGGGTGAAATACTGCAGCTGCCTGCACTCAACGCTATATATATATATATATATATATACCAAGTAAATTGAGATAATTATCTTTAGCTTTTTAAAAAAAAAAAAAAATAATAATAATTTTCCCCAGCAATAACGAACTCTCTTCAACTTTGGTTTCGTAATTCAACGTAATATTAATTTAAATCATACATTTTTTTTTCTTTCATTTTATTAATTTTCCAACGAATCATTTTTTTCTTTCCAATATTTTTCATTAAGCAAACGATTTCCTTAGAAAAGAAGAACGGAAATTTGGTTCTATTTTTTTTTTCTATTAAAAAATTTATTTTTGCGAAAAAGGAAATTATTTTCACTTCATTGCAATCTAAATATAATTATATAAATTTATTGTAATAAAAATAACTAGAGTGGAAATCGATATTTTCTATAATAATGAAAAATATATTTTTTTCTCATTAACTGCAATTTGATTATTAATAATATAGAGGAATATTTTGAAATTGAATATAAAATTTTTGTTCCACTTTATTTGTTTAAATAAATTATGTTTTATTATTTTCTTTTTTGTACGTTAAATAAAATAATAAAATAAATTTATAAAATATTTAAATATTTAAAATTGAATAAAAATTTTACACTTTATGATTTTAATAAATTAATCATGTGTTTTATTTCCTTTTTTTTGTCGGTAAAATAAAAATAAAATATTCAAAGGAAATATAAAATAAAATAAAAAATAATTAATTAATAAATATAAAATATTCAAATTTTCATTTCTACTTTTTTAATAAATTAATCATGTTTTATTTCTTTTTTGTCCGTTGTCAAAGACTGACTGAATTCTTCAATTCTCTTTGACAAGGAAAATCTGCAAATTCAACAGTTTCTTTTTTTTTTTTCATCTGTTCAGTGTGCGTTAATCTAGAAGTCGTTAACGAGGGATTTTAAATCTTTAATGAAATGTCGAGTCAGCTTGAGAATGGCAAGAAAATGAAGAGACGAAAGTGAATATATATACACAGTCACAGAATATTCTCATTATTGGAGGTCATTAGATAATTTTTTTTTCCTTTTTATTTGTAAAAAAGTCTCCACTACTTCCCAGGGGATTTTTTTTTATCTTTCTAATTAATTTAAATATTCAATGAAAAAAAAAATTTGTTTTCCAAAGTCAATTTTAAAAAAAATTTTAGCAAAAAAATTAAATGAAAATTAAAAAAAAAAAGAATTTTTTTATTCTGACTCTCTGTGAATAAAAGGGAGTATAAATAAATTTTTTTTAATTGCAGGAATGGGATTCGCGCGCGGGAATGGATTGGGGTCTCATTCTCACATATATTTGTTCATTCTGCGAGTGTTGAAAGGGGGAGGGGGGAGGGAGAGAAAATAAAGGGCCATTTGGCAACAAAGAACGGACTTTGGCGTCGCTCCCACGATTTCTATGCATTATTAGCCTAGACTTTTGACCAACTCTGATCTTTCCGGTTCAACCCCCACGATCCTTCCCTTTTATATTGCTTTCGCGTTCGCATTTCTTTCGCTTCTTTTTTTTTTTTATTATATATATATATATATTGTCTTTTCCCTTTTTTTCTACTCGTTAGCAGAAAGTCGCATGTAAAGTGATCGTATCACTATTTGAAATAGGTATAAAGATCACCTTATTTTTTTTTCTCATCCTTTTTTTTGCGCTCTAAATTTGATAAAAAAAAAATAAATAAATTAACCAAAATTATTTTCTTTTTACAATTTCAAATTTAATAAAACTATTTTTTTAAATTTTTTTTCTCTTTGAAAAAATTTTATTTGAAATTATTTTGATTTTCTTACTTAATTTTTTTTTACACTTTCAAATTTAATAAAACTATTTTTTTAAATTTTTTTTCTTAGAAAAAATTTTATTTGAAATTATTTTGATTTTCGTACTTAATTTTTTTTTTACATTTGTTTAAAAGTTTTTTTTTTTTTTTTTTTTTTTTTACACAATTTTTTAAATTTTTTTTTATATTTAACAAAAAAAAAAAAAATATTTATTAGATATTTTTATTTTTTTTTACATCGAGTTTCAAAAATTTATTTTGAAATATATAAATTTATTCGCGTTTACAAAATAATAAAATATCCTTTTTGTAAACAAATAAATTTATATTTCAAAATAAATTTAAAACTTGAAGTAAAAATAAATTAATTTCTTTTTTGTTAAATCTAAAAAATAATGTACAAAATTATATGTAAAAAAAAAAAACTTTCTAAAAAAAATGTAAAAGAAATTTTAATGTAATTTTTCATTTATTTTGAAATATAATAAAATTTTTTTTAATTAAAATTATGAACTTACAAAAAAAAAATAAAATAAACGAGCTTTTTGGTACCAAAATATTAAATTAATAAATAATTAAGGAAATTTCAAAAAAGTAACAATATTTTTTAAAAACTAATTACTATGTAATTAAAATTTGTCATCTAATTTTAAATAATTATTTTCAATTATAATCTTTTAGATTTTATTTTATAAAGTTTTTTTCAGTTATTTTTTTATTTATTATTTACAATAATAATAATAAAAATAATAAAATAATAATAAAATAATAAAAAAAAATAAAATAATATTAAAAAAGATAATAAAATATAATAACAATAATAATAAAATTTTATTAATTTTAAGAGAAATTATATTATTATTGTATTAATTAATTATTATAATAGTTATAATAAAAATAATAAAAATAAAATAATAATAATAAAAATAAAATAATAATAATAATAATAATAATAATAATAATAATAATAATAATAAGCCGTAAAATTGTGAGAACTTACCTCGAGTAATAATATAATTGAAAAAATGAGAAAGAGCGCGGATAAAAATCCTTTTTTTGATCCCATCCTTGAAGTTCACGATGGAAAAGCAGCTTATCTTTTTCTTTCGATAAAGATTTTCTTTACACAAACTTTTTTCTATATATATATATATATTACTTTTTTTTCACTTCCGGTCTAAATTTTGCGAACAAAACTTTTTTTTTCCACTTTTTCACTCACTATTTTTTGAATTGAATTTTTCTTTTTATTCTTCAATTTTATTCCAAAATCCAATGATATTAGGAAAATTTTTCGAATTTTTTTTTTTTTTTTCCAGAATTGTTAAACAATTCTCTTTAAAGTCTTTTCACTATATGGAAAAATCCACCACATTTTATCGTTCACACCACTTGTTATAAAACTCAATATTGATTTCGTGGACCAAATTCTCAAAATAGAAACACTTTTCTTTTATTTAAACTGTGATCTCTTTCGGTTGCAACAATGTCTTTTTTTATAAATGAATGAATGTGTCTTTATATATAAATAGAAAGCTTTTAGTACAAATTGGAATTGAAAATTAGAATCTTCTTTTTTTTTCTCTGTGATAGTTATTTAATATTTTTTATTTATTTTAATGTTTTTTTTACAATTTTTTGGATAAATTTTGATGATTAATTTTTTTTTTTTATTTGAAATATTGAATTTGTGAAATTGAAATGAAAAATATGTTCATTTTTCTAAAGTATAAAGTGTTTTTGTTGTTTTTTTTTTAGGGGTGAATTTAAAAAATTCAGTACACATGCGAACTCTTTCCTCGAGGATCGCTTCTCGGAGAATGAAATGAGAGGAGCAGGAGAGGTTTATACACAGCTGCTGGTTGAACACGCGGTCTTTGATCACGTGGGAATAACACCCCCACCATTCACACCAATCATGGGGGTGAAAATATTACTCAGGTAAAATTGAAAATTATTTTCAAAAAGAGGTGAAAAATATTTTCAACTCTTTTTTTTTTTTTTTTACCAAAAAAAAAGGAAAATACTATTCATTGGATAAAATTAAAATTTATCATTCCAACTTTTTCAGATACAAAAGAAAAAATTGTTTTTAACAAACAAATATTTTTTTAACAATAAAATTAAATTCCGGATTATTTTTTTTTTTTTTTATTAAAAATAATAAATTATCAAAAGTTTTGAAAGTAATTGAAAACTTAAAGTTAAATTAAAAAAGTTAAAATGGAAAATATAAATGTTTGAAATACAGAAATAAATTAGAAAAAAACAGTTAAATTAATATTTAATTTTATAATTATTTCATTATTTTGGAAGTATCTAAAAAAAGAATTTGTAAATTTAATTGAAAAAAAAATTAAAGTTTAATTAAAATTTTAGATAAAATGAAAAAAAAAATTGAAAATAAAAAAAAACAGAATAGATTAGAAAAAATTTAAATCAACATTTAAATTTATAATTATTTTATTATTTTGAATTATTTAAAAAAATAAAATTATTTTTTATACAGTTGTAGTTAGTAAAAAAATTGATTAAAAAATAAATTATAAAAAACAGAATATGGATTTGAAAATTTAATATATTGAAAAATTAAATTAAAGAAGTTAAATTGAAAAAATGAAAAATATAAATTTTCAAAATACCTACAGAATAAAAAGAAAATTAAATTAATATTTAAATTTATAAATTATTTCGAAGTATTTAAATAAAAAACAAATTTTTTAGTAATTTTTTATAAAAATTATGTAAAAAAAAATTAATTATAAAAGAATACGATTTTTGTGGGAAAAATGATAAATTTAGAAAAATTAATACAATAATTAATAATTGAAATAAATACAAATGTTTTTTTTTTCTATATCTAAATGCATAATCAGAAAAGTTAGTGGAATATAAATTGGTTGTTTAAATTGTAAAATACCACAAGTTTTATGAGGCGGTTAATTTAAAAAGTTTGGATGAATTTAATATATGTATTATATAATATATATATACAAGTGAAATTGGATTTTATTTCGTTTTTAAATATTAAATTTCAATATGAAGATAAATTATTATTCTCCCCTTCGCTATTTTTTGAAGTATATATATATAACCAATCATGTATTTCGATAGCCGTCTGTCGCGTGGCATTACACCTGTCCCACAGTAGAAGCTGGCCTTCTGTCAGCTGCTCCCGTTTTGCTGCTGCATAGCAACTGAAGAAAAATGATAATGATTGTATAAATAAGAAAAATTATCATTATTTTCATCTTAAAAAAAAAAAAAAATTTATTTTTTCCCTCTTATTTTCTTTTTTGATCAATTCGTCTTGGAATATCAAAATGACATTGAAAAAAAGAAATAAAAATTTAATTTTTTTTTAAATTTAATTTTAATTTAATTCTTAATTTATTTTTATTTTTTTTATTTATTATTTTATTTAATTTAATTATTTTTCAATTATTCGATAAATAATTTTTTTTAATTTTTTTATTTTAGTATTTTTTTAAATAATTTTTTTTTAAAAGGAATTATATATTAAAACCTGTATGATGTGTGTTTGCATTTTTTTTTTTCACGGACAAAAAAATTTAAATTGAGGGTCTTACGAAAATAAATTAAAAGGATCGGGGAAAAATTTGCAATATTAAGATGTTAATTCATGCGCGTGTTCACAGAACCATGAGCACTTAAAAAGTACCACCTAAAAGGGTTGACTCCAAACCTCATTTCCTGTTGCGACTCTTTTTTTCGTTTTCTTTTTTTTTTTTTTTTGTACAAGTGCCCACTCGTTGAAACTTCAATTTAAAACCGAAATATTCGTATATACTAACGTTATAATTTTCCATCTTTTGGTTAACGTCCAATTAAAATGAAACATTTACTTTTGGTATTACTTTTAGATTTTTTTTTTTTATTATATAGTTATTAAATGGAAAACTAAAAGTCAGAAAAATGAAAAAAAGAAATTAAAAAGAATGTAAAAAATTTTAAAAATTTTTTAAATTTTAATTTTAATAAAATAATAAATAAAATTTTTGGTTTTTTTTAAAAAAATTTTTATTGAATTAAAAAAAATTGTCTTAATAAATAATAATAATAATAATAATAATAATAATAATAATAAATAAAAATTTTGGTTTTTTTAAAAAAAAATTTTTATTGAATTAAAAAAAATTGTCTTAATAAATAATAATAATAATAATAATAATAATAATAGAAAAAATTATAAAATAATAAAAAAAATGTAATGCAGAAAAATAATCAAATTATACAAATTTGTATCTTATTTTCGGCAGTGAAATTAGAATTTTAAAGTAGCAATTATGCCTATAACTGGTGTGAGAAAAAAGTCGCAGAATTAACATAATTAATGGAAATTAATTTTTAATTAAAAATTCACCTTTTTATATAATTCTATAGAGAAATACATTGAATAATCTAGTTTAGTTTTTCCATTTTTGCATAAAAATTTGCAAAAAAAAAAAAAGTTGAAATTACACTAAAATCATTTTATTAAATATAATAAAATCAGTAAATATTTACATATTATATTATTATATTAAATTTCCAAAAAATTATTTCCAATATTAATAATAACATACATTTAAAAACTCTTCTTCTCTCTCTACACTATATTGATTATTTAATTTTTTCTTTTTTTTTTTTTTTAAAAGAATTTTTTAGAACTTTCTATTTTTTTCTGTTTTATTTTTATCCTACAATAAAAGAGGAAAATAAAAAACGTTTTTTTTTTTAAATATAATGACATGATTACTAATGAAAGTATTATAAAAATAATTAAAATTTCTCATTTAAAAATTAAAACAAAATTAAAGTTGAAAATAAATATTTGTTTCTTGTTTAAATAAAAAGAAGGCAACTAAAATATTTTTTATTTAAAAATAAGATTCGCATTTTTATTTCTACCTTCGAAAATAGAAAACTATAATTTTTCTGTTTTTTTGTTCCAGAGTCAAATCAAATGAAAATTTACTGGATACGAAACAAGTGCTTCAGGCGATAGGGGATAGATTTTCATTTGAGATAATTAGAAGTTCATTTCGCTCGAGAAAATCTTTTTTCAGAGCAAAAAAAAAAAAAAAAGAAAAAAAACTATTTACGGTAAATTTTAAATTCTAAGATTTATTATTAGATTTCTGAAAGTTTTATAAATACACCCCCCCAAAAAAATGTTACATTTTTATTATTTAAAAAAAAAAACAAAAAATGTTCTATATTTTATTTATTTGGTTACACATGTATGAACTTTCGGCCTTTTACATTTCCCATACATAAATTAAATATTAATTTTCTATATATATACTTTTATTGATATTCTTGGTGGTCATTGATCTTCATTAATAATTTAATGTTTGATTTCACAAACAGTACAATATATTAACTCTAATTAATTTTTTCTCTTTTTTTTTTTTTTGCGAACAGTTTCAGCGCATGCTCATGCAGAAAATTGTGCGAATGCGTCGATCAATGCCAAAATGTATATATGAATAAGACATTCAAGAACAAGAAATATACTTTAGAAGTTAGTCATGTAATCGTATCTTGAGCTTTACGGAAGTTTGTTTTACAATTTTTTTCATTTCAATTGCAAAATTTTTTTGAAAAAAAAAAAAAAATTGGTAAGTTAATTTTTTGATTATAATCAAAATTTTATCAGAAAATTTTTTTTGTTTGAATAATGGTCGAATAGAAAATTTATCAATTGCTGATAAAGTAATTAAATTTAAACTGACAGTTCACAACAATGTCTCGCTCTATTTATTATCACTTATTCAGAAATTGATTTTCATTATTTCAAATTAAAAGTTTTTATTTTTATTTGTCATTGGTTTTTTGTTTTCAATTTTTTATTAACATTTTTTTTTTTAAATTTAATTTATTTAATATTTTGTTTCTATTCTAATATATAATTTATGAATAGAATAAAAAAATTTTTAATTTACAAATCGCAAACTAAATTTTTCTATTTTTTACGTTACTCTCTTATTTATAGTTTATTTATTTTGTATTTCGTTTCTATTTTTTATTTGCGTTTTTTTTTTTACTCTTTGCGTCACAGGAAAATTATTTTTATTATTATAAACTTTAAATTAAAAAGAAATGAAAATTATTTAATTTTTAAATAATCAAATTTTTTTTATTTTATTGTTTTATAATTTATTTATTTTCTATTTTGTTTTTATTTTTAATTTACATTTTTTTCAACTTTTCGGGTCACAAATGAAAAATTGTTTTTAATATTAAAAAACTAAATTTTTAAAAAATTACAATTTTTTAAAAAATCAAAAATTTTTTTATTCTCTTTTTTATAATTTATTCATTTTGTATTTCGTTTCTATTGTTTATTTGCGTTTTTTTTTTTTTACTTTTTGCGTCACAGAAAAATTATTTTTATTATCATAAAAAAACTTTAAATTAAAAAGAAATGAAAATTATATAATTTTAAAAAAATCAAATTTTCTTACTTCATTGTTTAATAATTTATTAATTTTCTATTTTGTTTTTATTTTTAATTTCCATTTCTTTTTTTTTTTAACTTTTCGTGTCAGACAAAAATTGTTTTTATTATTATAAATTTTAAATTAAAAAGAAATGAAAATTATTATTTAGTGAATCGTAAATTCTTAACTTTTTACACTTTTTTTTTTTCACCAAACACGTTCTTTAGCGGAAAATTTAGAATCTAAAATTCATTTTATGAAAGATACAAGTAATTTAAATTTTTAATTTTTGAATGAAAATCATTTATTGAATCAACTTTCTGTTATTGAGAAATATGCAACTGTCACGTTCAAGGCCATTAATTTCCTTCATTCTAACAAAAATATAAAAAAAAAAAAAAAATTATAGGATTCCTTGTCCATGACAAAGTAAATGTGAATTATGAATAACAAATGAGAAATTAACAATCTTTTACATTTTTTTATTAGAAAAAATTCATTTTTCTTTTCAAATATTGTTTCTAATATCATTAAATGAAAAATTTATTTTTTTTTTTATAAAATAAAACATAAATAAATTATTATAAAATATTCTTATATAGAAAAGGAGAAAAAGATTTAATTTCAATTTACATTGTAAATTACTATTACATTATAATTATACCTTTTTCTTCTTTTTCTTGTCGTAATCACAAAGACATATATTATTTAAAATTTAATTCTATCAAAATTACAATCTCTAGTTAATTTTCCCAGAGAAATTTTTTTTTTTTGCCTTTTAATTTAATATTTAAATTTCAATAATAAATAGTAAAATATGAAACACAATTATAAAAATTATTTGTCAATGTGTTAAATAAAAAATACATCATCAAAAATTTGTGATTGTAGATAAAATTTAATCGTTCATTCTTAAAGTCAACTTGATAAAAAATGTATTAATGTATTAAAAATGTATTATTTCTTATTAAGGATTAAAATTTATCATTGAATTACGAATTTTTATCATCGCAAATTATCAAAAAAAAAAAAAAAAAAAAAAAATGTATTTCAATATTTTTTCATGTTTATTTTTCAAAAAAAAAAAAAGAGATTATTTTTAAAAAATATTTTAATTATCCTATATTCTGTTTTAAAACTTTATGGTTTAAAAAAAAAAAAAAAAAAAAAAAATTCTGTAGCAACCTTTTGTTGCTTAACATGAATTGAAAATAATAGTAATCTTGTTTTGCTCATGGTTACGAGAGGACATTGTGACAATTTCTTTGCGGCAAATGTAATAATTCAGAGCTAAGCATAAAACAGACCATCCCATTATCAGTATAATAGTTAGCAAGGACTGAGTTCCAACTATACAGTGTTTCACTTCATTTCTCATTTTTCGTATGATAATTTTTCTTTATTTTTCTTATTTTTTTTAAATTCTATTTCTCTATTATTTTCTTTTTTCAAAATTTAATTCCTAATTTTATTCGATTCTCAATAATTTCTTTTTTTCTCAATGAATATAATTAATATAAATTTTTTTGCTTGCAGTTACAACAATTATTCAAAATTAATCAAATTTTGATTAATTTTTGAAAATAAATGAAGGAGGAAATTTGTTCCCAAATGGCAGAAATTCCAAATATTCTCTCATTCTCGGAAAGTACAAATTTTTATAAACAAGTGGATAAAGATAATTGTAATAAAAACAAAAGTGAAAACAATAATTTGTGCAATGAAATTAAAAAGCAAATGGAAACAAAAATATTCGAAAATAAGGAAAATTCAAGTGATAATAATAATAATAATAATTTAAGGAAAGAAGAAAAATATTTATTGAATATTCTAAAAAATTTAAATAATGAAAAATTCACAACTAATAATTTTAATAAAAAGGAAAAAATCGAATTTTTAACCAATCATATTAAAACAGAAGTGAATGATTGTAAAAATGGATTTCAAATTTTACCTGACGATATGATACATTTATTTGTTGCAACAAATTTTGAAGTTGATTATAATAGATCATCTGATATAAAACCAAATTGGCTTGATATGGAAAAATTTAAACGTGGTCAAAAATTTGCAATGGATTATTTTTTTGGTGTATCTTATGCACAATTATTGTCATTATTTATATTATTTGCCTTTGAAGATGGTGTTAAACCATTGATATTTACGGAAAAATCCAGTACTCCTTATACAGCATTTAAGAGGTAAGATTTTTATTTTTAATTCCCAATTGAAAAAAAAAAAAATTTTTTTTTTGTTTACACCCAAAATTTTCAATATTTTATTTTTAAAACATTTTATTATTCTTAAATTTTTATTAAGAAATTATTTCCAAAAATTCATCAAAATTAAAATTTTTCAACAATTAATAGAAAAAAAAAAAAATAAACAAATTTCTTCGATAAAAAATTTAATGATAATAATATTTTTTTTTTGAACATTTACAACATGAAAACAATTTCCAAAAAAAGAAAATGCTTTTTTCTGAATATAAAAATATATTTTCTAGAAAATTACGAATGGATTTGAAAATCTTTCAATTTTTATGAAAAATTAAAAATCAAAATATTTTAGATAAAATAAATTGAAAAATTAAAATAAATAAAATAAAATATTTGATTAATTATTTTTCAAATTTTTTTTTACAAATTAAATTTAATTATTAATTAATTGAATAACAGTTTTTAATAATTGAAATTTATTTTTATAATTTAATTAATTAGTATTTTTTTTTTTCTTTAAAAAAATGAAAAAATACACAGTTGGACTAATCTATTATCCGTTTCTTTGTCTGATTCTTCCTTAAAAATAATGTTGTTGAATTTAAAAATAAAATTTCTTAAGACAAAGAATCGTTAAAAAAAAGTTTGTTCAACTGTGTATTTTTGTATTTTAAAAGAGAAGATTATTTAAATCTTAAAAAAGCTTTGGCGAAATTTTAAAGAATTTAAAAAAATTTTAAAGAATTAGAAATTGTATTTAAAACAAATTTAAAAGATTTTTTTGATAGGAAACTATTTAGGTAAATTATTATCATTATTTTATTAATATTCTTATTAAATTCACTTTATTTTAAATTTCACGATAATAATAATAATAATAATAATAATAATAATAATAATAATAAAAATAATAAAAATAATAAAAACAATATTAGAATATTTATTATTTTAAACGATAAATTTATTGTATTATAAAAAAATTATATAATAATAAAATGCTTGATCTGTCCTTCTGTCCTAACTTGAAGTTGGCCTTTTCTGATTTCACGTGTTTTTTTGAATGTAGTAATCTTATGACGTGTCAAATTTTGACAATTCTTTTTCTCATTTTTGCCAAAGTTGTATAATTGTGTTTCCAAATTTCGGAATAAGTTTCTTTAAAATTCCAAATTCGAAAATTCGTTTACCAACGAAATTTTTTTTAAAGTTGTACATTGATTTAAAAATTGTATACAAATACAAAAAATTTATGATGAGAAAAAAGATGCGCCAGGAAATTTCGTACAAGATAGTAATTTGAAAAAAATTAATTTTTAAAAATTAATTTTTAAGGTACCAGGGGCCAACGAATACCTATTAAATATTAATTATAAAAAAAACAGGCATCGAATCAACTTAAAGACACAAAAAAGTCGTTTTAGTCGATTTATATTCCAAAAAAAAGTGGATTTGTTTTTTATTTTAACAAAAATATTTTACAGATTTTTAAATAAAAAATTTTTTTTTTAATAATAATACTTTTCGAAGGGTTAAAGTTGAAATTTTTAGAAATTATTAAATTTCAAAAGATATTGTTAATTTTCAAACAATTATTAAATTTTACAGAAATAAAAATAATTTATCAAAACAATTTTTGGAAAACATTTTTTAAATTTAATTGAATTTTCAAAGATTTAAAATTGAGATTTTTGAAATTAATTGAAACTTGTAAGTGATTTTTAATTAAAATTTTAGATGATTTCACTAAAAATTTATTAGAAAATGCGGACAAAATACAATAATTTGAAAATCATTTTTAATTGAAAAATGGTTTCAGATAGTTGAATTTTCAAAGAATATTATTAAAATAGTTAAAAAATAATTGAATTTCCTTAGAGTTATAATTGAAATTATTAAATTTCAAAAAAAAAAATTTTCGATGGAAAATTTTTAGAAATAATTAAATTTTAGATGCTTTTAAATTCAAATTATTGAAAATTCAATTAATTTTGAATTCAAATTTTTGAGAATAATGAAATTTTATTTGATTTTAAATTGAAAACTTGGTAAATAATTAAATTTTAAATTAAAAATTTGGGATAATTATTGAATTTTAATTAATTTTGAATTAAAATTTCGGGTAATAATTGAATTTTAGTTTATTTTGAATTGAAATTTTTAAAAAATAATTCAATTATAGATGCTTTTAAATTCAAATTATTGAAAATTCAATTAATTTTGAATTCAAATTTTTGAGAATAATGAAATTTAATTTTGATTTTAAATTTGGAAAATAATTGAATTTCAGTTCATTTTGAATTGAAAATTTTGTGAAATAATTGAATTTTAATTGAAAATTTGGATAATTAATTTTAAATAGTAATTTTAGAAAATAATTGAATTTTATTTCATTTTAAATTGAAAACTTGGTAAATAATTAAATTTTAAATTGAAAATTTTGGATAATTATTGGATTTTTAATTGATTTTGTATTAAAATTTTGGGTAATAATTGAATTTTAGTTTATTTTGAATTGAAATTTTTAAGAAATAAATCAATTTTATTGTGATATTTTTTTTTAAATTATAAACAATTGTTAAATTTCATAAAAATTTGAATTGAAAAATAATTTTAATATAATTAAATTTGTGATGTATTTCATTAAAATTATAAAAAATAATTAATTTAGTGAAGAATCATTTTAGTTCAAAATTTGTTAAATAATTGAATTGAAGAAGTTCTGAAGAAGATCTACATTTTATACTAAAAAAATGTATTTTATTTACATTTTGTTTCAAATGTAAAAAAAAACTGTCGCATTTTATTAAAATAAGTCGATAAAAGTCGTATTTTTGAAAAAAGTCGGAAAAAATCGTATAATTCGAGGCCTGTAAACATATAATTTTCATTATTATCATTTAATATGTAATAATATTCTAAAAAATTAAATTATTATTGATAATATTAATCTTTAATTTCTTTATAACAAACAATTAAATACTCAATTTGGCGCGCGTTTAATTTTGCTAGTTTTCGAATAAATAGAAATTATAATTAAAAAAAAAAAAAAAAAAAAAATGATATCTTTTTTTCATTCAGATATATTTCAACTGGACAGCGTGTTAGAAATTGGTATACAAAAGATCCATGGACAAAAAATACAGCAGCCTATAATGACATTCAAACAGTAAGAAAAATGCATTCAGCTGTTAGGCAAAAATTAAAAAATACTGATAATAAAATAATTGATGAAAAAACTAAAATAAAAAATCCCACATGTCCAACGAGAGATATTCTTGTTGAAGATTTTCAATCATCATGTCCTGCACCTAAATTAGGACAATGTCCATATTTACTTTACAATAATCCCGAACTCTATTCACTTAGACCAAAGGGATTAAATCAAGCCGATATGGTATCAACACAATTTGGTTTTATGGGATTAATTATTTTATATCCCAAATATTTTGGTATTTTTTATGCAACCGAGGATGATTTAGAGGCATTTTGTCATCTTTGGCGTGGTATTGGATATCTACTTGGAATAGATGATGAGTTGGTATTTTTTTGTTACTAAAAACAAAATTAATTTTTTTTTTTTTTTGCTAAATTAATTTTTTTTTTTTTTTGCTAAATTAATTTTTTTTTATAATTTATTATGATTTATAAATAACTTTTTTTTAAACGTATTTATTTGATTTTGTTTAAAATTCTTATTTATTAACAAAAATTGAATAAAATAAAAATTATTATTTTTAATAAATAATTAATAAAAATTATTATTTTTAATAAATAATTAATAAAAATTATTATTTTTAATAAATAATTAATAAAAATTATTATTTAAAAAAAAAATATTTAATAAAAATTATTATTTTTGTTTAAACTAGATTTAATTTTTGTCGTGGAACATTGAATGAAGTTAGAGAACGATGTAGAAATTTTTTGGAATATTGGGCAAAACCAAATTTTCGTGAATTGACACCTGAATGTGAACATATGATGAGATGCGTTGTTGAGGGTTTGAAATATTATGTACCCGGTAATTATTATGAAACTTGTGTTTTATATTTAGCAGAAATTTTAAATTTACACACGCCCAGATTGTATTCGTCGTTAACGTACAAAATTTGGATGAGACATCTTTTTTTGAAGTAAGTTAAAATGATTTTTTTTTTTTAAACAAATATTTTCTTTTTCTTTTTTTTTTCTTGAACGAATAATTTTTTTAAAACAAATATATTTTTTTTTTTTAAAACAATTTTATTCATTTATTTATTTAATTAATATACGGAAGTAAAAAGTAATGTCAAACAAATTTTTTGTTTTTTTAAATTGAAATATATTTTTTAATTAATAATTAAATTTTTGGATAAGTATAGAAGAAATTTTGCTATTTCAAAATTTATTGTAAATTTTTATTCTCCATTATTGTAAAATTATGAAAAATAAAATTGTTTTATCAGCAAAATTATTGAAATATAAAATAGAAAAAGTGAAGAAAAAAATTTTGATTAATTGTAAATTAAATTAAATTTATATGCTGTGTAAAATTTTACAATTTTCATTTTTTGTTCTAGATTTTTGTATCAATATGGATGTCAAGTGCCTGCAGTAGTAACGTCATTAAATGGAAAAATTAATATTGCATTGGATAATGCTTTAAATTATAGTGCAGAAAAACACGAAGAATTAAAAAAAAAATCTGAGGAATTGTTTAAAAAAAATATAGAATAACATAGTCTAGTCATCATTTTTTGCTTTGTTCATATCATTGCCAAAAATTATTTTTAATAACAGCATAATGTGGCAATAAAGAGAGGAAGCTTAAAAAAATAATAATTTTATAAATATATAATAATATATATTTGTAATATATATTTAGAAAAAAAAATAGTTAATATACTACTGCCTGTGATATTCACAAATTTATCAAATTTGTTTGCTAAACAAAGTTTTAATTTGAAATATAATTTTACAAATTTTTATTTAATTAAAATAAATAAAAATTTTAAATTAAATAATCAAATTCAAATTAAATCAAATAAATAAATAAATAATAATAATGTATAATATAATATTATTTGTTTTTTTTAAAACAAATATTTTGTTTTTATAATAATAATATAACAATTTTTTATAATTAAATAAATAATCTTTATATTACTCTGTACGAATGGGCTTTGCCCGTATATTTTCAATAAATAAATAAATAAATTTGTCATTTTGTTTTAAATCTCCAAATTTTCACAGTAATTAAATTATTTGTAATAATTAAATATTATCATAAGAAAAATGTTATTTGTTTACAAAAAGAATAAAGAGCTAGAAAAAATGTGATTCTTATTTTACGCAAATAATTTTCATTTTAAATAGATTCATTGATTTTGTTTTCATATTTTTAAATTTGGAATCTATTGAGTTTTGGCGGCAAATAACGTGTCACGTGACTTTTATAATTTACAAGTTTTCCAAAAATTGGACAAATTTCAATCATTTGAATATACAGTGCATTAAATTTACCAATTTAACAAATTTTTTTGGTAAATTAAGATGAAATTTAATGTAAATTTGAATTTTTTCCAAAAGAATTGGGAATTATTTCAATATTTATTGCATGAAATATCGAAATTCAAAGTTAGATCGAACAAATTTTTTATATCGCCAACTTCATGGTATACGCCATTTGCAATTGAATTTTCAATCTTCTTTTGTTTGGTGCATGGTGCCGGCAGAATAGAGTTTACAGTGGTTTTTGTTAAAGTTTAACAGTTGTTTTTAATGTGAATTAGTGTAAAAAAATGATCTGTAAGGAATAATTGTACTATAATCTCTTCGAAGACCAAAAAAAAAAAAAGTAAGTACTTCTTTTATTTCATTTTGTAAAATTGAATTTTTCATCTCATTTTTGTTGACCATGTGCTGACAAATTTTTCTAATTCAACCGATAGTAGTGTGTTATTGCTCGGGTATTGTTGTAATTTTCTATTCTTACAATATCAACAAAATGATCTGTTAAGAATAATTTATTTTTTAAGACTAAATCGCCTTTTTATTTCTTTGAAACTTTAGTATCATTTTCGCATTCGTATTTTACACTGTTTTTTTTTTAATTTTTGTCATTTAAAATATAAATTACTTTTTCCAATTAGTATTTGATTTTCAGAAAAAAAAAATTATAATTCTTTATTATTATAAACTATTTTCCAGTTTATTTGCTAGGATTTTATTCCGAACATAACCTAAAATTTCAATTTTGCAAATTTAAAGTTATCAATTTTTTTACATGTAAATTTTATTTTTTAATTTTTTTTTACAAATTAAATTGTGATAAAATATTCTATTCCTCGAAATTCGAGTGAAATTATTTATTTTTTTTTTTATTGAAAAACAAAATTTTTTGCGATAAAAAATATTTATTATTTTATTTGATCTTTTTTTTATTGTTATTATTATTATAGTTTAATATTTTGAAAATATATTACAAATATAATTTATACAAAAATGTTTGTTTAAAATTTCACTCAACTTTAAATTTATCAAAATTTTCTTTTTTCTCATATATCGAAAGATTAAAAAAAAAAAAATGGATCCCCTCGATCTGTTTAAACCAAATACGTCTTTTAAACGAGTTTACATGGAACCTCGAACAAGTCAAAAATATGTTCCAACAAATATGGATGCTATCGATCGAGAATTAGAAATAACAAATCCTCGTCAAATTCATGAAAGAAAAGAATATGCCGAAGAATATGTAAAAGCAGAAGAACGAAGAATGCTTGAGGTAATTTTATTTTTCTAATATTCAATACAATTTTTATACAAAAAAAAATTAAAAATTAATTAATTTAACTTCTATAATAAAGAATTTAATAACTTAATAAAAAAAAAATTTTAATCTAGTAATAAATATAATTTTTAATAAAAATTAATTTACAAAAAAAAAATGGTTAATTTCTAAATAATTTTACAGGTTTTTAAATTTTGAAATTTTTTTTGTATTTAAAGTACAATTTTCTTTTTTATTTTCGTTATAGTATTATTTATCTCTTTTAATGAATTTTTTTTCAAATTATGATTTCAATTTTTTAATTTAAATGAATTTTTCAGGAGGCAAGCTTTTTTGATAGTCAAGATAAAACGAAAAATTTTGATGAAGTTTCACGTGGTACATTGCCAGTAATGCAAGAAATTCAAAATGAAGAATTAACGAAAATTTATAAAACCTATAATTTTGCTTATCGTAAAAATGAAAGTCTCACAATATCGTCGATGCAGGATAAAATTATTTCAATGATTGAAACAAATGCCGTAGTGATAATACAAGGACCAACTGGATGTGGAAAAACAACACAAGTTCCACAATTTTTATTAGATAATAGTTTTCGAAAAAAAGTTCCATGCAATATAATTGGTGAGTTCTTTTTTTTTTTTTTTTTTTTTTTTTTATTTTTAATTTCAAAACATTGATCATACAATTCCTAATTTGTTATTTTTATACTAGAAATATGGAGAAATAGTTGAATTAGTGAAATTTTAATCTATATCTAAAAATTAATCAATTTTAGTTTCAAGTTATTTGAATTTTTAATTTTTCCAAAAAAAAAATATTTTATGTTATGAATTTCTAAAATTCTCCATTTTTTATTTTATTTTTCTTTCCTTCAACATTATAATTCCTTAATATTTTTATTTTCTATTTATTTTCTAAAATTGTAATGTTTTTTTATTAATCTTTTTTAATTTGTCCTTCACATTCTCCTAAATTTTATTTATTTATATGCATTATAGTTTTTTGGTTTTGTTAATAGTTTATTACAATTTTTTTTTTTTTTTGATAAATAATCAGGGTTGCCGCGAGTTAGGGAAAAAATCAATTATTTCTAAAATTCTTACAATTAGTTAAATTAATTATTTTTCAGTAACTTTAATCAAATTTTAGAAATTTAATTGAATTTTGAAGATTTCTTTTTTGATTAAAAATTATAAAATTCGTGGATAATTTTGAACAAATTAAATTTACGAAGATTTTCATTAAAAAAAAAAGAATCTTCAAAAATTCAATTATTTTAAATTCTCTATAATTTATTTATTTATTTAGATAGATAATTTAATTACTTTTTGAAAGATGTAAATAATTTTGAATACAAATTTACAAAAATTTAAATTTTAATCTCCTGAAATTCAATTATTTCTAAAATTCTTACAATTATTTTTCAGTAACTTTACTTTCTTTTTTGATTAAAAATTATGAAATTCGTGGATAATTTTGAACAAATTAAATTTACGAATATTTCATTTAAAAAATCTTCAAAAATTCAATTATTTAAAAAAAATTTAGAATTAGTTAAATTATTTTCAAAAATTTAATTATATTTAAAATATTTTTCAATTAAAACTTCTTTATAATAATAATAATAAATTTAATTAATTTCAAGGCTGTTAATCAATTTTTCAAAATTTCAATTATTTTAAACAATATTCAATTAAATTTTTTTCTAAATATTTACAAAAATTTCAGTAAAAAAAAAAATTCAATTTTCAATTATTTTTAAAAATCTTAACTGTAACTCTTCAAAAATTAAATAATTTCTAAAATTCTTACAATTAAATTAATTATTTTCATTAACTTTTATCAAGTTTTTTAAAAATTCATTTTTTTAAAACATTTTTCAATGAAAAATTCTTTATAATTTAATTACTTTTTGAAAGATGTAAATAATTTTCAATAGAAATTTACAAAAAAAAAAAATTTAATTTATAATCTACAGAAATTCAATTATTTCTAAAAAAAATTTCACTAAGTTATTTTTAGTCAATAACATTTTAATAAAATCGACTTTTTCGACTTTTCTTGTAATCCAAATTGATTAAAACAACTTTTTTTGTGGCTTAAAGTTGATCTGAGGCCTATAAAAATGTTACAAAAAATTTTAATTGAAATTTTTTCCTTCTAAAAATTAATTTATTAATTTCTTATAATTAAAAACTTCTTGAAATTTTTTCATCAAAGTCAGGCAAAACATTAAAATTTTAACTGAAAATCAGGAAAAAAACAAAATCAAATTTTTGTGGTAACCCTGATGATAATAATAATAATAATAATAATAATAATTAAACGAGAAATGAAAATTATAATTAAAATTAATAATTCTCGTTAATAAAAATGTTGTACATAAATTTAATTAAATGGAAATTCAGTGTAATGAAAATATTGTTAAGTTTAAATATTTCGATAAAAGAACAAATGTTTTAAATAAAAATTTCTTTTCTATAAATATTTTGCTAAATATAAATTCTGTTAAATAAAAATACAATGAACTAGAATATCTACTGTGTAATAAAAGTTCGACAATTTATCTTAAATTAGAATTTAAATTGTTCGATACGAATATATTCGATTCATTATAAAGTTTACTTTGTAAAATTCTAAATACAAATTTTTTTTTTAAAAATACCTTTTTCCAATTTTTAGTAACACAACCAAGAAGAATTGCAGCAATAAGTATTGCAAATCGAGTAAGCAAAGAAAGAGATTGGCCAATTGGTTCATTGGTTGGTTTTCAAGTTGGAATGTACGCAACAATATCACAAGATACAAGATTAACATATTGTACAACTGGTGTACTATTGCGTAAATTAATAAATTCAAAAACAATGCTCGACTATACACACGTTATTCTCGATGAGGTTCATGAACGTAGTCAAGAAATGGATTTTCTTTTACTTGTTGTTCGTAAATTATTGCGAACAAATTCACGTCAAGTAAAAGTTATTTTAATGTCAGCGACAATTGATGTTGATAAATTTGCATCATATTTTCAAAGTCCAGTTATGAATAAATTGGCCGATGCACCAATTGTCGATATTATAAAACGTAATCGTTATGATGTGAATATTTTCTATCTTTGTCAAATGGGATCAATTGCTCCAGTAAATAGATTTTTTTCTTTCTTTCTTTTCAAAATTTTTTTCTTTTAACTTATGTTAATTTATTGATTATAAATTTTTGGAAATTGATTTTAGTTACCTGAAGTATCAATGGATGAACCGCGAATAACAAAGGAAATGATGCAATTTTGTACGAAATTAATAATTGTCTTTGATACAATTGATAAGGATAGTCAGGAATATGTTTCTGGTGATGAGAAAGATGAGGAGGATGATGATGAGGATGATAATTCTTATAAGCGTCATGTTGTTCTTGTTTTTTTACCGGGTATTTATGAAATTGAAGAAATGCACGATATGTTAAAGGCGCCAAATCAACAAGAAATGAAATGGGATATTGTTGTTATGCATTCGTCAATAACAAGAGATGAACAGGAAAATATTTTTAAAAATCCACCAAAAGGATATCGACGTATTATACTCTCGACAAATATTTCCGAGAGTAGTATCACTGTACCTGATGTTAAATATGGTATGTAGTTTTTCTTTTTTAACAGAATTTCTGTTTCTATTTTTTACAAATGAAATCAAATATTTCCAATAATTACAATCTATTTAAAGATTAATTAATTTTTAAATTATAGGAATTTCAAATTGTCCTCGTAATTTCAAATTATCTGAATTTTAATTTATACAAATAATTTAATTCGAATCTATTTTTAAGAAAAAAGAATCCCTGACAAAAAAAAACTGAAAGTTGATGCTTTTTTAAATTAAATAATATTGTTCTTTTGGTACAGTAATTGACTTTTGTCTCACGAAACAACTCGTAATGAATTCAATAACAAATTTTCAATCACTGGAACTTGTTTGGGCAAGTAAAGCAAATTGTGATCAAAGAGCGGGACGAACTGGTCGAGTGATGGCCGGTCGTGTTTATCGATTAGTTCCAAAATTATTCTACGAGGTAATTCATTTAATTTCCTTAATTTACAAAAAAATCTCTTTATTTTCTTTCTTTTTAAATTATTTATTTATTAAAATGAATGTTTAAGAAAACTTTTTTGTGAAACAATGATTTAAAAAATTCGTAAAAATATATATATTTTTTTTTTTAAGGAATTTTCCAAAGACAGTGATCCAGAAATGTTGCGTGCACCACTCGAGACACTTGTTTTGAATGCAAAACTTTTAGATATGGGCGAACCAAAAGAATTATTGGCACTTTCAATGGATCCACCTGATTTATCAAATTTAAAACGTACAATAAAATTATTAAAAGAAGTTGGCGCTTTATATAATATTGATGAGAATTTTAGCGAAAGCGATGGTGAATTAACGGATCTTGGTAGAATAATGGCAAATTTACCAGTTGATATTAGAATATCAAAATTAATTGCACTTGGTCATGTTTTTAGTATTTTACATGATGCAATTATTATGGGCGCAACAATGGCAACTAAAAATTTATTCAGTAATCCATTTCAAAAAAAACTCGAGGCATATAATACAAAAATTGATTGGGCCGATACTTCATGTAGCGATTGTATTGCATCACTTAACGCTTACAAGGTAAAATTTTTTTTTTCTTGTTTTTTTTGTTTACTATTTTTGTTAGATTTTTTTAAAGTTTTTTTTTTCATTTTATTTTATTTATTATATAATACATTATATATTATCAGGATTGACATTTGTTAGGGGAAATTAGGAAAAATTTATGGAATTTTATTAAAAAATTATCTAAAATTTATTTAAAATTTCTAAAATTGTTTTCTAAAATTCTTAGCTAAATTAATTATTTTTTAATAATTTCTTTTTTTCAAAAATTTAATTACTTAAAAATTTTTCAATTAAAAATTTTCTATTTAAATTATAATCTTTAGAAATTCAATTATTTTTAAAATTGTTTTTTTAAAATTCTTATCTAAATGAATTTTTTTTTAATGATGTTAATCAAGATTTTCCAAAAATTCTATTATTTTAAACAATATTCTATTAATAAGTTTTCTAATAATCAATTTAACAAAAATTCCAATCAAAAAAAAAAAATATTCAAAATTCAATTATTTCTAAAATTCTTACAATTATTTTTCATGTAACTTTAATCAAATTTTACAAATATAATTGAATTTTGAAGATTTCTTTTTTGATTAAAAATTATGAAATTTGTGGATAATTTTGAACTAAATTTACGAACATTTTCATTAAAAAAAAAAAAATCTTCAAAAATTCAATTATTTAAAATATTTTTCAATTTTAAATTCTCTATAATTTATTTATTTATTTAGATACATAATTTAATTACTTTTTGAAAGATGTAAATAATTTTGAATACAAATTTACAAAAATTTAAATTTTAATCTCCTGAAATTCAATTATTTCTAGAATTGTTTTTTAAAATTCTTGTCTTAATTAATTATTTTTAATAATTTCTTTTTTCAAAAATGTAATTACTTAAACATTTTTTAATTAAAAATTTTCTATAATTTAAATTATAATCTTCAGAAATTCAATTATTTTTAAAATTGTTTTTTAAAATTCTCATCTAAATTAATTATTTTTTATGATGTTAATCAAGATTTTTCAAAAATTTTATTATTTTAAACAATATTCAATTAATAAGTTTTCTTATAATCAATTTAACAAAAAATCCAATCAAAAAAAAAATATTCAAAATTCAATTATTTCTAAAATTCTTACAATTATTTTTCAGTAACTTTAATTTCTTTTTTGATTAAAAATTATGAAATTTGTGGATAATTTTGAACTAAATTTACGAACATTTTCATTAAAAAAAAAAAAATCTTCAAAAATTCAATTACTTAAAATATTTTTCAATTTTAAATTCTCTATAATTTATTTATTTATTTAGATACATAATTTAATTACTTTTTGAAAGATGTAAATAATTTTGAATACAAATTTACAAAAATTTAAATTTTAATCTCCTGAAATTCAATTATTTCTAAAATTGTTTTTTTAAAATTTTTATCTAAATTAATTATTTTTAATGATGTTAATGGAATTTTTTAAAAATTTAATTATTTTAAACAAAATTCAATTAAAAATTTTCTAAAATTCAAATTACGTTTTCAAATTCATTGATAATTTTTGAACAAAATAAATTTAGAAAAATTTCAATAAAAGAAAAATCTTCAAATTCAATTGTTTTCAAAAATTATTACTTGTTCTAAAATTCAATTATTTCTAAGAATTTTACAATTAGTTAAATTATTTTCAAAAATTTAATTATATTTAAAATATTTTTCAATTAAAACTTCTTTATAATAATAATAATAAATTTAATTAATTTTAAAGTTGTTAATCAATTTTTTAAAATTTCAATTATTTTAAACAATATTCAATTAAATTTTTTTCTAAATATTTACAAAAATTTCAGTAAAAAAAAATCTTCAATTTTCAATTATTTTAAAAAATTCTTTAACTACTTTTCCAAATTTCAATTATTTCTAAAATTCTAACAATTTGTTAAATTAATTATTTTCATTAACTTTTATCAAGTTTTTTTTTTTTTTTTTAAACGAATTTTAGGAAATTTTTTTTGGATTAAAATTTGAAAAAGAAATTTAATTTATTGAAAGTTATTTTATTAAAATTTTTTTTTTTTTTCTATTTTTTGACGACAGCTTTGGCAATCGGAAAAAGTAAATAATCGTTTATCAAATAAGGCAATGGAAAAAAAATGGGCACAACGTCATTTCATACAAGTGCGTGTATTATATGAAATTAATCATTTTACAAAGGAATTATCATCACGTTTAAAGAATATGGGAATTGTTGAGAGCGTTGGTGAGAAACGTGTTTTTTGGGATGACAATGAACGTGCATTGGTACAAAAAATAATAATTGCCGGTGCATTTTATCCAAATTATTTTGTCAAAAATGTAAAATCATTAGAGGAAAGTGGAAAAAATTCATTAAAATTAGTATCGGGTTTAGATCCATCGAAAACAGTGTTTCTTCAAGGTTGGCCAGTTAATCAACCCGGTCAACTTTATGCAAAACGAATTCAAGATTTATTCAACGATTGTGCACCATTGTCGGTTGAAAAAATTTTTGTCACATTCGATAATTCAAGTCGTATTTATATTCATTTTTGGAATAGAGAGAGACGATTTACTAGTGATGAAAAAGTACCTGATGTCACGGGAAGAATCTCACCTGCTGTGTATCGGTAATTATATATTTATTTATTTACATTGAAAGAAAAATTCCATGTTCTAATTTTGTAAATTTCAACATTGAATTTTTTATTTTCAAATTTTAATTTCTCTAATTTTGGTAATTTTCAAAAAAAAACTTTTCCAGTGCCGTCAAATTACGTAAAATAAATACAACAATGATGGTAAGAGTTCTCGATGAACAGTCATCAATAACATTGGCAAGAAAAATGAAATTAATAAACGATCGTGGTTTAACGTTTCTCGATGAAAAACCCTCGTCATTGTTGCGTGTAAAAAAAAATTTTGGCATTCGGCCAGTATTACCTGGATTGGATATTACAATGATACCATTGAAAATAACAGAAATTTTAAATCCCGGTCATTTTTGGGCACAAATGATTGACGATGATTCACAACGTAAACTTGATCGTATTTTAAGAATGATAAATAATGATGAGAAAAATTTTCTTCTTCCAATTAAAACACCACCACGTCTAGAGACACTTGTATTTGCGCCATTTTCAAATGAAGACAAATGCTTTCATCGTGCATTAATACAAAGTTATAAAAATATAAATACCGCTAATGTTTTATATGTTGATTGTGGTAAAATGGGTTCGGTACAAGTTAAAGATTTACGTTTATTGCGTGCATTTAATGAAAATGAAGAGCAATTAATAAAGGAATTTGATTTACCAGCATTGGCATTTGAATGTGTACTTGCAAATATTCGTCCGACATTTATGTCAAATAAAACTGGACAATGGTCACCGAATGCGCGACATGATTTTGAAAAATTATTACGTCACGATCAAAAGAGGCCAACATTTTTATTTGGTGAAATTTATTCAGTTATTAATAGCGTTGTTTCATTGACGTTACATTGTAAAAAATCATTGGACAATAATGTTAAACCAATAATTGTTAATCAATATTTAATTGAAAATAATTATGCTGAAACATGTGAGGAGGATTATTTATCGCGTTTAAATCATGAATTGCGTGTGAATTATGATAATTTAGAAATGTCACAACGTAATGTTTATGAGGAACAACAGTACGATCAATGTAATATAATGGAAAATTATCCTGAGCCACCAAATGAAAAAGATTGCTCGAGAAGTATTTTATTGCGCGGTCCATTTTCACCGTTGGAAATTGAATTGATGAGTTTAACAAAAGCTGGAGCTTCAAAAAAGGTACATTTTTTTAATTATTATTATTATATATTAATAAAATGCTTGGTCTGTCGTTCTGTCCTAACTTGAAATTGGCCTTTTCTGATTTCACGTGTTTTTTTGAATAGTAATCTTATGACGTGTCAAATTTTGAAAATTCTTTTTCTCATTTTTGCCAAAGTTGTATAATTGTGTTTCCAAATTTCGGAATAAGTTTCTTTAAAATTCCAAATTCGAAAATTCAATTCACGAAGCTGAAGTACACAACGTTTACCAACGAAATTTTTCTTAAAGTTGTATATTGATTCAAAAATTGTATAGAAATATAAAAAATTTATGATGAGAAAAAAGATGCGCTAGGAAATTTCGTACAAGATAGTAATTTGAAAAAAATTTATTTTTAAAAATTAATTTTCAAGGTACCAGGGGCCAACGAATACCTATTAAATATTAATTATAAAAACACAGGCCTCGAATCAACTTAAAGACACAAAAAGTCGTTTTAGTCGATTTATATTCCAAAAAAAAGTGGATTTGTTTTTTATTTTAATAAAAATATTTTATAGATTTTTAAATAAGAAATTTTTTTTTTAATAATAATCCTTTTCGAAGGGTTAAAGTTGAAATTTTTAGAAATAATTAAATTTCAAAAGATATTGTTAATTTTCAAACAATTATTAAATTTTACAGAAATAAAAATAATTTATCAAAACAATTTTTGGAAAACATTTTTTAAATTTAATTGAATTTTCAAAGATTTAAAATTGAGATTTTTGAAATTAATTGAAACTTGTAAGTGATTTTTAATTAAAATTTTAGATGATTTCACTAAAAATTTATTAGAAAATGCGGACAAAATACTTACAATAATTTGAAAATCATTTTTAATTGAAAAATGGTTTCAGATATTTGAATTTTCAAAGAATATTATTAAAATAGTTAAAAAATAATTGAATTTCCTTAGAGTTATAATTGAAATTATTAAATTTCAAAAAAAAAAATTTTCGATGGAAAATTTTAGAAATAATTAAATTTTAGATGCTTTTAAATTCAAATTATTGAAAATTCAATTAATTTTGAATTGAAATTTTTGAGAATAATGAAATTTTGTTTGATTTTAAATTTGGAAAATAATTGAATTTCAGTTCATTTTGAATTAAAAATTTTGGGAAATAATTGAATTTTAATTGAAATTTTGGATAATAATAATTTAATTTAAGTTCATTTTTGATTGAAAATTTGGATAATTAATTTTGAATAGAATAAACAAAATAAAATAAAAACAAAATAATCGACTTTTATTTCATTTTAAATTGAAAACTTGGTAAATAAAAATTAAATTTTAAATTGAAAATTTTTGATAATTATTGAATTTTAATTGATTTTGAATTAAAATTTTAGATGATTTCACTAAAAATTTATTAAAATATGCGGACAAAATACTTACAATAATTTGAAAATCATTTTTAATTGAAAAATGGTTTCAGATATTTGAATTTTCAAAGAATATTATTAAAATAGTTAAAAATAATTAAATTTCCTTAGAGTTATAATTGAAATTATTAAATTTCAAAAAAAAAAATTTTCGATGGAAAATTTTAGAAATAATTAAATTTTAGATGCTTTTAAATTCAAATTATTGAAAATTCAATTAATTTTGAATTCAAATTTTTGAGAATAATGAAATTCTATTTGATTTTAAATTTGGAAAATAATTGAATTTCAGTTCATTTTGAATTGAAAATTTTGGGTAATAATTGAATTTTAAAAGATTTAAAATTTTAAATTTTGAAAATAACTGAATTTTAAAAGATTTTGAATTGAAATTTTGGAAAATAATTGAAGAATTTATCAGTAATTACAAAAATTGAACTTAAAAATCTTTTTAATTGCAAAATGATTTTAGATAATTGAATTTTCTTAGAATATTATAAAAATAGTTAAAAATATCTGAATTTCAGGAGGATTTTAGAAATAATTAAATTTTAGAAGCTTTTAAATTCAAATTATTGAAAATTAAATTAATTTTAAATTCAAATTTTTGAGAATAATGAAATTTTGTTTGATTTTAAATTTGGAAAATAATTGAATTTCAGTTCATTTTGAATTGAAAATTTTGGGAAATAATTGAATTTTAATTGAAATTTTGGATAATATTTAAATTCATTTTTGATTGAAAATTTGGATAATTAATTTTGAATAGAAATTTGAGAAAATAATTGAATTTTATTTCATTTTAAATTGAAAACTTGGTAAATAATTAAATTTTAAATTGAAAATTTTTTATAATTATTGGATTTTTAATTCATTTTGTATTAAAATTTTCGAAAATTATTGAATTATAGTAGATTTTGAATTAAAAATTTTCGAAAATTATTGAATTGAAAATTTGGAAAATAATTGAATTTTAGTTGATTTTGAATTGAAAATTTGGAAAACAATTGAATTTCAGTTTAAATTTTGGAAAATACTTGTAAGTACTTTAGTTGAATTTTAGTTGATTTTGAATTGAAATTTTCGAAAATTATTGAATTATAGTAGATTTTGAATTAAAAATTTTCGAAAATTATTGAATTGAAAATTTCGAAAATAATTGAATTTTAGTTGATTTTGAATTGAAATTTTCGAAAATTTTTGAATTATAGTAGATTTTGAATTAAAAATTTTCGAAAATTATTGAATTGAAAATTTGGAAAATAATTGAATTTTAGTTGATTTTGAATTGAAAATTTTGAAAATAATTGAATTTCAATTTAAATTTTAAAAAACGATTGAATTTTTATTGATTTTAAATTAAAAATTTTTTAAAATAATTTAATTTCAGTTTAAATTTTAAAAAACAATTGAATTTTTTATTGATTTTAAATTAAAATTTTTAAAAATAATTGAATTTCAGTTCATTTTGAATTGAAAATTTTGGGAAATAATTGAATTTTAATTGAAATTTTGGATAATAATTTAATTTAAGTTCATTTTTGATTGAAAATTTGGATAATTAATTTTGAATAGAAATTTGAGAAAATAATTGAATTTTATTTCATTTTAAATTGAAAATTTTGGATAATTATTGGATTTTTAATTGATTTTGAATTAAAATTTGGGGTAATAATTGAATTTTAGTTTATTTTGAATTGAAATTTTTAAAAAAATAATTCAATTTTATTGTGATTTTTTTTTAAATTATAAATAATTGTTAAATTTCATAAAAATTTTAATTGAAAAATAATTTTAATATAATTGAATTTGTGATGTATTTCATTAAAATTATTAAAAATAATTAATTTAGTGGAGAATCATTTTAGTTCAAAATTTGTTAAATAATTGAATTGAAGAAGATCTGAAGAAGATCTACATTTTATACTAAAAAAATGTATTTTATTTACATTTTTTTTCAAATGTAAAAAAAAAATGTCGCATTTTATTAAAATAAGTCGATAAAAGTCGTATTTTTGAAAAAAAAGTCGGAAAAAGTCGTATAATCCGAGGCCTGTAAACATATAATTTTCATTATTATCATTTAATATGTAATAATATTCTAATAAATTAAATTATTATTGATAATATTAATCTTTAATTTCTTTATAACAAACAATTAAATACTCAATTTGGCGCGCGTTTAATTTTGCTAGTTAAATAATATTTTTCAAGATTGTCACAAATCAGGGAAATGTGAGGGAATTTAAAAAAAAATTTATAATGAAAATTTTGTGGCGATTCAGTTCTTTTTTTTTCTATTAAAAGAATACTGTTTTTAATAATAGATATTATTATTCTAGAAAATGATTATTATTTTCTCGTTTCTATATAGATAAATATTGAACATAGTTCGGTAAATTCTGTACTATTGGATACGGCACCAAATGATCCTCATGATCGACTTTTGGTTGCCGCTTTTGTTGGCGAAAGTCCTTCGGGAAGAAATTTAAATTTACGTGATACAACATTAATGCCAAATATTCCTGGTTTATCGTCAATTTTACCAATACTATTTTGTCCACGAATGGAATTAAGACGTTCAACAAGTAAAGGTTCTTATGTTGGTGCATTGTGTGGATTAGGAATATATCCAAGAAATGATGAAGCTCATGAACCGGCAATTTCTTTATTTCCAGAGCACGATATGGAAATTAAATTTGACGTTGAAATAACTAACGATGATTTACTTGATGTAAGTTTCAAAGAAATTTGTAAATTTTTTTTTAAATAGTAAAATTTTGAAATTATTAAATATAAAATAGTTTGTATAAATTTTAGTATTTAATAATTTTGAAATTTTTGATTTATTAATTGTTTTTTTTTTTTTTTTTTTTTGATTTGTTAATTAAAAATTGTTTATTTTGACAGATAAATAAATTACGACATTGGATGAATTTATGTTTGAATATTGATGGAGATCGAAATGAACATATGTCTGAGACAATTAATTGTCAGGTACATGTGAAAAATTATCTATTCGATTTAATGGATAGAAAAAGAAGATCTCAAACACCAGAAGAGGTGTTTCGTTTTAATAAATGGAAACTTTATGACGATTCAGATTTTCTACAACCGGGAAAACAAATTCTTTTCAATAAAACTGTTTATCCTTTACATTATGCTCTTGAGCTTATTGAAGAAGATGAAGAAACAAAAAAATTGCGCCTCAATCAACAGGAATTAATTGAGCTCGCCAGAACGTAAGTTAATTTGAAATTTAATTAATATTTTCGTCTTTTAATCGAATTTTTATTTATTTAACAAGGTTGGTTTAAAAAAATTCAAAATACTAGAATTATTAAGAAATATATATTTTTTCTTAGTTCAATTAAAATTGTAATCGATTAGAAATTTGAATTTAATTTAAATTTAAATTTCAACTGATTACAATTTTCAATAAATTCTCATTTTTTATTGATCAAAACAAAATTTTGTTAATTTAAATTTTAAACAAATGGAAAATTCGATGAATCGAAACTTAAAATTAATGAAATTACAATCTATGTAAAGATTAATTAATTTATAATTTTTAAATAATGGGGAATTTCAAATTGTTCACATTATAATTGATTTATTTTAAATTATACGAATTTCAACTTTTTCAAATTTTAATTGTTGTCTGTGTTTCAAATTATCTGATTTTCAAATTGGTTGAAATTTTAATTCTCAAATTATCCGTATTTTAATATATTCAAATTTTGATTTAATTCACCTTTTCATCTATTTTCAAGATGAAATTTTACTGTTGTCGCGGACAATTTAACGAAAAAAACAAAATTGAAAATTGATTAATTTTCAAATTAATTAATATTGTTTTTTTACAGTAATAATTTCTCAAATTTACCGTTTTTATGATTCAATTAATTTGCAAATGTGAGATTTCAAAAATAATATTCAATTTACAATTAAAAAATATTGTTTTCAGCTTAGGAAATTAATTTAGATACGAAATTATTTTTATCTTTTCTATTTAAATAATTCCATTGACCCAAGTTTTAATTTATTAAAAAAAATTTGTCAGCGATTTAAAAATTATTTCTGCTATATTTCAATATTATTTAAATTCTAAATTAGTTTAAAATATTTATTAATTAAAATTGTAATCGATCTAAAGAATTCATTCTAATTTCTATTAATCATCAATCTTAATTTAAAATTCAATTTATCCAAATGTAAATCTATTTAAATTCACCTGAAATTTTTAATTTTATTCGATTAAAATTTCTTTTTAAAACTTTGAAAAAATTGTTAAAAAAAAGCTTTCGAATTTTATTTTAAAAAAATTTTAGTGGCCTCTCTGTATAATTTTAAATTTGATTTTATTGTGATTAAATGAAAATTTAATAAAAATTTTCATTCTTTTTTACAGTGATATGAGAAATCAACGAACAGTTGACACAAAATGTCTACTTTGTTTAGAGCAAATATTTGGTATAATGGAATTGCGAACTCATTTATTTTCACAAAAACATCACAATGCGTTAAAAAAGATGGGAATTGAGTAAAAAAAATTCTATTTTTGTTTTTACTAGAATTTTCCAAAAAAAAAAGTATTATTTACAAAGTTAAAAATGAATCATTCTATTTTTTTTACAATTTACAGTAAAGAAAAAAAAATTTGAGTATTTCAGTAAAAATTGAAATATGTTAAAAATTACTTATTTTCTATATAAAAATATTATATTATAATATTAGTTATTAGTTTATTGACAAGGGATATGAAAAAGTATATTTTTTGTAATCGACCATGTTTTTTTTTTTTTTTGAAAAAATGTTATTGAAGTTGTATTGATTTTATTTTTGACTATGTGAAAGAAAGAAATTCAAGAATTACTTTGAATTGTTTTATGTTTAGTTTATAGAAAAAAAAATATGTTATTGCAATTTACGAGGAGAAATTGTGATTAAAATTTATTACTTTTGTAAATTTATTACTTTTTTAATTTCCTTATCTTTTTTTCATGATGTATAAATTTTTAATTTAATTGTTCTTTTAAAATTGAAAGGTGTATTTGTTTTCTTTTAAAATGGAATATTATTTTAGAAAATCCATCGCTTATTGGATCAAAGGACAATAAAAAATTCCACGTCGTTATTTAAATTTCAAAAAAATTTCTAATTTAGAAAATAATTCTAAAGATGTTTCGAATTGTTTGTTTTTTTTTTTTTAAATTTGATTTACGTTATTTTGTTTTTTTAAATTTATTTAATTTTTTTTTTTTGTCGTACAATATAAAACATTACAATTGCTGTGGATTTGTGTTTTTTCATTAAACAATTTTAATTATAAGGAATATATATATTTGTTATTTAAACGTCACGTTGAAGATAACGAGTGCCTGGTTGTGTGTAGAGTAATCTGCTCGGAACATTTGATCCAGAAACACTAACATAAGTTCCAGGAGGTGGTGGAGGCGGTTGATAAGCACTAGGAGGCGGTTGTGGCGCTCTCACCGGATAACCGGAAGTAATTCCACCGGTTTTTGCACCCTAATTAAAAAGAAAAAAAATTCCTATATTTAATTTTTTTATTTCTATTAAATTTTAACCGAATTTTCCTTCTTGCAATTAACATTAAAATCTGATATTTCATTTTACTTTCGTGAAATTGAATATTTTTTTTACAAATAAAGGAATAAATATAGTGAAATAAAAACCTGTGGCGGTTGTTGAATTGGAATCGCTCCACCGTGAACTGTCACGTGACTCGTTGGTCTTGGATAAAATTTGTCCTGCATAATTGACTGCAGTGTGATATATTCTAAAATGTAGGAAAAAAAATTCATTATATTTTTATAATTATTTATTTAAAATTTAATTTTTCTTTTTTAAATTATGTCGAAAGAATTTTCTAGTAAAATTGTAAAAAAAAGGAAAATATTATATAATATTGAATTAGTAAATTTTTGAAAAAAAAAGTATTTAAACTAATTAACAAAATAAGTAAAATAGTAAAGAAAATATTATTATTTTTAACAAATTTATGAAAGAATTAAAAAAAAAAAAACTATTCACAAAACAATAAAATAAAGAAATAAAAATTTATTATTTAATTTTTGAAAATACCAGCTTCTGATTCTCTGGACGGTTGTGAAGTGGGAGCTGAATAACTGAAAACACCTTGGCCACTTGGAGTTGAATAAAAACTCGAAGGTGGATACTGATTATTCTCTGTAATATTTTTAATTGTTTATTTCATTAAATATATATATATTTTTTTTTCAATAATCAAGAAAAAAAAACATTTTTTCCATTTCATATTTATTTAAAACAACAATTTTAGTAAAATATTAAGTACCTTAAATTTTCATTTTGAAAATATTTTTAATTAAAAGCGAAAAAATGCTTTTGTTTTTAAATTAAATTTGTTGTTAATTCGACAAAAAATTACAAATTTGAATTTGTTTTTAAAATTAAATAAAAATGTGATATTTTTTCTTACTATTCCAAAGAACAGCTCGTGAATCACCCGTTCTTCTGGCAGCTTCTTCTGTTTCTAAAAAAAAATTAATATTTCCTATTATTATTGAATAAATATTTTTTTTAAATTTATTATTAATATTCATTGAAATGAAAGTTTTATCAAAATTTCGAAGGTTTTTTTTTTTCTATTTTCACGAATTTTCTAATATTTTTTAGTTTTCAATTTTTAAATTAATAAAAACTAAATTTAAATTATTTAAAAATTAATAAAAACCAAAAAAAGATTTTCCTTCGCTTTAATAAAAAGAAAAAGATTTTAATTAAAAATTGGCTAATATTTGTTAAATAAATAAATAAAAAAAAAAAAAAACAATGCAATTCTCACTTGGCAGAGGATTTTTATAATTTGGAATTGGAGCTGCTGTGTAGACAAATGGTCCATAAGCCTGTGGTGGTGGTGATGGACTTCGTGTTCTTTTCATCTTAAAAAGAAAATAATAATTATAAAATCAATAAAAATATTTTTTTCCCTAAACAAAAAAATACCAAAAATTTTAAAAAAAAAAACTTACAGTCGCTGGTATTTGTGCTGGTAATGTGCTCAATATTTTATAAAGTGGATGACTCGGAACCATTTGTCCCGGAAAAACTGGATCTCTTAGACTTCTACAAACACCTCCACTTCCGGTTCCTGGATCTCGATAACCGCCAGTTATTGGCATAATTTCCGAACAAGCGCTACGAAAATTAATTATTATTATTATTTTACAAAATACAATAATTAAAAGAAAATAATAAATTTCCTTTCTTTTTCTATTTATTTTAAATATTATAATTAGAATTATAGTGAAAATTAAATAATTCATTTTTTGTGTAAAAAAAAAAAATCGAAAATAGTCTTTTTTTCTAATTAAAATATGTAAAATTTAAATATATTTTATATTTATTTAAAAAAAAAAAAAAAATAAGAAATACTTGTTTTCTTTAATAAGTTGCCGCCGTCTATTATCGTCTTCGTTGAGAACTTTTTTCAATTGCAAAAATAATTGATGTTTCTCATCTTTAAGTTGTGACAATTCATTTTCCAATGTTGTAATTTGTTCACGTGTTTCACCAAGTGTCATTACATCTTGTTTTTGTTGACGTTCCCTTTCTTTTCGTTGACGTTCCTCTTCGGCGTCAGCTTCTTGTTCTTTTTTTTTTTTTAACCGAAGGAAAATCATTTTTTTCTCATTATTTATTAATAAAAATTTTGTTTTTTAATTTTAAACAATTTTTTCACAAATTTTGAAAAATTATTTAACAATTAAAAATAAAATCGTAAGACAAAAAATTCACCAGTTTTGATTTTTAACGGAATATAAAAAATATTTTTATAATAATAATAATAATAATAATAATATAGTAATAACAATAGTAATAATTAACATTTTTTTCATTAACGAAAATTCGTCTAAATTCATGTGTTTTGAATTCCAAGGGTTTTTATTATTACAATTTATAAAAAAAAACAATATTTGAGGTTATGTTACCTAAATTATTTCGATTATTTTCTAATTATTCATATATGTGGTGGTTTATAATTTTTATATTTATTAGCTCAAAATTACCAAAAAAAAAAAGAAAAGATTCTAAACTATTTCTATTCAATTTTTCTTTTAAAGAAAATAAAAAAAATTGACATATATCTACCTTGTTTTTTACGCTGTCTTTCACGAAGAATGTGAACTTTTAAAGCCTCTGCCATTTGTTCAGTGCGTTGAGGATTTCCCACAATTACTGCTGGCATTTTATTTATCAATAAAAACTTTTCGATAATGAATAAAAACTAATTTATATATATTTTTTACAATAAAGAAACGTCAAAAACAAATTCACTGTACCGTATGTGCAATTCGCGAGTATAGAAAAAAAAAAACAAGATTCTTATGGAATTAAAATTCCCAAATTTAAACATTCGAGGAATAATAAAATTTACTTTTAATTATTAATTATTGAACGATAATTGTTATTACATATTGAAAATAAAATTATCACGATTTTGACATTTTAATGCAAAACACAAACATTCCGCCATCTTTGATGACCATTGGTATTTCACGCATGCGCAGTAGATAATGGTTATCGGCAGAGGTCATCGAACTTAAAAAATTTCTAAACTAAACATATTCAAAAATTGTCAAAAATTATTTTAATAAATTTTTAATAGAACGTGGAATATTTTTAAATTGGTAAATTTTTCTTAATTCAATATATAAAATTACATATATTTTAAATAATTAACACTGTTTTTTTTTTGTCAAAAATATTTAATTTAAATTTTTATTTTTACACTTATATATATAAAGCAAAATTAAATGACAATCGCTTGTCTAGAAAAAAGAAACGACTTTTCAAATATAAAAATATTATTTATTTATTATTATTTTATAAAACAAAAAAATCGTAACTTTTTTTTTACAAATCTCGAAAATGAATTTTATTTACAAATTTTAGAGGGAAAAAAAATCAATTATCTTTTTACAACATTTTTTTTAAAAAGAAATTAATTGATTTTGTTTCCTAATTATTTCTTTATAATTAATAATTAATTAATATAAAAATTAGAAAAACATTAAAATGCTAAAGGCTGTATTGAATTTGGATTCATGTGGATAATTTCATTGGGAAAATGATCGAGAATAATAAAACGTTTTTCGCTAGGTTGATTTAAATTATCCAAAAAGCCAAACCAATAAATCACTAAACCTTGTCCAAAACGATTCCAATAACTTGAAAATTGTTCCTTAACATTTTTTTTATGCACCTCCTCATTGCCAAATCTTGCCTTTGATTCAATCCAATTAATTACATAACCATTTATTGCTATTGGAATTTCAAGTTTTACATCTGGCGTTTTATCATAGCCCCTTGAGCGTAAATGATTTTCATTACGAAATGAAATATTTTTCTCTTTTAAATAATATTGTAATTTCACTTCATATTCCTCGCCAACTGACAATGCAATTGAATCCGCAACTGGTCCATATTGATCGTCATATAATACACACTAGAAAATAATTTTTTCTTTTGTCATTTTAATTTAATTTCAAAAATTTTTGTAAATTTTTTTTTTTATTAAATCTTTGTTTATTAGAAATTTAGGGTGGCTAGAAAAAATTTTCGAATAAAATTCGAAGGCTTTTTTTACAATTTTTAAAAAAAAAACTTAAAAAGAATTTTAATTGAATAAAATAAAAAATTTCGGGTGAATTTAAATAGATTTACATTTGGATAAATTGAATTTGAAATTAAGATTGATGATTAATAGAAATTAGAATGAATTCTTTAGATCGATTACAATTTTAATTAATAAATATTTCAAACTAATTTAGAATTTAAATAATATTGAAATATAGCAGAAATAATTTTTAAATCGCTGACAAATTTTTTTGATAAATTAAAAATTGGGTCAATTGAATTATTTAAATAGAAAAGTTAATATTAATTCAATATTATTTTTGAAATTTCACATTTGCAAATTAATTGAATCATAAAAACGGTAAATAAATTTGAAAAATTATTACTATAAAAAAAAACAATATTAATTAATTTGAAAATTAATTAATTTTCAGTTTTGTTTTTTTCGTTAAATTGTCCGCGACAACAGTAAAATTTCATCTTGCAAATAGATGAAAAGGTGAATTAAATCAAAATTTGAATATATTTGGTAATTTGAGAATTAAAATTTCAACCAATTTGAAAATCAGATAATTTGAAACAAAGACAACAATTAAAATTTGAAAAATTTAAAATTCGGATAATTTAAAATAAATCAATTATAATGTGAAGAATTTGAAATTCCCCATTATTGAAAAATTATAAATTAATTAATCTTTACATAGATTGTAATTTCATGAATTTTAAGTTTCGATTCATCGAATTTTCCATTTGTTTAAAATTTAAATTAACAAAATTTTGTTTTGATCAATAAAAAATGAGAATTTATTGAAAATTGTAATTAGTTGAAATTAAAATTTAAATTAAATTGAAATTTCGAATCGACTATAATTTTAATTGAATGAAATTTAATAAAATTGAAATTTTTAATTAATTTAAATTTAAATACATTTACATTTGAATAAATTGATATCTAATTATAAATTGAATTAGACAAATATATTCTAATTTTTTTGTAAAATAAAAAATTTCAATTTCATAACTGAAAAATAAAAAAATTGATAAAATAGTTAAAAAAAAAAAAATTTCCAAAAACCAGCTGAAAAATTGTAAAAGAAAATGATTTGAAAATTTTCATATTATTACCGTAAAAATTTCATACGCCAAATCTTTATCTTCAATTAATGTTGAGTCTTTGAGATATTTTCCTATCGCTGGACGTGAATCTGAAAGAAAAATAATTTTTTAAAAGGAAACTTATTAACAATAGTTTTTATTAAATTATTATTTAATTTTAATTAATTTATTAATTATTGCTAATTAATCCTTAACTATTTTCTCCTTTCTCGGTCAAGTAATCCTCTAAAATATGACGCGCCAATAATGCTGGAGGTGCATTAATTTCAAGGGACATTCTTAAAATAATTCCTTCTGGTTTGTTCGATGCTCGAGCCTCTTTATATCTGTGATTTAATTAAAAAAAAAAAAAAACAAATTAATATAAAATAAAAAATTACATTTAAATAATTATTAATAAAATTCTAATAAATGGCGAATTTTTAGTCTCAAAAATTTGCTATTTATAAGAATTTTTTTTTGTTAAATGGGACAAAAAAGAACTTTAATTAATAAATAATTAATAAACAAATATTATTTCTAGTATTTTTTTAAGCTAAAAAAATGATTCGAAAGATAGTTCTATTAAAAAATCGAATAATTTAATAAACTAGAATTAATTTTATCAATAACAAACCTTTCGTAATAATGTTTTTCTCCACCAAAAAGACGATTGTGCATACATTTCATTCTCTGTTGTACTTCAATTGCCAAAATACTAAATAATGCATATTTATTGACACTAAAGAACGTTTAATTAATTAAATTTTTACAATTTTCTCATTATTTGTTATTATACACAATATTATTAAAAAAAAAAAAAAACATTACTTACCTGCTATATTTTTGAACGAGCATTTTTGAACAATCTCTTGTTAATCCTCGAAAATTTCTTATTGTTTTTATAATACTGTCATACTCGTTTTGCTTCATTTTTTTTTCTCTATTTTAACAATTTTACAAACTCTATTCTGAAGAAAACTCTCTTTTTAATCGTGAACGAGACGTTTTTTTAACTATATTTGTTTTATTCTTCCGCATATACAAATTTGACGTTTGTAAAATGTGCTACTTAGGTTAGGTTAGTTTTAAGGTCATAAAAGGGTCATCAGTTTGGTTATCATTTTAAGATAATTTTAAATTTAGTCATATTACAATATTACGAATCAGTCTTATTAAAGAAGAAAAATATTATTAACAATTCATCAAATTACTAAATTTAATTAAATATATATTTTTGTTTATAATAGGTTAAGTGTAGAAAAATCTATTTTAAAATTGAAGTTCGCGCCATAAATATTATGCGCAGTGCGCAATTTTTTGAATTTTTAAAAAAATAAATTAAAATTTTCGAGTATTTTTAAATGTAGAGAACAATAAATTATTGAATAAAACAAAAGAAACGAATTTTTAAAAATATAATATTATTCTACACAAAAACAGTTTTTTTTTTGGAAATTTTGTATTATAGATTTCGTATGGAGGTTATGTTATTGTTGTAAGACAGGTTAGTTTTTATCTCTTAAAATTTCGACATCTTTCAGGAATTTAATTTACAGTTATGTTTGACGTTAACATTTTATTAAGTTATTTTCTTAAATTTTATTCCCTATTTTTTTATAGTATAGTATTAAATGTAAAATGACAGTTTACTCAAAAATTATAAGAAATTAATAATAAATAATATATAGAGAAAATTGTGTATAAGTACGCGTATAAAAATAAAAAGTCTAGTAAAATGACAGTTAAACATGTCAAAAAAGAAGATTCAATAAAACAGAATGTTAAAGAAACGACGACAACAACAGATTTGTAAGTATTACTTTTTTTTGAAAGAGAATTTATTAATTTTTATTTAGAGAAAGATTTCAATAAAGAAACAATAAATAAACAAAAATGAATATTTCATAGGCAATGGTGGCTTATTTTTATTATTATTGTTATCTTAACTGCCGGTACCAGATTTTATAAGGTCACCGAACCACATCACGTGTGGTAAGTTTTTTTTTTTGTTAATTTAAAATATTTTTCTAAATACGTATTAAATTTGAAGAAAATTTTAAAAATTAAATATTTCCAGTTGGGATGAAACGCATTTTGGAAAAATGGGAAGTTGGTATATTAATAGAACATTTTTCTTTGACGTTCATCCTCCACTTGGAAAGGTAATGTAATTTTTATTTTATCAATAAAAAAAATTTAATTTCTTTATTTTTTATTTTTTTCATTTTACTTTTTGTAATATTTAGAAAAAAAAGGGTTTCTATTTTTAAAAATTTTACTTTTTGAACTACATTTATTTATTTAGAAAATATTTTTTTTTTTTTCTAAAAGATGTTAATAGCACTTTCTGGTTATTTAACTGGATACGATGGAAAATTTCCATTTGAAAAACCTGGAGATAAATATGAAAATGTCAATTATGTGGGAATGCGTGTGGTAAGTTTCTCTTTTTATTTTTCATTTAGAATTTTTTTTTTTTTTCAAATTTTGTAAAATTCCAGTTAATAAAATTTAATTATTTAGAAAGGCAAAATTAGATTTTAAATAAATTTTACAATAGTTTTTCGGTATTTAATTTTATTTATGGCCGAAATGTAATAAGCAAATTTATGACCGAAAAATTATTATCTTTATTTAATTAATCAATTAACGGCTACAATTCAATAGAATAATATAATTTTTGGAATTCAATTATAAAAGTATAATTTTATTTTTCGCATTCAATTATAAAGAGAATTTTTAATTAAAATTTTTCAATTATTATTTAATTGTCAAATTATTTATTTAAATTTAAATTTGTAATTTTTAGAATTCAATTATAAAAAGTATAATTTTAGTTTCAAAATTTTAATTATTATTTAATTATTTATTAATTAAGCTTCAGCCTTTCGGCCCAGAAGTGGACTTGGTTTAATACAAAATTAAAAATAATTATTATTTAATTATCAAATTATTTATTTAAATTTAAAGAATTCAATATAAAAGAATAATTTAATTTTTGGAGTTCCATTATAAAATTATAATTTTAGTTTTCAAATTCAATTATTAAAGTATAATTTAAATTTTCTAATTAAATTATGATCGAATTTCCCTTAAAATAAATTTAAATAGTAAAATAAAAATTTATACTTAAAAAAAAAAATTGACAAATTTTTGAACGCTTTTCATATATATTTTTCGTTTTTTATTTAGTTTTGTACATTTTTGGGAGCAACAATTGTTCCTCTTGCCTTTCTCACTGTTTGGGATTTAACAAAATCCCTGAGAGCTGCCACAATATCGGGTCTTCTTATTTTATTTGGTAACTAGAAATTTCTTTAATTCACTTTTTCCTTTTTTCTTTTGATCTGAAGAAATAATTTTTAGCATGAATTGAAATTATTATTTTATTTTCTTTAAAAATACATAATATTTCAAATTTATGTTAAATTTTGAAAAAAACTGTTTTTTTTTGCAATTAAAAATTTCTTTTTTTTAGATATTGGACTTTTAACACTAAATCAATATATTCTTTTGGATCCAATTCTCTTATGTTTTATGATGTGTTCAACGTGGGGAATGTCTCGCGTTAGTTCTTATAAGGATAGTCCTTTTACAATTACTTGGTGGGGTTGGATGATATTTACTGGAATTTCTCTTGCATGTACAATAAGTGTGAAATTTGTTGGATTATTTGTTGTTCTTCTTGTTGGACTTTATACTGTTTTTGAACTTTGGAGGGAGCTTGGAAATTTGAAAATGCCAATTGTGAGTATATTTTTTTTCTTTTTTATTTTTGTCTATATTTCTTCAGTTTATGTAATTTTCTCATTTTTATTTATTTATTAATAATTATTATTAATATTTATTATTAATATTTATTATTAATATTTATTATTAATAACTATTATTAATAATTATTATTAATATTTATTATTATTATTTATTATTATTATTTATTTTCTAAATGAAAAATAAAAATTATTATTTTCTTTTTTTCTTTTTTATTGTTGTAAATTATATTAAATTTTGTAAATAAAATTTAAAAATTATATTTTTAATTTTTCGACAAAAAAAATTCACTTTGCTCTAAAAAAAGAAAAAAAAATTATTTATTTCTTTTCACAGTCGAACGTTGGAAAACATTTGTTGGCAAGGTGCATGTGTTTAATTGTTCTACCAATTTTACTTTACATCACGTTCTTTTACATACATTTGACAGTTCTAAATAAAAGGTAAAATATTTTTTTTATCATAATTATTCTGTTATTAATATTATTTTATTAGATTTACAAATTTATTTTCTCAATTTTCTCAAATTACAAAGTTTTACAATTTTTTCCCCCACAAACTTAAAAAAAAAACTAACATTGAATATACAAACTTAAAATACAAAATATAAAATTACAAAAACAAATTATTATTAGTATTATTATTATATTATTTTTTATAATTATTATTATATTATTTTTATTATTTTTATTCGTAATATTTTTATTGAATATTTCAATTTTTTCCATATTTTAATTCTAATAAAAGAGAATTTAAATAATTTACATATTTAAAATTTAAAAAGAAAAATCCCCCCTCCATTTTATATGAGTATAATTAAACGAGAAGAAAAACAAAAATTAATTCCAGCGGAAGTGGAGATGGATTTTACAGTTCGGAATTTCAATCACTTCTCAAAGGAAATTCTCTTCATAATGCAACAATGCCAAGACAATTGGCTTATGGTGCGACAATAACATTAAAAAATCATAGAACCGGTGGCGGTTATTTGCATTCACATTGGCATATTTATCCAGAAGGAATTGGCGCTCGACAACAGCAGGTTTTTTTATTTTTCATTATTAAAAAATTAGAAAATAAAATTTAAAAAAAGAAAACAAAAGAAAAAACATTTTTTTTCAAACATTTAGTAAAAAATTAATAATTACAAAAAAATGGGATTTGAAATTAAAAAATATTAATCGAAATTTAAAAAAAGTGATATTTTGATTTTCTACATTGAATTTATGTTTTATTCATTAAAAAAAAATTGTAGATTACTACCTATTCGCACAAGGATGATAATAATTTATGGCTAGTGAAAAAATATGACACTGAGGAAATATCTGATAAGCCAATTTTGGTAAAACACGGCGATTTAATTCGTTTGGAACATGTGGTTACAAGACGAAATTTACATTCTCATTCAGAAATTGCTCCCGTTTCGAAAAGACACTATCAAGTCACTGGCTACGGAGAGGTAAATAAAAAATTATTTTTTACTATCATAGTATTTTTTTCGATCGCATAATTATCAGATAAAAATAATTAGTTACAATCTTCATTTTAAATAATTCTATTATTTTTTTAAACTAATTTTTATTTTTCAAATTGATATTTATCAAAATTTATTTTAAAACGAATTTGTTGGGTAATTTTTATTTGATAGAATTTTTTTTACAAGAACTTTTTATTTTAAAAAAATTCTAATTTAATCGAATTAATTTTTCTTTTTTTACAGAATGGAACTGGAGACGCAAATGACGTGTGGAAAGTGTTAATAATTCATGGAAAAGATGGAGACATTGTTGAAACAGTGACGAGTAAATTGAAATTTGTTCATTATTTACAAAATTGTGCCTTGACCTGCAGCGGTAAAACTTTGCCAAAATGGTAAATAAATTTTTAAAATTACTTTTTTTTTTTTTTTTTGAAATGTAGATAAACGATTTTCGAAAGTATTCTATTTTTTTATTTTTTACTTTCAGGGCATTTAGTCAACAAGAAGTTTCCTGTAATCCAAATATGAGAGACAAAAATGCTCTCTGGAATATTGAGGATAATAATTTTGCAAAATGTGAGAATTTTCTAAATTGTAAAAAGAAATTGAATTTGAAACAAAGTATTTCCAAAAAAAAAGGAAGAAGAAGGTTTATAGTAGAATTTTAAATAAGTAATTTTCTTTTTATTTCAGTGCCAAATGTGAGTTTTCAATTATATGCGCCTGGATTTTTTAAAAGATTTCTCGAATCTCACGCCGTTATGTTGCAAGGAAATTCTGATTTAAAAGTCAAAGAGGGAGAAATTTCTTCTAAACCCTGGCATTGGCCGATTAATTATCGGGTAATTAAATAACAAAACAAAAAATTATTCTTTTAAAGAATATATAAAAAATCAGACTCGAAAATTTAATTTAAAAAAACGAAAAATAATTTTTTTTGCAATTAAAAGGCATTTCAATGGCTAATTAATAAAAAAAAATTGCAAAAATAAAAAATTATTCCACAAATGTTAATTAAAAATTAGTAAATTAAAAATTATTTAACTAATAATGAAAAAAAAAAATTGCAAAAATAAAAATTTTTTCAATATTTTTCCTTATTTAGGGACAATTTTTCTCCGGCAATGAACAACGAATTTATTTATTGGGCAATCCATTAATTTGGTGGGGAAATTTAGTGTTTTTAGTGGTGTATATTATTTTTTATATTCACGCTGCCGTAAGGGAGAAACGTGGAATTAAAGAAACTTTGGAATCATTGAAACAACGTGAAAAAATTATGAACGCTGGCATTTGGCTTTTTATTGGTTGGATTTTACATTATGCGCCATTTTGGACAATGACAAGAATATTGTATTTTCATCATTATTTCCCGGCATTAATATTTAATTCAATGCTCACGGCCGTTACACTTGATCATATTGCCGAGAGTATTTTAATTTATCTTCCAAATCGAATTGGCGATACGATTTATCATGTTCTTGCCGCTATTTTTATATCCACTGTTTCATACAGGTATTTATTTTATATTTTATATTTTACATTTTTATTTATAATTTATAGTTAAATTTTATATTTATTTATTATTTATTATTTAGAAAAAAAATGGTAAATTTCAAAAATTCTAGAATTCTAAATAAAATGGAAAAAAAATTTTTCTTTACAATGGGACCAAATTTAAAAATTTTTTCTCAAAATAATTTGAATTGAAATATTATTATTGAAAATATAATATATTTAAAAAAAAATTGTTTGTTAATAGTTTATTTTAAAAATAAATTGTTTGTCAAATTTTTTTTTTACTGAATTAACGAATTAATTTGTAAAATTTCAGTTTCTATTTATTTTCGCCATTAGCTTATGGAATGGAGGGACCATCAGCTGTTGATACAAAAAGTTCAATGCATTCATTACGATGGATGGACACTTGGGAATTTTAATGTGACAAAAAAAAATTATTTATTAATTATTATTATTATTATTATTAAGAATCGACAGTCTGATAACGTATGTACTATTTAAATTTGTTTATTATTTTATTTTATTCTTCAAAAGGGTATTTTTTTTGATATATATATTTAGATATATAGAACAAATTTTTTACTTTTTTAAATTGTTTTATATTTTGTATATTACAATATTATATTTTTATTGAATTTTTTTTTTTATTTACTTTTTTTTCTTAATTTTTTATTTTATGTAATTTACGTGTTTAACACGTAGTTTATGTATTATTGATGTTTTACATTTTTAGTGTTTCAAAACACTGATAAAAGTTGTACAATATTTTTTTTAATGTACTTTTACAATTTATAGATTTAAAATTTTATATACATTTTTCGTCATTTATATATTTTGTATTCTAAATAGTATTTTCTATTTTCTTTGGATATTTTAGATATTTTGTATTTTAAATAGAATTTTCTTTTTTTTTTAGATATTTTAAATTTTTCGTATTTTACAATAATTTTTTCTTATTTTTTTTTATAGATATTTCAAATTTTTTTGTATTTTAAATAGAATTTTCTATTTTTTAGAATATTTTAAATTTTTCGTATTTTACAATAATTTTTTCTTATTTTTTTTATAGATATTTCAAATTTTTTGTATTTTAAATAGAATTTTCTATTTTTTAGATATTTTGAATTTTTCGTATTTTACAATAATTTTATCTAATTTTTTTTTAGGTATTTTAGATTTTTTTTTGTATTTTTAATAGTATTTTCTATTTTTTCTTTTGATTTTTTGTATTTTAAATAGTATTTTCTATTTTTTGTATTTTTCAATCATTTTTTCTACTTTTTTTTTTAGATATTTTACATTTTTCAATAATTTTTTTTCTATTGTTTTTAGATATTTTTACTATTTTTTTTATATTTTATTGGTAATTTTGGTTTTTCTTGCTTTTTTTCTTTTTCTTTCTTTTCTTTCTTTTTTTTTTTCTTTTTTTTCGAAAATGACTCTTTTGTACAATATGAAATTCAATAATTTTTGTCCAGTGATGAATATAATACTCTACATGAATTTCTAGTTTTATAGAAATAAAATACAACTATTTTTGTTATGAAAGTAATAAAAGTAATTTTCAATAATAAAATTTCATTTTATTATAATTAAAATTATAAATAACCTATTTACAGGATTCTCTTATTATTATATCGAATTTTGATAATTTTTTTCCATAATTCCATTTTTTACAATAATTAAAATAACAGTTAGTTAGGATTTAGTTTCAATTTCAAAAAAATTAAAACTCCAATCAAATTATTAAATTATCAAAAATATTGGAAAAAAACTGTTGAGAGTAAATTTTTCCAATTAAATTAAAAATTAAATTATTTCTTTTTTTTTTGCAATTGTCTTGCAAGAAAATATTTTACAGTCACAAAAGTATGATTTTAGAAAAATGAAAAAATCACATAATCAATTATTTTCTATAATCAAAAGAAACATTGTTTTGATTTATAATAAAAATAATTTTCGAAATTATTCCGTACGTAATGAGTGCGGACGCAATAAATTGAATAGAGACCACGAGAGATAGAGAGAAAGAGAGAGAGAGATTATTTCGTCAAGAGATTGAAATATCCGGTCGTCGAAAAATAAGGGACGAGAGACGGACAGACGAACGACTCATCATCGAGTTGAATCGATAAAAAGTTTGTCAAATTTAAATAATACGATAATGTGAAGGTAAAAAAAAAAATTTTTTTTCCTCAATAAACTATTAAATAACGTTTATTAATTATAATTTAATTTAATTATTATTATTATTTGTGATAGTCGCTGCAGTAGGAAGGTTTGTTATCTTATCCACAGAGAGCCGCTACGATAGGACATTGTAGAAAAGAGAGAGAGACGATCAATAAAATATCAGTTTGTTGGCTATTCCACTGACAGACACGTGGTACGTAGACTATATTTTTTCCCCATATATGTATATTTATATACATATATATATTATTCACTTCTTTCTTACTGACACTGAACTCATGACTTTGAAATCGTAAGTACATTCTCACAAAATTGATTTCCATGACTTTTTTTTATATTCTAATTTCTAATCATTTAAATTGTTTTCCTTTTTAAAATGACGTTTATTTATATCTACATTACATTACAGGAAATGTGTAATTACACTGTAATTATTCTATATCCGCAATTTTACAATAACAGAAAATTTATTTATTTTTTCATTTATTTGTCAATTCAACAAATTCCTTTATTTAGGAAAACAAAATTAAAACAAAAAAAAATTTTTTTTTAAACTCCAAAATTTTTTAAAATTTTATTTATTTTATTTCGTTAATAAGTTAATTAAATGTTTATTTATTTTATTAATACAAAATTTTTATAAGTTTCTAAATAATAGAAATAATAATAATAATGTAAGTTTCCATTTTTTAATTATAAATGTTATTTTAATATTTAAATATTTTTTTCATGTAGGTGATTTTTTTCCGTACCCTCTAAAAATTTTTTTAATCTAATATTTTTCGTTTTTTAAACAAAAAAAAAAAAAAATAGAATTGAAAAAAAAATTTAGTGGGTTCGAAACATAAAAATCACACAGTATTATTTAATTATTAATTATTAAAAATTATTATTTATTATTAACCTGAGTATTATTTCATAAAAATATTAATTGAAAAAAAATTAATAAGAAATAGAAAATAAAATTTAATAAACTAATAAAATAGCAAAAATATTAATAAAAAAAAAAAGTAAATAAAATGTTTTTTTGTTTATTTTGCAGATTGAGGAATTAAAGAGCCTGTTATGTGGCTCCAGTCGAAGGCAATTTTAATATGCAGAAAGAAGAGATAGCATTTTTATTATGTGGCTTAATTCAATTGGGTTTTTGTGGAAAAACAACAAGAATCGCTCAAAGACCAACAAATATTCTTCTTGATTTCAATGCATATCGACATATTTCGATTCTTCATTTTGTTGTACCCGAAAATTCAGCATCGGCAAATTTTAAGTAAGATTTTTGCAAATATTTATGAATTCTTTTTTTTTTTTTATTCTATAAAAATTATAATCGAGAGAAATATTTTACCATATAATTTATAAATTGTAAAAAGAATAATTTCAATAATACAATTATAGTTATAAAAAATACAACAATTTTTTAATTATAATTGATAAATTTTATCTAATTATAATTAACCTAGTTATAATTATATTTATAATTTTTTAATACAATTTGTATTTAATTTATAATAAGTACCATTGTACGAAAGGGCATGACCCATTAATTTACTAAATAAATAATTAATAAATAATTAACAAATAATTAAAGTTTAATTTAATTTTTAATGAGGAAAATAATAATTTGTTTGTTAAAATATTTGCTCTAGATTAGATTAGATTTGTTTCTTCATTGTACACCATTTACGAAATATTTATTTTATTTTTATTTTATTATTTTTTTTTTTTACTTTTGCAAATAAAAAAAGCAAAAAATGTTTTTTCATCCTCATAAATAATTTTTAGATTTGTGGCAAAGGAGGAAAAATTAAGTGGAATTGGAAGTTGTTCACCGCGAGATGTTTCTGTATTTTTAAAATATGGCAGCATTCCTTTTGTTCAACCGGACGGCGCTAAAATAAAAGCGAAAATTTTAAAAGAAAGAAGACATCATTACAGTTTAAAAATTCTCAGCAATGGCGATGAACATCTTAAAAGAATTGACGCACCTCCACCTGGTGATTGGTACGCAATTGCTTTTCGCTCCTGGTCAGATCCGGATAATGGAAAAATTACTCAAGCGGGTGAGTATTTTTTTTAATTTTCAAAAAAAAAATTCCTATAGAAAATTTTATTCAATTTTTATATTTGTAGTTTTTTTCTATTTTTCAAAATTTTAAATTTGTTTTAAAAATTAAAAATATTTTTTTTCGATAATTGCGTTTTTTTTTTTAAGGAATCGGTGTTTTCTGTGACACGACTCTCGATGCCGATTTATCTATCGAAATTCCCGATAAATTATTAATGTTGCTTGATGAAAAAAATGATATTTCAATTCAATTAACAAAGAAAAATGATTCGGCAATTATTCAGTTTCCCAGTTTTCAAGAATCCGAACCAATGTTTCTTAATTTCACCTCGTCCTGTGGAAATGATTGTCTTCTTATTGCTCAAATAACTGCCAGGTATAGTATTTTTTTTTCCCTTTAATTCTTTTTTTTTCAAAATATAAAAATTAAAAATACTATTTTTATTATTTATCATTCATAGTTTATATAATTTTAGTTTAAAATTTTCCTTTTTATATATTTCCTTTTTTGTTTAAAATTTTAATTTTTACTATTCTTCCTAATTATTAAATTAATTTTGATTTATAAATTTCAATTTTCTCTAATTTATAAAACAATTATAAATAAATGGTTTTAAAAAAAAAAAAAAAAAAAATTTTCAACAGAAAACAATTGGCAAGTATTGCAACGAATAATTCTGCAACAAGTTTAAAATTTCATGCGTACGATAAAAATCTTCATTATGCGACATTTCGTTTATTCAGTGGAAATTTGACAAATATTACAATGAATTTGTCAGAAGACGATGTGTCGTTGAAAAATATAAGTTATGTGAAATTAGTGAGAAAATCGTTACCCGATTTTTTTCTCTTCGATTATGAGCATTTGAACGATGACGATAGTAATAATAATAATAATAAGGCAACGCCTCTTAATTTAACATCAGGAATATTGTCGATTTTTAAATTTCACATTGATCCAATTTATGATATTGGTGGAACACTGACAATTGGCCTTAAAGTCACTGATAGCGAAGCAAAAAAGAAAAAAAATATCCTTCTCATTGGCTGCGTTTCTTTAGGTATTTTTAAAAAATTTTTATTTAAAATTTTACTTGAATATAATTAAAAATTATAATCTAATTTAAATCTAATTATTATAAATTATAATTATCTAATTTAAATCTAATTTTATAATTCCAAAAATAGACTTCATTTTTTTTTTAATTTTACTTGAATATAATTAAAAATTCTAATTCCAAATCTAATCTTATAATTCTAAAAATAGACCGCCAATTTAAATATTTTTTGATTGATCCAAATTATAAATTTTTTTTCAGTTTTTGAATATTTTTAAAACAAAAACCTTCTTTGAATTAAAAGAAAAATTAAATTTGTTTTTTTCTTGTTTTTTGATTTTTTTTTTTTTTTAATATATACAGGTTACTATTCGGACATCACTTCGGGTGCAAGTTGCGTGAGAGAAGAAAAATCGACGCCTCCTGATATTGTTGGAAATGAAACTAGTCCATCCTTTATTCATGTGCCTTATCCCGAGCCAGGAATTTGGTACTTGACTGTGAAAGCATTTAAATCGAATGAAAATTGTCATTGTGCCAAAAATTGCACTGAATTTGCATGCGACGAATGCAATTGTATTGGAGAAATCGATTTACGAATTGAAAGCAGTATTTCATCATCGTCCTGCGTCGAAGGATCATGTAATGACAGGTTTGTATTTTTTTAAAAAAAAATATTTATAGCAAGCCTCGAATTATCCGATGTTTTTGAATTTTTTTTTTCGATATTTTCCGATTTTTTTGGATTTATTTTAATAAAATGCGACACTTTATCGATTGGTTTTTTTTTTTACATTTTTTACAAAAATTTTTCAAGAAAATACGTATTTTTTTTGGTATACAATGCAGATCTACTTAGGATCGTCTTTATTTCAATTATTTAACAAATTTTTAACTAAAATTCTTTACTAAATGAATTATTTTCTATAATTTTAATGAAATTCTTTACGAATTCAATTATTTTCAACTCTATTTTTCAATTTAAAAATTTTATGAAAATTCAGTAATTGTTTAAAATTAAAAAAAAAAATCAGAAAATAAAATTATCCGAAAATTTCAATTCAAAATCACTTGAATTTCAATTATTTTCAAACATTTCAATTTAAAACCTTTTAAAATTTAATTATTTTTAAAAATTTTTCATCTAAAATTTTTTGAAATTCAATTTTTATTTGTAATTTCTAATAAATTTTTCAATTTATTGAATAATATTTTAGAATATTTTGAGAATATTTTTAAAAAAATTTTAAATCTAAAAAGTTATTCAATTATTTCTAAAATTTTCAATTTTAAATCATCTAAAATTTAATTATTTCTAAAAAAATTTCCATCTAAAACTTTCTAAAATTTAATGATTTCAACTATAATTTCCAAAATTCAATTATTTTTAATGATTTTTATAATATTCTTCAAAAATTCAAATATTTGAAGCATTTTTCAATTGAAAACTTCTGAAATACAATTATTGTCTAAAATTTAACATTGTTTCCAAAAAAAAAACTAAAATGGAATTTTCAGAAATTTAAAAAAAAATATAGTTTAGTTTAAATTTTTATAAAATTTATTTATTTACTTTAAAAAATCTGAATTGTAAATTTTCGAAAATTCAATTTTTTTAAAAAAAAATGGTTATCTAAAATTATTATTTGATAAATTATTTTGTAAAATCTTAATTATTGTCTGAAATTTAACAAAATCTTATGAAATTCAATTATTTCGAATAATTTTAATATTTCTTTAAAAATTCAATTATTTAAAAAAGTTTCAAATAAAAACATTAAAATTAAATTATTGTCAGAAATTAAAAAAAAACTAGGTACAGCAATTTAAATTAGCAGAAAATTTATTTCAAAATTAAAATCTTTTGCATTTCAATTATTTAAAAAAAAAAAAAAAAATGATTTTAAAATTCTGTAAATCTTAATTATTATCTGAAATATTTTTGATCATTAAAAGTAAAACACTATGCCGAAATTTTTAATTCGAATAATTTGCTTAAATTGGGGTTTTGAAAAAATTTTAAAAATGGAACTTTAAGAATTTTAAACAATAAAAAAAAAAATTCGCTACCTAAAAAATTTGTTACATAAAAATTCGTTTGAAAAAGAAATTTAGTCAAATATTAATTGAAAAAATGGAAATTCATCTAAAAAAAATAATTATATCTAATTAAATTTTTTAAAATAATAATGATTTTTTATGGAAAATTTTTTGTTATTAAATGATAAAAATTAACGTTTACTTCGAGTTGGGAATATAAAAACGAAACTTAATTTCTTTTTACGTTTTCATAGCATCGCTGTCTTTTTACAGGAATCTATAATTTTATTAAAATAAAAATTATTAAAGAAAATATTTTAATAATTAACCAAAAAAAAAAAAATTATATAATTAACAAAAGAATTTTAATTTTTTATTTTATCTGTAATTAATTTTTATATTTTTTGTAGTTTTACGATTTTTTGTTAATTAGAATTTTTTAAATATTTTTTAATTTTAAAACTTATTTCGTTGTTCAATTTTTTATTTTTATTCTAATTTAGAATATTTAGAAAAATTCTCATTCAACAGAATTTTAAATAAATAAAATTCTCTACCTAAAAAATTTGTTACGTGAAAATTCGTTTGAAAAAGAAATTCAGTCAAATGTTAATTTAAAAAATGAAAATTCGTCTTAAACAAATCTTATTCAACAGAATTTTAAATAAAAAAAATTCACTACCTAAAAAATACTTTACGTAAAAATTCGTTTTGAAAAGAAATTCAGTTAAATGTTACTTTAAATAATGAAAATTTGTTTAAAAATAATAATTATATTATATTTAATAAAATTCATTTAAAATAAATATTTTTTTTAATTAAATTTATTTTTATGAAAAATTTCTGCCCCATAAAACTGTCTCGATTATTTTTCGCCAGATTTTCGCTCAAATTAATAAAAAAAATATTAATTTTTCATTTTTTTTTTCAACTATCAAAAAAGAAAAATCGGCAATTAATTTTTTTTTGCAATTTCAGAGGAAGATGCGTTCAATACATGAGCGGTGGATTTGTCTTCTCAGCATGTCATTGCTTCGCTGGTTATCGTGGATTCGATTGCGATGATGACACCTATGTCCTCGACAACAATGGAATTCTATTGCGAGTATTAACATTGACATTAAGTAATTTAGCATTTTTAGGTTCAATTTATATTGCAATACGTCGACAATATTACACCGAGGCAATTGTCTATAGTGGTGTATTAATTTTCTCAAGTTTCTATCATGCATGCGAAGCTGGTGAAAATCTTTATACATTTTGTTTAATGCGTTTAAGTGTATTGCAATTTTGTGATTTTTTCAATGCCCTACTATCAATATGGGTGACATTAATTGCAATGGCATCGTTTGGTCAACGTTTAACAAATTTTTTTCAAATGACAGGCGCAATTGTTCTTGCAATTTGCGCTGAACTTGATCGCACAGCATTGTGGGTTTTTTTATTACCCACAATAACTGGTTGTACACTTGTTATTATTTCATGGTTAAAAAAATGTCGTTCAAGAAAAACATTTAAATATCCAGCGCGACCCTATGGGACAATTCATTTGGGAATTGGTCTTGCATTAGTGATATTGGGTCTTGTTTGTTATGCATTTTTACAAACGCGTAAAAATTATTTTATTGTCCATAGCTTTTGGCACATTTGTGTCGCTGTTGGTGTTATGCTATTACTGCCAAAGAGAAAGTATATGCAATAGAAAAAAAAAAAAAATTAAAAGAGTATATAAAAAATATTGAGAATATATTATATATATTGAGAAGTTTTAAATTCAGGGTTGCCACGAAAGACTGATTTTAAAATTCAATGACTTTTCCAGACCATTTTTTTTAAATTCCAATATAAATTGATTTTGATGAATTTTTAACCAATTACGCCAAAAAATACAATTTAATGAATTAATTAATTTCATATAAATTAATAAAATATTCTGTAAACTAATTTTTTGTAAGAAAACGCAAAAATGAAATCATTCAAATTAAAAATGATTTTTTTCCATGTTTCGATGATCGAGTTTCTATTTAACTAGATTTTATAAAGTAAAATTCATAATGAATGGAATTTTCCTACCAAAGAATTTTTGTTAAATTGATTTTTTATTTAATGAAATTTCTATTTTTTATATATCTATTTTAATTATTTTTAATTATTTTTATAATATTCTATGAAAATTCAATTATTTGAAACGTATTTCAATCAAAAATTTCTGAAATTCAATTTTTGTCTTTAATTTCTAATACATTTTTCAATTTATTGAATAATAAATTAGAATATTTTGCAGAATTTTCAATTCTGTTAAAATTAAATCTAAAATTTTGAAACTTTTTGAAAATTTAAAATTCTTAATTATAAATTTTCTGAAATTCAATTATTTTTAATAATTTTTTATATTATTCTTCGAAAATTCAATTATATGAAAATATTTTTCAATTAAAATCTTTAAAGATTCAATTTTTGTCTGTAATTTCTAATAAATTCTTTAGCAATCAAAATTTTTCAACAAAATACATTTTTTTTTTTTGGTATGCAATAAAGATCTTTTTCCGATCCTTTTTATTTCAATTATTTCAATTATTTCATTTTTAAGTAAAATTATTCTTTTCTAAATTAATTATTTTCAATAATTTTAATTAAATTCTTCACAAATTCAATTATTTTAATCTATTTTTTTAAATTGAAAATTTTGGGAAATTCCAATAGTTTGAAATTTAAAACAAAATTAGAAAATAAAATTACCCGAAAATTTTTCAATTCAAAATCACTTGAATTCAATTATTTTTAAAAATGTCAATATAAAACCTTTTAAAATTTAATTATTTACAAAATTTTTCGTCTAAAACTTTTTGAAATTTAATAATTTCAACTATAACTCTTCCAAAATTCAATAATTTATTTATTTTTAATGATTTTTATAAAATTCTACGAAAGTTCAATTTTTTGAAATAATTTCTAAAATTCAATTTTTTTCTGTAAATTCTAATAAATTTTTTCAATTTTCTTCAATAATAAGATTGTTTATTCTCCAAATTATTGAATAATAATTTTAGAATATTTTACAAAATTTTCAATTCTGTTAAAATTAAATCTAAAACTTTTGGAAATTGAATAATTTTAACTAGAAATTTACTGAAATTCAATTATTTTAAATGATTTTTTTAATAAAAATTCAATTATCTGCAAAGCATTTTTCAAAAAAAATTTTAATTTCAATTTTTGTCTATAATTTCTAATAAATTCTTCATCGACAGAAATCACCGAAAACTTTAATTAAAAATCACTTGAATTTCAATTATTTACAAAAATATGAATATTGTTAATCTTTGAAAATTAATTTATTTCTTAAAAAAGGTTAACTAAAATTATTTTGATAAATTCTTTTCAATTCTGTGAAATTTAATTATTTTCTGTAATTTAACAAAATTTTTTGAAATTCTTTTTTTTTTTTTCTTTTTCTCTTTTTATTTCTAAAAATTTCAATTGCATCTCTTCCAAAATTCAATTATTTTTTTTAATAATTTTCATATTTCTTTAAAAATCCAATTATTTAAAAAAGTTTCAAATAAAAACTCTAAAATTGAATCGTCAGATTTTTAAATTCAATTATTAAAAAAAAAAAAGAAAAGATTGAATCGAATTCAAAATTGAAAAGATCGAAATCTGTAAATTTTAATTATTGTTTGAATTTTTTTTTTTGATAAAAATTCCCTGACATTTACAGATTTTCCATGACTAAAAAAAAAAATTTCCCTGACAATTCCAGATTTTTCAAGTCTGTGGCAACCCTGTTAATGAAAAGTACAATATTTGTGATAAAAAAGAAAAAATGTTTTAGCGAATAATAAATATTACAGAGTTTTAATTGTAAATAGCAAAAAAAAAAAAAAAAAAAAAATTGTAGATACTGTACAGAGAGTGAGAATTTTTTTTCTTAATTATAAAAAAAAAAAAAAGAGTGTTGGAATATATTGAAAGATGTAAATTTTCGAGGAAAAAAAAAACTTGAGAATTAAATAAATGAATATAAATTTTAATATTTTTTTATTTATTTTCCATGGTTTTTTTGTATTGTAATTTAAAAAAATAATTAATTTTATTTCGTCACACATGTACTTTGTATAATATATTATAAATAATGGTAAAAATTAATTATCATCAATGAACGTCGGATGTTGTTGTGGAGGCTTTGGTTTTTATTGTTGGATTATCGGCGGAAGACATGGCGGACATTACATGTGACATGAGGGAGAAAATTGTTTCTAATGAAAAACCACATTGTGGATATGCTCGGGCACAATTTTCTCCTGAACGACCTGAATCGACGGCTTCTTGAATTGCTGTACCTTGAAGTGCTGTTCGTAAAATTTGATTTGTCGACAGTCCATCGACCATTCGATCTAATGTTGAAATTTCTTCTTGGGTTTCATTTGATTCAATTGCTGCCTCGCGAACTGCAACAGCAGCACGTTTTGAATATGAACATACCATTCTTTGCATACATGATGTTGTATCAATTCCATGACGACCAAGTGCATCGTCCAATTTTGTCATTGTTTGCATAATGCCACCTTCGTCGCCTGTAAAAAAAAAAATTTAAGAGAATTATGAGACAAGTCTTGGAATGTAAGATTTTTTCTACTTTTTTTTTTTGAAATACGATTTTTCTTGAATTATTTTAATAAAATTGAAGTTTTTCGATTTATTTTTTCGATTTTTTTTAAGGAAAATTGTCAACAAAATACAAATTTTTTTTGGAATGCAATGCAGATGTTTTTCAGATCTTCTTTTTTTTAATTTTAATTATTTAACAAATTTTTAGTAAAATTCATTTCTAAATTAATTATATTCAATAATTTTAATTAAATTCTTCACAAATTTAATTATTGTAATCTATTTTTTTAAATTGAAAATTTTAGGAAATTCCAATAGTTTGAAATTTAAAACAAAATCAGAAAATAAAATTATGAAAAATTTCAAAATTCAACTTATCAATTCAATCATTTCAACTATAACATTTATTCAATTTATTTATTCATTTTTATTTTCAAAAATTTTAATATAAACATTGAAAATTTTTAAATTTAATTATTTCAAAAATTTCCATTTAAAACTTTTTAAATCTATTTTTTAATTTAAAAATTCAATAATTGTTTAAAATTTAAAAAAAGAAATCGAAAAATAAAATTACCAAAAATATCAATTCAAACTCACTGGAAATTCAATTATTTTCAAAAATTTTAATTTAAAATTTTTGATATTTTAATCATTTCAACTGCAACTTTTTCGAAATTCAATTACTTTTAATGAAAATTATAAAAATTATAATATCATTCGAAATTTGAATTATTTAAAGTATTTTTCAATTAAAAATTTGTGAATTTCAAATTTTTGTCTCTAATTTCTAATAAATTGTTCAGCAACAAAAATCACTAAAAATTTAAAACAAATAATTTTTGAACTTTCATTATTTTCAAAAATATAGATTGTAAATATTCGAAAATTAAATTATTTTCAATTATTATTATTTTTTATTTTCAATTATTATTTTCAATTATGTAAAATTTATTCTTCAAAAATTCAATTATTCTTAATAATTTTTATAATATTCTTCAAAAATTTAATAAAAATCATTTTTTAAATAATAATTTTTGAAATTCAATTTTTGTCTGTCATTTCTAATAAATTCTTCAGCAACAGAAATCCCCAAAAATTTCAATCAAAAATCACTTGAACTTCAATTATTTTCAAAATTTTTAATTGCAAATTTTTGAAAATTCAATTACTTAAAAAGAATGCTATTTAAAATTATTTGATAAAAATTCATTTTTAATTCGGCGAAATTTAATTATCAGATTTTTTAAAAAAAATAATTGAATTTCAAGTAATTTTTTTATTTGTAATTTTTAGTAATTTTATTTGATGATTTTTTTTTTAGAATTTTTAATTTATAAAATTTTTAATTGAAAAATTCAATTATTTCTAAAAAATGCTATCTAAAATTATTTAATGAATTTCTTTTCAATTCTATGAAATTTAATTATTTCCTAAAAATTTTTCTGATCATTAAACTATGCCAAAATATTTAATTAAAAAAATATATATTTTAAAGAAAAATAACTTTCAACTTACTTCTTGCGTAGGCGCCATAATTTCCTGAGACAATGTACAATAATTTTGGTATCACTAAAACAGTTCCAATTCCAATAACGGCACCCAATAAAAGTCCACCTAAATCGATTTTCGCTGGTGCATAGGAGGAGACACCGTAACCCTGAAAAAAAGAAAAATTGAATTTTATTTAGTAATTTTTACTTTTTACAGCAAAAAAAAATATATTTTTTTAAATTTAATTTAATTTTCAGTTAAAAAATTTTTTTTTTTTGTAATTAAAAAAGAAAAACACTTACGGTTCCCGTTCCACCGACATTGGTGAAACCAAATCGTGGCTCTTGATTCCGATCGGAAATATCATTTTTCTCCGACGACGTGAGTTTTGCTGAAGAATCTTTGGATTCACTTGAAACATCCGATCTTTGCGAAGCAACAGCTATTTGATCACGTGATTTTGTCGATGATTTTGTTAAATAATCCACGGAACTTGGAATAAATCTAAAATTTAAAATAAAAAAAAAAAATGTTATTCATAAAAAATAAATAAAAAAAAAAAATGTTTTCCAAAACTAAAAATTAGAAAATTAATTTTTTCACATTTTAATTAAAACACTAGTATAATTTTTACTATTTTTTTTTTTTTTTTAATTTATTGTTTCTTTAATCAAGTTAGTATTTACTAGTAAATTATTTTTCTAATAATTTTAATCAAAAGCATTTTAAAAAAAATTTATTAATCGTTATTTTTTTTTTTTTATCAAGTAATTTGAACTTTTACCCATTGAGTTCGAATTTCGGAACACAGAGAACAAATCCAAAATTGAATATAACTAAAGCTGCGAAAATTTTTATGTTTATTCGGCCCATCTGAAAATTAACAAATTTTATTTATTAAATTATTTTCTAAATTAATAATTATTTATCTATTTTCTATTAGATTTCCAAATTTTTTCCGAACAAACAAAATAATTTTAAAAATAAATAATAAATAAATAAAATAGAAATAAATTTCAAAAAAAAGAAAATATAAATTTCACAAACAAATCTATAAAATTTAGAAAAAAAAATGTCAATATATATAAATATCCAAAATCTAAAAAAATTTGAAAATAATATAAAAACCTTTTTTTAAGTCCAAAAGAAAATATAATACAGAGCCTTTTAATGAAAAAAAAAATAAAAAACGAAAATCTTGAACACTTTTCTTTTCGACGACTGAGTGTTTGAGAAAAAATTCCAGAAATTTATAGTAACACACGAGGCTTTTGGTCATTATCCGAAACAATTGGACATAGGGGAAATAATTGTCCCCCGGTTTCGCTTTCATTGTCAGATTTCCAGAGAGGATGTCCACGATGCGTAACTTCTTCTCTTCATAGTAAAGTATATTAAAAAAAAAAAGACAATTTCTTTCAGAAAATAAATGCAACAGAGAGAAAGAGAGAGAAAAATATATAAAAGACCCTCTTCAGGAATTTTTGTCTCCAAGCTGAAATAATTCCTCTTTTGCAACAGCTATTACTAACTTTTACAAACTCTCGCTCAATTTCTAATTTTGCCTTTGTCTTGTCTTTTAATAATAATATTATTATTATGGATTTTTTTTACATTCTTTGAAAAGAATGCATTTTTATGTCTCAACAAGATGATGATGATGATTATTATTTGACGTTGCGTCCTGCAAGAAAATTATCCAAATCTTTAGTTTCCTTTGTGCCTAAAAAAGAAAAAAAGAAAAAAAATTACGCCTCGTTGCTTTTGCATTTTGAATCTTATCGTCACTAATTTTTTTCAATTATTTTCAATTATATATTTCAAAGTCTCTTTTAGAGGTGACAAGAGAGAAAAATTATTTTCTATATAATTATTTTATTATTGTTTTTTTTGAAAAATTTATATTATGATGAATTTTATTGTGCAGTTGATTGTTTTTTTTTTTAATACGTCTTGAAGAATATTTATTTTTAACGTTTTTAATTTTTTTCTTTTTAATATATTTTTTAATTTAGATTTTAGATTTTTTAGATTTAAAAAAAAATTTTCAATATTTTTGTTCTTTATTTTTTATTTTAATTTTTATAATAATAATAATTATTATTATTATTAAATATCGCCGAGTGATAAATTAAAAATAATAATAATTATTATTATACTTTGTACCAAAGGACTTCCAGTACCTAAATCATAAAAATAATAATAATTATTATTAATACTTTTTAAATTTTTGTAATATTCATTAATATTAATTAATTAAATTGTAAAAAAAAATTGTATATTTAAATTTCTTACTATACGAAAAATTATAAAAATTATGAAGGAGAAAGAAAATTCTTTTCTTAAAATTTTAATAGATTTCTAATCGAATTAACTATTGTTTAATAAATAAACAAATAATAAATTTATTTATTATTTATTTAATTTTATTTTAATATTTAATTTATTTATTAATTATATTTTTTAATAAATTAAAAAAAAAATTTCAAATTCGAATTTAGAAATTTTTTTTAATTTCGAAATTTTACAAATAAAATATAAACCTCGAGCAAAAAGAGAAATGGGGCGAAAAAAATTACAATTCCCAAAATTGTAATTCACGAATATAAAAACAGAAAGTTTATCACAATTTTTTTTTCAAATTTAAAAGAGAAATATTATTGTTAGTCGGTTATGGTATGTTAGTTCAGAAAATTATTTTAAAAAAAATAAATAAATAAAGAAGAAAAAGAAAGTGATTATATTTCTCTTCCGGAAGAAAAAATAATAAATGAACTTCGTGAAATGTGTTTATAATTGGTTGTTGTTAATTTTTAACATCCGCATTCAAGGATCATAAAATCTTTTGCAAAACAAATACACGATTATTTTTCACACGACAATTTCTATTCTTGTCATTTTGTTAATTTTTTTTTTTTTTTTTTTGCAAAAAGAGTGGGCAGAAGGTATATACATATAGGATACCACCAGGAATTTCCTGGTTCATAGATAAACTTGTCGGATTATTGTGTACATCAATTTCAATTCTTTTCTAGCAAAAAAAAAAAATAGTGAGTGTATTGTGTTTTTTGGGGAAAAAAAAAGAAAATTTATTATTTTTTTTTATTTTATTATTAAATTAAATATTTTTTTAGCTTTTAAAAAAATGGGTAAATCGCGAACACATGTGATTTTAATTTCACTATTTTACATTCTTGAGCCATTGAATATTTTCAAATGTGGAAATTTGATAAATTCAGTTTCTGGATTTGGTCAAAAATTTTCACCTGGACGTTTCATTTCATTTGATTCAAACGACGGTAAAATTGACGTAAGCTTAAAATAAATTTTAATAATAAAAAATATATTTATTTTTCATGTGAAAAAACAAGGGTTTTTTTTAATTCAATTTTTGAAAATTTTTTTTTTATTTCAATTTTTGGAATTGTTTTTTTTTAATTTTGATAACAAAAATATATTACGAGCCCTTTAATAGTTTCAATTTAGTATTTTTTTTAAATTTTTTTATTATTATTCTTTAATATATGTAATAATTAAATATTTCTTAATTTTACATTAATAAATTTAAATAAAAAAAATTTTAATTTCGTATCAAGTTACGTTGAGAAAAAAGCAATTTATTTTAAAACTATAATTATAATTATTTAAACAATTAGAAAAAAAAATGTTTCATCGAAATGGAAGTGTTTGTTTTTATTTAATATTTAAAAATTATAAAATAAATTAATTAATTGTAAAATTAATAATAATAAATTACTTATTAATATTTTTTAAGATTGTAGTTTCCCCCTTTCTTTTCCTTTTTTTTTAGATTGAATTAGATTTGTCAGTTCCATTCATAACTCTTCCACTAAATAATAAAGACGGTAAAAGTGGATTGCCAACACCATTGTTGTCAGTTAACACACAGGGAATTGTTGTGATGGGAATTTTATTAGCCACGAGTGCCTTTATTGTGCCACTATTTTTTAAACCAATGACAGTACCACCTAAAACACCAGGACAACGATTTCGTGAGTTTCAATTTTTTTATCAACAATATTATTATTATTATTATTATTATTAATTATTTTTATTATTTTAATTTTTATTATTTTTATTATTTTTATTATTTTAATTTTTATTCTTTTTATTATTTTTATTATTTTAATGTTTATTATTTTAACATTTATTATTTTTATTTTTATTAGTCAAATTTTAGCAAAAAATTAAACAGACTAAAGTTTAATAAATTATTTACAAAAAAGTAAATTTTTATTTTATTAATTTTTTTATGAGCTTTAAATTATCATTTATACAGTTTACACAATTTTTTTTTATACCTAAATACTGTTATAAATTATTAAAATTTTATTATTATAAATAATATTATTTATTTACATGTTAACTAACTTACAAAAAAAAATTGCCCTTTTTGTACCGAAGTACTAAAATTAAAAAATTAAAAAATTATAAAATATATTAAATATAAAAACATAATTGTTTCTTAAAAAATAATTTTAAATTATTATTTAAAAATTCTAAAAATTATTTATATATAAAATTAATAATTTTTTTTAAATTAAATTAATTAATTAATTATTTTTAAACTTAAAAATTATTTTAAAATTTGTCTCGGACACTAATTTTTATAATAGTTTGTCCTCTGGATTTGAGTTTTTTTTTGTTTTTAATTTTTCCAAAATTGAAATTCCATTTTTTTTTTCAATTTTAGGAATGGATGAAGATCTCCAGTTGTGGAATTTGGGTAATACGGTTAATGAAGCATTGTCTAATAACAAACTCGTTACACCTTGCGTTCAACGAATATTATGCTCAATGGTAACGACAATTAAACACACGGACAATCCAACGAGTACAGACAAAATTATCGACGGTGTCGTCAGGTAAATTATATTCTCAATAATTTTTTATTATTAAAATTTTAAAAAAAATTTTTTTTTAATAATTAATTTTTTTCTTTGCAACAACAATTATATTAATTTGTCCTCCATATTTTGATTAGCCAATTTTAATTTTTAAAAACTGACTAAAAATTGATTTAATTCAAAAAATAATTAAAAAAATTTTTTTTTAAATTTCTTAATAAAATTTTGAATAAGGAAATTTTTTTTGTGGGCTTTTTTGCAGTCACAGTTGGTTTGAACAATTCGTTAATGGAAGTGTTCTTATGGATGCAATTACAACGGGTCAGGGATCACAAAAAGATTGTGATGCCACATATAAATCGTGTCCTGTCTCGCAACAAATAATTGCCAATTCATTAAGACTGTTAAGTTTTCTTTAGTTGTTAATTAGAACATTTTATTTTTGTACAACCTTCGCATTTGTTTCATATATATACATATATAGTCAATAATAATAAATAAGAATAATATTTTTCTACTTTATACATAAATGTTTTGTTATTACAAGTTTTTTTTTTAAAGTTTTAACAAAATTTTAATGTAATCATTATTTATCACCTTGTTTTTTCTTTGCAACAATTTTTTATATACTTTTCAATATATATATATTTTTTATTTGGTAACTTTAAACTTTTGGTTATTGTTAATTATAAAATAGAAAATTTAACTAATAATATTATTTTCTGTAAATTTTTTCTAAAAAGATGGTTAGTTATTTTCAAAAATTATTTTTATGTACATTTTTTTTTCGGGAAAAATTATTTCTTTTGGTAAGTTTAGAAGAAAAGAATTATGAGAAGAAATTAACAGTTTTTCTGTGTGAAAAATGGAAAATATTAATGAAGATACAGAAATCTTCGAATTATATAACAAAATAAATATATATGAGATTTCAATTTACTTATAAACAAAAATTTTACTAAAAAAAAATAAATTGATTCAAATAATCAATTACTTTGGGAAATATTTTTATTTGTATATCAATAATAATAGTTATTATTTAAGTTAAATTGCTGTGAAATTTATTTCTCATGTAATTGATTATTTGAAATTAAAAATAATTTCCAATTCTAGATAAATAAAATCGTTAATTGTCAAGTGATAAATTATTAAAAATACTTGATTCCGTCATTAATTTCAATGAGTCGAGAGATTTTGCTAGTTCGGCGACATTAACAGGTGTTTGTCCCATTGCGTCCTTTTTCGTTAAATCCACTTTATTTTTCATGAGAAATTTAATACAAGCTGTATGATTGTGTAATACTGCAAGATGTAGAGCCGTACGTCCAGAAATATCAGCTTCTGAGAGATTTCCACCGGCCAATAAATAGGAAATTAATCGAGTAATATTTCCAACTGCCGCCGCTGTACATAATTTTTCACCGAGGACTTTTGGTCGTTCGTGAAGATGCGCACCACATTGACGTAATAATCGAATTATCTGCAAATTAATAATTAGTTAAATTTATTTATTCAAGATAAAAATATTTATTAATAAATAAATATTTAAATATTTATTATTATATTATATTTATATTTATATTTATATTTATTTATTTTAAATATTTATTAATAATCAATTATATTATTTATTATTTTATTTATTTAATCAGCGACCTCTAAAATTTGAAAGCTTTTTTTTGTTTTAATGAAATATTAAAATTATTAAAAATAATTGAATTTTCGAATATTTACAATTAAAATTTTTTGAAAATAATTAAACTTCAAGTGTTTTTTTATTGAAATTTTTAGATAATTTCTGTTCCTGAAGAATTTTTTAGAAATTACAAAAAAAAATTGCATTTAAAAAATTTTTAATTAAACAATAATTGCAAATTATTGAATTTTTAAAAAATATTCTAAAAATTATAATAAATAATTGAATTTTGGAAAGTTAAATTTGAAATTTTTAGAAATTTTTTAAATTTATAAAATATTTAATTGAAAAATTCAGATTTTTGAAAATAATTGAACTTTAAATGATTTTTCATTGACATTTTCTGTGATTTCTGTTGTTGAATTTTAAAAATAATTCAATTTTAAAAGATTTTAAATTGAAATTTTTGAAAATAATTGAAATTCAAGTGATTTTAAATAGAAATTTTCTACGATTTTTGTTGCTAAAGAATTTATTAGAAATCACAGACAAAAATTGAATTTCAAAAGTTTTTAAAATTGAAAAATACTTTCAAATAATTGATTTTTTGTAAATTATTTTAAAAATTATTAAAAATAATTGAATTTCAGAAGAGTTGTGGTAGAAATTTTATTAAATTTCAAAAAGTATTAGTTAAAAATTTTAGAAAATTTTATATTGCAATTTTTGAAAATAATTAAACTTCAAGTGTTTTTTTATTGAAATTTTTAGATAATTTCTGTTCTTGAAGAATTTTTTTGAAATTACACCAAAAATTGAATTTCAAAAATTTTTAATTGAAAAATAATTTCAAATTATTGAATTTTTAAAAAAATATCCTAAAAATTATTATAAATAATTAAATTTTAAAAAGTTACATTTGAAATTTTTAGAACTTTTTAAAATTTATAAAATTTTTAATTGAAAAATTCAGATTTTTGAAAATAATTAAACTTCAAGTGTTTTTTTATTGAAATTTTTAGATAATTTCTGTTCTTGAAGAATTTTTTTGAAATTACACCAAAAATTGAATTTCAAAAATTTTTAATTGAAAAATAATTTCAAATTATTGAATTTTTAAAAAAATATCCTAAAAATTATTATAATTAATTAAATTTTAAAAAGTTACATTTGAAATTTTTAGAACTTTTTAAAATTTATAAAATTTTTAATTGAAAAATTCAGATTTTTGAAAATAATTGAACTTTAAATGATTTTTCATTGAAATTTTCTGTGATTTCTGTTGTTGAATTTTAAAAATAATTCAATTTTAGAAGATTTTAAATTAAAATTTTTGAAAATAATTGAAATTCAGGTGATTTTTAATTGAAATTTTTGAAAATAATTGAAATTCAAATGATTTTAAATAGAAATTTTCTACGATTTTTGTTGCTAAAGAATTTATTAGAAATGACAGACAAAAATTAAATTTCAAAAGATTTTAATTGAAAAATACTTTCAAATAATTGAATTTTTGTAGATTATTTTCATAATTATTAAAAATAATTGAATTTCAGAAGAGTTGTGGTAGAAATTTTATTAAATTTCAAAAAGTATTGGTTAAAAAATTTTAGAAAATTTTAAATTGCAATTTTTGAAAATAATTAAACTTCAAGTGATTAGTGACTGAAATTTTGGTGATTTCTGTTGATAAAGAATTTATTAGAAATTATAGAAAAAAAATTGAATTTTAAAATTTTCTACTTCAAAAATGTTTTCAGCTAATTGAATTTTTAAAGAATATTATTAAAAAAATCATTAAAAATAATTGAATTCCAATTATAGTTGAAATTATTAAATTTCATAAAGTTTTAGAATAGAAAATTTTAGAAATATTTGAAATTGAAAATTTAAAAAAAAAACTGAATTTCAACTGATATTGAATTATAAATTTTGATAATTTTATTTCTTTTTCAAATTTTAGACAATTATTGAATTTCACAAATTTTTAATTTGTGAAAATACTTTAAATAATTGAATTTTCGAAGAATTTCATTAAAATTATTGAAAAAAAAAATTAATTTAGAGAAGAATTTTATTTAAAAATTTTGTTAAATAATTAAATAACTAAGTATTGTAATTATGTGAAAAAAAAAAATTTTATCAATACCTCGTGATGATCATATTCAATGGCGTCAATCAATGGAGTTCGATTGAATCGATCTTTTGCATGAACAATTGCTCCCATTTGCAAAAGACGACGAACAACGTGAACATCACCTTCACAGCAAGCAACATGCAAAGCTGTGCGACCATCAGCGTTTGTTTGCGAAATATCAGCCCCCTGCGAAAAAAAAAGAAAATATTTTCTAAATATTTCTAAAAATTTCTCTAAATTATTTATCTCTATACTCTTTTAATTACTATTCTCCAATTAACCAAATTTTCACAAAGAATTTTAATTTGGTCCCCTAGCCTTTTTTTATTTAAAAAAACATAGTTTTAAAATACCTTTTTGTATTAAATAGAAATTCTGTTAATGAAAATTTGGTTTAAATTCCGTTAATTAAATATTATTCATGTAAATATAAATATTAAAAAAAAAAAATTAATTTGCATAACTAACGTATTCTTTTAAAGACTCCAATTTGACAAGATCACGAGCGACAACAGCGGCAGACAACATCGCAGGAAATAAAATTGAAACCAATTGAGTACGCTCTTTTGGCGAACTCGCATGAAGAGAATGTGCAACAGCTTCAATAAGATCTGGATCATGTTTTTTCGGAGGTCTACCTCCAGTTAATTCACCTCGTAAATTAGTCTGCATCATTGTTCGTTTCATTTCAGTTTCCCATTCTTTTTTCGATAATACATACGACAGTTTCGTTAATGCCGCTTCCGGTGTCATATCATAGCCGGAAATTACACCTAATATTATTGTTAAAAAATAATTAATTAACTATTTTTAATTTTATTATTAAATTATTAATTTACTAATTATTATTATTTTTGTAGATTGAAAAATTTTAAGTTCATTTTTGTAGATTGAAAAATTTTTAGTTCATTTTTATTAATTAATAAAATTGTAAATTGAATTTAATTAAATTAATTTACCAGCATCGACGAGAATTTGTCCAGCCTCATAAATATTGTCAACACTACCAGTTGCGCATTGTGTAATATTAACAATAATAACACCGCGCGTTGTCGCTTCTTTAATTGCCGTAATAATATCATGTCGATTACTTGGAATATTTCCAGCTCCATAACTTTGCAATACAACTCCCTCAGTTGGAGGTCGCAAAAAAGCTTTCACCAATTCACCAGTGATGCTTGGAAAAAGTCTCAACAAGCCAACATTACGACTTAAATTTGTGTGAACGTGAAATTTCTCCAAAGCACCAGAGCGAAAAATAGATGGATAATCCACTGTAATAAAAAAAAAATGTCTTTTTAATTATTACCTATAGAAAAAAAAAAATTTATTTTCTAAACAGAAAAAAAATGAAGATTTATTTAAATAAAAAAAAAAAAAAACTACGCATTAATTAATTACCTAAATTATTTTATTGAAATTAATTATAAATCGTGAATTTCAAAAAGCTCTCAAAATTTTCAGTATAATTTAATTAAATGAAAACAATTATTCAAAAATTTTAATAATTTAAAATTATTAAAAAAAAAAAAAAAATTAATTAAAATTTTTGTAATAAAAAATAATTTAACTACCTTCCACTCGAATACCAGTGACGGCGAGAGGTGGAGAATTCAGAGAATTGAAAGCATCAAAAGCTTGCGTTGACAGTTTACTCGTGCGATTTCCGCGCAATAGTCGTGTACCAAAAAAAATACAAACCTCAGGAATATTATAATTTGCCGCAATTACAAGGGACGAGAGAAAATTATCAAGTCCATCGCTTCGCGAATCAAAAATTGGCAATTGCGATCCAGTTATGACAATTATTTTTCCAAGCGCTTCCAACATAAATGATAAAGCTGAAGCCGTATAGCTCATTGTATCAGTGCCATGAAGAACGACGAAACCATCGAAAAATTCATAATATTCCTTTGAAAAAAAAAAATAAAATAATTAATGAAAAAATTAATTCATATAATTATTTATATACTAGCAAAATTAAACGCGCGCAAGCGAGCCAAATTGAGTATTTAATTGTTTGTTATAAAGAAATTAAAGATTAATATTATCAATAATAATTTAATTTATTAGAATATTATTACATATTGAATGATAATAATGAAAATTATATGTTTACAGGCCTCGGATTATACGACTTTTTCCGACTTTTTTCAAAAATACGACTTTTATCGACTTATTTTAATAAAATGCGACATTTTTTTTACATTTGAAAAAAATGTAAATAAAATACATTTTTTTAGTATAAAATTTATATCTTCTTCAGATCTTCTTCAATTCAATTATTTAACAAATTTTTAACTAAAATGATTCTTGACTAAATTAATTATTTTTAATAATTTTAATGAAATACATCACAAATTCAATTATATCAAAATTATTTTTCAATTAAAATTTTTATGAAATTTAACAATTGTTTATAATTTAAAAAAAAAAATATCACAATAAAATTGAATTATTTTTTGAAAATTTCAATTCAAAATAAACTAAAATTCAATTATTACCCGAAATTTTAATAAAAAATTAATTAAAAATTCAATAATTATCCAAAATTTTCAAATTAAAATTTAATTATTTACCAAGTTTTCAATTTAAAATGAAATAAAATTCAATTATTTTCTAAAATTTCTATTCAAAATTAATTATGCAAATTTTCAATCAAAAATGAACTTAAATTAAATTATTATCCAAAATTTTAATTCAAAATCAATTAAAAATTCAATAATTATCCAAAATTTTCAATTTAAAATTTAATTATTTACCAAGTTTTCTATTTAAAATGAAATAAAATTCAATTATTTTCTAAAATTTCTATTCAAAATTAATTATGCAAATTTTCAATCAAAAATGAACTTAAATTAAATTATTATCCAAAATTTCAATTAAAATTCAATTATTTCCCAAAATTTTCAATGAAATTCAATTATTTTTAAAAATTTTTAATTTAAAATCAATAAAAATTCAATCGTTTTTTAAAATTTAAATTGAAATTCAATTATTTTCAAAATTTTCAATTCAAAATCAACTAAAATTCAATTCTTTTCCAAATTTTCAATTCAATAATTTTCGAAAATTTTTAATTCAAAATCTACTATAATTCAATAATTTTCGAATATTTCAATTCAAAATCAACTAAAATTCAACTAAAGTACAATTATTTTCCAAAATTTAAACTGAAATTCATTTATTTTCAAAATTTTCAATTCAAAATCAACTAAAATTCAATTATTTTCCAAATTTTCAATTCAATAATTTTCGAAAATTTTTAAGGGGGGAACACCAGTTGTAACTTTCGAAATATCGATTTTTTTTTTGGTGCATTTTCTTAAAGTATACATATTTAGAAATGTGTCTGTAAATTTCAAAGTTGATCCGGTGAAAAATAAATGAGATATACAGAACACTGCAGCGGCGCGTCCCGTGGCTTCATACAAGGTGGCCAGCCATACCTGACCCTAACGACAGATGGCCTTTTCCTATGATTTAGAAACGGCAACCACTGCGGAAGAGTTATTATATGGTCCAGGAATCGATGACTCTTTGTAACTTAGAAACAAAATTTCTTCTGAACAAAAAAAAGTAAGTTGAAACTTTTAATGCGTTTTTCTCAAAATGACATTTTCCAAGTCGGTGACCACGATTACTAGAATACCATTAAACCGATTTATTTAAAATTTAGTGTGCTTCATTTACACATATAAGTCTAGTTCGTGATCGAAGGATTTTTTTTTTTAATCAAAACTTTTTTTTATATAGCTGAAAATCGACCGTATTTTTTTAACGAAAATCATACTTTTGACTTTGACAGGTCGCCATTTTGTCAAATTTTTTTTTTTTTTTAAATCCTTCGATCACGAACTAGATAATCTTATAATAAATGTAAATCAATTTCATTTTTGTATTTCAGACGAAGTATACTTGCAGAATGCTGGTCACCGCAATTCGCCTTTTTTCTTAAGACGCCACTTCAATGGCTCATATCTCCAAAAGTTTTTGTTAAAAAAATTTTTTTTTTCTTTTAAATTACAGCTTTTTACATGTACTTTTAACTAATAAATAGTATTCTTTAAAAAGATTCATTGTTCTTTTGGAAAATATTCTTGAAAAAAGCATTATTTTTTGAGTTACAACTGGTGTTCCCCCCTTAATTCAAAATCTACTATAATTCAAAAATTTTCGAAAATTTCAATTCAAAATCAACTAAAATTCAACTAAAGTACTTACAATTATTTTAAAAATTTTCAATTCAAAATCAACTAAAATTCAATTATTTTCAAAATTTTCAATTCAAAATCAACTAAAATTCAATTATTTTCCAAATTTTCAATTCAATAATTTTCGAAAATTTTTAATTCAAAATCTACTATAATTCAATAAATTTCAAAAATTTCAATTCAAAATCAACTAAAATTCAACTAAAGTACTTACAATTATTTTCCAAAATTTAAACTGAAATTCAATTATTTTCAAAATTTTCCATTCAAAATCAACTAAAATTCAATTATTTTCCAAATTTTCAATTCAATAATTTTCGAAAATTTCACTTCAAAATCAACTAAAATTCAACGAAAGTACAATTATTTTCCAAAATTTAAACTGAAATTCAATTGTTTTCCAAATTTTCAATTCAAAATTAACTAATATTCAATTATTTTCCAAAATTTGAATTCAAAATTAATTGAATTTTCAATAATTTGAATTTAAAAGCATCTAAAATTTAATTATTTCTAAAATTTTCCATCGAAAATTTTTTTGTTTGAAATTTAATAATTTCAATTATAACTCTAAGGAAATTCAATTATTTTTAACTATTTTAATAATATTCTTTGAAATTTCAACTATCTGAAACCATTTTTTAATTAAAAATGATTTTCAAATTATTGTATTTTGTCCTCTTTTTCTAATAAATTTTTAGTGAAATCATCTAAAATTTTAATTAAAAAACACTTAAAGTTTCAATTAAGGCCATCCGGGAAAAATCCCTAACCTAAAAGTGTTTTCCCGCGCGAGATATTACTCGTAAATAACTTGAAATATCTTGTTCGGATTTGTCGGATTAATTAGATGAGGGCGAGCTGATTAAGAATCATCTCCATTTTTACAAGTAATTTTGTTGAAAAGTATTGAAAATCGTGATTATAAAAGTTGGATTTTTGACAGAAGTGGGAACAGTAGGGGAGGCGAGCACACAGACATTGAATCTATGTGTCAGTGGCCCAGAAGGTGGCGCCAATTTTAGCTAGTGGCCGCTGCTGAACTAACTTACCCCAAATTACTCCACTTTAAATCTTTAATAAAATAATTTCCTCACAATATTATTGCAAAAATGGAGAAGAGCCCCACTCAGTGACCCTTCCTCTATTATTCCTCCAAATGCCAACTCGAAATACTTTATCCTTTAAAGATGAGAAGTAATTTACGAAACCCCTTTTTGCCAATGTTTAAACATTTTTTTCAATAATTATTTATCAAGATTTTGCAAAATTCCGAGAAGAGCCCCTGGCAGGGTACCTTCCTCTATTATTTCCAAAAAATTACAACCTAAAATATTCAATTTTTTTCAAATGAGAAGAAATCTACAAAACCATTATTTTCTCCCGGATGGCCTTAATTTCAAAAATCTCAATTTTAAATCTTTGAAAATTCAATTAAATTTAAAAAAAGTTTCCCAAAAATTGTTTGATAAATTATTTTTAGTTCTGTAAAATTTAATAATTGTTTGAAAATTAACAATATCTTTTGAAATTTAATAATTTCTAAAAATTTTAACTTTAACCCTTCGAAAAGGATTAATATTAAAAAAAAAATTTTTTATATAAAAATCTGTAAAATATTTTTGTTAAAATAAAAAACAAATCCACTTTTTTTTGGAATATAAATCAACTAAAACGACTTTTAGTGTCTTTAAGTTGATTCGAGGCCTGTGTTTTTATAATTAATATTTAATAGGCATTCGTTGGCACCTGGTACCTTAAAAATAAATTTTTTTCAAATTACTATCTTGTACGAAATTTCCTGGCGCATCTTTTTTCTCATCATAAATTTTTTGTATTTGTATACAATTTTTGAATCAATATACAACTTTAAAAAAAATTTCATTGGTAAACGTTGTGTACTTCAGCTTCGTGAATTGAATTTTCGAATTTGGAATTTTAAAGAAACTTATTCCGAAATTTGGAAACACAATTATACAACTTTGGCAAAAATGAGAAAAAGAATTGTCAAAATTTGACACGTCATAAGATTACTATTCAAAAAAACACGTGAAATCAGAAAAGGCCAACTTCAAGTTAGGCCAGAAGGACAGACCAAGCATTTTATTAATTATATAATTTTTTTTACTGTATGAAATTAAAAAAAAATTAAATAAAATATTAAATTAAAATTAGAAATTTTACAAATCAGGTACGACGTTCTGATAATTGTATTAATTAATCGTAATAATAATAATAATAATAATAATAATACTAAATTATTAATTGTAATAATAATAATTGTAGTAAATTATTAATTTATTATTAATTGTATTATTTGTTAATAAAAAACAAATTTAATTAAATAAAAAACTAAATTAATAAAAACCTAAATTAATAAAAAAACAAATTTTTGTAATAAAAAAATAATTCTGCAAATTGCAAAATAAAAATAATTGACCGTATGAACTTTTAAAATTAAAGAAAAAATTTCCTTTTATTAATATTTGTTATATTTATTAAAATTTAATAAGTCACGTACTTTAATATCCTTAGCAATACGAATCCAATCGTCCATTGTCATATCACTGGAATCGCAAAGTGGCGAATATTCAATGACATTATAAATTACTCGTCGTTTATGTTCAGAAGAAATTCTATAATAAAAAGAAAATTTTACAATTTTGAAATTATGATTTTTAATTTCGCCCCCTTTTTTTAAAATATTATTATTATTATTATTATTAATTATTGTAATTTTATTAAAAAAAAAAAAGAGCGTGAAAAATTAAAATATAAAATCTCACGGTAAGACTAAAGGACCCAATGAACCAAATCTTTCGTCTGCATATTCTTTATCATGCATGTGAGGATATCGTCTTAAATTATTGACAAATGCATTTGCAACTGGTGCTAAGGCTAGAATAAATAAAAATAAATATTACACAATCGTGCGTTAATAGGTAAGCAAAATTTTACTATATTTCAATAACAAAAACTAAAATAAATTCTAATTTCAAAATTGTTTTTCATATTAACTAGAAAAATATTTCAAATTTTTTTTTTTTTATTAAAATAACATAAATATAAATATATTTATTATAAATTATTAAATTAAATGATTTTTTATTATTGAATTTATTAGATTTATATAATTATATATAAATTATATATATAAATAATAATTTATAAAAATAATTTTAAAAAAAGATTAAAAGAATACGATTATTTGAAAATTGTATAAAATTTATCGTTTAATAAAAATGAATTTTAAAATTATTATTATTATTATTATTTTGAAAATAATTTGAAAATTGAAATATAAATATAAATTTAAATAATTATTATACCTCCAGTTTCATTTCTTATCATTCCAATAGTGCCTCCGGTATAAAGTACCAAAACTCTTCCTTCCGGTTGATTTAATTCGTCAAATTTACCTGTCGATGCATTTCTCTTTTGAGCAAATGAAATTTTTTCATTTTGGCTGTTAATATCATTTTCAAATTTACCATTAGTATTTATTTCTAAATTCATTGTTTCCGAAACTGTAACAATTTGAATTTTTTTTTAACAATAACAATGGAAAAATTGTAAAAAATAAATAAATTAAATATATATAAAAATAATATAGAAATAATACACGGATATACGAAATTCAATTTTTTTTTCACTGTAGTTGTATTTGTAAATATTCAAATAAAACCTTCAGGTACTAATTTTTTTGTTATTGCGAACATTTAAAAAACAATTTTACGCTAAATTTATTATTTTATTTTGTACTACTTTTTTATTGTTATTATATTTTTAAAATTTTCAAGAAAGGCACATTTTAAAGGTCAAAAAATGTTATTACAAAAAAAAATTTCGAAAATATGCAAATCCCATTTCTGCTAATTATTTTAAAAATATAAAAAATTCTTTTTTGTGACAAAAACAAATCGATTTTTTAATAAATAAATATAATATTAAATGTAATAATAATAATAATAATAAAATAATAATAATAATAATTACAATATAATAACAATACAATATAAAAATATAATAAATATCTATATTTTTTTATGACTATAAAAAAAAATCACGAATAAATGCAAAAAATAGAATTAAATTATTTTAAATAATAAATAATACACTATTATACATACCTATATATTTATATATATATATTTCGATATGTGTCAAAGTAGAATTAAAAGTCACGAATTAAAAATGAAAAAATCAAAATTGCGTTTTTATATTTATTCGCGTATAACCTCAAGACGCAGTGTTGTTTACAATTAAAAGATGCAATTAAAGAAAAATGTCAATTTTTTTTCCTAAAATGTACAAACAGTAGCAGGTGTTGAATCAAAATCAAGTCAGTGAAGCGGAAATAAATTTTAAAACCTGCTTTATAAATGATGCAAGTTTGTACAATTGCGCCTTTTTCTCCCTTCACGGACCACGAGGTGACCATGATAGTTGTAGTGGTTAAAAAATTTATATCACATATATACATATATACAAAACGCACTATACTTCGAATGTGACACGTGGGTATTATTGACGTAGGTAAGGTTAGGTTTCTCGAGAGTTGATTTTTTTTCCCCCAAGAAAAATCCAACCAGTTAAATGTTTAATTATTATTGCTTATCGTAAAAGAAAGAATAAAGTAAAATTACGATATATTAAAAAAAAAATAAATAAACGGTTGTATAATAAATATCATAAATTGTGAAAACAACAAAAGAGAGGTTAGGAAAATTAAAAGAAAAATTGACATCTTTTTGTGGGATAAAATATAATTATTCTGTATTTAATATATAATTATTGTGATTTTAATTATATATGGATACAAAATTGGCGACTTACCGTAATAAAAAACGAAAAAAAGAAATGATTGAAACGGCTAAAAGTAAAATCAAAGATTTACTATTTTGGGATAGGTACAGATTCAGGGAAAATCCAACAGAGGCTGAGGTATATATATATATAAAATTTATTGATTTATTTAGAAGTTTATATATAAAAATAGAAGTAAAATATAAATATTTTGAATTGTATTTTTTTCCTTTTCTTCCTGTGAATTTATTTATTTTTAAATATCCAAAAGTTTACATTTGCAATTTGCATATTTGAATGCTGGGATTTTTAAAAATATTTTCTATTTCAGTTTATCTCAATAATATTTGTAAAAATTGTATATAAAAAAAAGTTTTTAAAACATTAAATGTAATGCGATCTGAAAAAAAGGGTCCGGAAGCAAATAAATTATAGGTTATGTTTGAATTAAAAGTTTAGTTTTGTTTTTTGTAAAAATGAAATCAGTTTTTTTTTTTATTTTGGATGCAATGAAGACAAAAATATTACAATTTGAACGTCTTAAAAATTTCAAAACATAACCTATAATTTTTTTTGCTTCTAAGGTCCCATTCTTTAGATCGCGTCACAATTATTAAATTATTATTTTAATAAAAAAAGTAAAGAAAGGTAAAACAAAAAATGTTATTTTTTAATTTTAAATTTGACCAATTTGTAATTTTAAATTTATATTCAGGTATCATTATTATTATTATTATATTAATTATTATTAATTTTTCGTGTTTTACTGATCGAATTTACATTTTTATTATAAAAATACAATTTGAAGGGGAATTTTACTTTGTTTACATTAAATTTATAAATCACGTAATTTTTAAAGGATCGTGAGCCATTGCATTGTGAGGATAAAAATGATAATGATGATAACAATAAAGATAACGAGGATATGGAAAGTATTTTATCAGATGAAAGTGTCGAATCAACTTCCTCTCATCCGGCAATAACATGGACAGTATATTTTTTATATTTTTCACTATGGTTAACACTTTATATTCTTGCTTTACGAATTGAATTTGGCGCTATTTATTTTATTATTTCGAGTTTTTATCTAATTTGGATTAATACAAGAACGAGTCCAAAAAAAAAGGGAGAAGTCAGCGCTTATTCAGTATTTAATCCCGATTGCAAATCAATTGACGGTACACTTAAAGCCGAACAATTTGAAAGGGAAATAATGTTTGGAGCAACATCCATTCATTTATAAATATTATATATATACCCAGAAAGAAAAAGGTGATAATTTTAAAAAAAACAAATTTTATTTATAAATAATTAATTAATTTTAAAATAAATTTTTTAAAAAATCAAATAATTCCTGATTGTTGAGAAAATAATTTATTTTAATTTATAAAATACAAATTAATATATATATATTTATAATTATTAATTAATAATTTTTCATTATTATAAATTTTTTGTCGTATTATTTCAGTTATAAATTTTTTTTTTTACATAAATAAAAGGTATAAAGACTTAAAAATATTTTCTCTATCAATTTTGTGATAAAATTTTTTTTTTTTTTTTTTGTAAAAAGTACAAAATCTTTATATTAGTTTTGTGTTGAGTGTAAATGAATAATAAAAAAGATTTGTATTTTTTCCTAGAAAACTGTGTGTAATAGCTATATAATTTTATATATATATATATATATAAAATTTTATAAATATATATTTATATTTGTAACATATGTTTTATGTTTTGAGATTGCGTTGTAAAAATAATATTGAAGAATTGTAAAAATTTGTCTTAAGAAAAAAAAAAACGAGGAAAATAAAAATACAAGTCAATAATATTCTTGTAAAAAAAAAAAAAAAAAAAAAAAAAATGGAGAATGTAACCTAAGCTTGAATTTTTTTCTTCACATTTATAAATATCAACAATATTCAAGCTCGGGAAATTCCATTTAAATTTTTATAACATTCTCTTAGTCGTTGTAATGTTTCTTGATTGCTGAGACAAAGAAAAGTTCTGTCTAAATCCAATAGTCGATCATTTGCAATTCTTGCGTCCAAGAGACTGAAAATTAATTTTTTTTTTATTTATTGAAAGAAAATTTTCAATTATTGAAACTATATTTTAATTATTCAATTCAATTTTTAATTGAAATTGTATTTTAATTATTCAATTAAATTTTTAATTGAAATTGTATTTTAATTATTCAATTATATTTTTAATTGAAATTGTATTTTAATTTTCAATTTAAATTGTTTTAATGAAACTTTTGTTATTTTAATGAAAAAAAAAAAAATGTAATGTTAATAAAATAGATAATTTTCTAATTAAATAATTTTAATGAAACTAAATTTGTTATTTTAATGAAGAAAAAAAATTGAATTTTAATAAAATAGATAAATTATTTTAGTTGATTAATTATTATAGTTTAAAATATATTTGTGGTTGAATAAAGATAAATAAAAATTACATTAAATTAAAATTAAGGATTAATTTTATAATTGTTTACTTGATTATTTCCATAGAATTGAGATTTTCTACGAAGCTGGTAATTTCGTCCATTAATTTATTTAAATCTATTATCTTCTGATACTCTGAAATTTATTTTCAAAATTTAATTATTTATTTTTATTATAAAATTTTTAAATTTTTTTAATTAATATTAATTAATATATTAATAATATTATTTATTTTATAAAATTATGCTTACGTTGATTCTCGAAGAGTCGTGACGGTTCTAATTTTACAAGATTTCGAAAAAGTGTTCCATTCAAATATTTTGAATTCCATGGGAGAATTATACTTTCCGACAATCTCCAAACACTTAATGCAATTATTTGCGCAATTATTTTTCTATTTTTTACCAAATCATCTCTAATAAGTGAATTGTTATTTTGTTTTGAATTCTGTAATAAAAATTCAATTTTCTACACTTAAAAATTTATTTTTTTAAACTATTTTTCATCAAATTTGAATGATTTATTAAAAAAAAAAAAAAAAAAAAAACGTTAAAAATATTTACATCGACTTTTAATTAAATATTAAATAAAAAAAATTCGCTTACCACGACTTACCACAAATGAAATAATTGCTTGTGGAATATTTATTTCTTTCGATGAATAAAATTGTTCATTATTGCATGTATTAAATGAATTTGATAATTTTACAAAATCAACAGCACGTTGAACGGCAGTTGCTGCAATATTTGATCCAGTTATATGAAGACAATTTTCATTGGACAATAAATAATTATTAATATTTGTAAAATTATTTTCAACAGCCTCATGTGTTATAAATGCAATAATTTTTGTTTGTACATAATCAGAAAGTTCATGATAACAATCATTTGCCGATTCATGGCATAGGCAAAATATAATTGTACGTCGTGGATGCCAATTTTGTTCAATATGAATTTTACTTAAACTACGTATTATTTCCTTTATTATTTGAAATTCCTTTTCAATTGACGATACAATCACAAATCTATCTGCAAAAAAAAAAAATTTCATCTATTTTAATAATTTATTTTTATTTTTCTAGAATTTTTCTTCCCATTTTTTTTTTTTGAATTAAAATAAACAAAAATGTTTGAAAAAAATTTCGTCAAATTTTTTTGTTAGTTTTTGTAATTAAAATTTTTTTTGTGAAAAAATTATAGAAAACTCACCCGATTCTCTTGATCCTTGAATTTTACCAATGGAACATGATTTATATTGATCGTAATAATTGAAAAAATGTTGAAATTCGGCAAAAAAATTATAGGGAAAATTTTCATTTTCTTGTTGACTGTGATTTTGATAAAATTTTCCATCATGAAGAAATTCAATGATACTATTTTGAAAATATTCAGTTATTTCAAGGCCATTATTGGCAAATTCCAATCGTGTACGTTCAGCACGTGCCATAAATGTTCGATGAACGGCAAAACGTCCAAGCATAAAACCACCGAGAAGACACAAAAATCCAATGGCAAATAAAAATGAAATACAACTACGTTTTGTGACAAATTCACTGGATTCACCAAAACCACGCGCTGTTTGAATACTCAGTACGCCCTGCATTTTTTTTTTCTTCTTCTTCTTCTTTAATTCACTTTTTGTTTTTATTCTAAATTTTCCATTAGAAAAGAAAATTTCAAAAATTTATTCATGAAAAATTAAATTAAAAATTTATTTTTCTTTTCTTTTTAAATAATTTTATTCAATTTTAGAGTTTATTTATAATTATTTTTTTTTTATTTGAAATTTATTCAACATTTTTAATATTGTTAATAAATTTTTTTATTTTAATTTCTTTAAAATTATTTTTTCTATATTTGAAATTATTTTAATTAATTCAATTTTTAATAACATTTTTATTTTAATTTATTTAAAATTATTTTATTAATTCTTTTTTTTTTGGTATTTTTTTCTACTTACAGAATTTACTTTTTTTCACGGAACTTTTGTAAAATGAGAAATTATTTTTTCTTTCATCTCTGATGAAAAAAGAAATACCGATTGTAAATTAATTTCTTTTTTTTTGTCTCACTTTTTTAAAATCAAATTTTTGTTACTTTTTTTGTTTTTATTTTATTTTTTTTTTTAGGTAATTCTTGAGAAAAGATGGAAAGAGTTGAATCTGAGTGAAAAGTATGTTTCAACAATATAAATCTATTTATAAGAATGAGAAGATTAGAAACAATAATTTCACAGACGTAGCACCATAATATCTGGTATATTTTTGCAATAAATTTGACTCTTTGAAAGCCGTTTCAATTTTCATCTTCTTTTCAATTTGCATTTAATTTCCAAAGCGTTGATGAATTTGACTTTGAACACAAATATTGAAATTAACGAGCATTATTATTGTTTTCAATTTTATTACATTTTGTATTTTTTTTTCTTTTTTCCTTATTTTCCTTTTTTTTCTTTATTTTTATTTTTTTTTTTTTTTGGTGAAAATGCAACAAAATCACATGGAAAAAAATTTTTTTTTTCCCTCTCAAATTGTTTTTAGAGGAGACTTTATAATTTCTCGAATTTACTGACGACTAACGAAAGACTGCGTGGGATCCGACGAATATAAGTTGTACTTATTTCCACTTTGGCTTCCACCTCTCGGTTCATTCTTATTTTATATATTCTATAGGTCTAGGTAAATGATCTTTATCAAATCATGATTGGTTTAAAGTCAATCTATTTCTTTCGTCCGTTTATTTGCCACTGATTAAATTTGATTCCGTTTCTCGAATGATTCATCGTGTTATTTTAGAAATAAAAAAAAATAAATAAATAAATAAATAAATTCTGCAATTCTTTTTTTTTATTAAAAATACTTTTTTATAAAAAAAACCTGTTATTTTGCAAAAACGTTTTTGAAATTTGTTTTTAAATACCTACTAATAAATTAAATTAAATATAATAAATAAAAATAATTTTTATTTCTTTTAAAAAATATTTTTGTAAAAAAAAGAGTTAATTTGTAAAATATTAAACAGAAAAAAAATTATTTAAAAAAATTAAAATTGCTTTTGATTAATTGATTTTTTAAAAAAGGATATTTTGACAAAAAACGAAAATGTACTATAAAATATAAATAATAGATAAATTAATCAAATACAAAATAAAAACGGCTTTATTCCGGTATTGCCCGTGTAAATAAATTATTAAATACGAATAAAAAATTAATTAATTAAATAAGAAAATAATATTATAATATTAATAGTATAAATATAATAAATATATTATTAAATACAAAATAAAAAAGTATTTAATTAAAATTAATTAAAAATGACAAATATTGATAAATAATTATAAAAAATGAGATAAATTCTGAAATATAATTTTTAAAAAAATTTATTTATAAAAAAAAAAAATGAAAACAGATTCCTTTTCGAAATATGAACAACTAATTCTTGTGTTCCGCATTTCTAACTCATTTATATGTTTACCTATATACATTTTGACGGAGACATTTTCAAGAAAGTATATAAATAGTTTACAAGTTTTCCTTGCGCGTCAATTTATAGAATTCTGGATTCCTGAATGTCTACTGCGAACAAAAAAACTGCCCTCGTATTTCCAAAATTAATGACCTAAATTCATTAAATTCCAAATGTTCATTTAAACATGAGAATTTTCTTTTTTAATTTTTTTCGAAATTATAAAAAAAAAAAAAAAAAAAAATTTAATTCTCTCTCAACAAATTGAAACCTTAAAATATTATTTAATAAAACTTTTTTAAATTTCCATAATTTGATTTTAGTCGAATTTTTATTATTTTATTTCTTATTTTTTATAAAATTAAAAAAATTATTATTATTTTTATAAAAAAAAAAGTATTAAATTTGAAAATTAGGTTTTTTTAAAACTTTTTAATATTTGTTTAAAAACTAAATTAATATTTTATCTCTAATTAATTGTTTTAGCAGAGAGAAAATGTTTTAGAATATTGGAATTTATATTTCAAACACTATGAATATTTGTCTACTAATAGAACACAATTTTTTATTCTAGAATATAATTACAGAAAAATGTACAATATAATTTATTGCTTATAATTAATTATCGCAGTAAATATAATAGAGAAAAATCAGTTCGTGAATTAACATTTTAAATAGATCAATAACAATATTAGAATCATGTTCTATAATTTTAATATTATGACAATAATATAAATGTGAAACAAATGTTTTCGATGTCTTTACAAATAGTTCGTTACGGAATTCTTTTTTAAATAACACATTATTCTTTTTTTCGAGAAAGTTTGAACAGTAAATATATAATTTTGATTACAAAAAACAAAATTCGAAATTCTACTTTAAATAAAAAATCGAAATCTTTCAATTATTAAAATAAAAATTTAATTATTACAATTAATTTAAATTAATTGTTAAAGGCCTCGAAAAATATTTATCAAAATTATTTAAAAAAAGTTTCAAATAATTATATATAAATAAAAATGGAATTTGATTATTTGAAGTTAAATATTTCCTCAATTCAATTTAATGGTGAAAAAAAAAATGTGAAGAGATATTTTGCATTAATTTTTTATGAAGAATTAATTTTAAATTATATAAGGAAAGTGAAAATATATTTTTAATTAATATATTATTATTATTTAATATAATAAGAAAGATTATAAAAATCTATGTGTCTGTTCAATATTTACAGTCTATTATTTATCGATGAAAAAGAGGTAAATTTACCTAAAAAAAAAAAAAAATGAAAAGTAATTTGGTAAAAATAAAAACCGTCTAGAACAGAATAATAGTGAAAGTGTCGATGACACGAGGAATTATTATAAATATATATTATGATGTCCATTTTTCATGTGGAAAGGAATTAATTAGTTAAAAATTGATGATTATAAAAAGTTTGTCTCTTCATAACGCTGCTGCTGGTAATACTTTGGAAATTTTTCGAAATTAAATTCGTTATTTTCAATTTAATTCCATTTCTATTTTTGCAATCATTATATTAAAAGTTCAAAAATTATCAAATTTAGTGTTGCGTCAAATTTAATTTATATATAAATATAATGAATGAAAGAATAATTATAATCTGTTTAGTAAAATAATAATTTAATTAATAATTAATAATTTTTCATTTTATGAAAATACCATTTTGAAATTTTTTTTTTAATAATTTTTTTACAATCTAAAAAATAAATAGATTTCGAATGTTGTAGAATTTCGAAAGAAAAAAAATTTACAAACTTTCTGTGAAATGTTGTGTTATCTGAGGAAAAATAATTTTTTTTTTTATGAGAAGTTCTACAATTGAGATTTTGATAACTATCGTGTAAGTTACAATAAAAATTTTTATTCATATTTTCAAATAACTAGCTAAATTCTCAATTGTAAATCTTCCTTAAAAATACATATTTTAAATAATTATATAACGAATAAATTGCAAAGCTGTTAGAAAAAGAATTCATTGAACACGTTTCATAGTTCGAAAAACGCAAAAAAAGAAAAAAAAAATTCAAAAAGAACCTTTTTTAATGCCGACTTACATAAAATACAAAAAATAATAAAAAATGGTGAGCATGATTATCTCATAAAAATATATTAATTAGAATTTTCATTTTAAAGAATTTTATTTAAATTAGTTAAACGAATTTTCATTTTTCAAAATTACCATTTGATAGCATTTCTTTTTTATACGAATTTTTAATATTAACAAAATTTTTAGCTACCGAATTTTTGCCAGAATTTAACAGAATTTAAAATCGAATTTTCATGTGATTCGAATTTTTTCAAATGAGAGAAATTCAAATAAACTGAATTTTAAAAATTTTATGCAATTTTTTTTTTTTTGTACGAATTTTTAAGACACTGAATTTTCATTTTTTCAAAATTGCGCAAATGTCCGAATAAGAAAAAAAAATTCAGCGTCTTAAAAATTCTATCAAATTAAAAATTCGGACAAATTTGAAAATCGGTGAATTGGAATTTTTATCATATATTTGCTTAATATTTAACATTTTTTAAGAAATAAATTTTCGATAAATTGTAATTAAAAGTTTGAAAAATAATTGCATTTTTCGGCTTTTATCGAATTGAAAATGAAAAATGAATTCAGATTTTTGAAAGTAATTAAAAATTCGTGCAAATAAAAATTCGCTTAATTTGAAAATTCTGTCCTTGAAAAATTTGAATCACATGAAAATTCGATTAAATTAAAATTTTTCTATAAAAAAAAAACCATTTAAAGAAAATGACTGTAAAATAAAAAATTTGGCAAAAATTCGTTATCTAAAAATTTTCTCATGTAAAAAATCGTAAAAAAAATTCTTTTAAATGTTTTAACTCAAAAATTTGTCTAAAAAATAATTATTTCCAATAAAATCTTTACAAAAATAAAAATTCCAATTAATGATTTAATACATTCATTCATCGCAAAACAAAAATTATTAAACTCCCATCCTTATTTAACGCTGCTCCCATCATCATTATTTTTATGTTTAGTGCGCTCATGATTTTTTAAATAACGTTTTTGACCAAAATTCAAACCACACTGAAGACAAGAATATGGCTTTTCCTCCGAATGAATTTTAATGTGTCTTGTCAATTCCTTTTTCACGCCAAACGCCTTACTGCAAATATCACAGACATGATTTTTGACTCCCGTATGAGTCGTTAAATGATCCATCATTTGTTGTTTCCATCTAAATCCCCGTTTACAATAACAACATTTATGTGGATAATCATTTGTATGACTTTTACGATGAATATAAAGTGATGCTTTTGATTTAAATGTTTTTCCACATGTATCACAAACATATGGACGTTCACCCGTATGAATATGTCGATGATCTTCCAATGTTGTTTTCATTGCAAAACAACGTCCACAAATATCGCATGAATGATTTTTAACACCGCCATGAACATGTCTTAAATGATAATAAAGACTTCCTCTCAATTGAAATTGTTTACCACAAATATGACATGTGTATGTTTTTTCATTTGAATGAGTACGTTGATGATTTTTTAAATTGTCATTTAATTTATATTTTTTATCACATTTGTCACATTCAAATGATTTTTCATTAATTGTCGATAATTTTTCTTTTTTGATAATCGATTTTTCCAATGAAACTTGTGTGAAAATTTCATTATTTTTTAATTTATTATCATTCAATATTTCATCGTTTTTTGAATTGATGGAATTTTTTGTAATTTGAAAATTAGTATTATTCAAATTATTTGGAGATTTTTTTCGTAAAGAATTTTGTGTTTTGGAATTTTTTTTTGTTTCAATAATTTTCTTTTGTGGAGAAATTTTCAATTTTTTCTTATCGGTTACACGAATAATGGAAGCGCATTTTTTCATATAATATTCAAATTTCGGTGAAGATCTTTTTGAATTTGTTTCAATCATTAACAATGCATCGCGCCTCTTTGACCTGTAATTATAAACAAAAAAATGACTTGTTTTCGATATGAAGAATAAAAATTTGAATTTGTCAAATTTGTAAATTTTGTTGAAATTGTTTTTTTCTTTTAGGAATTCTAAATATTTATAATAAACACATTGTGAGAAATATATAAAAAAAAATTCCGCGATTATTTCTTTAGTATATCAATATCAGGCCTTGAATCGACTTTAAGACACAAAAAAAGGAATTTTTGTCAATTTATATTCTAAAAAAAAAGACAAAATAAAAATTATTGAAAAAAATTTCGAATTTTGGAAAAATTACAGTTGAAAATTTTGAAAATAATTTTATAAATTACAAATTTAACTCTTTCAAAATTCAATAATTTTTATAATATTCTTCGAAAATTCAATTATCTGAAAGCATATTTCAAGTAAAAAATTTTGAAGTTCAATTCGTTTCAAAACCATGCCAATAATTGAATTGATGAAGAATTATATTAAAATTATTGAAAAATAATAAAATTAAGAAAAGAAATTTAGTTAAAAATTTATAAAATAATTGAAATAACATTGTAAATAAAAAAAAATAACGTTTTTTGTTTCAAAATTTTGTAAAAACAAAAAGTTCTGCGCATCTTATTAAAATAAGTCAAAAAGTCGTATTTTTTTGAAAACAAAAGTCAGAAAAATTTGAAAAAAAATCCCATAATCCAAGGCCTGCAATATTTTTAACTGTAAAAAATATTCGCATTTTTTTTTATTATTTAACCTGAAGCAAATTTTCACCCATAAAACAAAAAAAAAATTCACATTTTTTTTTTCAATCAATTTTTCTTTTTCAATTTATGCTTAAGAATTCGATGTGTTTTCATATAACGATCCTGTGCAAAATTCGCTCCACATAAATCGCAACTAAATAATTTTTGTTCACTGTGCGTTTTTTTATGTCGACTAATGCAACCCCTACTACGAAAACATTTCCCACACAAATCACATGCAAATGGCTTCTCTCCACTGTGTATTAATTGATGTTTCTTTAATTCCTGATTACGTTTAAAACCACGTCCACATTCATTACACCAATGTGTCAATTTATCCGAATGAAAACGTTTATGTACATGTAGCGATGCCTTTTGTGTAAATGTTTTACCACAAATTTCACAAATATTTGGCCTTTCACCCGTGTGCGTTAAACGATGTTCATCACGACATAAACGCGATGCAAATGGTCGTCCACAAATTTCACATTCATATCGTTTTAATCCCTCGTGTACATCTCTTATATGTCTCATTAGAGCGGAATTTGATGAAAATTTTTTATCACACTCTTGACAAAATGATAATGCAGTATCCATAATTTTTTTCTTTCGTTTCTTTTTCTTCGATCTGTAAATGAAATTCATTTTTTCAGAATGTCTACTAATTCCCTTAAAAAAAAATTCCCGTTTTTTTTTTTTTATTGTTAAATTAAAATTTTTTTCTTGTAAAAATAAATGAATCTACAAAATCTACGAAAATTGACTATATTTTATGAAAATAATTGTTTTTTAACTTTATGTATTTTTTTTTATTGTAGTCAATTCAGAAGTTTTTTTTTAATCACAATTTCGAGTAAGCTAACGAATTTAAATAAAACTTGATAGTATATGATACAAGAAGGCCCAAAAAAAGAAATTTTTTTAGAATTTTTTTTTTTTTAAAGTAATTAATTCAAAATTAATTTAATTTAGTTACATTGTTAGAATGAAATTTTCTCCATCGGATTATGTAAAGTAATTGAATTTTTAAAGATTTACAATTCAAATTTTTGAAATTAATTCAAGTGATTCAAAAATATTTTCAAATTCAATTTTTGTCTATAATTTCTAAAAAAAAAAATTTCTAAATTAATTATTAATTTTATTTGTCGATTTTTTTAATTTGAAACAATTATTGAATTTTATAGTTTTTAATTAAAAAATAGTTTAATTTATCAATTGTAAATCTTTAAAAAATCAATTAAAAAAAAAATTTATTTAAAATTATTTGATAAATTATTTTCAATTATATAAAATTAAAAAAATTATAAATTATAAATTATATAAAATTAAAATTTAACAAATTCTTTTGAAATTCAATTATTGCTGAAAAATTTCAACTGTGTAACTATTCCAAAATTCAATTACCTTAAAACTATTTTTCAATTAAATTTTTTTTAGATATTTCAATAATGGCTTAAAATTTAAAAAAAAATCAGCAAATAAAATTACCAAAAATTTCAATTAAAAAATTTTTTTTAATTTTCTATTTTAAATTTAATAGTTTCGACTATATAAGTCTTTCAAAATTCAATTATTTTTCATGATTTTAAATATATACTTAAATTCAATTATCTCAAAGTATTTTTCAATTAAAAACTCCTAAAGTTTAATTTTTCTTTATAATTTCTAATAAATTTTTTCAAAAACAGAAATTATTGAAAATTTCAATAAAAAATCATTTTCAAAAATTTAACTTGTAAATCTTGGAAAATTCAATTATTTCTAAAGATAAAGGTTATCTAAAATCATTATGTCTAAAATTTAACAAAATCTTTTGAAATTTAAATATTTCTAAAAAATTTCAATTCAAATCTTCCAAAGTTCAATTATTTTTAATAATTTTAATATTTCTTTAAAAATTGAATTATTTAAAAAAGTTTCAAATAAAAAATCTAAAATTTTTGCAGAAAATTTATTCCATAATTTAAAATCTTTTGCAATTCAATTATTTAAAAAAAAAAATTTATTTGAAAAATTCTGTAAAATTTAATTATTGTCCAAAATTCATTTGACCATTAAAACTAAAAACTATGCAAAAATTTTGAATTTGAATAAATTCATTAAATCAGACTTAAAAAAATTAAAAAAAAATAAAACTATGAATTTTTTTTTTAGAAATAATTAAATTTTAGAAGCTTTTTAATTGAAATTTTTAAAAATAATTGAATTTCAAAAGATTGTGTTAAATTTTAGACAATAATTATCATAATAGAAATTTTTAGTGATTTCTCTTGATGAGGAATTTATTAGAAATCACATAAAAAAAAAAAATTGAATTTCAAAAGATTTTTAATTGAAAAATTCTTTCAAATAATTGAATTTTTTCGAAGAATTTTATAAAAATCATGAAAAATAATTGAAATTTTTGCAAATAATTAAATTTCAAATGATTGTGAATTAAAAATTTTTGGTAATTTTATTTGCTAATTTTTTTTTTTTTTTTTTTTGTTAATTATAAACAATTATAAAAATTTTAATTGAATAATAATTTAAGATAATTGAATTTGTGAAGAATTTTATTAAAATTATTAAAAATAATTAATTTAATGAAGAATTTTAGTTTTCTTTTTAGTTATCTAAAATTATAATTAAAAAATTAATTTTATTTTTGTAAATTTAACAAAATCTTTAAAATTCACTTATTTCTGATAAAATTTCAATTGTAAACCTTCTAAAATTCAATTATTTTTAATCATTTTTTAAAAATATTTTTTAAAATTCAATTATCTGAAAGCATATTTAAATTAAAAAAATTTGAAACTAAATTTTTGTCTATAATTTCTAATAAATTTTCTTCATTAACTGAAATTACCAAAAATTTCAATCGCTTACCCAAAATTTAAAAAATCAATTGAACTTCAATTAGTTTCAAAAATCTGAAAATAATTTGAATTTGTGAAGAAAAAAATATTACTTTTTCTTCGAAATTTACATAATCCGATGCAAAAAATTCCATTTTAATAAATTAAACACTTTCTTTGAATAAAAATTGCTTTTTTTTGCCTCTTGACTAGGTAGAGGAAATTACCTAAAATTGAAAAAATATTTCTCATTTTTCCAGCTTTCAACGAAAGAAAAATTCCAATTTTCCCTAGTAATTTTTTTCTTTTTTCTAATTTAAATTCCCAATTATTTTCCAGTTAGTAGACACTCTGAAATTTTTGTAACATTTTTTTTTTTTTTTTACACAAAGGTCACAGTTACGAAAAATTTGGAAAACTAATCTTATGATTCATTTTCTGATGTTTGACAAGATAGCGCTTTTGTCGAAATGATTGATGACACTCTTGACATTGCCATGGTTTCTCATCAAAATGAACGAGACGATGTCGTTTTAATTCAAATTTTATACGAAAATTACGTTGACAAATATCGCAAGCATATGGTTTTTCGCCAGTGTGTTTTGTTATATGAACTTGTAATGGTGTTTTAGTGCGAAAACCCTGTCCACAATGTGAACATTTAAATGGAAATTGATCCGAATGTGTACGATTGTGAACAAATAATGATGCTTTTTGTTTAAATGCTTTACCACAAATATTACAAACATATGGACGTTCACCCGTATGAATACGACGATGATCATCGACATTACGTTTTGTTGTAAACATTGTACCACAAATATCGCAGGGAAATTTTTTAATACGTGCATGTGTCTCACGTAAATGACGTGCTAATCCTTGATTAACGCGAAATTGTTTACCACATAAATGACATGTGAATGGACGTTCACCAGTATGAATACGTTGATGCCATGAGAATGTATATGGTGAATAGAGATTTTTTCCACATTCATGACAATGATAATAAATTTTACCGTTTGCCTCCATTTTTGCCTTGGCAACAGCACGTTTATCGAGACAACTTTTATGTGAACGAATTAATTCTGGATGTACATCACGTGTATGTTCATCGAGAAATTTCTTTTTTTTTGTCTCAAAATCACAATGCATACAGGGATATGATTTTTGTCTTATACGCTTTTGACGTGATGTTTTTTCAATTTCTTGTTGTCGATAGCACAATGCAAGATGTTTTATTAATTGTAATTTATCGGCAAACGATTCTCGACAATGTTCACAAAAATATTCATTTTCAATAATAAATTCGGAATTATTAATAATTGATAATTCGGAAATTCTTTCTGATGATTCGTCCATTGGTTTTGAATGAGTCTTTCGAATGGCGCGGATTGTGGACAAGGTCCTTGTGCAGCATCTGCAAACATAAACTCTCGTTAGCAGGCCTCATTTTTGATTAATCATTGTTTTTTTTTTTTTTGATTTGTTTTTATGATCTGACCTGATGAATTTAATTTCAAATTTGAGAAACTTGACAAATTGTACATTAGAGATTTATCTCTTCAATGCTTATTTATTTAATTCGTCGAATCTTGAGTCGGACACAAAATTTAATAAATTTTTTTTCTTTGGTTAAGAAAATAGTTAAATTTCTCTCTGAATAATTGATTTTATCAATCTGTTATATTTTTTTATTTCTTTAATATATTTTTAAAAATTTTTTTATATTTGTGTATTTTTGTATATTTAAAGTTGACGCAAAATTTTCATTATAATTTTCCCTGATTTTCAGACAATATTTTGTGTTTTTTCCTAACATTCTTCAATTTTGTTCTTTTTTTTATCAAATGGGAATTTAATTTAAAAAAAAGAATTAAAAAAAAGAAAAAAGAATTAAAATTTGTACAAAGAACAAAATTCCTTAAAAAAAATTCAAATTTTCAAAAATTTTAATGAAATTCTTTATAAAAATTCAATTATTTTCTCAAAACTTTTAATTAAATTTTACGAAATTTCAATTACTTGCAATTCTATTAATTCATATTCGAAAATTCAATTATTTTCAAAAATCTTAAATTTAAATTATTATTATTTAGAAAAACTTAATTATTTTGTAATTTTTAATAAATTCTTCGATAATTTAATTATTTTCGAAATTTTTAGTTGAAAATCTTTTAAAACTAGAAATAGTCAAAAATTTTAATTGCAACTCTATCAATATTTGAATTAATTATATTTAATTTAATTATATGAATCTATTAAATCTATATAATTATATTATTGATATAAAAAAAAAATTAACTAAAAATCTTTTGAAAATTTTATAATTTTCAAAAAAAATTCAATTAACTTCTTCAATAATTTATTTAAATAATTATCAAATTAAAATTATTGCTTTTAACACATTAATTTTAATTTTCACAAAATTTATTTAATTGTAAAAAAAAATTATATTATTAATTTTTCGAAAAATTTCGATATATTGTTATAAACTTTGATTCCAGTTTTTTGAGATATTAATTGTTTTCAAAATAATAAAATATCGAAACTAAATGTTTACAAAGAAAATTTTTTAAGTTTTTCATGACTTTTTTAGTATTTTCCAAATTTTCAATTGAAAATCTTTATAAATTTAATTATTAACAAAAAAATTTAACTGATAAATTTTGAAAATTTAATTATGTGCCTAAAATTTTCAACGTTCAAATGAATTCGAAAAATTTGTTTTCTACTTTTTTAATTTCAAATTTTGTCATAAAATTTCTGTATCCAAAAATAAATTAGTAATTTATGAAATATTTAATGTAATTTTTTTTTTTTTTTCATTTCAATAGTATTTTGAAAAAAAATGTATTAGATTAAAAAAATTATTTTGTTCATTTGAACTTTTTAGAATTTTAGGCAAATAAATAAATTAAACAAAATTTAACAAAAATTCATTGAAATTTCAATTAATTGCAAAAAATTTTAATTAAAAATTCTCTTAAACTCAATTACTGTTAAAAATTTGTAAAAAAAAAATTTTCTATTCAAATTAACAAAAAATTCTAATTTAAAATATTCGGAAATTACATTTTCAAAGTGTTTTAATAGGAACTATTTGAAAATTTAAGAATTTATAAATTTTTATCTTAATTTTTTTATTGAAAATTAATAATTTTTAGTAATTTCAGGATCGCATTGTTTTTACTTTCAATGGTAAAAAAAAATCGGAAAATAATTGAGTTGAAACTATTTTAAATAATTGATTTTTTAAAATATTAAAAATTATTAAAAATTCGAATTTTGAAGGAATTACAGTTGCAATTTTTCAGAAATAATCGAATTTCAAAAATTTTTGTTAAATTTTATAGAATTGAAAATAATTTTAGATAACCTTTTTTTTTAAAAAAAAGTAATTGATTTAAAAATAATTTTAAAATAATTTAATTTGTGAAGAATTTCATTAAAATTTATTGAATTTAATTAAGTTAGAGAAGAATTTTATATAAAAATTTGTTAAATCATTTATCTTCAACTGACAATTTTTATAGTATTTTCAAACTATATAAATATTATTTTTCTTAAAAATTTTAATAATCCAAGGGTTTTTTTTAAATTCAAATTGATTAAAAAATTTTCGAATTTTTAATTGATAGAATTTTCGCGACGCCAAATTTTCATTTATAGGAAATTACAAAAATCACCGATAAAAATAGACAGAAAAATTGCGCCCAAATTTTTCTGTCAATTATTTGTTCTTATTGTTATTTAAAAATTCAGTGAATTGGAATTTTTGTCATTTTAAAAATTCGAATCACACGAAAATTCAATTGAATGAGAATTCTGCAAAATAAAAAATTCTTTTATATAAAAAAATCATGTAAAGAAAATGACTGTAAAATAAAAATTCTGACATATAATTCGATAGTTGAAAATTTTGTAAAAATTCGTATAAAAAAGAAATTCGAAATTCTAATTTGAAAAATGAAATCCATTTTCCTCGTGGCATGTTTATGAAAATAGTTTGAATTTTTACAGTAATTGAATTTCTTTATTCTAACATTGTTACTAAATTATTTCTCTTTAAATTATTTTCAATTTATATCTGATTTTAATTTTAATTTCATTTATTATTTTAAAAATTATTTTATTAAGCGTTTTTTTTTTTTGTCACTATTACCTAAATATATTAGTAAATTATTCTCATGGCTCTCCAATTTGAAAAAATATTCCAAATTTTCTAAACATTCAGAAGATCTAAATGTCGACTTTTAAAATGATTATTCAAATATCGTTTCTGTCGAAATGCAAGGCCACATTTTGTACAACTAAATGGCTTATCGTCCGAATGTATCAAACGATGACGCATCAATTCCGATTTAACGCGAAATCGTTTTGAGCAAATATCGCAGGCAAAATTTTTTTCCCCCGTATGCGTTGTCACGTGTGCCAACATTTCTTGACGGCGACGAAATTTCTTCTCACAATATGAACATGGATGGGGAAATTCATCAGTATGCAATTTACTGTGTATATAGAGTGATGCTTTTGATTTAAATGTTTTACCACAACAATCACAAATATAGGGACGTTCACCCGTATGTGTACGACGATGATCGTCGCGCGTTGCTTTTGATGCAAAACTACTATCACAAAGATCGCAGGGAAATTTTTTTAATTTTGCATGAACATCCTTAAGATGACGCGATAATCCACCAGAATCACGAAATTGTTTACCACACACGTGACATGTAAATGGACGTTCATCACGATGAATACGTGAATGACGAAGAAATGAATCTTTTAATTTAAAACCACGACCGCACTCAACACAACGAAATGGCACTTGGGAATTGTGTGTTTTTGCATGTTCATTTAATTCCATTGCTGAATCAAATTCAAGTGTACATGTTTTACATTTCCAATTTAATTCATCGCTGTCGGTGTCGTTATTACTTAATGGAATTTCAGTGATAAATTCAAATTCCTGTTGTTGTTGTTGATTGTCTTTTGTAATAATATTAGTTGATTCTTGATCGAATATTGGCAGTGTTAGTGAGGTGTTTATCCAAATATTCATAGGATCCGTTTGATTAGTTGGGATTTTTTCTGTAGGCATTTCACTTCGTTGTCTTCGTTTTGAGGGCCACATTGTATCGAGAAATACGTTAAATGGTGTCTGTGCTCTACTGGACCTGGAAAACAGTCGTAAACTTGACTCCGATCATTCTCGGGGGATGTCAAGATGGATTTTTTTTTTTTTTGTTTTATTTAATTGGATTTTTATTTGTCAAATCCATTTGTTTTTTTTTTGGGGGGTTTTCCTTCTGAAAAGAAAATTTCACGACTATTGCGAGTGGAGGATTTTTTTTTTTTGTTCCTAATCCGAGTGTGGCGTGATTTAAATCTCATTTTAACAACTGTGACCTTTTGTTTTTTTTTGTGAGAAAAAAAAAAAATTAATTTTTTTTGAAAAAGAAAGAAATTTACCTTTCGGTTTTTGGATTTTCGTTAATCTCGACTTGAATTGGTTGTTCCTCTTCCTGAAGAGAAAAAAGAGAAAAATTGTAAAATTATTTGGAAATTAAAATTTTTTTTTTTTTTTTTTTTTTTGTAAATTATTTTTGAAAATTACCGATTCTTTCTGTTGGAATTGTGTGTTTTCTGCAGCTTTCGCAGTTTCTTGAAAAATAACCGGCTGTAATGAATTATGTAAAATTTTTGAAAATTGATTTTTAATTTTTTAATTTTTTTTTTTGAAAATAAATACGAACCCTTCTTTGTTCTGCTTGTTCTTGCAGACGCAAAAGGCGACTTTGTACTGTTAGAACACTTTCGGCAAGTTCATCAAAGGCGAGCAATGTGGCAGCACATTGATAACACAATTGCAGAGGTAAAATATCCGTTTCACATACCTGATAATTAATAATTTTATTCTAATTTATAAATACATTTTTTAAATTCAAAATTTGTAAATAATTTCAAATATTTTGAGCATTAATAAAAAAAATAAAGAAGACAATTTGTTACTAACAATTATTAATTTCAGTAATATTTGATATTTTTACCAAATTTGTTTAAATATCTAATTAATAATAATAATAATGATAATAATAATAATAAATAATAATTTTTGTTAATTAGTTAATTAAATTTATTTGTTATTTGTTTGTTCAATAATAGCCTTATTATTGCAAATAATTTAATTTAATTTAATAATTGGCAAAAATAAATAATGATTTTTAATAATAATAATGATAATGATAATAATAATAATAATAAATAATTTTTGTTAATAAGTGAATTAAATTTATTTGCATACTAGTAAAACACTTTTTTAACTAATAGCCTTATTAAAAATAATTTAATGAAATTAATTAACAATAATAAATAATGATTGTTAATAAATTACCATTAATAGGATCCTACATAGAATTAAAAAATCAAATATGGGATCCTATGTAGGATAATAATAATTTAAACATAAAATTATAAATTAATTAATAAAAATAAATTTTAATGTAGGTAATAAGAAATTTGTAAAGGCCTTTGAAATAGGCAAGTAAATAAATTATCATTATTATTATTAATAAGAATAAATTCTAATATTAATTTTAAAAAAATAATTATAAATTAAATTATAAAAATAAATTTCCATATTTTCATAATGTGTAATTTATTAACATTTTAAAAGAAATAGAATTAAAAATAAAGGGCTTAGAATAGAAAAACAAAAATTCTAATATTAATGAAAAGAAAAAAAAATAAAGGAAAATTAATAATAAAAATAATAAAAATAATAATAATAAATAAAATAATAATTTAGTAAAGATGTTAATTGTTTTTTTTTGGTTAAATCCATCTATACTAAAATAATAATTATTGATAAATAAAATAATAATAATAAATAAATAAATAAAATTACCTTCATCGGTAGATGTTTTTCTATTTTACTGGAAAAATTGTGCTCGAGGCCATCTTCTTTAAATATTGGAATAAGATGATCGTTGACGGTTCCACATGTTCGACACATTTGTGATAATTTATCAACTTCATCGTCTTCTCTTTCAATTATTTGCAATTCACTCGTTTCTTCGGGAACTAAAAAAAATTCCTCCTCGATGCCATTGTTTTTCATATTTTTTCCAACATTAGAATTATTCATTAATAGTTGATCACTAACATCGCAAGAGGTTAGAATACCCGAATTTTGCGATTCCATCGTATTTTCTTTTTTGCTGTTTTCCAAAAGCCCCCCAAAAGAAAACAATTATTAAGTAAAAAAAAAAAAAGAAAAATTGTTTTAAAAATTAGGTTTCATTGAAATTTATTCATATTACAAATATAGAAAAACCATGAAAAAAATGTCTTACACTTAAAATAGAAAAAAGTAATTTAGAGACGAATTTGATTAAAAGGAAAAAATGTATCGAAAATTTCGATATACATTCATTGTTATAAAAATTAAATTAAAGAATAAGATATATACTTACATTTTACAATTTTGTGAACATCGTGGCAATGAAGAATAAGTGAAAAAAAAGAATTCTCCGACACTTTTTTGAAAACATTGAAAAGTTTTTTTTTTTTTTTTTTATTACACTCAAATTTTGAGAGAAATTAAATAAATGAAAAATCAATTATATTTACATTTTTAATGTATTTTTCAATGGCAAATTTTTTTTGTAATAAAATTTGTGGCAGAAAATTTAGGCGTCATCGCTCATTATTTTAATAATGGACGATATAAATGGCTGACAACAATGGTGCCGATTCAACGGTGCCAAGCACCGACGCCGTTTTTCTCGACGCCATTGCAAAAATAGAAATTCGCGCCATAATTTAGATACGCCAATAGACGATGAGAAATCTGGCGGGAGATTTAGAATCAAATTTGTTTATTGCGTTAATATTTTAATTTTACAAATATAATAAAATTATAATTATATCAGTTTATATATTTATAATATAAAATTTATGTTCAATTTATAATTTTATTATATTCAAAATAAAATTATATAGTGTAATATTTTTCTAAAAAACCACTAAAAAAAAAATACAAATTTTCAGCTTAGAAAAACAATTATTTTAAAAAAATAAAAAAATTTAGATATTAAAAAAGGAATTTTTAAAAAATTAGTTTAGAAATACAATTATTTTTTTAAAAAATACCAATTTTTGGCTCAGAAAAACAATTACAAAAAAAAAGTTTTCTTAAAAAAACAATTGTTTTTTTTAAAAATACAATTTTTTAGCTTACGATAAGAAAAACAATTTTAAAAAATACAATTTTCAGCTTAGAAATACAGTTATTTACAAAAAATACAAAATATTGGTTTAGAAAAACAATAATTAAAAAAAAAACAAATTTTATAGCTTTGAAAAAAATTGTTAATAAAAAATGCAAATTTTTAGCTTAGAAAAACAATTATAGAAAAAAAACAGAATTTATAGCTTGGAAAAATAATTGTTAAAAAAAAATTTAATAGTAGAAAAACAATTATTTTCAAAAAAAAATACAAATTTTTTGCTTACAAAAACAATTATTTAAAAAATTCTAATAGAAAAAAAAATTGTTTAAAAAAATAAAAATTTTTAATTTAGAAATAAAATTATTTTTTAAAAAAGACAAATTTTTAAATTACAAGAACAATATTTTATAAACAATAAAAAATTAAAAATACAAACTTTTGTTTTAAAAAAACAATTATTGCAAAAAAATAAAAAATTTTAGTTTAGAAAAACAATTAAAAAGAAAAATTTATCTTAAAAAACAAATTTAAATAATTTTAACTGAGAAAAACAATTTAAATAATTTTAGCCGAGAAAAATAATTGTTTCAAAATATTTAGCTTAGAAAACCTATTGTTTAATGAATATTTAGCTTAGAAAAATAATTGTTTAAAGAAATACTAACTTTTGGCTTTAAAAAAAAAAAATTATTTACAAAAAATACAAATTTTTTTGCTTAAAAAAAAGAATTTTTCAAAAAAATTACTAATAGAAAAATAATTGTTTAAAAATAAAATTCAAATTACACTGCGGAAAAAAATTATTTGATTCAAAATAATCAGTCAATTATCAAATAAATATTTAATTTTATATTAAAATAATTATTTTTTGTATAGTATTTGTTTCAAATAGAGAAATTATTGGTTCAATTAAAATATGAATTTAATTCAATTAGCTTTCAAAAATTTTTTGATTCAAGTAAATATTTATTTGACAATAGTCAAGTAATCGAGTTAGGAAATTTTTTTTTCATAATTAACAATTTCAATTAATTTAAAATAATTGGAAAATAATATAATTAAATCAAAATTGACTTTTTTTTACGCTAGTTTTTAGTTTTCTAGTAAAATAATATTTTTGATTAGGTTTTTAAAATAATATCAAAAATTCTCCGTCACTTGTGAATAAAATTCTAGTTAAAAAAAAAAAAAATGATTTCGAAGTGAATCAATATATTATTATATAAATATATAAGCAGATTGAATTGTATATTATTATATATATGGTAAAGAGGCACTCGTGCTTTTATATGTATTATCTATCTGTCGGGATATTTACATCCAAGGGTTCTAAGTATTACTGGATTAGCCTCACGACCCCTGTGGCTTTTTGATTACATTTTGCTCGAGTGCACCTAGTGCATCTGGCTCCCCCCTCCTTGTTTCTCTCTTTTTTTTACCATAAAGAACATATATATATATATATAGATTCACAGTATCAATTACATTGTTGTTATTAGGTAGCAAAAAGATCTGGCCGCAGATAAAAGAGCAAAACACAAAAGGACAGGTAGTCCCTTGCTTTCACTTGCGATAATCATCAAAAGCAACTATGCGACTAATTCAGATTCATTTATTGTCGAAACCGGGCATCAATAGTGCGGATAAAATATATATTATAAATTTAGCTACCCTGCCCGTTAGAGTTTCAGTTCATTTTCAAAATGAGCGAACAACGCATCACACAAAAAACGAGTGACTTTAGTATTGAACGAATATTATCGACAAATATTTCATTTAATCGAAAAAATGATTTTCAATTAAGAAATAAAATTGAAAAAGAGGAAAAATCAAAAGAAGAAGAAGAAGAAGAAGAAGAAGACGAGGAGTTTAAAAAATCCGAAAGACTACAATCCGGAAGTATATCTAACGATGAAGAAAAAAATCAACGATTTGGTTTAGAAAAAGAACTTCCATGGCTACATTGCACAAGATATAGTCCTCCAAAATTGCCAAGACGACAAACCACTAAACAGAGAAAACGAAGACTTGGTTCACAACCTCGGATTCCATTTACAAAAATTCAAATTCAAATATTGGAGGAAAAATATAAAATTAATGCCTATCTTTCAAGAAGAGACGTCATACAACTTGGTGGAATTTTAAATCTACCGCAAAATCGAGTGAGTTTTTTTTTTAATTTTAATAAAATTTGGAAACTTTATATATAGAGAGAGAGAGAGAAATAAATTTTGAATTACAGGTAAAAATCTGGTTTCAAAATCGTCGCGCAAGAGAAAGAAAAGAAACTCAATCTAACAATATTAGTGTCATATAAAAAAGAAAATTTTTTTTTTAATTCGACAGAATCTACTGTAAAAAATATTGTATTTATTTTACTTTATTTATACTTTTTTGAAATAAAGAAGAAAAAAAAACCACCAGTGACTTATTTGAAAAAAAAAATTATTTATCAAAGTAAATATTTGCAAAAAAAAATAAAAAGTTCTCAATGAAAAAATGTAACTGGGAAAAAAAGAAACAAATTTTTTTTTTTTTAAAAGATGAAAGTAATTAAATATTTTATATTGGGCTCATCTTATTCTCAAATTTAAATATTTATATATAACGATACGAGCTAAAAGAGTCTTCATTTTAACTCATTACACTTTAAAAAAAAAAAAAATCACTCCTTAATCAGTGCAAAGATTTTGCGTGCAAGCAATACTATATAGGAGATCGTACAAGCTTTAATTATCGATTTTTTTTTAAAAACTGTTGCTAATCTTATAATTAGTCTAATTGATTTTTGTTTATTCTTTTTTTTTGTTGCTGTTGTTTTTGTTTTTCTTTTTTTTTTTTACCACTTTGGTGCCAAATCATCAGCTTTCAGACACGAAAAATTTATTCATTTCAAATAATAATGCACTAAAATTGGTGCGTTCAGGCGATTCATTCTCGGAAAATTGTCAAAGAGCAATTATACTTTCTCTTCCGGCTCCAACACCAATCCATTTAACTAAAAATAAAAATTAAATTATTTTAGATGATAAGTCACATACAAATTTTTAGTTTAGAAAAATTGTTTTTCAAAAGAAACACAAACTTTTAATTAAAAAAAAAAAAACAGTAATTTAAAAAATATAAAAACTTTTGTTTTAGAAATACAAATTTTAAGATTAGTAAATTTTTTTTAAAAATTTAGCTTAGAAGAACAATTATTTTTTAAAAATTCAAATTTTTAATATTGGAAACAATTATTTTAAAAAATACAAACATTTAACTTCAAAAAACAATTATTTAAAAAAAATGCAAATTTTTAGCTTAGAAAAATAATAATTTAAAAAGAAATTCAAATTTTTAGCTTAGCAGAACAATTACTTTTAAAAAATCGAATTTTTTCATTTAGGGAAACAATTTTTAGCTTGGAAAAAAATTGTTCATAAAAAATACAAAGTTTTGGCTTTAAAAAACAATAATTTGAATGAAATTGGAAATTTTTAGCTTTGAAGGAAAATTATTTTTAAAAAATACAATTTTTTACCTTGTAAAAACAAATTTTAGAAAAAATCAATTTTTGGCATGAAAAAATAATTATTAAACAAAATTTTTGCGTAGAAAAAAATTGTTTGCAAAAAAAAAAAATACAAATTTTTAGCTTAAAAGAACAATTATTCCAAAAAAAGAAATTTTAAACTTAGAAAAACAATTGTTTAAAAAAAAATACAAATTTTTATCTTATAAAAACAATTATTTCAAAAATAAAAAAGGTTTTAACTTAGAAAAATAATTTAAAACTACAATGTTTAAAAAAAAAATACAAATTTTTAGCTTAGAAAAAGAAATTTAAAAAAAAATTATCTTAAAAAAGAATTAAAATAATTTTAGCTGAGAAAAATTAATTATTTTAAGAAAATGTAAATTTTTAGTTCAAAAAAACAATGATTTTAAAAAAAATATAAATAGAAAAAAAATTGTTTAACAAAATATTAATTTTTGGTAAAAAAAAAAAAAATTTTGCTTTGTAAAACAATTATAAAAAAATTTAGTTTAGAAGATCAATTATTTTAAAAAAATTCGTATGTTTAGCATTGAAAAATAATTATTTAAAAAAAAAATACAAACTTTTAACTTTAAAAAACAATTTTTTAAAAAAATGCAAATTTTCAATTTAGAAAAACAATTGTTTCATAAAATTTAGCTTTGAAAACCTGTTTAATGAAAAATTAACTTAGAAAAGCAATTGTTAAAAAAAAATACAAAATTTTGGCGTAAAAAAAACAATTATTTAAAAAAATAAACAATGTTTTACATTAGAAAAGTAATTTTAAAATAATTTAGTTTACAAAAACAATTATTTTAAAGAGATGCAAACTTTTTAGACTAGAAAAACAATTGTTTCAGAAAATACAAACTTTTAGCTTAAATAAAAACAAGTATTTAAAAAAAATTTTATCTTTAAAAATTAGTTATTAAAAATAAATTAATAAGCATATAAAGAAAACAATTATTTTAAGAAAATAAATTTTTTTTTAGCTTTGACAAACAATTAATAAAAAATTTAGCTTAGATTAACAATTATTATTTTTTTTTTTTTAAATGCAAATTTTGCAGCTTAGAAAACGAAAATTCAATTACCTGGAATACCCAAGTAGTCTTCAATTTTTCGAACATATTTTTGTGCATTAGGCGGTAATTTATCCAATGATCGTGCACCTTCCGTACTTGATTTCCATCCGTCCATTTCTTCATATATTACTTCAACCTTGGCAAATTCAACCGAATTACTAGGTACATAATCAATTTCCTCTCCATTTAAATGATAACCAACGCAAATTTTAATCTTCGACAATGTATCCAAAATGTCCAATTTTGTCAGACAAAGCGCAGTGTATCTAAAAAGAAAAGAAGAAACAAAAAAGTAATTAAAATGAAATTAATGAATTTTAAAATATTAATTAATTTTTAAAAATTAATAAATTTTTTTTTTAAATTAAAATTTACCCATTGACTAAGGCTGTAAATCTAAGAAGAGGAAGATCAAGCCAACCGCAACGTCTTCTGCGTTTTGTTGTTACACCAAATTCGCGACCTCTATTTTGTAAAAGATCACCAGTTTCATCGAGAAGTTCCGTTGGAAATGGTCCATCGCCAACTCTTGTTGTATAAGCTTTACAAACACCAATAACCTCACCAATTGTATTTGGTGGTAATCCAAGACCAGTGCAAACACCTCCAATACTACAATTCGAACTTGTTACATAAGGATAAGTTCCAAAATCAATGTCCAATAAAGCTGCATTTGCACCTTCAACGAGAACTTTTTTTCCCTCACGAAGTGCCATATGAAGAAAATGTACTGTTTCTTTGACAAGAGGCCTCACACGTTCAGAGTATCTGTCATTTTATTTATTTTTTTTTTGTTAATCAAGATATTCAACAATTTTACATTATTTTTTTTTTTTTTATTATATTTATAAAAATTATTAGAATTCAGAATTTTGATAAATATTTTAAATAGTAATGGAATTTTAGAGAATTTTAAATTAAAAAATGTTTTAAATAATTGAATTTTTGTAAAAATCTAAATTAGTTTTTAGAAATAATTAATTCAATAAAGAATTTAAGTTGAAAATAATTCCTAATTATTGTAAATTTAAATTAAATAGAAAATTATTAACAAAATTTTAAAGGATCATTGAATTTGAAATTAAAAAATGTTTTACATTTAATTATTGCAAAAAAAAAAAGGTTATTGAAATAATTAATTTACCAAAGAATTTTCAAAACAAATTTTAGAAATAATTAAATTTTGAAAAATTTTCAGTTAAAAATTTTTAAAATAATTAAATTTTTTAGAGATTTTATATTGAAAGTATTGTAAATTAAAGTTAATGAAAATTATTAACAAAATTTTTATAAAACAATTGAATTATAGAAAATTTCGAATTAAAAAATGTTTTAAATAATTTAATTATTAAAAAAAAAAAATTGACAAAAGTTTTTGAAATAATTAATTTATTAAAGAATTTTAGAAATAATTGAATTTCATGAGATTTTTAATTAAAAATTTTCGTAAATTTGAATTGCAGATTTTTTTTTTTTCTAAGCTTCAGACAATAATTGAATATTAGACCATTTTTAAATTTGAAAAAATGATTTAAATAATTCAGTTTTTTAAGAACTTAATTAAAATTATTAGAAATAATTCAATTTTGAAAAATTTTCAGTTATAATTTTTAGAAATAATTAAATTTTTGTTTATTTTTCTTATTGAAATTATTGTAAATTAAAGTTAATAAAAATTATTAGCAAAATTTTATACAAACAATTGAATTTTAAAGAATATTAAATTGAAAAATTATTTTCAATAATGGGGGACTTAAAAAAAAAAATAGGTAACGATTATAAAGCCTGAAAATCCAATAAATAAATATTATCGGAAAAAAATTAATAATAATAATAATAAAAAAGAAATTTACTCTTTATAACGTTCCAATTCACTTTTGATATCAACTTGTAGATTAGGAAACATTCTCTGATAAGATTCAACCAAGGTTTTAAATTTGTCCTCAAATTTATCAAAATCACCCAAAAGATCACCAACACGAAGACCATTTCTTGATGCTTTACATGAATATGTTGGACCAATTCCTCTTTTTGTTGTTCCTAATGATTGATTTCCCTTTTCTTGCTCTTGTAATCCATCGACTTGCTGATGAAAATCAAAAACCAAATGTGCCCTATCAGAAATAACAAGTCTATCCCTCCAATCTTTTAAACCTTTTTCCTCATTTTCTTCAAGTTCAGCAAAAAGTCCCGGTAAATGAATAACAACTCCATTTCCTTCATAAAACAAAATCAATTTTTTTTATTCGTAACAAGCAGTACCAGGATTAAAAATAATTGCCTCCCGATAGCATGCGACATTTTTTTTTCTCAATCTACTTTTAGTTTATATGTAATTAAATAAATTTAGTCAAGGTTTGTCTCTTAAAAAAAAAGTTTACTAAATTTTTAAATAAACGTATTTTTGCTATTGATTAAATTTCCAGATTTTTCAGAACAATAAACGGTATTTTTTCTGATTATTTATAAATAATTATATGTATTTAAATATAATTTATATATATTTTATGGGGCGCATGATTATTACATAAAAATCATTAGAATTTTCATTTTAAACAATTTTATTAGAAATGAAAATTTCTATGGACAAATTTACATTTAATTAGCTTTTGACAGAATTTATTTTTAATACAAATTTTTATTTAAAATTTTAAGTTACCAAATTTTTGCCGGAATTTTCATTTTAGTCATTTTCCTTACATGTGACTTTTTATTTAAGAGAATTTTAATTTAATGCGAATTTTAATTTAGCAGAATTTACATTCAATCGAATTTTTTTGTGCTTCGAATTTTTAAATGAAAGAAATTCCAAATGCACCGTATTTTAATTTATCCGAATTTTTATTCGTACGAATTTTTAATTGACAAAATTCTTAAGACGCCGAATTTTCATTTGTAAAGAAAATTATTGAAAATAAAAATTCTGGCAAAAATTCGGTAGGTAAAAATTTTTTTAAAATAAAAAATTCTGTCAAATGCTAATTCGAAAAAATAAAAATTCGTGAAAAAAATAATTCTTTAAAATGAAAATTCTAATTAATGTTTTTTTGTGTAATAATCCGCCTCATAATTATATTTATATTTCTCTTTTTACTAATTTAGGTGATAAAATTATCAAAGTTCGTAAAAAAATTAATTTTTTGACTAAATTAAAAGTACAATTAAAATTTTTATTAAAATATTAATTAAAAAAAATTCTAGTAACAACAAAATTATAACAAATTTCACTCCTTTTTTAAAAAAAATTAACTCTTATTTTTCAGTTTGATCAATTTGGGTAATTTTTTAATTTTCTTATTTTAACTGAATAGTTGAGATTTTCTCCAAGAATTTTTTAATTTTTTTATTTTAACTGAAAAGTTGAGATTTTCTCCAAGAATTTTTTCATTTTTCTTTTTATTTTAATTGAAAAGTTGAGCTTTTCTTCAATAAGTTATCTAAATATAAAAGTTGGATTAAAATAGATTTTACAAGAATATTTAAAAATCAGGAAAAAAAATTTTCTTTTTTTTTTTTGGTCTATCGGAAAAATTCTCCGCTTTACAATATGAAAATAAAATATAGATAGAAAAAAAAATATCAAATTGAATTTAATACTAAAAAATAGAACTTGATTTTGATAAAAAAAATTATGTATTTTATTCTTTATTTAGAGCATTGAAGAAAAAAAAACAAATTTTTTAATCAATTTTTTTCTTTTTGATTAAAAATGAAATTATTACCTATAACAGATTTGCATCTTGGATTGATAATTCCACTTGGCAGAAGATGAAAATGAAATTCGGTCTTGTCAACTACTACAGTATGACCTGCATTATTTCCTCCCTGTGAAAGAAAGTAATTAATTAATTTAATTAACTTTTAAATTGATATGAAGCGTGAGGGTTCAAAATTTTTTTTTTTCATTCAATTTAATTAAATTTCAAATTTTATCTGTTTCAATAGTCAAAATATTTTAAATAACATAAAAATATCAAATTTTCTAAATGAAAACTGTATTTTTTAAAATGACATTAGATTTAATGACTTATGACAATGTATACGTGATAAAAGAACAAAACATCTAAATTTTCCTTTAAATTACGCCACATTCTTATAAGATAAGAGAAAAGAAAATGATTTTAAATTAATTGTCACGAAAAGACGAAAAAAAAAAATATTTGTCACGAAAATAAAGAAAAATTAAATCAAATTTCAAAATTGTGAAATAATTTATATTTTTGTAATAAAGATTTAATTCCAAAATCTAAATTGAGTGAAAAAATCTGTTTACATTTATCGCTTATTTACATTTTGTACCCTAAATTGCTTCATCTACAGTAATTTCAGAAAAAAGGCCTCTTTTCTTTTAACATAAAATATTTTTTCAAAAAAAAAAGAATTATTTAACATAAGGCTGATTGTAAACGTTTTAATATAAAATTTCCGGTACGACGATAAAATACCGAGATTAATTTCCGGTTACAGTTTGATAACCATTATTTTTTGATAATAAAAATTGCAATACAATCAAGTTTATTAGACTTTGATATCAAACATGCAATTTGATATGGTACTTTCCAATGATGTTATATTTACATGTACAAAATAAATATGATAAAAAAAAAAAAAAAAAAAAAAAAAAAATTCTACAAGATAAAAAGCAGATTGATAAAGAAGTCATTGTTTGATGAAATTTGATATTATTTCGACAAGTAATTGTTGATGACAAATTTTTAAAAAATATTATAATTATAAAAATTTAAAAAAAAAAAAAATATTTGTTGAATACAAAATTATAACAAAGAATTTTTATTATTTCTTGAAAATATATAAATTTTTAGTAAAAAAAAAAAATTATAACGAAAAATTACGAAAAATTGTACAAATATTTTTTAAAGTTTATAACAACTCTAAACATAGAATTATTATTCTTAAAAATATAAATAAAATAATGATTTTTTACTAATTAGATTTATAATAATAATAACAATAATAATAATAATAATTATAATAAATCTAATTCAAAATTTTGCGAAAATAAATATTTAATAAATAAATATTTTTGAAAATAAATCTAATTATTAAAAAATAATTTTTTGATACATTTTTTAGAATAATTAATAATAATAATAATAATAATAATAATAATAATAATAATAATAATTACTATTATTATTATTATCTAATTCTTTTTTATATTTTTTCAGAAAAAAAAGATATATAAAACCTGATTTCTAAAAAGTATTTTATTTTAAAATTAGTCAGCAACGAGTTTATGATAATGAAATGACTTGTATATATGTAAAACAAAATTTAAATTTATTTTTAAAAACGTTAAATTATAAAACAATTATGTATTTAATAAAAAATTTTGTTTTTAATGATTTCCAAATAATAACTATATTTAAGTAAAAAAGAAAATAAAAAATTTTATTTAGCTTTCATTTTTTTTTTCAAAATATTTTATCGAAAAGAAAAATAATTTTTTTTTAATTTATTAAAAAAAAAAAAAAAAAAAAATGATTAAAAACTAATTCATGGCTAATTGAGAAAATAAAAATAAAATTTATCATTTGTGTATGTGTATACTTTTACTGTCATATGTTGGAAAATTTCCAAAATATTTAAAGTCAACGGAAACTTAAATGTTTCTATTTTCTTCTAATCCCACCCATCAAACTCTATTATAATTTAGTTCCGAGATTTATTATGAAATAATTAACGAAATTTTTTGAATGATGCAATATAAATACAAATAGTACATTTTTTTTGATGGTTTAAAATATTAAATAAAAATTATTATTTTTTTATGAATTTTACAAAATTTTTATTATCATTCAAAATTTTTTTTTATTACATTTTTTTTTTAATTCGCTAATTATTATTATTTTTTATTTTATTTAAAAATTTCCCACGTGAAGGGATTTTATTATTTTGCAAACCAAGAAAATTATTTCCGCATTTTAATTATCCAAAATTGGAGAAAATTTTCCGAAAATCTTTCCACGTGGTAATTTTTCATCAAAAAAAAAAAAAATAAATTTCTATATAGAATTAATTAATTAAAAAGAATAGTTAGAAATTTAAAGATTGTTATAATTATTATTGTAAGATATTTTCTAGTTCAAGGTTTTATTTTCAAGGTTATACACGAGAAATTCTCTTCAGTTAAATTCATGCAATTTTTTTTTTTTTTTTTACAAAAATGATAATTTCCAATGCGTTCAGATATTATTCCTACAAGAATTTGTTCGATTTATAAAAATTTCTTAAACCTAACAATGTAGAAATTTTCAAATGAATTTTTAATATTAATACATTAATAATTTATCTTTATCTCACACGTTATCTGTGTTCTAAATTGTTATATGCGCTCCTAATGATTGCTTTATTAAATTATAATTTATTTTTAATGAAAATAATGTTTACGTCATCTCTAATAATAGACTAAAATAAACTAGTCACTATATATATAATACATGGCTAAATGTTATCATTATAACCTCAAAAAAAAAAAATTGCCAAATTTCTTAAATTTAAAAATTAATATTACAAGTTTCAAAGTATGGAAATAATTTCTAAAAAAAATATGTAGAAAAAAAATATAATAAATAAAATCAAAAAAAAAGATTTACGAATAATAAAATAATTTTCAAGGCATGTGGGAAAAAATTGAGAATTTGCAAAAAAAAAAAAACTCATACCTGACATCGGCAGACAATATCAACATTATTGGCGAGAACGTCGACAACTTTTCCTTTTCCCTCATCACCCCATTGAGCACCCAAAACAACGGTGACCTTAGAGAGTGGTCCTGATATAGATGTCCGCTGTTTTTTTCTTGGTGAAGCGAGATTTGCTTCACCATTTGTCTGTTGATTTCTGGTGCAAGACATTTTTTCGATCACGTGTTAATATTCTTCTCTTCTCTCGTTTGAATTATAGAAAAGAAACGCGTTGCTCTTTGAAATTGCGACGGTTCAACTGTGGCAGCAAAACGAAAAAAAAAAAAATAATTTGAAACAATTGTTGCTGCCTTAAAACTTAACTTTGCTTACTGTCGCCGCGGGACGAGTAAACGCCACAAACGTTGCGCCTGGCCGACAAGGTTAGAATAATGCTATCTTTCTTTAAAACAAGATTACATATATATATAGGCGTATATACATATATATATTTCATGTGATAGAAAAGGAAAAACAATTAATTTCTCCATTATTTTAAAATATAACTGACATTTTTTTTTTTTTAAACTCAAATAGAAGAGGAGATTAAAATTTTCTGACTAATAAAAATGAGCCAATCAAAATTGAATGCGCGAAATTTAAAAATTAAATTTTTTTAAAAATATTTCGTTTATAAATTAAATAATAAAAATAATAAAAAATAATTTAATATTTTAGAAAAATTAAAACTTTTACAATAATATTAATATGAGAAATTTAATTTTAATAATTTTATATCAAAACTGAATTTAGTTGAAAAATTATTTTTGCATTGAATATAAATTAATTAATATATTTAATTTATTAATAATAATTAATAATATATTAATAAAATAATAGTTAGTAATAATAAAATAATAATTAATAATTAATAATAATATAATAATTATTATTGTATCTACGAAATAAATTTCATTATTAAAAATAAAAAATAATTTCATAAAACTTACAACAGCTCTAATATTTCATTTATTTTTAAATAAGTTTTTTTTTCTACCAATACAATGTTTATACCTCGATAAATTTTTATAATCTTATATTAATGTAATCTATATAATAATAATAATAATAATAATAATAATTATAATTATAATTATGTATAATAATCTCTTACAATAGTAAGAGTAGAGAATGTATTACCTTATTTAATAAAGATAAACGTTTAATAATAATGTGAAATTGTTCCATAATTTAATCAATGATGTACACCAGCAACTTTCAATTTCTTTGGATGTCGAATTGCTCTACCAATTTCACTATCCGATGATTCAGATTCTGAATCTGATTTTGTTACTTCGCATGTTTCAGCTGCAAAATTTCCTGTTATTTTAGCCTTTTCCAGTGTACGTACTGAAATTATTTCATTTTGTTTTTTTTTCTTTTTTTTTTTTTTTGTTGAAAAAAAAATAAAGTTTATAAACCAAAATATTAATTCATTAAATTTCTGTTTCAACGAAACTGATGCGATTTTTATTTTAATTTTCATATTATAATTATTATTTTCTATTATTTCTATTTTATTATTATTAACATTATTCGCATTATTTCATGTTACACTGAAAAAAGAATTTATTTGATTCAAATACTCGATTACTTAATTATTATCAAAATAAATATTTACTTGAACCAATTAATTTTTATTTGAATTAAATAAATTGTATTTGAACCAATAATTTCTGTATTTGAGAAAAATACCATCTCCAATAATAATTATTTGATACAAATAAATATTTATTTGTTAATAGTCAAGTAATGGAGTATTTGAATCAAATAAATTCTTTTTTTTCAGTGTATTTTTTGAATTTGTTATAATTTTTTTTTCAATTTTGATAAATTAGATTTATTTTCTAAATTATGTTTTTTTTACAAAGTTTTATAACTTTTCATTCCCGAAAAGTTAAAGAAAACTAATAGTGAATAAAAAAAAAGTAATATAAAAAATTAAAATATTTCAATTTTGATAAATAAAAAAAATAATATTTTGAAAAAATGTAAGTAAACTTCTTGTACTGTACGTTGAAATGAAATAATTTTAATAAATTTTATAATAATAAATAAAATCAGAATGGCCACTAAAAATTGCGAACAAAAATCAAGGCTTAATCACGGTTTTTTTCGGGTTTTAAAACAAATTTCAAGGTTTTTTGAAATTGAAATTTTCAACAATAATTTTAAATAATAAAACTTGTGCACCATTATTGCTTGTAATCTATAATGACGTAAATTATTTTTTTGGAAAAAATCCAAAATTTTACCAAAAAAATTTCAACAGCAAATATTGGAAAATTTTTTAAAGATTACGAATTACCAAAAATAGATTCTAGTAAATTTTTTTTTAGAAAAATGTTATTCAGCAAATGTAACACAATTTTTACTATATCAAAAATTTTAATTTGAAAATTTTGAATGTTAAAAATTTGTCCCACCTGATTTCAAATTTGAAATTATTAATTATTTTAGAAAAAAAAATATATTTTAGAAAAATGTTACACAGAGGAATTTTTAGAGCTTTACTTGGCACAATTTTTAATTTTAATAATATGTATTTTTTTAATCAATCAGTTATAAAATTTGTTTTTCACAAATTCTTAGTTCTTTTCAATTTTTTTAAAAAACGTTTAAACTTCAAGGTAGAAAAAAATTTTCAAACAATTCATCACAAGTTTCAATATTTAAAGAAAATGAAATGCGAAGTATTGAAAAAAAATTTCTTTGTTCAATTACAAAAAAAAATTTAAGGCGAATTCACGGTTTTTTTTTCAAGGCGTAAATAAATTTACGTCATTTTTCAGGTTTTCAAGGTTTTTTGGAGTTCAATGGCCACTCTGATTATAAATAATAAATATAATATAATAGTAAAATATAATAAAAATAATTCTCTTTATATTAGTTTTTTTTCGGCTTTGGTAGAAATGTAATGATTTAATTTAATGGTTATTGTGATATTAATAATAATTACACAGTCCAAGACTAATTTTTCCCCTGGAGAAGTTTATTAACATTTTCGAAAGATTTTTTTCTAAATAAAAGAATTGATATTTTTAGAAATAATTAAATTTTACAAGATTTTAAATTAAATTTCTTTGGAAAATAATTGAAAATTCAAGTGATTTTTTGAAATTTTTTCATGATTTCTGTTGCTGAAGAATTTAATTGAAAATTAGACAAAAATTAAAGTTTCAAATATTTTTAAAATCGAAAATGCTTTCAGATAATTGAATTTTTGAAGAATATTTTAAAAATTATTTTAAATAATTGAAATTTCGAAAGAGTTATAATTGAAATTATTAAATTTCAAAAAGTTTTAAATGAAAAATTTTAGAAGGTTTTAAATTGAAAATTTTTCTGTAATTTTATTTGTTTTTAAATTGCAAAAAAAAAATTCTTGAATTAAAAATTTTTAATTGAAAAATAATTTAAAATAATTGAATTTGTGAAGAATTTAATTAAAAATTGTTAAAAAAAATTCATTTAGAGAAAAAGTTTAGTTAAAAATTTGTTGAATAATTGAAAGAAAGAAGATTCTGATTTTATCTGCATTGTATACCAAAAAAGATGTATTTTTAAAAATTTTCTAAAAAAAAAAAACGTACAAAAGATGGAAAAAGTCGCATCTTATTCGATAAATAAATCCAAAAAAAAAGTTAGAAAAAATCGTATAATCCGAGGCCTGTTTTTAAGAAAAATAGTATTAAAAACTAAAAGTGTGTTTCTTATTTGATTTAAAAGAAAAATCTTTTTTTTTTTAATATTAAAACTTAAAATTAAAGAAACAATTTTCTTTGACACTATGTTTCTCAAAAACTAGACGCAATTTTACTTTGGTTTTTTTTTCAGAAGAAGTCTATCGAACGTTGGGGAAAACAAAAATTATTCCAGGGGGAAAATTACTGTCGGACAGTGTAATGAATTAAAAAATATATATATTATGAGAGAGAAAAATATATACTTTGTGATTCAAGTAGATTATTTTGTCGCTTCAAATCATCAATATCCGTTTGATGGGATGAATTCTTTCGACGCATAAATTGAATGTATTCAGCGGCTTTCTTTAAAATTTGTGCTCTACTTGCAACTTTTTCACCTTGTAACGCTGGCACTGAATCGCGAAGACTTGAAAAACTATCCTTTATATGATCTCGTCGCTTTCTTTCCAAAGCATTGTGATGTGCACGCTTTTCGGCCTGTACAAAAATAAAATCAAATTATTTTCTAATATTAATCTAGTTAATTGCACTATTTTTATTAAAATTATTAAATAAAATAAAAGCGAGTTTAAAACAAAAAAGAAAAATTTATATAAATTTACAAATAACGATTATAAATTAACAAACTAATTTATAAAAACTATCGCGTAATTTACTTTTTAATTTTAACAATAGAAATCCAATTTTCTTCTTAAAAACTGCGTATTATTCGTAAATATCTTACAATACTTACAGGACTTTTTTTTTTTTTTGGTAAATAAACGAAAATTTTAATTAAAGTACCGAGTTTTTTTTCTTATTTTAAAAAATATTTTAATTAAATAATAAATTAAAAAATTTTAATCAAATTGACAATTAACATTGTTAATTAAAAAAAAGACGCTAGCGTTGAAGAAATGTTTATCTAAAAAAAAATTGAGAGTAAACATACCTGAGAGTAATATTGTGTATTATTGGAATGTCTTTGCCTCGAATCAGAGTCATCACCTTCCTAAAAATGTCAAAGTATAAACAGAAACATAAAATATTTTTTATAGTTATAAGAATGCGTTTTCCTTTTATATGCATTAAAATAATTGAAAACTACTTACGTCACTCTCAATATCGATATCTCTATCGTCATCACTCATTTTTATTATTCGTTTGTTGCCTCTTCAAAACAAAGATCAGTTTAACAAAAAAGAAGGGAATTATCTTCCAAGTTTTCTTTTTTTGACGATTTTCTGATATTATAAACACATGTCGAGTTTGCGCAATATTAATGGCGAGGGTCCGCTTTCTAAACTAAATTAGTTTTGATAAAAGTGATGAAAATAGTTGAGATTCTTAAAATCTTCAAAAGGAGTAATAGGTTTTTTTTTTAAGAGATAGGAAAAAAAAGAAGAAATTTTATATTATATTTACTATGTAAATGTCACAACACGAACAATTGTCATCCATAAACGTAAATAATGACAATAAAAATGGTTATCTTTTGATAGAACGTTCGAAATGTGAAATAAAGGTTGAATCACAATCGCAAAATGTAGAAGTACCTTAAAATGGCATATTGGACAAAAAATATTAAAAATAAATACAAAACAATTAAAATTAATTAAAATTTGTATTTTAAAAATAATAATTCAATATTTAATTAAAATATTGAAGGACAATAAAATGTTTTTTTTTTTTTTCTAAAAGAAATAGCAAATTATCATTGGTTGATGATTATTATTATTATTCTTATTGGAAAGTTCAAGAAGACTAGAAACAGGAGGAATAACTCCGGTGGTGGGGGTGAAGCAAATTCGGAGGACAATGAAGGACTCCGGTAGTTTGCGCAGTAGTGAAAAAATGAAACATCCGCGCATACATGTGTGAATGCTTCTCGAGCGTTTGCCGAGCAGACGATATATTGAATGTATCATCATGATAGTGAGGTTAAAAATATTAAGCAAGAAATCAAAATGAAAGTGCTACAAAACATTATAACATGTTGTAATTTTATTTAAAAGTAAATCTGACCGGGAAAATAATAAATCAAAATGCTTGTTGCAAATAAAAAGATTTTTGTTATCACATGTTCCGTTTTTAAGGTTATGACCAACAGCATTTATCCAAACATCTCTCACTTTCTGTAAAATATAACAATAGATACTAAATAAACGTAAAACTTTTGCATTTACTATTTTTAATGAGAAAATTATTTATAATAATAAATTAAATGAGTTTCAAATTTATAACTTACCTCGTCCTTTGGAAATTTAAATAAGTGCTTATCACCACTATCACCTTTATTTGAGCAATTCATAACACAGCAACTTGAAGGCATTTTTACATTACAATTTATTTTCTATTTATCACAATTTTTAACATTGCACACAACAAAATTATCCAACGATTGCAAATTTCTGTTCCACGTGATTTCTTTCAAACAGGTAAACAAAACATAAGTTAGCAGAAATCATGTCAGTATGCGCAGAAACGTAATTTGGTCTACTGCACAAACTGCTTGCCACCTTCAATGTGCCCGTACATTGCCTCAACGCTCTCTTACCCCCACCACTGGAGTTATTCCTCCTGTTTCTAGTCTTCTTGGGAAAGTTAAAGCCGCAGTCAATCATATGATCACACGTCAAAGCAAAGGTTTTTTGGAAACCGTAAAAATATATATATATATATATAAAAAAGACAATATAAGAAAAAGCCTTTTGTTTACGTGACAGTTAAATAATTTTAATTATTGTAATTCTTAAAAATTTAACAAAAGTGTATTTAATTGTTATGATTGTATGTCAATATTTAAGAAAAATATTTCTATAATCAAATATGTATTGACGTGTCTTATTGACGCAATAAAATTAGCAATTAAATGGAAGCATAAGACTCCAGTGAAATGTTGAAAAACGTATCATTCTCAGTTTATAGAAAAAGAAATATTTGTTTTCTAGAATTTTTTATTTTTGCCTTTATTTTACATTATTCTTAATAACATAACCTCTAAATTAAAAAAAAAAAAAAACAAAGTAATGAAAAGAAAGTGAGAAAAGAGAAACAATGACGAAAAATCAATTTATTTTATTCTTATTTACTTTAGTTATAATTTGTGTTTATTCTGAGGTTGAAGATGGTGTTAAAAAAAGAGGAGATATTAGTGAAAAAACCGAAACAGATGATGAATCTCATGAAAAGGTGAGATTTTAATATTTTTTTTATTAGTATTGTTTTTATTTATTTGGTATTCTTTTTTTAAATTTAATATTGATTTTATTTTTTGTTTGCCGTTAGTATTGTTTTTAAAATTTAAATATTTTCTAGGAGAAAGAAATTGACGATTTGGAAATTGATATCGATAAATTACCGGAAATGTCAACACTCAAAGATACATTATTTTTTCTAAGTGAAAAATTACAAAAACATCAAAAAGGCGACGGTGACAATGAAAATGATGATAATTTAATACAAAAATTACAAGAATCATCGACAAGAATTGATTGGACACAAGACGCTGCATTGAAAAATGCATTGATGAAAAAAGTTATTGAACATACAAAAAATTCTGATTTAGAAGAATCTGAATTGAGATCATTTGAAAATGGTAATATAAAACGATGGAATATGGTTGAGAGTCTTGGCGATGAAAATGAAGAAGAAGAAGTTCAAGAATCACTTCCACCAGAAGATCAAGAAGGTAATTTTCTTTTTAATGAAAAATGAAAAAAAAAAAAAACGAATTTTATATTAATTTTCTTTGCATTTAGCTGAAGATATATTTAAAAAGGCAAGAAGTCTTTTAAATGCAACAAGAGCAAATAAAGCCGAGGCTTATAAACTTTTAACAGCTGCTGCAACATTGGGACATAAAGAAGCACGTTCAATGTTGGCTTGGGCGCAATTATTAGGCACACAAATTAATTCATCACCATCGCGAGCATCTAGTCAGGATATTCCAACAGCTTTTCAAACATTTCAAGAACTTAGCGAAAAAGGATTGCCTTCTGCACATATGGTAATTGTAAAAAATTATAATTAGACATTTATATTTCCCTTGGAAATTAAAAGAGGACAAAAAAAATTACGAAAATTTTAAAGAAAACTGCTTGAATATATTCCAATTTAGTCGAAAGAATTTATTTCATCAAACGGATATTAATTTGAAGCGACAAAATCTACTTGAATCACAAAGTATATATTTTTCTCTCTTATAATATATATATATTTTTTAATTCATTACACTGTCCGACAGTAATTTTCCCCTTGGAATAATTTTTGTTTTCCCCAACGTTCGATAGACTTTTTCTGAATAAAAAACCAAAGTAAAATTGCGTCTAGTTTTTGAGAAACATAGTGTCAAAGAAAATTGTTTCTTTAATTTTAAGTTTTAATATAAAAAAAAAAGATTTTTCTCTTAAATCAAATAAGAAACACACTTTTAGTTTTTAATACTATTTTTCTTAAAAACAGGCCTCGGATTATACGATTTTTTCTAACTTTTTTTTTGGATTTATTTATTGAATAAAACGCGACTTTGTCGATTTTTTGTACGTTTTTTTTTTTAGAAAATTTTTAAACAAAATACATCTTTTTTGGTATACAATGCAGATACAATCAGAATCTTCTTTCTTTCAATTATTCAACAAATTTTTAACTAAACTTTTTCTCTAAATGAATTTTTTTTTAAATTTTTAATGAAATTCTTCACAAATTCAATTATTTTAAATTATTTTTCAATTAAAAATTTTTAATTCAACAATTTTTTTTGCAATTTAAAAACAAATAAAATTACAGAAAAATTTTCAATTTAAAACCTTCTAAAATTTTTCATTTAAAACTTTTTGAAATTTAATAATTTCAATTCTAACTCTTTTGAAATTTCAATTATTTTAAATAATTTTTATAATATTCTTCAAAAATTCAATTATCTGAAAGCATTTTCGATTTTAAAAATATTTGAAACTTTAATTTTTGTCTAATTTTCAATCAAATTCTTCAGCAACAGAAATCATGAAAAAATTTCAAAAAATCACTTGAATTTTCAATTATTTTCCAAAGAAATTTAATTTAAAATCTTGTAAAATTTAATTATTTCTAAAAATATCAATTCTTTTATTTAGAAAAAAATCTTTCGAAAATGTTAATAAACTTCTCCAGGGGAAAAATTAGTCTTGGACTGTGTAATTATTATTAATATCACAATAACCATTAAATTAAATCATTACATTTCTACCAAAGCCGAAAAAAATCTAATATAAAAAGAATTATTTTTATTATATTTTACTATTATATTATATTTATTATTTATAATCAGAGTGGCCATTGAACTCCAAAAAACCTTGAAAACCTGAAAAATGACGTAAATTTATTTACGCCTTGAAAAAAAAACCGTGAATTCGCCTTAAATTTTTTTTTGTAATTGAACAAAGAAATTTTTTTTCAAAAATTCGCATTTCATTTTCTTTAAATATTGAAACTTGTGATGAATTGTTTGAAAATTTTTTTCTACCTTGAAGTTTAAACGTTTTTTGAAAAAATTGAATAGAACTAAGAATTTGTGAAAAACAAATTTTATAACTGATTGATTAAAAAAATACGTATTATTAAAATTAAAAATTCTGCCAAGTAAAGCTCTAAAAATTCTTCTTTGTAACATTTTTCTAAAATATATTTTTTTTTTCTAAAATAATTAATAATTTCCATTTTGAAATCAGGTGGGACAAATTTTTAATATTCAAAATTTTCAAATTAAAATTGTTGATATAGTAAAAATTATGCTACATTTGCTGAATAACGTTTTTCCAAAAAATTTACTAGAATTTTTGATAATTCGTAATCTTTAAAAAATTTTCCAATATTTGCTGTTGACATTTTTTTTGGTAAAATTTTGGATTTTTTCCAAAAAATAATTTACGTCACAATAGATTATAAGCAAAAATGGAGGACAAGTTTTATTTATTTATTTTAAAGTTAAACAAGAGTATTTTCTGTTAAAACTTTTATTAATAGTTGAATTTCTCAAATTTAAAAAAAATAACTTTTCTTTTATTGTCATGTAGGCTATAAAAGAGATTATTTTTTATATTCTAAGTAAAATCTTAGGTTTTTCAAAGCAATTTTTACAGTATAAAAATTAAATAATATTTTAAAACTTATTTTTCTAACTTTGAAACGATATTAAACCAAATTATCGTTTTAATACTATAATTAAAGAATATTTATTTTTATTAGCGCTATTCTTGTTTTAAATTTAAAAAAGCAGTGTTTTAATATTAATTTAAAATTATGTGATAAAATCTCAATTTCAAAAACCTCTTTTTCTTGGCAAATTTTCATTTTTTCGAAATTATCTTTTACAGAATACTTAAAAAAAAAAAATGCCGAATTTTTATTTTATCCAACTTTTATTTATTCGAATAAATATCAACGCAGAAAAATTTGGGTCTTAATTTTAAAATTAACTAATCAGAAGTTATCAATGAAATTATAATTATTAAAATTATTATTATAAAAAAAAAATTATAAATTATTATAAATATATAATTATTATAATTATATTATTATAAATTATTATTATTATTTTTATTATTAAAATTAATTATTATTAATCATATTATTAATTAATTTTAAAATTTTGCGCCCAAATTCTCGTATTTTTCGAAAAGAAAAAAAAAAGTATTAAATTTCCTATTGTATATTGTAATTTTAGGGAATGGGATTTCTTTTTGCAACTGGACTTGGCGGTGTTAATGCATCACAGCCAAAAGCATTGCTTCATTATACAATTGCTGCACTTGGTGGCGATACAAGAGCACAAATGGCACTTGGCTATAGACATTGGGCGGGAATAACAACACCCGCATCTTGTGAGAGAGCATTGGATTTTTATCGCAAAGTAGCAAATAAAGTTGCTGAGGAGGTATCATTAAGTGGAGGACCAGTTGTACAACGTGTGAGACTTCTCGATGAATATGAAAATCCCGGTTATAGTTCTGGTATATTGGATCAGGATTTAATTGAATATTATCAATTGCTCGCTGAGAAAGGCGATATACAGGCGCAAGTTGGTTTGGGTCAACTTCATTATCAAGGCGGTAGGGGTGTACCTCTCGATCATCAAAGAGCATTACATTATTTTCAACACGCTGCTGATGCTGGCAATCCAGTTGCAATGGCATTTTTAGGAAAGGTAATAAAAAAAAAATTCAATTATTTTTAGCGCTTAAAATAATTTAAAAAAAAAATAATTCCAGCCCTGATTATTTTATTCTATCACTAGTAAAATTAAACGCGCGCAAGCGCGCCAAATTGAGTGTTTAATTGTTTGTTATAGAGAAATTAAAAATTAATATTATCAATAATTATTTAAATTTATTATAATATTATTCCATATTAAATGATAAAAATAAAAATTATATGTTTATAGGCCTCAGATTATTAATTATTAAATTATTAAATTTTAAATTCAAAGTCTTTTAAAATTCAATTATTTTCCAAATTTTCAATTTAAAATCAAATAAAATTCAATTATTACCCAAAATTTCCATTCAAAATCAACTAAAATTCACTTATTTTCCAAATTTTCAATTTAAATTCAAATAAAATAAAATTATTTTCTAAAATTTCATTTCAAAATTAATTATCAAAAATCAACTAAAATTGAATTATTATTTAAAATTGTAATTGAAATTTAATTATTTTCCAAAATTTCAATTCAAAATCCAAGACAATTCAATTATTTTTCAAATTTTTAATTCAAAATTTTCAATTTAAAATCACATAAAATTCAATTATTATCCGAAATTTTTATTTAAAATCAACTAAAATTCAAATATTTTCCAAATTTTTCTATTGAAAATTAATAAAAATTCAATTATTTTCCAAAATTTCAATTCCAAAATCAACTAAAATTCAATTATTTCCCAAAATTTTAATTCAAAATCAAAGAAAATTCAATTACTTTCCAAATTTTCAATTCAAAATCTTTTAAAATTCAATTATTTTCGTAGTTTTCAATTTAAAATGAAATAAAATTCTTCAATTATTTTCTTTTCTATTCAAAATTAATTATCCAAATTTTCAATCAAAAATGAACTTAAATTAAATTATTATCCAAAATTTCAATTCAAAATCAACTCAAATTCAATTATTACCAAAAATTTTAATTCAAAATCAATTAAAATTCAATTATTATCCAAAATTTGGATTCAAAATTAATTATTATCAAAATTTTCAATCAAAAATCAACTAAAATTAAATTATTATCCAAAATTTCAATTCAAAATCAAAGAAAATTCAATTATTTTCAAAATTTTCAATTCTAAATCTTTTAAAATTTAATTATTTTCCAAATTTTCTATTTCAAATCAAATAAAATTAAATTATTTTCAAAAATTTTTAATTCAAAATCAATTAAAATTCAATTATTTTTAAAAATTTCAATACAAAATTAAACATAAAATTTAATTATTTTCAACAATTTTTAATTCAAAATCTTTTAAAATTTAATTATTTTCCAAATTTTCAATTTCAAATCAAATAAAATTAAATTAATTTCAAAAATTTCAATTCAAAAATAAATAAAATTCAATTATTATCCAAAATTTCGATTCAAAATCAAAGAAAATTCAATTATTTTCAAAATTTTCAATTTTAAATCTTTTAAAATTTAATTATTTTCCAAATTTTCAATTTCAAATCAAATAAAATTAAATTATTATCAAAAATTTCAATTCAAAATCAATTAGAATTCAATTATTTCCCAAAATTTTAATTCAAAATGAATTAAAATTCAATTATTTTCCTAATTTTCAATTCAAAATCTTCTAAAATTTAATTTTTTTTCCAAATTTTCAATTTCAAATCAAATAAAATTAAATTATTTTCAAAAATTTCAATTCAAAATCAATTAAAATTCAATTATTTCCCAAAATTTTAATTCAAAATGAATTAAACTTCAATTATTTTCCAAATTTTCAATTCAAAATCTAAAATTTAATTTTTTTTCCAAATTTTCAATTTAAAATCAAATCAAATTCAATTATTTTAAAAAATTTCAATTAAAATTCAATTATTTCCAAAAATTTTAATTCAAAATCAATTAAAATTCAATTATTATACAAAATTTCAATTGAAATTCAATTATTTTCAAAAATTAGAATTTAAAAGCATCTAAAATTTAATTGTTTCTAAAATTTTCCATGGAAATTTTCTTTTTTTGAAATTTAATAATTTCAATTATAACTCTAAGGAAATTCAATTATTTTTAACTATTTTAATAATATACTTTGAAAATTCAACTATCTTAAACCATTTTTCAATTAAAAATGATTTTCAAATTATTGTATTTTGTCCGCATTTTCTAATAAATTTTTAGTGAAATCATCTCAAAATTTTAATTAAAAATCACTTAAAGTTTCAATTAATTTCAAAAATCTCAATTTTAAATCTTTGAAAATTCAATTAAATTTAAAAAATGTTTTCCAAAAATTGTTTGATAAATTATTTTTAGTTCTGTAAAATTTAATAATTGTTTGAAAATTAACAATATCTTTTGAAATTTAATTATTTCTAAAAATTTCAACTTTAACCCTTCGAAAAGGATTATTATTAAAAAAAAAATTTTTTATTTAAAAATCTGTAAAATATTTTTGTTAAAATAAAGAACAAATACACTTTTTTTTGGAATATAAATCGACTAAAACGACTTTTTGTGTCTTTAAGTTGATTCGAGGCCTGTGTTTTTATAATTAATATTTAATAGGTATTCGTTGGCCCCTGGTACCTTGAAAATTAATTTTTAAAAATAAATTTTTTCAAATTACTATCTTGTACGAAATTTCCTGGCACATCTTTTTTCTCATCAAAAATTTATTTTTATTTGTATACAATTTTTGAATCAATATACAACTTTAAAAAAAATTTTGTTGATAAACGTTGTGTACTTCAGCTTTGTGAATTGAATTTTCGAATTTGGAATTTTAAAGAAACTTATTCCGAAATTTGGAAACACAATTTTACAACTTTGGCAAAAATGAGAAAAAGAATTGTGAAAATTTGACACGTCATAAGATTACTATTGAAAAAAACACGTGAAATCAGAAAAAGGCCAACTTCAAGTTAGGACAGAAGGACAGACCAAACATTTTATTATTATATAATATAATTTTCTTTTTAGATTTATTTGGAAGGAAGTGATATTGTTAAGCAGGATAATGAAACGGCGTACAAGTATTTTAAAAAAGCAGCAGAATTAGGAAATCCAGTTGGACAAAGTGGTTTAGGATTAATGTATTTATATGGCAGGGGAGTTGAACGTGACACGGCAAAGGCACTTCAATATTTTAGTCAAGCTGCCGATCAAGGTTGGGTTGATGGACAATTGCAATTGGGAAATATGTATTTTAGTAAGTTAAATTTATTAAAATCAAATTATTGTTCAATAAACAATTTCTCACGATTTTAACTAAAAATTACAAAATATATTTTATTTTAAAAAACTTATTTTTAAATATTAAATTAATTAATTTTCAAAAATCCGAGACCTAAAAATAATCTTTTTAATTACAGGTGGTACTGGTGTAATGCGCGATTATAAAGCGGCAAATGAATATTTCAATCTTGCAAGTCAATCAGGTCATGTTTTGGCATTTTTTAATCTTGCACAAATGCACGCGACTGGAGCTGGAATGATGAGAAGTTGTTCGACTGCTGTTGAATTATTAAAAAATGTTGCCGAACGAGGAAAATGGAGTGATCAATTAATGGCAGCGCATACTGATTATCGTGAGGGTAGAATTGACGAGGCTTTTGTTACTTATGTTCTATTGGCTGAAATGGGTTATGAAGTTGCACAAAGTAATGCGGCATTTATTCTCGATAGAGGTGAAATTTCAATTCTTACCGAAGAAGAAGGACTTGTACGCGCTTTACAACTTTGGGCACGTGCTGCAGCGCAAGGTTATTCAGCAGCGCAGGTAAACAATTTTGAAAAAAAAAAAAAAAAATATGGCTCAATCCATTATAATCGTTGCGACTTATTTTTTTTAAATCTGATAATTGGTAAAAAAAAATTTGATATCCGAACAAACTAATTTTTGGCAATTTTAGAAATTTTTTTATTTATTTAATAAATAATAATTGCTAAAAATTAGTTGTACGGATATTAAATATAATTTTTAGGAATTATCAAATTTTTCTAAAAATAGATTGCAACGATCAGCTGAAATACAATAAATTGACAAATAATATAAAAAAAAAAATACTTACAATGAAATATTTTAAAGGTGAAACTTGGCGATGCACATTATTATGGAAAAGGAACGCGTATCGATTATGAAGCAGCGGCAACACATTATCGTTCAGCATCGGAACAACAACATAATGCCCAAGCAATGTTTAATTTGGGTTATATGCATGAAAGAGGTTTGGGACTTGCTCTCGATCGTCATTTAGCAAAAAGATGTTATGATCTTGCCGCTGAAGCAAGTCCAGATGCAAAAATTCCCGTTACACTTGCATTAATGAAACTATTTCTTTTATTTGGTTTAGATTATCTTCAAGAATTCAGTTTAATTGATAATTTAATGAAAATGAGTCAAATTTTTGGACAAAATTGGGATCTCTATCTTATTGGACTTCTCACTGGAATTGTTAGTTTAATTATTTACTTCCGTAGACCGCAACCACCTGCACAAAGGCCTATACCAACCAATTAATTATGAAAAAGAAATTACAATAGAAAAGGAAATTTTTTTTCTTTTATTAAATTTTTATTAATATTCATATTGTATTATTTGAAATCGTTAAACGAATGAAAAAAAAAGAAAAGCCTTTTAAAAATTGTGTAATATAATTTACGATAAAGACAAAATAAATTGCATTTTAAGGCGTTAATTTAATAAATAAAAAAAAGTGAGAATCCAATAAGAGAGAAAAAAATTTGTGTATTGTGTTAAAATGCCTCAGCAGAATGAAAGGAAAATATTTTTTTTTTTTTTTTGTTTTAATTTCATTCTGCCTTTGTGGCTTCAATTTTGCTGATTTGACTGACGTTTGTATAAATCTAAAGAAGAATAAAGAAGTAAATGAGAATCATTATAATTAAAATGAAAATTTTCTTCTTTTCCCATTAGAATAACAATTTACGTTTCACGTTTACATCTTTAATTCTTCTTACTTTTAATTAACTATAGAGGTTGTAAAGTGTTATTGTAATTTATAATATATATCGAATAATAAATTTTGAATGTTTGTTAAAAATTTTGTTAGACTCTTTTTTTCTGAAAAAAAATATTTTACGAAATTTTCTTTGGTTATTGACAATTTTCATCAATTTCGTATTTTTCACATTTGAAACCATGGCAACTGGATTATCGGAATTAACAAAAACCGAACCAAATATAATTTTTTTTCTCTTTTTTTTTTTATAATAAATCATTGTTATTGTTAAAAGTTTAAACAAAATTTAGAAATTACAATTTTGAAAAATGCCAAAAAAGAAGAAAAAAGGATTGGAAAAGGAGAAGAAGACAAAGAAAAAAGCTTTTGTCAATGAAAGAGAAACATTATCGTTTGAACAACAAATTTTAGATAACAATAGACAATTAGCCAGGTATTGAAAATTAAGAAATTCAGAAACAATTCATTTTTTCTTTTGCTAAATTTTATCACTAAATTACAATTTTTTAAATCAAAATTCAATTTTACTGAATAAAAATTAACAGAAATTTCAGAAAATTTTTTAGGAATTTTCTAATTTTTATTTTTAAAGTTTTATTTCTTTTATTTAATTAACATTAATTTTTAATTTCTTTTATTTAATTAAAATTAATGAGTTATTTTATAATAATAATTAATTTAAAAAAAAGACTACGAACTCGAAATGCGGAACTTGAAAGTGAAATGGAAAAAATGAAAGATAAATATGATCAATTGGAAGAAGATAGAGCGGATGTTGTCGCACATTTGAGAAGAGTTTTAAATCAAAGAACATTAGAGGCTCAAGAATTACATGAACAATTATTGGCTTCAGATCAAGTTCGTAAAGATGAACAAGAAACATTTAAAAAACGTGAAGATTCTTTAGAACAATCTTTTCGTATAATGGAAAGTAATTTGAGTGCCGAAGTGAAATTAGCAGGTAAATAAATTTAAAAATAAATCCACATAATTATTATTATTAATTATAATTAATATTAAAGAGGGTAAACTCAATTCATTGGAGGAATGGAGAATTGCAAGATTGGATTTAATGAAAAAATTTGAAGAACAAGAGAAACAAATGTCAGAACAAGAGAAAAATCACAAAGAAACTTTATATGAAGCTGAAAAAGAATTAATTTTAGGAAAAGCCAAGTAAAATAAAAATAAATTTAATTATTCAATTAAATTAATTTAAATATTTTAATTTTCAAAATTAAATTAATAATTTAAATATTTTATTTTTTAAATCAATTAATTTTATAATAATTTCTTCCTCACCCAATTTTAGAATGCAAATTGAAATGGAAGAACGTTTAATTGAATTAGCGCAAAATTTTCAAAATGCCACAACAATAAGAATAGCAAATGAAACGCATAAAGCAATAAAAGAAAATATTTCACTAAATCGTGAATTGGATTTAATTTTTCGTACATGTAGAGAATTAGATTTTCAAAATAAAGAATATAAAGATCGTGATCGTTTATTGAGATTTCAAATTTCACTTTCAAATTCAGAAGCAAAAATGGCATTGAAAAAAGTATTGAAACAAAATCAAATAATAAATAAACTTTCCGATGATTATTTAACAATGAATATTATTTATGGACGTGTACAAAGAGCTGAATCATTAGTTCAACGAAATGAATTATTAATGGATAATTGTAAAAGAAATTCAAATGAAATGATGAAAAAAATTTTCATTTTAGAAAAACATATTGAAAAATCAAGTGAAAATGAAAAAGAAATAATTGATGAAGTTATTAAAAATCATAAGGAAATTGAAAAACTTGAAAAAATTTTAAGAAGAGCTAAAAATTGTATTAAAAACGCTTTGGAAGTAATATTTCTATTATTATTATTATTATTGTTGTTAAAAATTATTACTGCAAATAGATTAAAAAATTGCAAATAATTATTAAAAATTTTTTTTTTTAAATTTAGGTACAAGAAATTTCCGATGAAAATGTTTGTGATTCGTGTAATTCGGAAGTTAAAGAAAAACTTCTTCACTCTCTTTTAGATATTTTAACGAGTTATCAATCATCTAAAATATCAATCAATTCTCTTCAGGTATTTCTATAAAAAAATTAATAAATTATTTTTATTTTACATAAACAAAAATATCGATTATTTTAAATATTAAATTAAATTTCATTTTTTTTTCCAGTACAATTCAGAATTTGTGTCAGATGATTATAAACCAGGAAATTTGGGATTAATTTCAAATAATGAAATTTAACAAAACTTTAATAAATGATTAAAGTAAATAATAATGAATTAGCAAAAAATTTGGATTATTTTATTTTTTAGCTTTTATAACAGTTTTACAATTTGTTTAAATTTAAGTACATATATAAAAAGAAAAACATTTGAAAATCTTAATATTTGTGAACAAAAAATAACCAATATAAAATTAACACTTTGCTTTATTAATTAATTTCTCAAAAATAATCTTTTAAAAAATTTATAGCAAAAAATATAATTGGAAAAAATTTATTTCCATCATAAAATGGTTGATGTAAAAAAAATTGTGAGAGGAAATATTTCTCTACCATTGAGTCTTCAATCACCCGATATTGAAAAAAATGATAATTCTCAAAATGAAGAGAAAAATGTTACAATTTTTAATATGCAAAAAACACTTTACGAAGTGAAAATTGAAGATATAGAAAAGAGAATAAAAAGGTTTTCTTTTTATATTTTACATTTTTATTAAATATTATTATAAAAAAAAACAAAAAGAAAAAACTTTTATTTAGATTAGAAAATAGAAATCAATCGATTCTTGAAGAATATTCAAATGTAGATTCAATGTATATTTTAAAAGATAAAGAAACTGCTGATGAGATAATGAAAATTAATAATGAAATATCAGGTGAAATAATAAAAATTAAAACAAATGGAAATGAAATTGAAAATATAGAAAAATTACGACTTGATAATAAAATGGAGCATGAGAAAAATATAAAAACCCTACAAAATATGTATGAAAAAACAAGAATTGATTTAATGTCAAAAATAAAGACATTGAGTAAATAATATCAATATAAATATTTAAATTATATTAATTAAATTTATTTATTTTTTATTCTATTTTTTTATTATTTAAATTATTTATTTTCTCAATTGTATACTTATTGCAAAGTTTTGCAATTTTTTTTTCCGCCGCAAATTTTTGAATAATAGTGAATAAAAATGTATAAATTAAAATAAAAAATTAAATTCAAAATTAAAGAATAAATTATAAATCGTTAATAATTTATATTATTTATAAAAAACTGTATGTATAATTATTTTAAGATGCACGAATTAATACATTGGAAGATTTTAAAGAAAAAAAACAATATTTATCGGAAAAATTTGCAAAAAACATGGAATTATTTCAAGAAAATGAAAATGTCTATAAAATAAATTTAAATGAAATTGATGGCAAATTTAAAAATTCAAAAGAAAAGTTACTATTATTTATTTAATTTTGTTACCTCTAATGGATTTAATTATTTTAAAAAAAACAATAATATTTTATTTTTAAGAAAAAAAAAAAAAAATAAAAGAAACTAAATAAATTCGTAAATGAAATATTTTCAATTTAACAGAATGATGAATGAATTATACAAACGACTTTTAACACTTGCCAAAGACTTACAAATTGAAATAATGAAGAATTTACCATTTTTTACTCAGCAATTAATTAGAGAAAATATTCTCATTCAAAATGACTACAGTCAAATATTTAATGAATGTATTTTCAAAGAAGCACACAATTTGGAAATGCTGTAAGATATAATTTAAAATTATTCAACAAAAGAAATTATCCAAAAAATCCAATTCTTGAATACTAATATTTAAGAAATCAAATTGTTACATAAAAGAAAAATATTTCTAAAAAATTTTTGAACCACAGATATTCAACAGAAATGTGTGATAATCAATTAAAAGAAATTCAAAGACAAACATTTCTTCGATTAATTACTTGTAAAATTCAAAAAAATTTTCAATCAACACTCAAAATTCAAAATGAAAATTTAAAACAAACATTGAAAAATACAAAGAAAATTCTCGATTCTTCAGAAATGAAACAAAAAGAATATTTTGAAAAATTACAATTAAAAGAGAATCAAGATTTTCAAAGAAGACAATTACAAGTTTTATTACATTATTTACAAGTGAAATTAAATTTTGCTTTAAATAAACAAAAACAATCAAGGGAAATTGTGAAAAAATTAAGAAAAATTTTAAACGATATCACATTTACCGTTTCAAGTGCATTAAAAGTATTACAAATAAAAAAATAAAATTTCTATTATTAATTATTTACTGATTAATTAGAAAAATAATTTTTTTAGATATCAAAATCAAATGATGACAAAATCACTTACAAACAATTATTCGATTTATTTGATCAATCAATTATATCAGAAAGAAAAAATTCGTAAAAATTTATTTACAATATAAAGTATTTTTCAAATAGTAATTTTTTTTTATTAAAAATTATCAGGGATTTTTATCGAATATAAATTGGAAAAATGAAATTAAGCAAAATATATAAATGAAAAATTCAAAAATTGAAAGAGAAAAATTTATACGAATTGGAAAAAAATTGTTACAAATATGAAAAAAAAAAAAAAAATTACCTTTATTTCTTTGCCAATTAAATGAATAAATTTAATAACAAATTATTTTTTATTTATTTTGTGATCCGCTTTAATGTATCTCTTTACATTTGCCTTCGTTCGTTTCCTATAAAAAAAAGAAAGCAAATTTTAATATATTATATAAAAGAAAAGATAAATATAAATAATACAAATATTTATAAATATAAAGAATTTTTTTAAAAAAAATATACTAACAACACTAATGTTGCAGGTGCAACAATATTTCTCTTTTGTAAAGATTTATATCTATCCTTCAATAAATTTCCCACAGGATCAGCGTTCCTTAAATTTCCCGTTAGTTCACCGCCAAGTTTAAAATCAGGTTCAACTTCTTCATATTTTATTCTACTTAAAACTTTTGGCTCCATTGTTTGTTTTTCCTTTATTAATTCACGTTTCTCCCTTAATTTCATTTCAATTTTCTCCTTACTCTCCATTTGTTTATGAATAAGTTTCAATTTATAAATATCGGCAACTTTTTTCTTTTCCACTTTATTTTGTTTACGTTGTAATTTCATTTCACGTTCCTCCTTTTGTTTACGTCGTTTTTGTAATGTTTTCTTTTCATTTTTCGCTGGTGGATTCACAGATTTTACAATTGGATCATCATCATTGTCTTCTTCTTCTTGATTTTCAATTTTTGAATTTAATGGTAAACCTTCGGACAATTCTTCTAAAGTATTTCGATCCTTTTCCTCTGGCGATACCTTAAAAAGGAAAATTAGTACAATTAAAATTATTTTCGTGAAAAATAGTTCTTTTAGTGACAAAAGAATTTTATATAAAAAAAATACCTTTTTGAACATTTTACTGGTAACTCTATTCAAATGTGCTTCTTCTTTTTCAAATTTCAATTGCTTATCAGCGACTTCTTTCAATAAATCTTGATGATCGTTAAAAGATGGATTATAAGATGTTCCAGGATGTGGAATTTGAACAGCGGGTAATACAGATGGTTTTTTAATTAAATTCTCAGGAATACGTTTTCTTTTTTTCCCCGTATTTGCCAATGTATGTCTAATAGTATCCGAAGTAAACCAATCGCTATTCAATTCATTTACAATTGGCAATTCATTTTTCATTTCTATTTTCCAAATATCTTCTTTAAATTCACCGCGTTTAAATCGTTTATTTCTATTTTCATCGGCAATTTTTCTATCTTTTAGTGAATTTTTTTCTCTTAATTTTAAAATACCATTTTTTTTTCTTTCCTGTTCAAATTTTCTTCTTATTGGATTTTTTCTTTCCTCAGGTGTTTTAACACGATTTCTTTTACTAATTGGATCTAAAATTGCTGTATGCGGTTTTAAAATAGCAAAACATCTTGGCTCTTTTAATTTTAATTTTGCTCTACGTTCAGCTTTACTGATAAGCAATGTTTCATCGCGTGCTGTATCAATGGAAAATAATTCTGAATTTGCTCTCTCAGAAAATGGTGCACCAAGACGTTCTTCGAGACGTTTATTTTCTAAATATTTATCAACATCTTTTGTATCAATATTTTTTCTCCATGATTTTTTTGTCTTTTTTGAGACTTTACGTTTTTTTAAATTGTCAATCATTTTGTCTATAAAAAAAAATAAAAAAAATTATAAATAATATAAATATATTTAAAATTAAATTTATTTAGAACATATTTTAGTATTTTTGTTTTATTATTATATTATTATTTTATATTTATTAATATTTATTATTATTGATTATATATTATTTTTTATATTAATATTATACTAGCAATATTAAACGCGCGCAAGCGCGCCAAATTGAGTATTTAATTGTTTATTATAAAGAAATTAAAGATTAATATTATCAATAATAATTTAAATTTATTAGAATATTATTTCATATTAAATGATAATAATGAAAATTATTATTATATGTTATTAAATTATATATAAAATTGAATTATTTTCCAAATTTTCAATTTAAAATTCAATTATTTACCAAGTTTTCAATTTAAAATTAAATAAAATTCAAATATTACCCGAAATTTTAATTCAACATCAACTTAAATTAAATTATTATCCAAAATTTCAATTAAAATTCAATTATTTTCCAAAATTTCGAGTCAAAATTAATTATTATCAAAATTTTCAATCAGCAATCAACTAAAATTAATTATTTTCAAATTTTCAATCAACAATCAACTAAAATTAAATTATTTTCAAATTTTCAATTTAAAATTCAATTATTTACCAAGTTTTCAATTTAAAATAAAATAAAATTCAATTATTTTTTAAAATTTCTATTCAAAATTAATTATCGAAATTTTCAATTAAAAATGAACTTAAATTAAATTATTATCCAAAATTTCAATTAAAATTCAATTATTACCCGAAATTTTAATCCAAAATCAACTTAAATTAAATTATTATCCAAAATTTCAATTAAAATTTTATTATTTTCCAAAATTTCGAGTCAAAATTAATTATTATCAAAATTTTCAATCAGCAATCAACTAAAATTAATTATTTTCAAATTTTCAATCAACAATCAACTAAAATTAAATTATTTTCAAATTTTCAATTTAAAATTCAATTATTTACCAAGTTTTCAATTTAAAATAAAATAAAATTCAATTATTTTTTAAAATTTCGATTCAAAATTAATTATCGAAACAATGCCAAAAAAACATTGAAAAATTTTAACCAACACAAAATAATGTCAAACAATACATTTAAAAAAAACAAAAGACTTATAACAAATACTAACTTCAGGTGTGGACAGAATGAACGAAAGATATTATTTTTTATATTAATATTATATTTTATATTATATTTATAATATTAGTGAGAGGTGTAAATTTAATAGAAGAAAAAATTTCATAAATTCGATAGACATAACCTCAAATTAAATTAATATATTTTCATAATTTTCTTCTGTGAGAAAGCAAAATTTAAATTTATTTATATTAAAATTTTTAATAAATAAAGTAACAACTATATTATTATTGTACGTATTATTATGTAGAAAAATATTATATTCATACTAAGAGGTTATGTTAATTAGTTTTAAAAATTGTTTAAATGCAGAAAAAACTTACATAATTCTTTATACAGAAACTCTCTATTGCTGTACAATGAAACACTTACTGAATATTAATAGTTTGGATAATATTTAATTATTAAATTAATACTATAAACATTTTTTTTATATAATAATTTCAATTACCATGTGTTCCATAAGTCTCAGTTCACATGCGGTAAAGAGACAACTATAGTCAAGTAGAACAAAGAGAGTAAACTCAAAAAAAAATTCGAACATTTTACAAATTCGATCTTTTGATAATTCGTGATTTTTGAAATTCTATCTTTTAGTTTTTCGAAACTTCTAAATTCGGTGTAATAATTATTCGAAATTTTTGACTTCTAATAAAAACAGAACTTTTTTGGTTTAAATATTTGTATTTCGCGCAATTTTCATTTTGTCCAAAAAAATCGAAATACCAAGATGGCGTCGATTTGTTGATATTTCTCCAAATTTCGTCTGCTATTTCTTGACATGTCAATATAAACAATTGTACTAATTTTATATTTTTAAAATGTATATAATGTTTTACGATTCTTTTTTTGTTGAAATTCTTTGAAAAATCTATTTATCTATGAATAAAGAAGAATATAGAAGAAATTTTGTTAGTGTAAATTCCAAAGCACTTTAAATTTTTTCCGTAAGTGTTTATATCTAATTAATTCTTTTATTTCTAATTAATATTTGTAATTATTACTATATTATTTATAAATTTTGACAAATAAATGAAATGTATTTACAGGAATAGCATATAAATTAAAATAAATTTTGTTTTAAAAATTAGAACATAACCTAAAATTTTCTACTTATTGAATATTTATATAATTATTATATTATTAAATTATTTAACTAATTTATTTAAAAAACGAAATTTTATACTTGTTTTACAAGAGATTTTACATTCAAATATAATTTTTTTATTTCGTATTAAAAAATTAAAGAGGTTAAAAATTTCTAACATTTTTTTTTTTTTTGTATTCTGTTCGCAATATATATATATTTAAATAGATTAATTTATACATTTAATATTTAACAAATTTTCATTTTTTTTTCAATGATATAACAATGCTTATCAACACCAAACTGTTAAAACACGTGTGAGAATAAAATTTGAAAAATTAAACAACCATTTTTTTTTTTTTTTTTTTTTTTTTCAAACAAATTTAAAATGGATATTCAGGATGTCTATCGACACCAGGCAAAAAAGAGACAAAATCTAAAATTCTTGCCTCAGCACCCTGATCCAAATTATTTAATTCTATAACATCATCAGAATCAAATTCAAAATCAAAAAGATCAATATTTTCGTATATCCTTTTTGGATTTTGACTTTTTGGAATAACTGCAACGCCTTTTTCTAAAATATGACGAAGTATTATTTGTGCGCTAGTTTTATTGTATTTTTTCGCTATTTCCTCAACAATTGAATTTGTCAATGGATCAGCAATAACATCTGCTTTTCCAATTGAATTAACAAGTCCCCTGGTACCTAATGGCGAATATGCCGTCACTGTGATTCCTTTTTCCTTGCAAAATTCAACCTTTAAAAAAAAAATAAATAAAATACATTTACAAATTATTTTCATTGATTTTTTTTTTTTTTTTTTTTTTAGGTAAAAAATTAATGAGGCTTACTAATTCATTTTGTTGGAAATAAATGTGTAATTCAATTTGCAAATTTGATACGGGTATTGTTGAAGAATTGAGAATTTTTGTTATTTGTGATTCATTGAAATTTGATAGGCCAATTGCACGTGTTCTTCCTGCTTCAACTTGTTTTTCAAATTCAGCCCAAATTGCAAGATGATCAGTTGTCATGTCCAATATTACTTCTCCATTTTCATCGAGTGAAAATAATTCTTCATTTATTTCCTCGAATCCAATGGGATTGTGAATTAAATAGAGATCCAAATAATCTAATTGTAAATCGTTTAACGATCCTTTTAGCCATTTTTCCACTTTGTTTGGATTATTTCCTGATGGGGGCAACTAAAATGAATATTAATTTTTTTTTTTTTAAATATTAAATTAAAAAAAGTTAAATTGATTTAAAGTAAATTAAATTAATTATTTAATTTAATGTTTATTTATTTTAAAGATTCAAAAAATTTTGTTTTTTATTATTACTTTAGTAACAATAAAAAGTTCTTCTCTTGTTACTTTTCCGGAATCAATCCATTCTTTTAAAATTTTTCCCACTGCTTTTTCATTTTGATAATATGCAGCACAATCTATATGTCTGTAGCCTGCTTTTAAAGCAGTATCCACTGCTAATATTATTTCTTCTTCCGATACCTAGAATACAGAAATATTTTTTGAAAAATATTTTTTCCCACTAAATTTTTTTTTAAAAAAATAATTCACATTTATTTACAAAAAAATGTTATTTCTTAAAACAAATTTGTACAATTTTAGAACTTTTGAAAAAAAACGAAAATTTTCAAAAACCAAATTTTTTGTGAAATCGTAATAAATTAGAGAATTTTGAATTTTATTTAATTTACTAATTTATATTTTTAAAAGTATTTATTAGTTAATAATTTTTATTAATAACTTACAGAAAACGTGGAGTAAGAAATTTTTTTTTTAAATTCTGTATTTTTTCATTATTTTTAAATAAAATGATAATGAATTATTGTCAAATAATAATAATTTTTTAAATAATATTTAAATAATAATTAATAATTAAATAATAATTAATAATTAATTAATAGTTAAATAGCTTGAATTAAACATACCTGCCAAGTTCCAAATCCTAATGCTGGCATTTCATGACCATTAGGTAGATCAATTTTTGAATTTAAATCCATTTTTGGGAGGAAAAAAAGTTCAAATTGAAAAGTTTGTTTTTTTTTTTTTATATTTAAAGCACTTCAAGGGTTTGCTTCTCACAATGAAGTGAAGTTGAATTTAGATTTTTTATTTTTTCCATTGACTTTTTTTGTTTACTTATTAAAACGAACAAGTAACCATGACAACGTGAAACTAATTTTATTCTAAATGCATTGAAAAAGTATATATTGAAAAGTATTGTAGGAAAAAAGTCCTTGGAAAAGTATATCGAATTTGTATAGTTGAATTTAATTTTTATTATATTTAAAAATAAAATTAAAATAAAAATAAAAACAAAATAGAAAAACAAAATAAAAGGAAATTATAAAAAAAAAATTAGAAATAATTAAATTTGAGAAAAATAGGAGAAAAAAAATTAAATAAACAAAAAATATACAGAAAAATAATAAAAAATAATATAAATAAAATAATAAAATAAAAATGCCAAATTAATTAATTAAATTTTAAAAATTATAAATTTAAATTTACTTTTTATAAAATATTTATCTGAATTTTTTTGACTCCAAAGATTAAATTAATTTTTAATTATTCTTTTTTTTCGTAATTTTTTTTATATTTTTGTCAAATTTTGGTATTTTTAATTTTCTATCTTTGTTAGTTTTCAATTTCTCCTTGAAAAGAAAATCATATTGATTTCGAAAGGGAGAAATTTTTCTACAGTCATCGCATTTATAAATCTTAAAAAAATATAATTTTCTAAATATTTATTTGAGAAAATAGCACTACAAATATTTTATTATATTTTATTACATTTTATTTTGTTTTATTATATTTTATTATTACTATTGTACAATTAAAATATTCTCGATAAAATTATCCAAAATTAACAATTTCCAAAAAAAAAATATGTTTACAATTTTTAGTAATAAAAAAAAAAAAAAAAATTTACTACGGAAAAAAAATTCTAAAACGGAAATTCAGGATGTTTTTCACTACCTCTGAATAATGAGGCAAAATCTAAAATTCTTGCCTCTGATCCCATATCCAAATTATTTAATTCAATCACATCTTCTGAATCAAGTTCAAAATCAAAAATATCAATATTTTCATATATCCTCTCTGTGTTACGACTCTTTGGAATGACTGATATATTTTTTTCCAAAATAAAACGTAGCGCTATTTGAGCTGGAGTTTTATTATGTTTCGTTGCTATTTCATGAATTGTTGGATCCAACAGTAAATTTGGTACAATTTCAATTTTTCCAAATAGTGTTGCAAGCCCCCTAGAACCCAATGGCGAATATGCAGTAACGGTAATTTCATTTTCCTTACAAAATTCAATCTGAACAAAAAATTTTCAAATGACAGTATTTTTATTTTCGTTAATTATTTTTGTTAATCGTTAACGAAAGTAAAAAAAAAAATATAAAAATAATTATATAATAAAATATCGAAACCAAATAATGGTTTAAAAAAATAATTATTTGCTTTTACTGTTAATTAAAAAACCGTTTTTTTTTTAATTTTTCAATAAAAGAAAATTAATAATTTTTTCACTTAAAATAACTTACTAATTCATTTTGTTGAAAATAAACATTTAATTCAATTTGTAAATTTGAAATTGGTATTGTAGCAAAATCGAGAATTTTTTCTATTTGCAATTTATTGAAATTTGATAGACCAATTGCACGTGTTCTTCCTGCTTCAACTTGTTTTTCTAATTCAGCCCAAATTGCAAGATGATCAGTTGACATGTCTAATTTTACATCTCCATTATCATGAAACGAAAACATTTCCTCATTAATATCTTCAAATCCAATTGGACCATGAATTAAATAGAGATCCAAATAATTTAATTGCAAATCATTTAATGAATTTTTCAACCATTTTTCCACTTTATTTGGATCATTTCCAATAAATGGTAACTAAAAATAAAGAAAATAAAAATAAAAAAAAATTTATTATTCTCCTATAATAAAAATAAAAATTTTGTAAAATAAAAAAAAATAATTTTGTATAATAAAAATAATGAAATAATTTTTTGTCAATTTTTTGTTTTTTTTTTTTTACTTTAGAAACAATAAAAAGTTCGTCTCTTGTAATTTTTTCCGAGTCGAGCCATTTTTTCAAAACTTTTCCAACTGCTTTTTCATTTTGATAAAAAACAGCACAGTCTATTTGTCTATAGCCGGCATTTAAAGCAGTATTTAAAATTACTTCAATATCGTCTTCTGGAATCTAGAAAAAAAAAAAAATTAAATTACCATACATTTTTATAAATAATTTTTTTTTTTTTTAAATGTTTGATAATTAATTCCAAGATATATAATAATTTCTCTTATGGAATGTTTTCAGCTTATAAATTAAACATATACATAAATTTGAATTTGAATTTCAATTATTGTTGCAATTATTTTTAAATAATCGTAACTGATCGTAATAATAATAATTTTTCCACTTTATCCTTTGCAAAAAATAGAAATAAATAAAAAATAATAATAATAATAGAAAATAATAATATTAATAACAAAAGAATAATAATAGTAATAATACAAAATAATAATAATAATAATAAATAAAAAATATACCTCCCACGTTCCAAATCCCAAAGCTGGCATTTCATGTCCATTGGGTAGATTAATTTTTAAATTTGAAACCATTTTTTTTGTAAATTTTTTTATTAATTATAATATGATATCAGGTTTACTTTTTCTCTAATGAAGTGAATTTCGATTTTTTTTATTGTCGAGTTTATTGTTTGTTTACTTAATAAAATGCACAGGTAACTATGACAACATGAAACTAATTTTAAACTCAGAAAGTTCATAACAATTATATAATCGAATTTATAATCAAAGAAATTGATCTTTTATTTTTTTTAATATTTTTATTCTTCTTATTATAAAAAATTTTTGAAAAATTAATTTAAAAAATAAATTACCGGAATCAAAAAAAAAATTATAAAATATCAAATAATATATTTTGGATAAAAATATTTATTTTTTTAACAATCAATAAATTTTTATTTTTAAAAACAATTTTTTTTTTCAACCATATTTTTAGCATTAAATCACAATTTTCGTCGATTTAATTAATTTTGTCAAAAAAAAAAAAATTAAAAAGGAAATTCTGGATGTTTATCAATTCCCTTAAAGAAACTTATAAAATCACAAACGCGCGCTTTTTTTCCAACATTTAAATTATTTAATTTTTCCACTTGTTCATCATTAAGTTGCCATGTGAAAAGATCAATATTTTCTTGAATTCTCTTTGGATTTGTACTTTTTGGAATTGCAGCCACACCTTTTTGAATTAAATGACGTAATAATATTTGTGCACTTGTTTTATTAAGTGTTTTTGCAATTTCTTGAACAACTGGATTCATCAATAAATCGGGTAAAATTTCCGTTCTACCTAATAGTTTAACGAGTCCCCTTGAACCCAATGGCGAATATGCTGTCACTGTGATTCCTTTTTCTTTGCAAAAGTCAACCTAATTTTAATAATAAAAAAAAAAAGGAATTGAATTTTATTTAATTTTATAATTCAAATTAATAATTTAATAATTAATTTTATAATTCAATTTAATAATTTAATAATTAATTTTATAATTCAAATTAATAAATTAATAATTTAATAATTTAATAATTAATTTTATAATTCAATTTAATAATTTAATCTAATATAATTAAATAAAAAATAAAATAATAAACAAAAAATAGCAGAATAATAAAAATTGAAAAAAATTTAATTTAATTAATTTTATAAATTGAATTTTTGTTTTAAGTTTTTTTTTTTTTAAAGATAAAATATAAATCTTACAAGTTCATTTTGTTGAAAGTAGACGTGTAATTCAATTTGAAGATTGGATATTGGAACAGTTGCAATATTTAAAACTCTTGTTATTTGAGAAATATTGAAATTTGATAAGCCAATAGCGCGTGTTCTTTCGGCGACAACTTGTTTTTCCATTTCTTTCCAAATAGCAATATGATCAGTTGTCATGTCCAATTGTATTTCACCATTTTCATTCATTGGATGTAAATCGCCTTCAATTTCTTTAAATGTAAATGGCGTGTGAATTAAATACATATCCAAATAATCCAATTGCAAATCGTTTAATGATTTTTTTATCCATTTTTCCACTCCACTTGGCCGATTACCTGGAGGTGGTAGCTAAAAAATTGTTGAAAAAAAAATTAATTAATAAAATTAATTCACTTATTTTATTATTAAATTATTTTACATTTATTTATTTATTAAAGAATTTTAATTTTTTTTTTCATTTTTTAGAAATAATTATTCTATTAAATTTTTATTAGATTAATTTATTATAATTAACTAATTATGAATAATAATAATAATAATAATAATATTTAATTATACAAATACTTAATAAAATAAATTATAAAAAATGAAAATAAATAATTGTAAAATTTTGTATTAAGTACACAATGGAGAAAATTAATTGATAAATAAAAAAAAAGTAAATAAAATCAATAAAAAAATTTTAATTATTATTATTGTTAGTGTTATTATTATTTATAGATAATAAATTAAATTCGAAAAACAACCTTAGTAACAATAAAAAGTTCTTCTCTTTTGACTCTGCCCGAGTCTAGCCAATTTTTTAAAGTTTTTCCAATTGCCTTTTCATTATTGTAAACAGTTGCGCAATCAATGTGTCTATATCCTGCTTCTAATGCAGCATTTAAAGCTGAGACAATTTCCTCTTCTGATGCCTAAAATTTACAAAAAAATTATTAATGTACAAAAAATTTTTTTTTTTTTTTTTTCGCTAAAAACTGTTTTGCTACAAAAATATTGAGGTCATTTGATGATAACAATAATATTAGTTATCTGCAAAATTATCAGTAATATGACATTGCTTTATAATTTACAAATAAAGAAAATTCTTCTTAGTATTTTTTTTTAGTAATTATTTCTCTAATTAAAAAAAAGAGTTCCATATTTAATAATTTCCGGCTTTGTTTTAATAATAGATTTACATAATGAATATTTATTTCTAATTAAAGCTATTTTTACAATTGAAGGTTTAAAAAATATATTTTTTTTTGCTATAAAATACTACGTTGAATTAAAGAAAATATTTATTTAAAATTTGTCAAAAAATTTTTAATTTTACGTAAATAAAAATAATAAACAAACCTGCCAAGTTCCAAATCCCAATGCTGGCATATCATGACCATTGGGTAATTTAATTTTTATTTTTGAAGCCATTATTTCGGTTTATTTTAAAAAATATGTGGAATTTTGAGTGAAAAAAAAAAAAATTTTTTTTTACTTGTATACCGTTGAATTAGTGGAACTCGACTGATCACAATCGACTTGTACTCATCACTCTCTTCCCCACTATTCTGAAAATAATCTCAGAGACTTTCACATTTTTGAAAGCCAAGGTTATTCAGTTAACAGTAATAATGTTTTTATTATAATATTTGTAGAACAACCTTCGTTTATGCATTGGAATTATTTTGCATTCAAGGCGAATATAATTTATTATAAATATTGGTTTAGAAAAAAAAAAAAAAATTAATTTTATGTAATATATTTGCACAAAAGACTAGTTTTTACAATTTAAAAAAATTTTATAAATAATTTTCCCGTTAATTTCAAATATGTATTTTATTTTCTAAATTAATAATTAATAAATTTATTTTCTAAATTTATAAAATAAATTTAAGAGAATTTTTTTATTTGCTTAATATTATGCTAAATTGTTGGAATTAAATTTGAAATTTTCTTTTATAAATTTGGAAAAATACCGTTTTTTATCCTGGAAAAGCTAAAAAAAAATCTCCTAAGGTTAAAAAAAGAAAACTATGAATAAATTATGTTGAAAAATAATTATTTAAATACTTTTGTAATTTTATTATTAAAAAAAAAAAATTTATTTTTAAGATAACAAAAAAAATGTACACTTGTACAAATTGTGGAGCTGAAGTTGCAAATTTATACAGACGTTACAGTCCAAGTGTCTTAAAAGTCTTAAAATGTGTAAGTTTAATAAAAAAAAAATTACTTTTTAATTTAGAAATTATTTTCTATTGTTACATCCGGAGATATAACATAATTAATTTAATAATTGTTTAATTTTTAAGTCTAGACTTTCGTCCTACAACTTAGGAATCTTTTCGATTAGATTTCTTGTTGAGAAAATAAAATTTTTAGAAGGTTAGGAAATGATTTTAAAAGGAATTGAGAAAATAATTGCGCACTGGTAGCACTAAAATTTCTCGGAAAGGTTTTCAATAATTATGAAAAAATAAGATTTTATAATTTTGGAATGTGATAAAATATCGCGCACCATAGCACGAAATTTATCGGAATTGAGAGATGGATAAGATTAAGAAAAGAAAGAAATAATAGATTTTAAATATAAACTTACTTTTTTTTATTTATTAAAAATGATTTTCCCTAAAGATGCACAAATTAGGAGAACGTCCTTCGAATTCAAAGATAGGTTGTTTGGACAGCAATCAAAATAACAGGAACTCGTAGAATTGAATTGAATTTAAACAAGATTTTTAAATTCAGAAAATAACTTTGAAAGTAACTTATCACTGAATGTATAACTTTTTAATCAGAGAAATTGAGATTTTATAATTTGTAAAATAACTTTAAATTTTGGAAACTTGTAATGTAGAAAGAATTTGAAAATGACTCTTTAGAGTTTGTTAATAGGAATTTTGAATGTTGAATAACTTGAATGACTTGAAATGCTGAATAACTTGAATGACTGAATAACTTGAATGACTGAATAACTTGAAAATACTGAATATTTTAGGGAAACATACGTTTTTAAAGGTTTGTCCCCACTACTAATTTTGAGTTTTTGGGGTAGATTTTGAAGAAGGGAGAGATTTTTTGTAGAAAGGGAAATATCTTGTAGGCGGAGAGAAAAAGGGAGTTGAGAAAACTTATTATTAGAGTTTCTCAAAGAAAATGGTAAAAACTCGAAAGAAAAAATGAAGAAAACTCATTTACATTTTCTCCCTATTGGGCCCCACTGACCCAGCCCTTAGGGTTGGTTCGAACGTGTGGGTTGTCCTTCAGAGACACAGATTTCCAAAAGTAGGGATAAATTCTTTAAAGAAGGGAAGATCATCCATATTTTGCATCTTTTACAATTAAGCTAAATTTTTATTATTAACAATGATTATTATTAATATTATTTATTATTAACAATTATTATTTAATTTATTTTACATATTCCTTTTTGAATTTTAATTGTACGATGATTTTTAAGAAAGATACAATTTATAAATTTAATTTGTTTATAATTTTTAATAATAATAATTATTTTTTATTAATTTATAAAGTAATTTAACCTAATTTTTTTATAATAGTCGAAATTATTTAAAATTTTAATTATTTATAATTATTTATTGTTAAATATCAATATAATTTAATTATTGTTAAATTGTATTAAATTTTAATTGTTTATTTATTAATTTTATATTTTTTATAATTTTTATTATTAATTTTACTTATATTAATAATTTTAAACAATAATCAATTATACATTTTGACAATTATTAGTTTTTATTAAAATTTAATATAAATTGTAAAAAAATAACATTTTAATTATTTATTAATAATAATAATGAAATTAATTATTAAAGTTAATTGTTATTAAAAATTTATATGTGTGTGAATTTTAGTATAATATATATTTTCGGAACCTAGACAAATTTTATTACAAACAGAAGGAAATCTTGGCGACAGGGACTCTCGGACCTGTCGTAAGAAAAACGAAAATGAAAGGAAAAGGACCTCAGCGGTCGACATCTGGAGGATGCACTTGTAGAGTTTAGAAAAGATTTTTATGGTTGTATTTTATAATTTTATTGCTTACGGATGTTTCGGTTTCTTAGATTTTTGGAAAAAGTGCATTCTGTATATGTCGTCCACTAAGATTTCACGCTTCATTATCTACTTTTAAAAGAGAAAAAACAGATACATTATGAGTCGGTGAATAAGAAGAAATAACATGATTTTTTAAATAAACAGATGTTATTTTTTTCTTAAGAAAATAGGAAACGCGGAAAAATTAAATATAGAGTAAAATAGAAATAAAGTCGAAAAAATGACCAGATGTAACACTATTATCGAATTATTATTTTACTAATTATTACTTAAATAATAAAAATTATAATTAATAGAAAATTTTTTATAACTAATTTCGCATTTACAATTTTATTATTAAATTATTAAATGGGACAAAAAGAACATTAATTACTGTAATATATAATTAATATACTACTTTAATACAAAAAATTGATATTATTTCAGAATTCATGTGGATATTTAGCTGATAAATATATTGAATACGATCCAGTAATTGTTCTTTTAGATTTAATTCTCCTTCAAAAATCGGCATATCGACATTTATTTTACAATAGCAATTTTAAATCCTATTGGAAATTAATGATAGTTTTAATTTTGGGTGAATCATTTCAAAAATGGTTAGATTCTTCGATTTCACTAAGTGATAACGAAGAGAGAAAAGATTCTTTTGAGGTACTAAAAAATCATTTTTAAAAAATATTTTTATATATTTTTTAATTTTATTTTTATAATTTTTATATTTTATCTTTTATTTAATACTTGTTATACAATATTTTTAATTAATAAATATATAATTTCTAACAATAAACGTACATTTTTAAATTCTTTTCTATATTTTAAATATGGAATATTATCTTATATACATATATATATATTGAAGAAAAAAAAATATTTCTTGATTATAGGGTGAGAAAAATCTTTATATTATATTGATTCAAACAACATTATCGCTAAGCGCTCTTATTTGCACAATTATTATTTCAATGGAATTGCGTTGGTTTTTTATTTGTAAAAGGCCAGAAATGTATAAATCAAGAAATTTGGTGAAAGCATTAATAATTGGCCGTTATCCAAATTTACTAGGATTATTGGGAATAGTATGGAAACATAATTCGCCAAAATTACATAATTTTTTAATCTACGGATATGAATTATTGTGTTTACTAACAGCCTATTCTGGTGAGTAAAATATTTTCATTTTTCTTTTGGAATTTCACTCAATTTAGAGAAATTCAATTTCAAATAATTGGAAAATTATTTGTAGAGTAATTGTTGTTTTTTTTTAAATTTTAATTTAATTGTTACTTGCTCGCAGTGGTAAGCGACAGTGAAAAGAGTGGCTCATTGATCGTGTTAATTTTGGGTTTATTGGCACATAACAGCGTCTCAAGTGGCTTATTCGAAATGCCCCAGTTGATCTCCAATGTCACGTTGATGCAAAACTGACGCGAAACAATGGAAGACCTCAAACATCTTTTACAGGTATTACACTCCAGCCCAATACAAGGCGATCGAAACCACATGAAAATAGATTACATGATCCAGTATCCTCTGCCCATGTTACTGAACAAACCATTCTTCGATGACCCTAAAAATTAACGAGAATTAATTTTTCATTTTCATTTTCTATTTCTATTTCTATTTTTACCTACTGCAATTCAATTATTTCAAAAATAATATATAATAACTAGCAATATTAAACGCGCGCAAGCGCGCCAAATTAAGTATTTCATTATTTGTTATAGAGAAATTAAAAATTAATATTATCAATAATTATTTAAATTTATTAGAATATTATTCCATATTAAATGATAAAAATAAAAATTATATGTTTATAGGCCTCAGATTATTAATTATTAAATTATTAAATTTTAAATTCAAAGTCTTTTAAAATACAATTATTTTCCAAATTTTCAATTTAAAATCAAATAAAATTCAATTATTACCCAAAATTTCCATTCAAAATCAACTAAAATTCACTTATTTTCCAAATTTTCAATTTAAATTCAAATAAAATAAAATTATTTTCTAAAATTTCATTTCAAAATTAATTATCAAAATTCAACTAAAATTGAATTATTATTTAAAATTGTAATTGAAATTTAATTATTTTCCAAAATTTCAATTCAAAATCCAAGACAATTCAATTATTTTCCAAATTTTTAATTCAAAATCTTTTAAAATTCAATTATTTTCCAAATTTTCAATTTAAAATCACATAAAATTCAATTATTACCCAAAATTTCCATTCAAAATCAACTAAAATTCACTTATTTTCCAAATTTTCAATTTAAATTCAAATAAAATAAAATTATTTTCTAAAATTTCATTTCAAAATTAATTATCAAAAATCAACTAAAATTGAATTATTATTTAAAATTGTAATTGAAATTTAATTATTTTCCAAAATTTCAATTCAAAATCCAAGACAATTCAATTATTTTTCCAAATTTTTAATTCAAAATTTTCAATTTAAAATCACATAAAATTCAATTATTATCCGAAATTTTGATTTAAAATCAACTAAAATTCAAATATTTTCCAAATTTTTCTATTGAAAATTAATAAAAATTCAATTATTTTCCAAAATTTCAATTCCAAAATCAACTAAAATTCAATTATTTCCCAAAATTTTAATTCAAAATCAAAGAAAATTCAATTACTTTCCAAATTTTCAATTCAAAATCTTTTAAAATTCAATTATTTTCGTAGTTTTCAATTTAAAATGAAATAAAATTCTTCAATTATTTTCTTTTCTATTCAAAATTAATTATCCAAATTTTCAATAAAAAATGAACTTAAATTAAATTATTATTCAAAATTTCAATTAAAATTCAATTATTTCCCAAAATTTCAATTCAAAATCAAAAAAAATTCAATTATTTTCAAAATTGTCAATTCAAAATCAACTAAAATTCAATTATTTTCTAAATTTAAAATCAAATAATATTTAATTATTTTCTAAAATTTCAATTCAAAATTAATTATCAAAATTTTCAATAAAAAATCAACTAAAAATGAATTATTATCCAAAATTTTAATTGAAATTTAATTATTTTCCAAAATTTCAAATCAAAATTAAAGAAAATTTAATTATTCTAAAAAATTTGAATTCAAAATTAATTGAATTTTCAATAATTTGAATTTAAAAGCATTTAAAATTTAATTATTTCTAAAATTTTCCATCGAAAATTTTTTGAAATTTAATAATTTCAATTATAACTCTATAAGGGAATTCAATTATTTTTAAATATTTTTATAATATTCTTTGAAAATTCAACTATCTGAAACCATTTTTCAATTAAAAATGATTATCAAATTATTGTATTTTGTCTGTAATTTCTAATAAATTTTTTAGTGAAATCATATAAAATTTTAATTAAAATCACTTGAAGTTCAATTAATTTCTAAAATTTCAATTTTAAATCTTTTGAAAATTCAATTAAATTTAAAAAATGTTTTCCAAAAATTTTTTTGATAAATTATTTTTAGTTCTGTAAAATTTTATTATTGTTTGAAAATTAACAATATCTTTTGAAATTTAATTATTTCTAAAATTTTCAAGTTTAATTTGACACAAATTTGACACGTCGATTACTATTCAAAAAACACGTGAAATCATAAAAGACCAACTTCAAGTTAGGACAAAAGGACAGATCAAGCATTTTATTATTATATAATTTAAAAATCTGTAAAACTTAATTATTGTTCGTAATTCTCGTAACTCAAAACTATTTTCCCCAGATTTTTAATTAAAATAAATTACTAATTAAAATAAATTAGATTTGAAAAAGTTGAATATTATTAAAAGTTGAAAAAATTCAAGTACAATACGAGACCTTTTGATTAAATTTATTTAATATACCTGTCTACTTGTCCTAGGAAGTCGAGCTAAACGTTGTCCGCTCATGTCATATAATCGTATTTGTCTATTGTCATGAGGAATGGCAATAACACCAACACTTGAAACAGCCAATCTATTTGCTGCACTATCGCCACGAATTGTTGCCAATGGACTACGAATATTACGCAAATCCCAAACTTTAACACTTCTATCATCAGATCCCGATACTATTTTATCATCTCTTGCAAATACTGCCGATGTTACAGCTCTGCAAATAAAATTGTGATATATAATTTTTTTAATTTTTCAATTTCATATTTATTTCTTATCAATTTTTATAAATAAAATTATAATACTATTTAACATTTTCTTTTTCAATTTTCTCTCTATTTTATTTCTTTTACAAAATCAAAATTATGATAACTACATGATTTTCCCATAAAAAAATCATTAATTAGAATTTTTTTTATTTTAAAGTATTATTAGAAATAATTTTTTTTTTAAATGAATTTTTAATTTTCGAATTAAAATTAGATTTTCTTTTTTATATGAATTTTTGCGACGTGCGAATTTTTATTTGTCCGAAATTATAAATTGACCGAACAGAAAATCGACAAAAAGTTTTCGGTGCAATTTTTCAAAAATTGACTAATCACAATTTTTTTTTTTATTTTCTAATTGGTCAATTTTTGAAAAATTGCGCCGCAAAACTTTCTGTCGAACTTTCTGTTCGGACAAAATTTGTCATTTCGGACAAATGAAAATTCGCGCGTCGCAAAAATTCCGTCAATTAAAAATTTGTACAAATAAAAATTCGGAAAAATTTGAAATTCTGTGAATTGGAATTTCTGTCATTTAAAATGTTTATCAATTAAAAATTCGTACAAATAAAAAATTAAGTCAAATTAAAATTAGGACAAATGAAAATTTGGTGTCTTAAAAATTTGCACAATTAAAATTTGGCACAAATAAAAATTCGGACATAGTAAAATTCGATGAATTGGAATTTCTGTCAATTTAAAAAATTCGAATCACATAAAATTCTTTTGAATGAGAATTTTGTTAAATTAAAATTTGCTTAATTTAAAATACTCTTAAATAAAAAGTCATGTGAAAAAATTGATTGTAAAAATAAAAATTCTGGCAAAAATTCGATAGCTTAAAAATTTTGTTAAGTAAAAATTCGTATAAAAAGAAAATTTATCAAATTTTAATTCAAAAATTGAAAATTTGTCTGAAAAATAATAATATAATAAAATGGTTTAAAATAAAAATTTTAATTAATCATTTTTATGAGATAATCATACGTCTCATTTTATTATTTTTTTTTTTTGTAAATAAAATTGTGATACTCTTTTCTTTTCTCTGTTCTCTACTTTCAGGCCTCGGATCGACTTTAAGACACAAAAAAGTCGATTTTTTTTATTTTAACAAAACTTAATTGGTTAATGAATATTTTACTTTAAAAATAAAAATAACTAATGTTATTAGATATTAAATTCATTTTATTAATTTTGTAATGAGAATAATTCTATAAAAATATTATCAAAAAAATTGATTTCCAATATTTCACAATTGAACTAATTGTAAGACAAATTTTCAAAATTTTTTTTAATTAGAACAAATTTCCAAAAAATATTCTTCAAGTTACATTTTTATAATTTTTTCAATTCTGATTTAAGCAATTTATTCGAATTAAAAATTTTATCATAGTTTTTAGTTTTGATGTGTGAAAATAATTTCAGGCAAAAACTTAATCAAATTTTACAGATTTTTTATTAAAAATTTTTTTTTTAAATAATAATAATTTTGTAAGAGTTAATGTTGAAATTTTTAAAAATGATTGAATTTCAAAAGATTTGGTTAATTTTCAGACAATAATTAAATTTTACAAAACTAAAAATAATTTATCAAATAATTTTATAGATAATATTTTCAAAAACTAATTGAATTTTCAAAGATTTATAATTTATATTTTTGAAATTAATTGAACTTCAAGTGATTTTTAATTTAAAATTTTTCATGATTTCTGTTATTAAAAAATTTATTAAAAATTGCAGATAAAAATACAATAATTTTAAAAATTTTTAAGTGAAAAATGGTTTCAGATAGTTGAATTTTCGAAAAAAATTATAAAAATCATTAAAAATAATTTGATTTCACGAGAGTTATAATTGAAATTATTAAATTTCAAAAAATTTTAGATGGTAATTTTTAGAAATAATTAAATTTTAGAAGCATTTAAATTGAAATTTTTGAAAATAATTAAATTTCAATTGATATTGAATTGAAATATTGGAAAATAATGGAATTTTAGTTGATTTTAAATTGAAATTTTTGAAAATAAATGAATTTTAGTTGATTTTAAATTGAAAATTTTGAAAATAATTTAATTTCAATCGAAATATTGGAAAATAATTGAATTTTAGTTGATTTTGAATTGAAATTTTTGAAAATAAATGAATTTTAGTTGATTTTAAATTGAAAATTTTGAAAATAATTTAATTTCAATCGAAATATTGGAAAATAATTGAATTTTAGTTGATTTTGAATTTAAAATATTGAAAATAATTGAATTTTAGTTGATTTTAAATTGAAAATTTTGAAAATAATTCAATTTCAATCGAAATATTGGAAAATAATTGAATTTTAGTTGATTTTGAATTTAAAATATTGAAAATAATTGAATTTTAGTTGATTTTAAATTGAAAATTTTGAAAATAATTTAATTTCAATCGAAATATTGGAAAATAATTGAATTTTAGTTGATTTTGAATTTAAAATATTGATAATAATTGAATTTCTATTGAGATATTTGAAAATAACTGAAGAATTTATTAGAAATTACACACAAAAATTGAACTTGAAAATTTTTTTCATTGCAAATAGCTTTCAGATAATTGAATTTTCGAAGAATATTTTTAAAAAATCATTAAAAATAATTAAAATTTTTGCAAATAATTTAATTTCAAATAATTTTAAATTAAACATTTTTGGTAACTTTATTTACTAATTTTTTTTTTAAATTATAAACAATTATTAAATTTCATAAAAATTTTAATTCAAAAATAGTTTAAGATAATTGAATTTGTGAATTGAATTTCATTAAAATTATTAAAAATAATTAATTTAGTGAAGAATTTTAGTTAAAAATTTGTTAAATAATTGAAATAAAGAAGATCTGAAGAAGATTTGCATTGTATCCTTAAAAAAAAAAAAACGTATTTTGTTTGAAAATTTTTTTTTAAAGTCAAAAAAAGTCGTGTAATTCGAGGCCTGTACTTTATTTCTTTAATTTTTTATTAACCAAACACAAAAAATCCCAACTTACTCAGTGTGTCCCTGAAAAACAGAAACCGAATGAATTGATTCTCTAAAATCCCAAAGTCGAAATGTACTGTCACGACTTGAAGTGACGCAAAGTCGTTGTGCATGATGCGTTGATACATGAGTTAATTCCCTATCGTGTCCACACAATGTATGAATAATATCACCAGTTTCAGTGTCATAGAGATTTGCCGTTCTATCCCATGATGCAGAGACAATTTGTTCAGCGCCAGGTAACCAATCGGCTGCCATAACAACACCAGAATGTCCCAATAATTCACGTACAGGTGTTCTTAAAATTGGTGGTAATTCCTCTTGTTCATCAATTGTTGAACGTTCACCAATTGCAAGTGACAAATCCTCCGATGATGATTGTCTCTTTGGAATATCACAATTAACAGCGGCTTGCCAAACGTGCGAGGAATTATCGCCACTTGATGTTAATACTAAATCACGCGTTGGATGAAATCTCACTGAATTCACTGAACCATTATGACCAATGTATTGCAATAGACAACGTCCTGATTCTATTGACCATATTCGTGCTGTATGATCGGCTGATGCTGTTGCTATTATTGATTGACATGATTTTCCAACAGTCACTTCCCAAACACCATCACGATGACCAGTGTATTCTTTTTGCATGCTACATGTCATTGTTGGATTTTTAAAACTCGATACTATTTTACTTGTTTGAGCGCGTAATTTGTGTGATGCTTTTACTTTTTGAGCCGAACCACTGACTGATGCTGAAAAAAAAAACAAATTTTAGTTTTCAATTCTAATTTATCATATTGAATTGATAGAGAAAAAAAAATTCATAAATAAAAACGAACAATATTTATGATAAACGATTTTTAAAGAAATAATTTTTTATAATGAAAAATTCGATAACTTTTTGCCTATAAAAATATTTCTTATGATTTTTATTAATCGACAAATTATATTAAAAAAAAAAATTATTTTTTTAGTTAAACAATTTTATAATTTTTCGTGTTAAATAAAAATTGATTTCTAATCGTTGATCATAGTATTTCAGTATTCACAAAAAAAAAGTTGTTACAAATTTTCGCAGCGTCGATTTTGAAATAAATATAAATTCAATTTATCAAAAACTAAATTTTCATATCGAAAAATGTTTATTTAAAGTAATTCTAATTTAATAGAATTTCTATTTATTCGAATTTTTATACAATAAATTATGTAGTTTTTTTGAATTTTCATTCAACATAATTTTCATTTAACAAAATTTATAGTTTACAAAATTTTCATATGAAAAATAATTTTAATCTAAAAAAATTGTTCATTAAGCAAATTTTTACTGAAACTGAATTTTAATATTGAAACATTTTTTATTTAAAAACGAATTTTTATTTAATAGAATTTCTATTTAATCGAATTTTTATAAACAATAAATTAAGTAATTCATCGAATTTTCAACCAATACAATTTCCATTTAAGAAAATTTATTATTTTATAAAATTTCCTTGAAAACTAATTTTAATGTAACAAAATTGTTTATTAAGCAAATTTTTTATTTAATTGAATATAAATAATAATTAATTAAATATAATAATTTTTTATTATAATTATAATTATTATTATTATAATTTTATTATAATAATTATAATTTATATTTAACAAAAAGTTTTCTTTAACCAAATTTTCAATAAACAGGACTTTTATTCAAAATGAATTTCTATTTTGCATAATTTTTTGATATAATTATCAAGTTATCGAAATGAAATTTGACCAAAATTGAAAATAGCCAAAAAGCAATAATAAATAAAAAATAAAAATAAATAAAATAGTAAATAATAAAAATAAAAAATTATCAAATTGTGATTGGAGAATTTTATAATTGTTATTAATTAATTAATTAATCAATAAAAATACTTTTCGGTTATTTTCAATTTTGGTCAAATTTAATTTCGGTTACTTGATAATAATATATCAAATTACAATTCGAGGAAATAAAAGTTCTTAATTAAAATTTGGTTAAATAAAAGTTTTGTAAAATATAAATTATGTTAATTCTGAATTAGTTTACATTAAAAATTAAATTAAAATACTGTCGATTAAGTAAAAATTTTTACATAATAAACAAAATTTTGTTACATTAAAATTACATTTAAATTGTTACATTAAAATTCTATTGAATAGAAATTGTGTTTAATGAAAATTCAATGAATTACATAATTAAAATAAATTTAATTCATTAAATTAAAAGTTCGGATAAATAGAAATTCTATTAAATGAGAATTTATAATAAAAATTATTCGATATATAAAAATTCAGTTTCAAAGTAAATATTTCTCTAGAAAATTCTAATAAATTGAATTTATATTATTTCAAAATCGACGCTATGAAAATTGTAATAACTTTTTTCTTTTTTGTAGGGGATCTTAATGCGTCCCAAATTACTAAAAAAAAAAATAAACAAACAAATAAACGAACAAACAAAGAAAATATTTACAAATAATCATTATTTTAATTAAATACGGAAATCAAATAATTACAGGGCTGCCACAAGAATAAATTTTTCTAAAATTAAAACAATTTCACTGTCAAATTTAATTTTTAATTGAAATATTTAAATATTAAAAATTTCAACAGATTCAAATTTGTATTTTTAATTGAATTGATGGTTAATTAGAATTAGAAAAAAAAATTAATTTTCCTCTATTACAATTTTAATCAATAAATATTTTAATTAATTTAAATTTAGATTAATTTTTATCTTTGAAATTTGTCCTTAATTAATTTTTAAATCGATGAATTCTTTTTTTTTTAATAAATTCAACCTTTCTAGGTCAACTGAATTATATTTATAGAAAAAATCAATATTTGTAATTTTGTGTTTTCTAAATTAATATATAAGCTTAAAGAAATGATAAAAAAAATTTTTTTTTTAAATTAATAAATTATTTTGTAACATTCCTAAACTTGAATCAAAATTTTTTTATATTTTTCAATAAATTTAATAATTTTTTACAAAATTAAATTTTCCTAACAAAAATGTTTTTTTTCTTCAAAAAGAAATTTTTGTTTTTTAACTTGTGACTAACCCTAAACTATTATTGTTTTTAATTAAAAACTTACATTTTTGTTTTGCAAAATTTTTCACATCTGAATAATCGGTAAAATCACCGATTGGTAAACTTCGTTCACCAGATCCATAACATTCACGTTCTAGTCTTTCATTTAATACGTCAATCTTTTCTTGTACTGTAATTTTTATTTTTTCAAATTCCATTATATCATTGCAATTGTATTTTTTATAGTAAAATATTTATTTGTTAAAATATCAATTATCAGGGATAATGTTACCTTTTTTTTTGCTCTCGAAAATAAATGAAAAATGTGAATAAATTTAAAAATTCAAATTTTAATTTAAAAATAAATCAATTTTTCCAACAAATTCCCTGATAATATTTTAATTTATTAAATATATTTAAAATTCTACTTACAACCAATGTTCTCGGTGCAGACAATTTCAAATTCTTTTTCAATTTGTTGAAAAAGATCCATTAATCTCGATCTTAAACTCGCGGGAATTGAACTTTCATCTTGATCAGGTCGAAAATTTGCATATTGCAATGATGTTGGTTGTAATGGAGTTCCACCACTTTGTTGTGATTGAAGTTCAGTATCGGTGCTACTTTGAACTCTTGGTATTGATATTCTTTTAACTTTACCTGTCGTTTTACCTCCCGTTGACGGTTCACCAGGCATTTTTTTAGGTTAAATTAAACGCGCACTATAATTTTTAAATCACGCGACTATTTTTCACTTCAATAAACTTTAATTAAATAGAATAATTCAAAAAATTGTAATTATCATTATTTTCTTTTGAAAATAAAAGAAAATTAGAAAAAATTTTGATTGATATTAAACGTCAAAAATCAAATTCTCCAAATGTAAATTTTTTCCCCCTCTATTTCAGATTAAAATTTTAAATATTAAAATACCTTGATATTAATACAATTTTGTATAAATGTTCGACTTCTTTTTTTTTATATATTTCAATGCACAATATTATGACAACAATAATAATAATGTAGCAGACGAAAATTGTCAATTATTTTTATTTTTAAGTGAAACCTCCGAAATGTGAACATTAGGGCCAGAATTGGAAAAGATCATGAGAATGTGAACTAAACTTAATGTAGCTATCAACTACACAACCCTGCAAAATACGTCAATTTGCGCAATACTATTTTATTTAAAAAATATACCAAAAATAAATTTAAAAATTATCTTTTTTTGTTTTAAGAATTATTTTTTTATTAACTAGAAAATATTTACAAAAAAATTTTAAGTATAGTTTGTAAATAATTATGCTGTGACGGCAAAATAATTTTATATCAATTATATCATCGCAGCATTTATCACGTGATAGTTCGTGCTCTCACATTTTGTTACTATTAAACCACGAGGGTTTGTTAAGTTAAGAAGCATTCTTGATACATTGTTACTGTAATAAACAATAAATTTACAAAAAAAAAAAGAAAAAATGGGTGAACCACAATGTAAAAAAGTTAAAATTGGAAATACTCTTGAACAATTGAAAAATATGACAACAATTGTTGCTGATACCGGTGATTTTCAAGGTTAGTTATAATTTTTCTTTTATAATTTCAGCCATACTATGACTTGACAATAAAATAGAAAAATAATATAAATTACGTCAAAGGCGAAGGTTATTTATTTGCCATTTACATTAAACTTGTGAATAGAAGACGTTTTTTTTTTTTTGCTTTTTTTTATCATTACTATAACAATAATATTTATTTATTATTACTATTATATAATTGATTGCCCAATTGTTAATGGATTATAAATGATTATGAGATTCCTGGAGAAAAATATCTATATTTAGAAAGAGAAACTCGCTTTTAAGAATTTTTAACAAAATATAATACAATTTTACTATTTATTTATCTATTTATTATCTATTTTACTCTATTATGTAATTTATTTTTTTTAAAAAAAAGCAATGGAACAATTTAAGCCAACTGATGCGACAACAAATCCATCTTTAATTTTATCTGCTGCTAATCAAAGCAAATATTCACATTTAATAGACAAGGCAGTGCAATATGCCAAAAAAGTTGGCTCGTAAGTAATAAAAAAAAAAATTTCTATAATTAAACTACATATAGGTAGGTGAGGATAAATTTTTTATTTTTTCACTATATATTTACAGAACTTTGGAGGAACAAATTGAAGCTGCATTGGATATGACTTGCGTTTTATTTGGTCAGGAAATTTTGAAAATAATTCCTGGTCGAGTTTCAACTGAGGTTGATGCTCGTTTGTCATTTGATAAAGAAGCAAGCATTGAAAAGGCAAAAAAATTGATTGAACTTTATGAAAATGCTGGCATACACAAGGATAGAATTCTCATTAAGCTTGCAAGTACCTGGGAAGGTATTCAAGCTGCAAAGTAAATAATTTCTTTTTTTTTTTATTATAATTTCCGACATTAATTTTGCCCTTGAAATAATTTTTATTACTTTCAATAGATTTTTTTTGGAGATGTTTTGTTCTTGAAATAATTCTTATCATTTTCAATAGATTTTTTTTTTTTGAGATGTTTTGCCCTTGAAATAATTCTTATCATTTTCAATAGATTTTTTAAAGATGCATAATAAAAAAAAAAACATAAATTTAATTTCTTCAAAAATTTTCATTTAACAGAATTTTATATTCTAAAATTTACTTTTGGTCAAAATTTTTATTTTTTCGAATAGAAATTTTATTTAACCGAATTTTTATATTGAATTTTTGAACCAGACGAATTTTTATTTTCGAAAATTTTGATTTCAACGAATTTGAATTTGTAAAAATTATTATTTGCTCAAATCGACAGAATATGTAATTTAAATTTATTTTACAAAAAACAATTCTTTTCTAGCCGAATTTTCATTTGTTCGAATTTATATTTTACAGAATTCTTAAAACGTCGAATTTTTCTTTTACAGAATTTTCATTTATTCTAATTTATATTTTCCTAATTCTTAAAACGTCGAATTTTTCTTTTACACAATTTTCGTTTATTCTAATTTATATTTTCCTAATTCTTACAACGCTGAATTTTTCTTTCTACAGAATTTTCATTTATTCTAATTTATATTTTCCTAATTATTAAAACGTCGAATTTTTTATTTTACAGAATTTTCTTTTCTCCGAATAAATGTCGGTGAGAAAAATTTTGTTGGCAATTTTTAAAAATAATCATAATTTCATTAATAACTTCTGATTGGTAAATTTTAAAAATTTGCAGCTAAATTTTTCTGCCAAATATTTATTATAATGCAAAAGTTACGTTATTAAATTTTGACCTTTTTAGAATTTTATAAAATATAAATTAGCAAATGAAAATTCGATGAGAAAAGAAATATTTCTGTTAAATAAAAACTATTTTCACATCTATTTAAATAAAAATTCCAGCAAAAATAATAATTCAGTAAAATTCTAAATTCGTTGAAATAAAAATTCAGTAAAATGAAAATTCTAAATTAAAATTCTGTAATATAGAATTTAAATTTTAATATTCTGAAAGTATTTTAAGTAAAACTTTAATTGAAATTCTAAAAAATTAATTTTACAGCTCATTAATGACTTTGAAAAAAATATTTTCAATTGATTCTAAATATTTTTTGAGTTTGAAATATTAATATGAAGTAAATTTAAATATTTAAAATTGTATTTTGATTTAATGTGGAATTTTAAATGTCTAAAAAATATCGATGTCTTTTATGCAATTAAGTGGAAATCGGCTTTAATTTTTTTTTTTTTGCCCGTCAGTCGATTAATACGGAAAATTTCAAGAAGACAATTTTTTTTTTCATTAAGGGTAGAAAAATTGAGCTTTTTTTTAGCATTTTGAATAAATTCACTTGTATCAAAATGTCTGTAGGTCAAAAATCCAAAGGACCCATAAAAAATATGGATTTATCTATGGATTAATTCGAATTATATTGTAATAAATAATAAATTGAGATGTGCTTATTTTCTACATAGCACATTTTAAAGGCAATGGTTTCTTCAAGTGAATAATACTTTTTTTTTGTTTCATTGATTTTTTCTTGTAATTTTTTCTGAGATTTTTGTCTATTAATTGAATTTTCTGAATTTTCTTTTTATTTTGTCAAAATACTGCAAATAATAAATGGTTATCCTTCGTCATTCACATTAGCAATTAAAAGCAATTTAAAAAATTAATTATTAATAATAATAAATTCTATCAAATGAAATTTTTTTAAAAAATTAATTTTAGAGCATTTTTTGTTTGTAGATTCTTGAAAAATCTATCGAAATTGATAAAAAATATTCTAATGGGAGAAAAAAGTAAATTTTTATATAATTAATTAATTATTTTTTCATAATTATTAAATTCTCATAATTAGTTATATTACAAATTTTCTTTTTAGAATTTTGGAAGAGAAATATGGCATTCATTGTAATTTAACACTATTATTTTCATTCGCACAAGCCGTTGCCTGTGCAGAAGCTGGAGTGACTCTAATTTCTCCCTTCGTTGGTAGAATACTTGATTGGTAAGAATGTCTCATAATTATTTTTTTTTTTTTAAAAAGTAATTAATTAATTTTTAAAATAGTTTTAGTACAATTTTTTGGGAAAAATTTGTCTTTCTCTGTAATAATTTTATTTAGAAAAAATTAGTTTTCTTGCTAATAAATTGTTTTCCATTTTTTTTTAAAATAGGTATATTGCAAATACAGAGAAAAAATCATACGAAGGAAAAAGCGATCCAGGTGTGATTTCAGTGACGAAAATTTACAATTACTACAAAAAGTTTGGCTATAAAACAGTTGTGATGGGTGCTTCATTCCGAAATGTTGGTAAGTATTATTTAATTAAAATTTTTAAAAAAGTTAATTTTTTTTTATTAATAAATCATTGAATGATAAATTTAATAATATTGATAATAATATTAATATTTTCAAAAAATATTTGTATTTTTCTCAAAGAAAGTATTTGAATTAAACATTAAAACTAATTAATAATTTGGAAATAATAGATTTTTAAAGTAAATTCCGTAATAGTTTGAATATTTTTTTTTTTTTTTTTTGCTATATCAGAATAAATTTTAAACAAAAATTATCGAAATTTATTTTTGAAAACATGAATAATTTTGTTATAATTTCTATGATAAAATTTCTCGAATCAAATTTTAAATAAAATATTTTATTAACGTTTTGATTTTTAATAAAGATTTTTAAAAAAAAAATTTTTTTTAAAATCATCCTTTTTTTTGGCAACAGGTGAAATTAAGGAATTGGCAGGTTGTGATTATTTGACAATAAGTCCCAAACTACTTGAGGAATTAGAAAAAAGTAAAGATATAATTCACAAAACATTGGACGCTGAAACAGCAAAAAAATGTAATTTGCAAAAAATTGAATTAAACGAATCACAATTTAGATGGATGTTAAATGAAGATCAAATGGCAACGGATAAATTGAGTGATGGTATTCGTAAATTTTCAATTGATGTACGTAAATTAGAAAAATTATTACAAGAAAAACTTCAAGGTTAATTCATTATTTATTTATTTTTTTTTATTATTCGCTGTTTACAAATTGCGATAACAGAAGTAATAATATTTGTTTGTAAAATGAAAATGTATATTTTTTAAAAAGAATAATAAATTTTCAATATGGGGAAAAGAAAAGTATTTTATTTTGTTTTCCTATTTGCTTTTGAGAATCGTTTCAAAATTCAAAAAATTCAAAAGATTTTAAATTATTTAAAAAATATCAAAATTTGAATATCTACAAGTGGTAAGTTAGAATTTTGAATTTTTAAAATAATAAGGCGGTGCTGCCATCTTGCGGTCACGTTGAAAAATTTCTATTTAAATAGTATTATACATCTGTGTCCGTCGTCAACGGCTTTAGGCTAAAATCAATGTATAAAAATAACACACATCTTTGACAGTTTTTTTTAACATCATTTTTATAGAATCAAAACGCGGGACAAAAATTAAAACAGTGTTTTTTTTTGAAGAGGAATATTAAAAAAAATGGAATCAGCAATTATGAATTTAGAAGAAAGTGTAAGTCAATAACCTTTCTAAACAATGCGGTTTTAGTATATATATCTATATTTATATACCAACCTTATATATTTACCTTTTGTTTTGAAAATGTATGAAAAGGTTCAAAAAGCTGATGGAAAATTGGACATGATTGCTTGGCAGATTGACGTTTTTGAAAAAGAATTTCAAGATCCTGAAAGCGAGGTAATTCTTTTCAGTTATCATTTTTGGTTTTTTTTTTATTTTTATACAAAAAAAACATAAAATAGTTACTAGAACTTTAAGAATATTTTATGATAATTTTATTAACAATATTGTCTGTGAAAAAAAATTTTGTATTTGTTTTAAATTTTAATAATTCATTTTAAAGGTAAATATTAAGTACCTGAAGTTTTGAACGAAATTTATTATTTTTTTAACTTTAAATTTTATTATATAAAATATTTTTTGTATCCGAAAATAAGATTTTTTTTTAATTAAATTAAAGTAATTTTTTATTTCAATTGTAGTATTTATTTATTTATTTTTCAAAGTTAATGCCTTTTGGTATTGAACGAACTTCCGGTACATGCAAATAAATTTAAATTATTATATAATACAAAAATATTTTAGTCGTAGTAATTTTTTAAAAATTTATAATCGAAAAAAATTATTTCATTCAATTTGAACGTTGAGAACTTCAATTTTTTTTTTTTTTTAATGAAAATTTTGGAAAAATATTTTGATATTATTAACATTAATTTTAGATTTCTGTACTACGACTTCTTCGTTCAGTAACACAAGTAAAAGAAGAATATCAAACATTGCGTCAAGATATTCTTGAGGTTCATCAATTGCAAAAACAATTGTCAGATTCATTAAGGGCCCAACTCTCACAAGTGCAGGGGCACTTTAATATATTACGAAACAAAATTATAGGACGCAGTAAAATTCCTCGACTTCAGTAAGATGACGAAATTTCAAAAAAGAAAATATATAACAAAACTTTCTTCATATTATTCTAAAAAAAAAAAAAAACAATACTCAATATTTGTGAAACAAACAATTTTTTGAATAATATTCGACAAATTTTAATCAAAGAAAAAAAAAAAATGCAAATCAAAAAATTATTTCCGACTATTTTCAAAATAGTGAAAATTTAAACTTATTTAATTTTGCAGCTCTGCGAGCATTTTCTTATTTTATTTTCAAATGAGAAAGTTTGATAAATAATAATTTTATGGCGCTAATTTTTGTGCAAATAATTAAGTTCAGATTTTACAAATATTTAGGCATATTATAGTAGGCAAAATAGAGAATTATAATTATTAAATTATTTAAAATATATAATAGATAGAAATTTTTTTTTGCACTCTAGTAACGTAGAAATGTTGTGCAAAACAAAAGCTTTCTATATTAAGAAATTAATGACCTAAAAAATAAAGTTCAATTAATACTTTGCATGCTTCCAAAATTTAGATGAATGTTGTAGCATTTTTTCCTTTTTTTTTTGCTATTAATTGCTAATGTGAATGACGAAGGATAACCATTTATTATTTGCAGTATTTTGACAAAAGAAAAAAATTCACAAAATTCAATTAATCGACAAAAATCTCAGAAAAAATTACAAGAAAAAATCAATGAAACAAAAAAAAAAGTATTGTTCACTTGAAGAAAACCATTGCCTTTAAAATGTGCTATGTAGAAAATAAGCACATCTCAATTTATTATTTATTACAATATAATTCGAATTAATCCATAGATAAATCCATATTTTTTATGGGTCCTTTGGGTTTTTGACCTACAGACATTTTGATACAAGTGAATTTATTCAAAATGCTAAAAAAAAGCTCAATTTTTCTACCCTTAATGAAAAAAAAAAAAAATTGTCTTCTTGAAATTTTCCGTATTAATCGACTGACGGGCAAAAAAAAAAAAAATTAAAGCCGATTTCCACTTAATTGCATAAAAGACATCGATATTTTTTAGACATTTAAAATTCCACATTAAATCAAAATACAATTTTAAATATTTAAATTTACTTCATTTTAATATTTCAAACTCAAAAAATATTTAGAATCAATTGAAAATATTTTTTTCAAAGTCATTAATAAGTTGTAAAACTAATTTTTTAGAATTTCAATTAAAGTTTTACTTAAAATACTTTCAGAATATTAAAATTTAAATTCTATATTACAGAATTTTAATTTAGAATTTTCATTTTACTGAATTTTTATTTCAAACGAATTTAGAATTTTACTGAATTATTATTTTTGCTGGAATTTTTATTTAAATAGATGTGAAAATAGTTTTTATTTAACAGAAATATTTCTTTTCTCATCGAATTTTCATTTGCTAATTTATATTTTAGAAAATTCTAAAAAGGTCAAAATTTAATAACGTAACTTTTGCATTATAATAAATATTTGGCAGAAAAATTTAGCTGCAAATTTCAAAATTTACCAATCAGTTATTAATGAAATTATGATTATTTTTAAAATTTGCCATCAAAATTTTTCTCACCGACATTTATTCGGAGAAAAGAAAATTCTGTAAAATAAAAAATTCGACGTTTGAAGAATTAGAAAAATATAAATTGGAATAAATGAAAATTCTGTAGAATTAAAAATTCAGCGTTTTAAGAATTAGAAAAATATAAATTAGAATAAATGAAAATTGTTTAAAAGAAAAATTCGACGTTTTAAGAATTCTGTAAAAGATAAATTTAAACAAATGAAAATTCGGAAAGAAAAGAATTGTTTTTTGTAAAATAAATTTTAAATTAATATTCTGTCGATTTGAGCAAATAATATATTTTTTCAAATTCAAATTCGTTGAAATCAAAATTCTCGAAAATAAAAATTCGTCTGAGTAAAAAATTCAATGTAGAAATTCGGTTAAATGGAATTTCTATTAATATGAAAAAATAAATATTTTAAAAGTAAATTTTTTTGGAAATAAAATTCTATCAAATGAAAATTTTAACAAATTAAATTTCGAGCTTATTTTTGTGTCTCTTTTTTCTTAAATTTAGTAAAGTTTACTTAAAAGTAATTTTTTAGTTTGACTTGCATGTTTTTCAAAACTATAAGCATGAAATTTTAATTTTTCAATTAAAAAAAAAAAATTTTAATTATCAAAACAATAATTGTGAAAAATTCTAATGTAGTGTGTATATATATAAGAGAAAAATGGTCTGGAACACATTTATCACGTGCCAATTATTTATAGAAAGTAGTTTTAGATTACATATCAAAATTTGTGCACATCTATCGTATTTCAAAAAAAAAACCTCTTATAAACTGTATGTACCAGTTTTAGAAAATTAAAAAAAAAATGTTATAAATTTTAATCAATGAATATTGGTAATAATTTTGAAAAAGAATTTTAATTCATAATTGAAAAAAAAAATTGATGAGCTTTAAAATATTAATTAATATTATTAATTAATATTATATTTAAAAATTGTACAACTAATGGAAAAAAATAAAATTACTTTTTTTTCCGCTAGTTATAGATACAAAATTAATTTTTTTTTAAGTTCATTTATGTGTATAAGTTAACCCTTCCTTAAACGAAGGTTAGTTAATAATAATAATACTATTTTTGACACATTTTTACAAAAAAAAAAAAAGAAACACATTTTTGTTACAATGGAAATTATCAGAATTTTTCTCAATTTGATAAAAATATTATATTTACATTAAGAGGAAAAAAAAAAAGAAAATTGTTAGTAAAATATTTTTTCTAAAATATAGACGAAAATAAAATTTTATTATAAATATTATAATTTTATGTTGACCTTTATCTTGATGCGTCATAATTATGCCCATATATATAAAGGTAGCGCATATATTTAAAATCTGTATTCATTATATCTTGGCACAAAATATATTATCTAAATAGTGAAATATTGTAAATTTACAATAATTTTATTGTTAAATAATTTATTATAATATATATCAAATTATTATATTATATACAAGTGCTCAATATTTCGATGTATATTTAATCAGATGAGTCTTAGGGAGTGTTTTAGAAAAAAAAAACTTCATCTTTTTAGATATTTATCGTGTATATTCAAGCGAAATAAATTCTTATCTCAGTAGCAGTTAAAGGATTTTTCTTTTTATTTCAATTTTTTTTTCCTTTTACAATTTTTTTTTTTTATTTTAATATTCAGTCTACTTTTTTTTTTATTTTTAATATGAATAACCATGACTTGCGGTGAGACATACATATAGCTATGCGGATTTTAATGGTGTGAAACAATTTATTGTTTCTGAGTCATCTCAACATAATATAATGGAAATATTTTAAAGATTCTCTCATTCTGAATATAAAAAAAACAAAGGAATAAATAATTATAATTTATTTGATGTCAACATGATTAAACTTTCTCGCATTAATATATAATTATAGATTTTAATTTTTTTTTCAAATTTTTGTTTCAGGGTGAAAAAATTCGTTTCCTGTCGAGAAACGCCCCTTATAAATATAATAATTATATAAATAACCAAAAAAAAATTGAGAAAGAAATCTAGAAACGAAAAATTATTTAATACGATCTAATTATTTATTTATGATTTTATATAATTTTTTTTTTTACTTTTGATTTAATTTGGAAAAAAGTGAGATTAAAAAATTTCGCGATGAAAAAAAAAAAATACTTTTCTGAACAGAAAACATCTACTGAAAGGGTTATTGATCCTCTTCCCTCTTTTGAGACCTTTCTCTCACCTTTAAACTTCACTCATCTATATTGCGGTTAATTCACAGTTTTATTGCAAGTCGCGATCAAGGAATCAATTTTTTTTTTTTTAGTTTTTTTCACATATTTCCTTTATTCTTAATATTGAAAAAAATTATTAACTGCTATTATTATATATATTATTAACTACTATTAATATTAATATTATTAATTATAAAATAATATTAAATAAAATATTTAAATTTTGATAAAAATATATTTAATTCAATTTGTGTTTTTTAGAAATATAAAAAAATAACATTTTTAGGTATAAAATAAAAACTGAATTCCTTTTTTTTTATAAAATAAAATAAAATAAAATTTCCAGGAGATGATAATTAAAATTTAATATGGAGAGAGAGAGAATTAAAAAAAAAATTCCAACTCATAAATACGATCACATTCTTAATTTGTGAAAGGTGCACGTCCTTTTGTTTTAAAAATAAGTCTTACGGTCACTATTAGAATTAAATATGTTATCGTTTTCACCAAAGAATAAAGCTTTCTCTATATATTTTTTATTCTTTAAATTTCAAATTTTTATTATTAATTTTCTTCCCCGTCAAAGAAGAATAATTCATTAATAGATTTTATTTTTCTCCATTTGTATACTTATTACAAAATTTTATAATTTTTTTTTCTCCCGCAAAATTTAAAAAATTAATAGTGAATAAAAATAATAATTTCATTATTTTAAATGTAATTTTAGAATTTTTTAGTTATTAATAAAATCACTATAAGTTTTTCGTATTTTTTTTAATTATTATTTAATTTTTAATTATTTTTTTTTATTTTTTGTTTTTTTATTTTTTATTTTTTACTATTATTTTATTTTTTTTTAAATTGTTTTTTATTTATTTATAACTATAAAATTAGGTTTGGAAAGTAAATTCTATATGTAAATTATATATATATACAAGATTGACATACTGTGTCTTCGGTAGAAAAATATTTTAAATATAATATATCATGACATTCGTTTCGCTATTTGTAAAAAAAAAGTTATTTCTCAACCGTTAATTTTCTAGAGAAAGTTTTTACAAATTTTTTTTTTTTTTTTTTACTAATTTAAGAACAAGTGTCACATTTGCATTTAAAAAAAAAAAAAGAAAAACAATAAAAGTATAAACAAACACACACCTCTACTTATGTTACATTTCTTTCCATCAGATATAATCAGATAATTTCTAACAAATTGCACTTTCAAAAAAAAATACACTTTTTTTGTATTTTACCTGTATTAATAATTCACAAATATAATTAATAAATTTAAATTCGGAAAAATTAAATTTTTAACAATGAAAATAAATAAATATTAATAAATAATGAAATAAATAATAATATAATAATAGTATAATAATAATAATAATAATGGTATAATAGTATAATAATAGTTTAATAATAATAATAGTAATATAATAAATAATAAAAGTCAAATTTCTAATCCAATTAATTCAGTTATTGGAAATCAACAAAATGCAAAAATTAAAACATCTTTTTTATTAACAATTATAAAAAAAATAACTTTCCTTATAAATTAAATTTTATAATTTTTATGTGTATTTATAGCATCGCATGTAAACATCACCTAGTTCTAATGACCTACTCCTACTCATCATAAAAGAGAATACATATTTATTCAATTAATTTCAACTAAGTGTCTATTGTTAGATTATTTATTAAGGCGAAACATATCTGTTTTTTTTTTTTTAATTTATTTGTTCATGAAATCTTTAAATAATTCGCAAATGAATAAATTTACAAAAATTACAAACACTTTTAATAAATTAATTTACTATTACTGTTTTTATTCTATTTTTTTTATTTACCATTAGGTATTTAATGAATAATTTTATTTTATTTTTTATTTTATTTTTTATTTTTTTATTTACTATTATTTAATGAATAATTAAAAAAAATATATACACTTTTAATTAATTTACTATTAATATTTAATTTTTTTTTTCAAGAATTTTTTTCTCTAGTTCTGCGATGAAAAGGACCAATTACATTTGGAAATCAAATTTTTTTTTTTCGTAAGGATTGTTAAAAAAAAAAGAGGGTGACACACTTCCATACACGATGGAGTTCAGAGAGTTGAGATTGTTAAAAGTTCAACAATTCACTTCAGTCGTCGGCGACCGGCTCTGAGGTCCGGACCTTTCCTTTTGGAAAAAAAAGTGTTTCACCATATATACTAGTCAGTGATAAAAGTGACGCTGAAAAATTATTTTTTCAAAGTCATAAACTCGTTTTGAAAAACGGTGAGCTTATTATAATTTTTTTTTTTAAAAAAGTGCAAATATATTTTATAGAAAACTTATTATATATGTGCGTAAAAAACGGTTATTTGTTACAAATTAAAATTTTGTGCGCGTTTATTTATTTTTTTATAATTATAATCTAAATTTGTTACATATTATGGAGAATATATTTTTTTTTTTAGAATCCATTTTAATATCCGATTGTATTATAATTAGATGAATTTGATATAATTACAAGTATTTTGTTTGAATTCATGCTCAAGGAAGTGGAAAGTAACTTGTGTGAGAAGAAAAAAAAAAAAGAAAAAAAACGTAACCTTGGTAGGAAACCAGTTATATATATATGGGAGATAAAAATTATTATGGTTTTATAAAAATTAAAACAGTTATTTTTGTATATTATGATTTATGGAAATTACAAAAAGTATTTTTTAAAAAATTTTTTTATTTGAGATTTCCCGCGTACACCTGGAAATTCAAAAAGTATTTTTTTATATTTAGAAAAATCAAAAGAGTAATAAATTTTTTTTTTTTAATATTTGTAGAAAAATCTAAAAACACTAATAACTTTTTTGAAATTTATATAAAATTTAATAAAAATTACTATTTTATATGTTAATTTATAAAAATTAAAATAGGAATAACTTTTTTGATATTTGTACATATATAAAAATTAAGAATTTTATTATTTTCTATTTATTAAAAATTAAAAAAGTAAGATAACATTTTTTTTTTCATATTTTTTATAAAAAACTAACAAAAATTTTGCAAAATATTTCTCTTTATGAATAATTAATTATTATTTTACATAAAAATTTTTTTACAGTATCATATAAAAAATTTAAAAATATTATTGTAAAAAAAGGAAAAAAAAAGAATTGTAGTATTTTTTTTTCTAAATTTAAGAAAAAGAAAATAGCAGTTAATTTTTTTTACGTAATTCTTTGATTGTTTTAATGACTGCAAAACATTAAAGTTGTTAGTATTCATTATTCAAATAATTAAATGATATAAATCTAAATCATCAAAATCTATTTTCGACAGATTTTTTAACACACATTTTTGAAATCACTCTTTTACAATAGACTATATTTAAAAAAAAAATTTAAATAAAACTAGATAATGATCCTCCTTTCTATCTTATTAATTAAAAATTTCAACTAACATCCATATTAAAAAAATACTTTTACTCATCAAATTTCTTTTTTTTTGTAATATAAAATAAAATAAAAAAAAATAGTAATTACAATAATAATAAAAATAGTAATAATAATTTAATACTACTACTACTAATAATAATAATAATAATAATAATAATAATAATAATAATAATAATAATAATATGATAAAATAATAATAAAAATAAAAAAATATAAACAACTTTTTCAATTTATTTTATATTTAATAAATTTTGTTTCATAATTAGTCATAAAATGTGTCATTTAAATTTTTAATTCATAAAATCGTAATATTGAGTTAATAATTATAATTTAATTTAATTGATGGAATTTTTTTAACGTGCTAACAAATTATTATTATTATTATTATTATTATTATTTAAACGGATGATTTAGAAAACAATTTAAAGTGCATCTGATCAATTTTATTGCTTTCTTTTAATATAATGAATTTCTCTTCTCTTTTTCTTTCGGTATTTAATTTTTTTTTTTACTTTTTTCCCCCATTTCTTTGTCATTTTGCATTGTTATGCGAATTTTTCAAGCATCACTTCTATTTAACTTTCAAGGAAGAATTGATTTATTGTTTCGGCCACGATCAATTTAGTCAACGGAAAAAGAAAAATAAATTCGATTTTCCTATTTAAAAAAATCAAGATATTTGTGGTTTAAATAATAATAATACTAATAATAATAAATAAATAAAAATAATAATAAAAATAACAATAATAAATAAATAAAAATAATAAAAATAACAATAATAATAATAAATAAATAAAAATAATAATAAAAATAACAATAATAATAATAATTAATAAAAATAATAACAATAGAAAAAATAATAATTAAAACAGTTACAAAAAAATAAATGAAATTTGAAAATAGAAAATATGTAAAAAATTCACTTATTACCATAACATATCTCTCGTAAATCAAAAAGAAAGAGGAACAAAAAAAATGTTACGGTTTTTTTAAAAAAATCTTTTCTACAATTTTAATAATAGAGAAAGACATTTTACTATTCGGACAATGCTCTTTGTTATGAAAGATTATTATCTATATTGAATTACGAATTCATAATGAAGGGGGACTCTTCCAATTTAAACTTTAATATTTATGCATTATTCATTACAACACATTTTATTGTTTCAATGAAAAGATTTTTTTTCTCCTTCCTATTATATTTATATTTACATATTTATTATATGTGATTTATAATTTAATTTTTTTTTACTATTATATATTAAAGTAAAAACTAAAATTATTATTAATTTTTCAAAAATAAAATAATTTATTTCTCTTTTTTTCTTCAATTTGTATTTTTATAGAGCTTTATTTGGAGAGAGATATAGAAGAATGCTTCGAGTTTTTTTTGTCACTTTTTTTTTCTTACTCGGAGGTAATCTAGTTTATAAAGTTTCTGGCCATGGAAGATTAATTGAACCACCATCGAGGGCCTCTATGTGGAGGTTTGGATTTAATACACCTGAAAATTATAATGATCATGAATTATATTGCGGTGGTTATAGTCGACAGTGGACTCGAAATAATGGGAAATGTGGAATTTGCGGAGATGCATGGGACATGAAGAAGGTAAATATTTGCGTTCTTTTTTTTTCTTTATTTTTTATATATTTTCAAATTTTTTTTTCAAATGAAAATTATTCAAAAATAGGAAAAAATTTGCTAATTTTTACAAAAATATGGAAAAAAATATATGAAAAAAGTAACTTTTATTTGTAAAATTCACATTCAAAATTTATTCAAAAAAAAAAAAAAATTTGGTAATTTTTTTACCAAAATATATGGGAATATATTGGTAGGTAAATTCATATTTTAAATTTTTTGAAAAGAAAATTATTCAAAAATAGGAAAATTTGCTAATTTTTACAAAAATATGAAAAAATAATTTTTGTTTGTAAAATTCACATTCAAAATTTATTCAAAAAAAAAAAAATTGTTAATTTTTTTACAAAAATATATGGGAATATAAATGTTGGTAGGTAAATTCATATTTTAATTTTTTTGAAAAGAAAATTATTCAAATATAGAAAAATTTGCTAATTTTTACAAAAAAAAATGGAAAATTTTTCTAAAATTTCTGGAATTTCCATTTTTTTTCACGAGAAAATTGTTCAAAAATAATTAAGAATTTGCTAATTTTTACAAAAATAGGAAAAAAATAATTTTTGTTCTTTGTAAAATTAATATTTCAAATTTTTCAAAAGAAAATTCTTCAAAAAAATACAAATTTTGCTAATTTTTACAAAAATATGTTAAAAAAAAATATAAAAAAAATAATTGTTGTTGTTTTTTAAAATATTTTCAAAAAACAAAATAAATGCTTTTTTTAAAAAATAGAAAATTGATAATAATTTTTCATTTTTTAAAATATAATTATTAATTTTTGCAAAAATCCTATATAGCCACGTCCACACGAATCAGGAGGACTCTATGGAAATAATATAATTGTTCGAAAATATAAAACAGGATCAATTATTCCAATACGCATTGAATTAACTGCAAATCATAACGGATATTTTGAATTTCGTACGTGTCCAATGAGTTATAAAGGTATTGAAGTAACACAAGATTGTTTAGATAAAAATCTTCTTCATGGTGAAAATGGAACAATTCGATATTATCCTGGACCAGGAAATGGAATTTTTGAAAGTTATTATAAATTACCAGAAGGATTAACATGTGTACAATGTGTATTTCAATGGCGTTATGTAGCTGGAAATAATTGGGGAAATTGCGAAAATGGCACTGGTAATGTCTTCATTTTTCAAGTTTATTATTTCAAATCGCGCGCATCATTCTTTTAGAAAGTGACTATTAATTCTTTAACTATATATAATTATTATTGTGTAACAAATATGACTTCAATATTTTATTATTATTATTATATAGTATTAAATTCTTCAATCATTGTTGCACAATTTTTTAAAACGAGGAAAATAATAATAACTACAATAACAATAATAATATAATAGAGAAATTCCTTTAGTACATTTTAGTCTTTTTTTTTTGTTTTCTTTTTTCAATTTTGAAAATAATGAAAAAAAATCATTTTTTAAAAAATTTTTTAATATAAAATTAAATTATTTTTTAGAAGAATTTTCAATTTTTGAATTAAAATTTCGTAATTTTCCATTTTATACGAATTTTTACATAAGAAAAATTTTAGTTATCGAATTTTTGCCAGAATTTTTATTCAAAAGAATTTGAATTTAATCGAATTTTTATTTATACGAATTTTTAATTGATAAAATTTTGAAATACGCCGAATTTTCACGATTTTCTTGATAATTTCTAATAATTGGTAAATTTTCAAAAATTGCGCCAAAATTTTTCTGTCGATTTTTTTGTTTTGTTCGGTCATTTGTAATTTCGGATAAATGAAAATTCGGCGTCTTAAAAATAATATCAATTAAAAATTCTTACAAATTTAAATTCGGTGAATTGTTGTCGTTTAATTAACTAATTAATTAATCAAATTCGGAATCAAATTCGAATTACATAAAATTCGATTGAATGAAAATTCTGTAAAAATTAAAATTCGTTAAAATAAAAATTTTTTAAATTCCAAAAAGTTGTGTAAAAGAGAAATTCAAGAAAAAAAAAATTTTTTCAAACAAAAATTCAATAGCTAAAAATTTTTTTAAAGTAAAAATTCGTATAATAAGAAAGGCCTGTTATTATATTATATATTACTATCAAAATTAAACGCGCGCAAGCGCGTCAAATTGAGTATTTAATTGTTTGTTATAAAGAAATTAAAGATTAATATTATCAATAATAATTTAATTTATTAGAATATTATTACATATTAAATGATAATAATGAAAATTATATGTTTATAGGCCTCGGATTATACGACTTTTTCCGACTTTTTTCAAAAATACGACTTTTATCGACTTATTTTAATAAAATGCGACATTTTTTTTTACATTTGAAAAAAATGTAAATAAAATACATTTTTTTAGTATAAAATGTAGATCTTCTTCAGATCTTCTTCAATTCAATTATTTAACAAATTTTGAACTAAAATGATTCTTCACTAAATTAATTATTTTTAATAATTTTAATTAAATACATCACAAATTCAATTATATCAAAATTATTTTTCAATTAAAATTTTTATGAAATTTAACAATTGTTTATAATTTAAAAAAAAATATCACAATAAAATTGAATTATTTTTTGAAAAATTTCAATTCAAAATAAATTAAAATTCAATTATTACCCGAAATTTTAATTCAAAATCAATTAAAAATCCAATAATTATCCAAAATTTTCAGTTTAAAATTTAATTATTTACCAAGTTTTCAATTTAAAATGAAATAAAATCCAATTATTTTCTAAAATTTCTATTTAAAATTAATTATCCAAATTTTCAATCAAAAATGAACTTAAATTAAATTATTATCCAAAATTTCAATTAAAATTCAATTATTTCCCAAAATTTTCAATTCAAAATGAACTGAAATTCAATTATTTTCCAAATTCAAAATAAACTAAAATTCAATTATTACCCAAAATTTTAATTCAAAATCAATTAAAAATCCAATAATTGTCCAAAATTTTCAAATTTAAAATTTAATTATTTACCAAGTTTTCAATTTAAAATGAAATAAAATTCAATTATTTTCTAAAATTTCTATTCAAAATTAATTATCCAAATTTTCAATCAAAAATGAACTTCAATTAAATTATTATCCAAAATTTCAATTAAAATTCAATTATTTCTCAAAATTTTCAATTCAAAATGAACTGAAATTCAATTATTTTCCAAATTTAAAATCAAATAAAATTTTATTATTCTCATAAAATTTGAATTGAAAATTAATTGAATTTTCAATAATTTGAATTTAAAAGCATCTAAAATTTAATTATTTCGAAAATTTTCCATCGAAATTTTTTTTTTTTGAAATTTAATAATTTCAATTATAACTCTAAGGAAATTCAATTATTTTTAACTATTTTAATAATATTCTTTGAAATTTCAACTATCTGAAACCATTTTTCAATTAAAAAAATGATTTTCTAATTATTGTATTTTGTCCGCATTTTCTAATAAATTTTTAGTGAAATCATCTAAAATTTTAATTAAAAATCACTTAAAGTTTCAATTAATTTAAAAAATGTTTTCCAAAAATTGTTTGATAAATTATTTTTAGTTCTGTAAAATTTAATAATTGTTTGAAAATTAACAATATCTTTTGAAATTTAATTATTTCTAAAAATTTCAACTTTAACCCTACGAAAAGGATAATTATTAAAAAAAAAAAAACAATTTTTATTTAAAAATCTGTAAAATATTTTTTTGTTAATACAAAAAACAAATCCACTTTTTTTTGGAATATAAATCGACTAAAACGACTTTTTGTGTCTTTAAGTTGATTCGAGGCCTGTTTTTTTATAATTAATATTTAATAGGTATTCATTGGCCCCTGGTACCTTAAAAATTAATTTTTAAAAATTAATTTTTTTCAAATTACTATCTTGTACGAAATTTCCTGGCGCATCTTTTTTCTCATCATAAATTTTTTGTATTTGTATACAATTTTTGAATCAATATACAAGTTTAAAAAAAATTTCGTTGGTAAACGTTGTGTACTTCAGCTTCGTGAATTGAATTTTCGAATTTGGAATTTTAAAGAAACTTATTCCGAAATTTGGAAACACAATTATACAACTTTGGCAAAAATGAGAAAAAGAATTGTCAAAATTTGACATAAGATTACTATTAAAAAAAAAACACGTGATATCAGAAAAGGCCAACTTCAAGTTAGGACAGAAGGACAAACCAAGCATTTTATTATTATATAATATTTATTTTATAAATAAATTTTTTTTTATTTTATTTAAATTTTAGTTTTACCTTATTGAAAAAAGTTGAAATTTTTTTTTTTTAAATAATTTTTTATTTTTTTTTTGTTATTAAAGGCGCGGTGGGATGTGGACCTCAAGAAGAATTTAGATCATGCGCTGATATTGCAATTGGCGATAATGTTGCACCATTACCACCGAGACCAAAAATTCCCACAACACCATCGTCAACAGAAACGGACTATTTACCCGACTATCCAACACCATTGTGGCTTTACAGTCTCATTATTGCTGGTACGTGCCTTTTGGTTGCACTTGCCGCATTGGCATTACTTTACACGTACTACTATCACGCTGGTAGAGCCAAAAAATGGCTTATGTCAAGAAGATTCATGGAATCATCATCACCACCACCGGTTGCTCCTCCAAGGCATAAAAGACATTTTTCAACTGCACAATTACAATTGTAATTATAATTCACAAAAATTTCACACAATTTAATATTGTTAGCCATTATTATTATTATTATTATTCTACATCGAAAATTTATTTCTATAAAAATTTTGCAGCACGCTTTTATTTTAAAATAGAAAAAAATCTTAAAAATTTTTTTTTCAAACAGGTTTCGTTCTAAAAAATTACAAAAAAAAATTTAAAGAAATTGTAATTTATTATTTAATTGGTTGAGAAAAAGATTAGAATAAAATCGTGCTTTAGGATAGTTGGAAAATGTGTAAATAAGACTGTATTTATATATTTATATATTATATATATAAATTATTTATTTTGTAGAAAAACATGCTCTTTTTTTTTATAAACAGGTGGCATTCTTATTTTTTTTTTGTATTTTTTTACAGGAGTTTTTTTTTCATGGAAAATATTATTTTTTAAGAAGCATCTCACGAAAATCTTTATTCGTTAATGGTGTGGTTGTCTCGTTTGATTTTGATTTATTACCATTAACTGATGTTAATTGAACGTTACGCGGTATCATAGCGAGAGCTGGTTTTGGATGGGAAAATGATTTTCCCGATGGATGAGCACCAAGTGATTTTGTCAAATGTTCCTCCTCGGAAGATTCTTTTTTACGTTCTTTGGGATTACTTATTGCAACGCTAATCATCTTACCTTTTATTTCGATGCCATCTGTTGCCAATAATGCTTTAGACGCTTCATTTTCATTTTCAAAATCAACATACGCTATTCCTTTTGCATGTCCATTGCGATAAACAGGAATACGAATATCCACCACTGTTCCATGTGATTTAAATAATTCTTCCAATTCTTCTTTTGTTATTATTGCCGGAAGTCCTGAAATTAAATCACATTTATTTTTTTTGACTTTTCAATTTTTTAAAAAATATTTTATTACCTTTTATGTAGAGTTTATTTTTTTCCAGAGAGCATTTATATTTGAAGGCATGTGCTCGTGAATTTTTATCAGGATTACAGCGAGATATAAACATAGGCCTGCCTTTTACTTTTATTCTATCGAGTTTTAGAGCTTCATCAACGGCTTCCTAAATTTATTTGAGATTTAATTTAATTTATTTAATTTCGGAAATTAAATTTAAAAAATACTCACAGAACTTGAAAGTTGAACATAAGCAAATCCCTTACTGCGTCCCTTTAAATCACGAACTAATTTTAATAATGTAATTTCACCAGCCGATGAAATTGCATCCTTTAAATCATCCTCAGTTGCTGTAAAATCTAAATTACTTATAAATATTGATATTTTATAATCAACTTCAGGAACAATGTCTTCCTCCATTTTTTCCTCTTGATAACCAGGTGGTGGTTCCAATTTATTTATTTCTTTTTCCAATTTTCTTTTACCATCGCTTTTTAATAAATTTTCCCTTAATTTATTATCTTTATCATCCTTAATACTGAGACGTGATATTTTTTGTGGCGATATACCAATACGTTTACGCATTTTTCCAGTTTCCTCAGCTTTTCTTTTACCTTTTATAAATAAATTAACATCGGCGCTTGTTGTTTGTAATTTTAAACGATCATCATGTATTTTTTCAAGTTTTTCTTTTACTTTTTGTTCAGCAATTTCAAGTTGTTCCAAAGTGCCTTCATCGCGTTCAAAATTAATCCAAGCATTACCAATACTCTCCGGCCAATCTTTAACAATTGCCAATGCTTTTGGATATAATTTTCTCAAATGTTTTGTCGTTCCATAACATCTGAAATTAATAAATTACAAATTAGAAAAAAAAAAGAAAAAAAACAGCTCAATTAAATTATATTTTCAGCTAGTCGTTTGATATTTTTAGAAAAATCTGATAATTCGTAAAAAAAATATTTGATATCCGTACATTTAATTTTTTGTCAATTTAAAAAATTTTTTTTTTATTTATTTAGTTTTTCAAAAAGAAGAAATTTTAAAACAAAACATAAATATTATTTTTACAATCTATTTTTACTTTTGTTATTTTCATAATTTAGAATTTTTCTTTAATTGCTTTTTTACATCAAAAAAAAAATATTTTGTTTGTTATTTTAAAAATTGAAAAAATATCTTCTTTCACCTTGTTACTTTATCTCTAAAATTTTTAATTTGTTAGTTACTATTTAAAAAAATTTAATTCTTTATTATGTACATAACATTATTTTATTAAACTTGTTATTTTGTATATTTATACAAAACATTTTTAAATTTAAACAAAATTTTATCTACAAAATAACTAATTGCAAATTTTTTTACGTGAGAACTAGAAACAATTTTCTTTTTATGTAAAAAAAAGCAATTGAAGAAAAATTATAAATAATAAAAAAAAAGTAAAAATGATGTAAAAATAACAATATTTATGTTTTGTCCAATCTAACAATTTTTTGAAAAATTTTCTTTAGTTTTGATATCGACTCAACATTAAAGGTAAAATATTTCATATTTCAATTTAAAAATTCAGCATTTCATATGAAAGTAGATTAAAAATACTTAAAATTAATCAATAGTTAATTAAAAAATATTCTTTAAAATATTCTTTTTCCAGAATAGTAATTTAAAAGAATTTTAATTTTGGAGAAAAAAAAAGTGTACAGAATTTTCATTTTACAAAATATTGTTCGAATTTCCCTTTCACAGAATTTAACCGATTATTAATGTTGCAGAATTTTTATATAGACAAAAAATTAATTAGCCAGAAATTCAATTCGATCGAATTTCAATTTGTCTGAAACGTTGTTTCGAAGAATATTAATTTTGCATAATTATTCAAAAGAATTTTAATTGCGCTGACAGAAAATTAGAAAGAATATTAATTTAACAGGAATATTCATCTATTCGAATAAATATTAATTTTACAGATAAGCAAATAGTCGAAAATCAATTTGACAAAATTAATTTGTCCCGATTTTTGAAAATCAATCAGAAATTATCACAAAAAAATTGTGATTTATCAATATTTTAAAAATAAACCACCAAAAATAGTTCTGTTAAATTAATTTCCCACCGTTTGCATTTTCTGTAAAATTAATATTTATTCGAATAGACGAATATTCTGTTAAATTAATATTCTTTCTAATTTTCTGTCAGTGCAATTAAAATTCTTTTGAATAATTTTGCAAAACTAATTTTTTACGAAACAATATTTTGCACAAATTTTCGAGATTCGATTAAATTAAATTTCCGGCTTATTAATTTTCGTTTAAATAAAAAAAATTCTGCAATATTAATAATCGGTTAAATGTATAAATTTTGTAAAATGAAAATTGGAACAATATTCTGTAAACTGAAAATTCTGTACAATTTTTTTTTTGTCTGTAAAATTAAGATTCTTTTAAATTACTATTCTGCAAAGATAATATTCTATAGAATAAAATTATTTTACAAATGTAATTCTAAAAAATTACTATTAGTGCTTTTGGAAAATAAATTTTTCTAAATTACCAAAAATTAGTTGTACAGATATCAAATATCATTTTTAGGAATTATTAAATGAAAAAATTGTAAAATTACTTCTCTAGAGAGATAAATTCAAGCCAACTAGCAGCTTTCGATGAATGTCCTTGTGTGAGAATATCAGCCCAAAGTTCACGCGCTTTCTCCATATCTTTAGCGTGTATAGCTTCGGTTCTTGCCCAAAATTGTAAAATTTCACAATTTATATCGCCCTCCAATCCAAAATTTGCTAAATATTCACAAGCTTTATTAAATGTTTTTCTCAATGTTTCCAATTGTCTATCTTTCTCCTCATCATTATTCATATCATCAATTCGACGACGTAAATATTCCAAATACAATAGCCAAAGACTTTTATATTCTTCAGATGTTGTAAATCCAGCTTGCAGTGCTTCTTCAAATATTGTTTGTACTTCAGTCACTGTTTTTCCCCATTTTTCATAAGCACGAATTCTACGTCGCCATATTTCACAGCACCATGGTACATTTCTTGCTGCTCTTTTAAATATTCTATCTAAAACATCTTCTATTTTAATTGTTGATTCAAGAAATAATACATAATCCAACCATAATGATGCTTCAATTGTTAATTCTGAAATTGCACGTTCAAATAATACAATAACACGACCTGGATCTGGTTGTCGTTTTTCATACATTAAATATGCATTAAAAGCATCTAATAATTCTGATTCATTTTGTGATGATATTAATTTCTCCTCAAATGGTAAACGATCACTTAATTTTTTCAATGCAATTTCATAATTATTCATTACATTTTGATAATCAATTGTTGATGTTGCACCATCGCCTAAACGCCATAATTCATATTCATTGAGTGTTTTTTCCATATCAAGAAGAGGAACTTGCAATTGTCGACTAAATAATTTACCAACTCGATCAAGTTGTTTTATGCGTTCAGTTGTATTTGAAGCGTCAATCTGTAAATTTGGAGATTTTCAGAAAAAAAAAAATTACATATTTTATTTGAATTCGTTTGCGGATTATTTTTTTTAAAAATATCTAGATTAACTAGATTTTATTTTTTTCAATGTGTATATATTTATTACAAAATTTTACAAATTTTTTTTTTTCCCCGCATTGTTTAAAATAGTAACAGTGAATAAAAATGATAATACAAAGAGTTGTATATAAAATTAAAAAACAAAATTAAGGTATAAAATATATGTACAATTTATTTTTAGAAATATTGTAATTAGAAATTAGAAATTTAGAAATTCCTAATTATCATTTTTGAAATAATTACAAATTTTGAGAAATTATTTCTATATTTTATACATTCACTTTGAAATTGAAATTTTAGAAATGAATTATTTAACAAATTTTTCACTAAAATTCTTCTCTAAATTAATTAATTTCGATAATTTTAATGGAATTTTTCACAAAATTCAATTATCTTATTTATTTATTTATTTAATACATATCTCCGCAGTCTTAAATTATTTTTCCATTAAAACTTTTATGAAATTCAATAATTGTTTATCAATAAAAATAAATTAAAAAAAAAAAAATTTAACAAATTTTTCACTAAAATTCTTTTCTAAATTAATAAATTGCGATAATTTTAATGAAATTTTTCACAAAATTCAATTATCTTAAATTATTTTTCCATTAAAACTTTTATGAAATTCAATAATTGTTTAACAATAAAAATAAATTAAATGAAAAAAAATTTAACAAATTTTTCACTAAAATTCTTTTCTAAATTAATTAATTTCGATAATTTTAATGAAATTTTTCACAAAATTCAATTATCTTAAACTATTTTTCCATTAAAACTTTTATGAAATTCAATAATTGTTTAAAAATAAAAATAAATTAAATAAAAAAAAATTTAACAAATTTTTCACTAAAATTAATTTCTAAATTAATTAATTTCGATAATTTTAATGAAATTTTTCACAAAATTCAATTATCTTAAACTATTTTTCAACTAAAAATTTTATAAAATTCAATAATTGTTGAAAAATAAAAAAAAAATAGCACATAAAATTATCACAAAAAATTCCAATTCAAAATCACTTGACATTCAATTATTGTCTAAAATTTCAATTTAAAACTATATCTAAAATTTAATTTCTAAACTTTTTCATTGTAAACTTTTTGAAATTTAATAATTTTAAACTTTTTCCAAAATTCTATTATTTTTCATGATTTTGTATAATACTTTTCGAAAATTTAAATTATCTGAAAATTATCAGCAACGGAAATTATTAAAAATTTCAATAAAAAATCATTTGAAATTCAATTATTTAAATTTTAATTTAAAATCTTCTAAAATTTACTAATTTCTATATTTTATCATCTTGAATTTTTTGAAATGTAATAATTTCAACTATAATTTTTCCGAAATTTAATTATCTGAAAACATTTTGCAATTAAAAATTTAATTTCTAATTAAACGTTCAATTTTTGTCTGTAATTTCTAATAAATTCTTCAGTAACAGAAATAAATTTAAAGAAATAATTTAATAAAAAAGCACAGTAATATAATAAATAATGCACGGCTGATAAAAAGGATAATTTTTTGAAAAGATAAAAAAAATCCTATTAATTCGATTTGAATCTGATTTTTTTTTAATTGAATGACATTTTACCGAAGGTTATTTTAAATTTTGAAAAATAAAATTTTGAAAACACAACTTTTTACAATATTTGTTTAAAACTCTTTATATTACGTGAAAAATATTATAATAAATTAAAAGAATATGTAAAAACGTATCGTTTGATTTATTTCGTCAATTTTGCTATATTATTAAAAAGTTATTAAATTTGCAAAAATCGCAAAAAAAAAAAAAATTTTAAACAAATTTCTTTTTGGATAATTTTAGTTTCAAATTTTTACGTTAGTTCTAATATTTTCTAAAATAAAGTTCTATTTAGTAATTCAAACTTTTTGATGCATAATATTAGAAAATTTAATTTTGTAATTAATTAATTTTTCTATTGTTTTTGTATTGTTTTTAATTTTTTAATTTATGAAAATTAATTTTTTAATTTTTCTACTATTTTTTTCCTATCAATATAGAAATTTGGAACCCATTGTTAAATAAATAAATTATTTACTTTTTAGTAATCAACAATTTTGAAAAGTATGAATTGTTGGACAATTTTAGTGTTTAATTTAAAAATTGTTATTTACTTTGATAAAAATATAAATATTTGATGCTTTTATTATTAAATTTATCGTTTAAATATTTATTTTAAAAAAAGAAATTATTTAGAAATTAATTTTTGTAAAATGTTTAATAAACAGATTTAAATCGCAAATAATCGGAAATTTTTTTGTTTTTCTAAAAAAATCCTAATTTTTATCAGTTCTTCTTTTAAATTATTTTCTCTGATAAAAATAAAAATATTTCTTTGATTAAATTTATCGATTAAATATTTATTAAAAAGAAACAAATAATTTAGAACTTAATTTTTGAAAAATATGTAAATAGAAGATTTAAGTAAAAAAAAAAAATCAGATTTAAGTCGAAAAAATCGTATTATTTTGATTTAAAAATAAAATTATGATTTTTATCATCCCTGGAATTGAGATAATTTTATTAAATTGTCAAAAATAAATTGTACGGATACATAAAATGATTATTGGTAATAATTAACATTTTTCTAAAAAAAAAAATGACAGAAATTTTTTATTTTTAAAAGAAGTAAAAAATTTGCTTCTCACCATTGAAACGAGAACATTTTCAAATTCTCTAAATGCCTCCCAAATAATTGCTCCTTTCGTTATGTGACCACTAACAGCAGTTAAAGCTCGTTGAAATAATTGTCGAACATTTTCAGCGGCATCTTTTTCATTGCCCATATTACCAATACTAAATTGTAAATATTCCAACCAAATTTCAACAGCTGAAAATAATTCAAAAAATTTTATTAATAAATTATTAATTAATTCAAATAAATATTTTGCAAAAAGAAAAATAAAAAGGAAAATACATACACAAATAATCATTTACAGCTCTTTCGCAAAGTTCGACAACAGCAATTTTTTCTTCATTAGTAATGGCAAGTTTAATTTCATCCTGCATCCAAGAACGCCATAATTCTGGACTTAGAGGATAAGTTTTACTCATATTTTCCCTTGCAACACGCAATCTTTCTAATTCACCCATTTTTGATAGTAAATTTATGAGCGCAACATGGCTAGCATAATCGTAAGGATTCTTTAATAGAGTTTCTTCGAGATTTTTAACTTCGATTTCATTTGCATCATCTTCATTATCGTCATCGTCGTCATCATCATCGTCTTCTTCATCCTCTTTATTAATTTTATCATCGATATCACTGTTTTCGGCATCGCTATCATTTTCGCCAATATCCTCGATCATGCGATTTTCATCCTCAATATTCTCGCCACATTTATTTGTTTCCATTTCTTCTTCTTTTTTAGCGTGAAGTTCATCTTCACTAAGATTTGTATCCATTTCTTCCATTTTTTTTTTTTTATTTAAAGATAAATTTATAATTTTTCTTTATATAAATATATATATAAATTTACGCGCAATTGTATTTGTATACAGTTTGTATTTTAGGTTATGTTTTTCACGCATCTACACACATACACACACAGGTTGTTCCAAATTAGTATACATGTGTATGTAAGAACAAATAAAGGCGGTAAGTTTAAAAAAAATTCCAGAGATCCTGACCTAAGAAAAAATTAACTTATCACAAAGTTTTGTAATTTTAGTTTTTATATATTAAAAAAAAAAAAAAATTCACTTGTAAATCTGGTTTATTGCACTATTATACATATATAGTATTTATATACATTCTGAAACTAATTTATAAAATACTTTTATTATTATTATTATTATATTACGAAAAAAATTAAACTTATTTTTATTATCGTCAAAAATTAAATTTAAAGAATATTTTTGATAAATGCATATATGAATTTTTTTTTTCTTTTTTTAAATTGTAATAATGTATAAAATATTAATTTAGAATACTTTTCTTTTTACTGACAGAATCTGATGTGAAAAAACGATATAAAAACAAGAGAAAATTTATAAATATCAAGAATTTCTTTTCAAAATATCAAAATAAGAAATTCAAAAATAAATCTAATTTAAGAAGAAAATTAAAATATTAAACAGGTATGTCGAGTGATTAATTAACAATTTTTACAAAATACATAAAAATTAAAAAAAAAATAAAAAATTTAATTCTTTTTTTTAAAGACAATTTATATTTTAAAATATGGAATGAATAAAATGTGATAATCTGGTTGTGAAAAACATAAGGTAAAATACACTATAATTATAATAAAAATTTCACTCATTATAGTATACTATATTTATAAATTTTAAATATATATATATATATATGTTTTAAACAACTTATTTGCATATGAATAAGCAAATTTTTTTTATAATTATCACAATTAGAAAAAAAGCAAAAAAAAAAAAAAAAAAAAAAAAATAATAATAATTAATAAATTTATAGACATAACAAATAAAAAGGAACGATGCATAAGCCTTTATGGATTACCATAAAATTATGTATATCTTTATTGTCCCAGAGACTGAAAGGTAAGCCAACTTTTTTTTTTCAATTCACGAGAAACTAAAGTTTATTTGGAAAATTTTAAATTATTTTTTTTTTTTCTTTAAATGAGAGTCCTTTTCACTGTGTGAGATCCTCAACTTTGAAACATTGTCGCGCAATTGAACCCATTACAATTTCTGCAGTAAATATATCTGAAAAAGAAAAATTTAATTAAAAAAATTGCACGGAAAAAAAGGAAAAAAAAAATAACATAATTTTTACTATTTTGAAAGTGAATATCTAATTCAATTTTTCCTTCAATAATAATAAAGTAAAAAGTATTGTGAAAAAATACTAATAGTAAACTTTACTATTTTCGAAACAATTTTCTCTATATTTCCAAAGCGAAAATTTCGGATTTCATTTTGTAAGTATAGTAAAAGTTACTTTATATATATTTTTTCCTTTTTCATAACTAAAATATCGAAATTAGGATCAATCCATTATATTTCAGCTCGTCATTGCGATCTCTTTTTAGAAAAATTTGATAATTCCTAAAAATGATATTTGATATCCCTACAACTAATTTTTGGCAATTTAGAAAAATTTATTTTCCAAAAGCACTAATACTAATTTTTTATAATTACATTTGTAAAATAATTTTATTCTATAGAATATTATCTTTGTAGAATAGTAATTTAAAAGAATCTTAATTTTACAGACAAAAAAAAAAATTGTACAGAATTTTCATTTCACTGAATATTGTTCGAATTTTCATTTTACAAAATTGATACATTTAACCGATTATTAATATTACAGAATTTTTTATTTAAACGAAAATTAATAAGCCGGAAATTTAATTTAATCGAATATCAAAAATTTGTGCGAAATATTGTTTCGTAAAAAAATTAATTTTGCAAAATTATTCAAAAGAATTTTAATTGCGCTGACAGAAAATTAGAAAGAATATTAATTTAACAGAATATTCGTCTATTCGAATAAATATTAATTTTATAGAAAATGCAAACGGTGGAAAATTAATTTAACAGAACTATTTTTGGTGATTTATTTTTAAAATATTGACAAATCACAATTTTTTTTGTGATAATTTCTGATTGATTTTCAAAAATTGGGACAAAATAATTTTGTCAAATTGATTTTCGACTATTTGCTTATCTGTAAAATTAATATTTATTCGAATAGACGAATATTCCTGTTAAATTAATATTCTTTCTAATTTTCTGTCAGCGCAATTAAAATTCTTTTGAATAATTTTGCAAAATTAATATTCTTCGAAACAACGTTTCAGACAAATTGAAATTCGATTAAATTGAATTTCTGGCTAATTAATTTTTTGTCTAAATAAAAATTCTGTAACATTAATAATCGTTTAAATTCTGTGAAAGGAAACTTCGAACAATATACTGTAAAATGAAAATTCTGTACACTTTTTTTTCTCCAAAATTAAAATTCTTTTAAATTACTATTCTGGAAAAAGAATATTTTAAAGAATATTTTTTAATTAACTGTTGATTAATTTTAAGTATTTTTAATCTACTTTCATATGAAATGCTGAATTTTTAAATTGAAATATGAAATATTTTACCTTTAATATTGAGTCGATATCAAAACCACAGAAAACTTTTCAAAAAAAAAAAAAATGTTAGATTGAACAAAACTAATATTATTATTTTTATTTTAATAAGATGGAAAAGTTGATTATTCGTCTGATCCATTGTTATTTTTACATCGTTTTTCCTTTTTTTAATTTCATTATTTATAATTTTTCTTCAATTACTTTCTTTACATAAAAAGAAAAAAATTTTTTTTTGTTTATTATTTTGAATATAATGAAAATTTTAGTTTTTAAAATGATGTTATTTTTTCAAATTTTTCTAAAATATAGATCGCAACAACTAGCTGAAATATAATTGATTGATATTTTATTTTTTATTTTAATTAAAAAGAAAGCTTACTTATATTTGCTCGCATCACATCAGCCAATAGATGAAGATCATTTTCATGTGTAATTATAATGTAATTCAATTCGGTGCTATTCATTTCTTGAATAGTAGCGAGTGATTTTCGCGTTTTGTCCATTACACCGCCAGCACTTTCAATAATTTCAGCAATTGATGAAGGAGCAGGAATTACGCTAGGCGTTACATAAAATGTTTTCCCCTATAAAAACAAAAAATTTATAATATCAAGCAAATATAAAAGTACTTTTTAATTATTCGAAACTTTTAATAAGAATAATAATAAAAATAATAATATTAATATTATTAAAATAATAATAGTTATAATAATAAATAACAGTAATAGTAATAATAATAAATAATAGTAATAGTAATAATAATAAGAAAAATAATAATAATAATAATAATAATAATAATACCTTAAGTACAGTTCCTCTATTAGGACTGGTAAGAGCTTTCTGAATATTGCAACCAAAATTTTTCTCAAATTCCGAATCACCAAGAATATATGATGTTTCATCTAAGAATGTATTTTTTGTGTAACAATCAAGAAGCCATTGAAGAGTTACAATAAATTTACAACGCGACAAACAACAAAGAAGTTTGACAGTTCGAATTGGTGATGGCATTACTAAATGTGTTGCATCTCTCCAACTTGCAGCCATTGCACCACCTAATTCTCGAATTCTCTGAGGGGGGGAAAAAAAAACAAAAAAATTATAAAAAGTTGTATTAGTGATAAAAAAAAGTAAAAATATATCAGATTATTTTTAAAAACCTTTGCATGTTTTCTAGGATCAATTCCAGAGAAAAGAATTCTTGGTTGTTTATCAGGTGGTGGAGGATCGGGATTACAAACAACAATTGGCTCATCAAGACCAAGTAAATGTGGATCCTTAATTGCTAATGGAACATCTAATCTAGGTTTCTTATATTTTCTCAGTGCATTTGGTCCTTGTCCAACTTGTTTTACTTTATCGTATGACTCCTGTGTTATGTTTATTGGCATTTTCCAAGCAGCTTCAAAAAAAAAAAAAAAAATTACAATTATTATTGTAAATTAAATTATTTAACAGGGATTTAAAATCCGAGTACTTCGATTTAGATTTTTTTTATTTAATTTTTTTTTCACACATTTCTTAGAAATTAATTTCTAAACTATTTGTTTATTAATAAATATTTAATTGATTCGTTTAATAATAAAAGTATCAAAGAAATATTCATGTTTTTATCAAAGAAAATAATTTAAGAGCAGAGCTGATAAAAATCAGGATTTTTTTTTTAGAAAAACAAAAAAATTTCCGATTTAAATGAATTTTTTTTTTACTTAAATCTTTTATTTAAATATTTTTCAAAAGTTAATTTCTAAACTATTTGTTTCTTTTCAATAAATATTTAATCGATAAATTTAATCAAAGAAATATTTTTATTTTTATCAGAGAAAATAATTTAAAAGCAGAACTGATAAAAATCAGGATTTTTTTTAGAAAAACAAAAAAATTTCCGATTATTTGCGATTTAAATCTGATTATTTGCGATTTAAATCTGTTTTTTAAACATTTTACAAAAATTAATTTCTAAATAATTTCTTTTTTTAAAATAAATATTTAAACGATAAATTTAATAACAAAAGCATCAAATATTTATATTTTTATCAAAGTAAATAACAATTTTTAAATTAAACTCTAAAATTATCCAACAATTCATACTTTTCAAAATTGTTGATTACTAAAAAGTAAATAATTTATTTATTTAACAATGGATTCCAAATTTCTATATTGATAGGAAAAAAATAGTACAAAAATTAAAAAATTAATTTTCATAAATTAAAAAAATAAAAACAGTACAAAAACAATAGAAAAATTAATTAATTACAGAATTAAATTTTCTAATATTATACATCAAAAAGTTTCAATTACTAAATAGAACTTTATTTTAGAAAATATTAGAACTAACGTAAAAATTTGGAACTAAAATTATCCAAAAAGAAATTTGTTTAAAATTTTTTTTTTTGCGATTTTTGCAAATTTAATAACTTTTTAATAATATAGCAAAATTGACAAAATAAATCAAACGATACGTTTTTAAATATTCTTTTAATTTATTGTAATATTTTTCACATAATATAAAGAGTTTTAAACAAATATTGTAAAAAGTAGTGTTTTCAAAATTTTATATTTTTCAAAATTTAAAATAACCTTCGGTAAAATGTTATTCAATAAAAAAAAAATCAGACTTAAATCGAATTAATAGGATTTTTTTTTATTTTTTCAAAAAATTATCCTTTTTATCAGCCGTACATTATTTATTCTATTACTGTGCTTTTTTTTATTAAATTATTTATTTAAATTTATTTCTGTTACTGAAGAATTTATTAGAAATTACAGACAAAAATTGAACGTTTAATTAGAAATTAAATTTTTATTTGCAAAATGTTTTCAGATAATTAAATTTCGGAAAAATTATAGTTGAAATTATTAAATTTCAAAAAATTCAAGATGATAAAATTTAGAAATTAGTAAATTTTAGAAGGTTTTAAATTAAAATTTAAATAATTGAATTTCAAATGATTTTTTATTGAAATTTTTGATAATTTCCGTTGCTGATAATTTTCAGATAATTTAAATTTTCAAAAAGTATTATACAAAATCATGAAAAATAATCGAATTTCGGAAGAAGTTTAAAATGATTAAATTTCAAAAAGTTTACAATGAAAAATTTTAGAAATTTAATTTTAGATATAGTTTTAAATTGAAATTTTAGACAATAATTGAATTTCAAGAGATTTTAAATTGAAATTTTTGTGGTAATTTTATTTGCTAATTTTTTTGTTTTTATTTTTAAACTATTATTAAATGTCATAAAATTTTTAATTGAAAAATACTTTAAGATATTTGAATTTTGTGAAAAATTTTCATTAAATTTATCGAAATTAATTAATTTAGGAGAAGAATTTTATAAATTTTAGAAACAAGCCTTTCCCCTAAAATCATTGCAGTTCTGAATTATTGTAAATTAAATTATTAAAAAGAAAAAGAAAATTTTCAATTTTTCTCACCCATTAATTGTGGCACAAGTGAATAATCCAGCCGGAAAGGATTTCCTAAACTGAATTGTTGATATTTGGGAGCATCAATTTGATGTAAAGCACTCATTTGTCCGCAAAGTAAATCCGTCAACCATTGGGCATTAACAACATTGATTTGCCATTCTCTTGCTTTTTTATATTTTGCACCATCGGGTCTACATAATTAAATTTAATTAATTAGTTAATTTTCCTCTCAAACTGTGTTTTAAAAAATTAAATCATTGAAAAAATAGATAAAAAAAATCCTACATAAAAAAATTGAATTGAATTCAAAAAAAATGTAGATAATTAAATTAATAATAGTATATAATAAATTTACCTTCTGCAAACAAGAAGTGTATTGTGTCTCGAAAAATAAACAGTGAGTTTTGCCCCAAGTGTTTCGAGCATTATTTTAACTTTAGAACGTTCTTCGCCCTCAAATCCAGATAATGATATGATATGTTTATTGCATGGAAATTCAGTGAGACTGAAATGTGTTGGAAAATGTAGTGCATGCCACGGTGGAAGAACTTGTTGTTTATTTACAACATCTGAAAGCCAATGGGCGCTAATACAACGTTTTCCTTCTCTAAGCGCTTGAACGACAATTGGATGTTTTTGCGTTATTGAAAGAACGTGGGTTGCACGTGCACAATATTGTGGTTCAACTTCACCGCCATGTCTTTCAATAACTTGTTTCCATACTGAGACTTCATTTGGATTTTGTGTATCATATTCGGCAATTACAAATATACAACCAAGAAGAAATAGATCTGGTGGCACTGTGGAAGAAAAGAAAAGAAATATAATATTAATAAATTATAAAAAATTAACAGTGTTTTTCAATTTTAAAAATAATGTTGATTCAAAAATATATAAAGAGATATATAATTAATATTTTTAGAGATAATTGAATTTTAAAAGATTTTCAATTAAAAATTTATATTGCAAAATTGAATTTCAATAATTTTAATGAAATCCTTTAAAAATTTAATAATTGACTAAAAATCTTTTGAAAAAGTCTTTAAGAATTTAAATTGACAAAATTTTAAAGTCATAATTTCCTAAAATTTGATTAATTCTAAAAATCTAGACTGTAGCTCTTCTGAAATTCAATTATTTTTTTAAATTTCTATTTAAAATTCTTCGCGAAGTTAATGATTTTAAATAATTTTAACCAACTTCTTCGAAAATTCAATTATTTAGAATATTTTTAAATTACATTTTTTTAATATTCAATTATTCTCTATAATTTGTAAAAAAAAAAAATCTTCAACAATTCAATTTTGCAAAAAATTCTATTTAAAATTTTTCGCCCAATTAATTATTTTTAATAATTTCTTTTCAAATTCAATTATTTGGAATATTTTTTAATTAATTAAAATTTTTTTTATAAATAATTGAATTTCAAAAGAGTTTATTAAATTTTAGATAATAATTAAATTTTACAGAATTAAAAATAATTTAATTAATAAAGTTTAGAGAAAATTTTTTAAAAATAATTGAATTTTCAAAAAATTTTCTATTCAGATTTTTAAAAATTTAAATTTTAGTAATTTTTGATTATTTTTTATTTTTAATTGAAAAATGCTTTCAGTTATTTGAATTTTTCAGAATAATATTATGTAAATCATAAAAATAATTAATTTTTATAAAGAGTTAAAGTTGAAAATTTTTGTAAATAATTGAATTTTAAATGATTTTCTTAAATTTTAGACAAAAATTAAATTTTACAAAATTGAAATTAATTTATCAAATAATTTTCTTATTTTTTTTTTTTTTTAAATAATTGAATTTTCGAAAATTTTCAGTGATTTTTGTTACTGGAGAATTTATTAAAAATTATGGACAAAAATTAAATTTTAAAAGTTTTTTAATTTGAAAAATGCTTTCGGTTAATTGAATTTTTGGAAGAATATTATAAAAATCATTAAAAATAATTGAATTTCAGGAGAAATATACAGTTGAAATTATTAAATTTCCATAAGTTTAAGTAAGAAAAAATTTTAGAGGTGATTTTGAATTGAAAATTTTTGATAATATTATTTCTTGATTTTTTTTTTTTAATTTTAACCAATTATTGAATTTTATAAATTCTAATTCGACAAATTTCATTAAAAAATTATTGAAAATAATTGAATTTTCAAAGAGTTACAATAGAAATTTTTAGAAATAATTGAATTTTTGAAAAATATTATTTAAAATTCTTTAAAAAAAAATTTAGGAAAGAATTTAGGAAGAATTATAATTAAAATTATTAAATTTCCAAAAGTTTTAGATTTGGAAAATGTTTGGAAAAAAATTAAATTTTCCAAGGTATTAAATTGAAATATTTGAAAAATAATTGAATTCCAAGTGATTTTGAATTGAAATTATTAATAATTTCCGTTGCTGATTTTTTTTTTAATGAACAATTATTGAATTTCATAAATTCTTTAATTCGACAAATTTCATTAAAAAATTATTGAAAATAATTGAATTTTCAAAGAGTTAAAATAGAAATTTTTATAAATAATTGAATTTTTGAAAAATATTATAAAATTCTTTTTAAAAAAATTTTATATTTAGGAAGAATTATAATTAAAATTATTAAATTTCCAAAAGTTTTAGATTTGGAAAATGTTTGGAAAATAATTAAATTTTCGAAGGTATTAAATTGAAATATTTGAAAAATAATTGAATTCCAAGTGATTTTGAATTGGAGTTTTTGATTATTTTCCCTTGCTGATTTTTTTTTTAAACGAACAATTTGAATTTCATAAATTCTTTAATGCGACAAATTTCATTAAAAAATTATTGAAAATAATTGAATTTTCAAAGAGTTAAAACAGAAATTTTCAGAAATAATTGAATGTTTGAAAAATATTATAAAATTCATTGAAAAAAAAAAATAATTATATTTCGGAAGAGTTATAATTAAAATTATTAAATTTCCAAAAGTTTTCGATTAAAAAATTTTTGAAAATAATTAAATTTTAGGTGTTAAATTGAAATATTAGAAAAGTCATTAACTTCCAAATGATTTTGAATTTAAATTTTTGATTATTTTCCCTTGCTGATTTTTTTTTTATACGAACAATTTGAATTTCATAAATTCTTTAATACGACAAATAGTTGAAAATAATTCAAATTTGTGAAGAATTTCATTAAAAATTATTTTAAAAAAGTAATTAATTTAGTGATGAATTTTAGTTAAAAAATTTACGGGCATTGTCCATATATTTTCAATAAATAAAAATCTATTAAATAATTGAAATAAACATCTGCATCTACTAAAAAAAAAAAAAGATGCATTTTATTAAATATTTTGTAAAAAAGGTCGCATCTTATTAAAATTCGAAAAAAGTATAATCCGAGGCCAATAAATAATAAAAAAAAACTCACATTTCAAATTAGGATTATGTCCATAAAATTGTGCCTTTGGTTGTTGCATTGCCGGTGTATATTGCATTTTAATTTGTCCCCCAACAGGCGCACCATTAGTAATATTACCCAATGTTCTTCTTTGATAGGCAGCCAATAATTGTGGATCCTGTGAAGGTGGAGGTGGTGGTCGATGTTGTGCAGTCATAAGTCTCAATTGTCCCGCAGCACTACCCTCCGTTGCACCGCCTTGCAATCTATTTGTCAACATATTGGCGAGAGCAGTTTTTGTCTTGGCATTCACCACAAGTTGTTGCTCCGGTGATATTTGATTATTAACCGGCAATGCCGTTAAAGTTGTCGGTTCCTGCTGCGCTCCCTGTTGCTGTTGCTGCTGTTGTTGTTGTTGCTGCTGCTGTTGTTGCTGCTGCTGCTGCTGCTGAAGATGCTGCAACTGTAATCTCGCCATTTGTTGTTGTTTTTGAATTTGCAATTGCGTAAATTGTTGAGGCGTCAATTGTTGTCCCTGCTGAAATGTGCCAGTTGCTTGCGATGCTTGCGAAACAGGTTGCGCTGTTTGTACAATCACTTGATTTTGTGGATTTATTGGCGTTAATGCCGGTGGTTGTACACTGTGCATTGGTTTTTGTCCCGCTGTCTGTCCAATTAATTGCGGTGGCCTTGGTTGTTGTTGCACCCATTGAATACCGGGTTGTCCGGGTTTACCTGGACTACGAATAACGGCAATATGAGGACCCTGTTGTGCTTGACGATTATGCATTTGTCGATGCATGAGGAGGGTTCTTTGTTTTTGTATTTTTTGTATAAATTGAGCGCGCTGCTGGGGATCCATTTGTTGTAGTTGCTGATGAGTTTGGGCGTCCAATTGAATTAGTTGCCGCGGTGGTTGTGGAGGTTGTTGGGTCCATTGTCCGCCGGGACGTTGTTGGCCAATTTGTTGTTGCGTCTGTTGACGCTGTAATTGAAGATGATATTGCTGCTGTTGCCATTGTGGATCACGTTGAACGATGAAACTTTGTTGCGTTGGATTTATTAGCTGTTGACCGGGCGATTGTTGTTGTAATTGTCCGTCGCGAATTACAAATTGCTGCGAGGTTTGCGGTACTGATTGTTGGAGTTGCTGGGAGATTTGTTGGATTTTTTGCTGCTGCTGCTGTTGCTGCTGAAGGAGCATTAGTTGTTGGCGCTGCTCGTGGGTTAGGGATTGCTGCTGCTGTTGCTGCTGCTGCTGCGGCGGCGGTTGTTGTTGTTGTTGATTTTGTAATTGTTGACCCACTACCAATTGATTTTGTACCTGTCCCAACTGTTGTGTTTGTAATTGTTGATTTTGTATTTGTTGCGTCTGTAATTGTTGATTCTGTATTTGTTGAGTTTGCAGTTGTTGATTTTGTATTTGTTGCGTCTGTAATTGTTGATTCTGTATTTGTTGTGTTTGCAGTTGTTGATTTTGTATTTGCTGCGTTTGTATTTGTGGATTTTGCAATTGTTGCGTCTGTATTTGTTGATTTTGCAATTGTTGGGTCTGTATCTGTGGATTTTGTATCTGATTTTGCAATTGTTGACTCTGTATCTGTGGATTTTGTATCTGATTTTGTAATTGTGGATTTTGTATCTGATTTTGTATTTGATTTTGCAATTGTTGATTTTGTATTTGTTGAGTTTGCAATTGATTTTGCAATTGTTGCGCCGGCTGCAATTGTTGAAGAGAAATCTGCTGCGACAAATGACTTTGAGGACTAATTTGCTGTTGAGTTTGCTGTTGGCTAATTTGCGGATTCGCCAAAAGCTGCTTTTGCTGAGCGACTATCAACTGCTGTTGTTGCTGCTGCTGGGTCGTAAGTTGCAATTGTGACAATTGGCTACTCACTTGCTGAGGTGGTGTCATCAGATTTTGATTTTGAAGAGAAAAATTCTGTTGATTCATCTGCTGCGGAGCCTGTTGGACAATTTGCTGCATCTGAACAGGCTGATGATTAATTTGCTGATTAATCTGCTGATTCAAATGTTGTTGATTAATATGACTCATCTGTTGATTGACCTGAACTTCGTTCATTTGTTGACTCATTTGATTCTGCAATTCTTGCATTTGATTTTGCAATGGACTCTTCATTTGCAATAAATTATTTGCCTGTGAATTCGATGGTAGCCAATTTTGATTCATCAAATTTTGATTGACTGATGGCGCAATTGAGGATGTGGTAACGGCAACTTGACGAACAAAATGTTGATTACTTGAAACACGTGGTGTTGATGATTGAAAAACAGAAACGGGCGTTGAATTAACTTCAGTGTTTATATGTTGATTTGGTTGATTCCAAGGCATACGTTGTTTCAATTGTTCTAAAACTGCATTCGTTTCCTCCTGCTCTTCTTGAGTGGAATTATTAAGTGCATCATCATCCATGAATCCTGTTATCAATGCAGTTGAACTATTTGGCGATGGATACATCAATAGTCGTGGATGAAATTCAGCTTCTTTAATTAATGTTCTTTTTTTTGATGATTCAACAATCCAATCGGGTGTAACTATTTGTATATTATATTTTGTTGCTATCTCGTATTTTGCGCCACTTGCCTTTCCAACAATCAAATGAGTACAATAACGATCCAATCGAAGTTGACATTTACCGCCTTGAAATGTTATCATAGCCCAAAGTGCTTTACTATCTCCATGACTTACTTGTGAAATACATGCTTGTACATTGGAGAATAATTGATTATCTTCCGGTGAAAAATATTGAACTCTATTGGAGAAAAAATTAAGGAAAAAATAAATTTTTTTAATATTAATTATAACAATAATTGTAAACTTTTTTTTTTTTTTTAAATATTATTAAATTTAAATTGTAAAAGGATACGGAAGTAACTTCTGACATTTGGCAGAATATACAACCCAGTTTTGTGTGACAGCCGGAATTTCATAAAGATCTTTGGCTGCAGAAATATCATTTTCAATTGCCTCGTAACCCGCTACTAAATGTGTTACAAAATCACTGAAATAATTTGATCTCTCTGCTCCACCTTCTTGCAATAAACTTAATATCTACAAATAGAAATTTTTACATATTTTTAAAATCCAATATTTTACAATGAAACGCCGTTTCTTTGTTTGCATAACAAAAAAAAAAACAATAAAATTAGAAAAAAACTTTTTTCATTTTATAAAAAGAATTACTTTATATATAGAAAAAAAGAGTTTATCATAATGAATTTAGAAAAATATATTAACAATATACCTTAGGGTCCCCTTCGCCACTGACGTAGTATTTTACGTTGGCGAAGAGTGCACTATCCAATTTCAATTCCTCTAGGCCAGCCCGATAATCGCCCATTTTATGAGCATCACCTTCACAACACCTCCCGTTACTAAAAATCGGGAATACATACGAATTTTCTTAATTATTGACAATAAGAATTTCCGCGCGTCTGTTTGTTATTATTATGATTGTTATTTAAAGGTTATGTTTCTAATATATAAGTCAAGAAACAAAGTCATATATATATATATACAAATTTTGTTGTTGTAGAATATAGAGCTAAAATCAACTCATAATATATTAAAACTTCATTACTTGTTTTGAGGAAAAATAAAATTTCCTAAATAAGATTAAATAAATAGTGCCGTCTTAATACACTGAATATTAACAATGGTAATAATGACGCAAAAATTTTAAGTTTGTCTTTCGTACATTCTTTTTTTTTTTTGGCGGGGTGGTGGGGGAAGGGGGGTGTGTATCGAAGACTAGGCGCATCAGGGTTGGGAAGTGAAAGTTTTGCACATTATTATGGTGGATTCACTTGAATTTTTTTTTTGTTTATTTCGCAAATTTGTAGGTGTGATCGCACCATAATTACATGAATTTGATTGGCTCTGAAAAATATTCCATTTCCATTGTGAAAATTGAATATTGTTAGAGCCAATCAAATTCAGTGATTCTCCGTGAAGGTGTAAATGTACCTTTACTTGAATTTTTTTGTCCATTTCGCAAATTTATAGGTTGTGATAGCATCTTTACTATAATTTATTTTATTTTGCAGAAACAGCTTTAGATTATGTAGGCTTTACGAAATTTACGTGAATTACGTTTTTGTTTTCCTACACATGATTTTTAAAAGCTATTAACCGAATCAACAACAATATATAGTTTTTACCTTTTTTTTCCGTTAATATTCCTTTAATTACAAGTGAAAAGTGTTAATTGTTTTTTTTAAATTAAAATGGTACACATGAAGGTAGGAAAAAATATTCAATTTATTTGTTATACGCAATTAGAAAAAAAAAAGTTTCTTTTTATTTTTATTTACAATATGAAATATTCAATTTATTATTATATACTCAGAGAAATAAGTTTCTTTAAAATATTTCTTATTTACAAATAGAAACAACCGCGAAAAACGCGACGTCAATTACAAGCGGAAAAATTGTCTGAAGCAAAAAAATTAATTAATAAAGCCAATTCATTGGAAGTGCCTCTTCCTAGTAGTTTTCAAAAATTCACATCTAAAGATGAAATAAATTATGAAATTCATTGTAATCGAGCAAAAGAATTGACAAATGAACAATCATCATGGATTATAGATCTTATGGAAAGAAATATGAAAAAAAGTTATGAATTATCGTCATGGGGTTGGGATGCAGATAAAAAAAGAAATGAATTATTTGATTCACAAGCATGGCATTTGATTGCAATAAATAATAATGGAATTAATGTTGGATTTTCACATTTTCGATTTGATGTTGACGACGATAAGGAAGTTTTATATTGGTAGGCAATTAGTTTTTATTTTATTTACAATTTTTTTTTTTCAGTTGACAATTTTTTCTTCATTAAAAAAAAAAATTTATTTACTAAATTAAAAAATTTTAAAAATATTTGTATTAAAAATTTGCCTTTTTTTTAGTTATGAATTGCAATTAGAAACATCGACAAGAAGAAAAGGACTTGGACGATTTATGATGCAAGCTTTAGAAACAATGGCCTTGCAAAATAAAATGCAAAAAGTAGTATTAACTGTTTTTAAAAGCAATACAACGGCAGTTGCATTTTTTCACAGTCTTGGGTAAGTTCAGTTTTTTTTTTTTAAATAAATATTTTTTAAAAAATTATATTATATAATAATAAAATGCTTGGTCTGTCCTTCTGTCCTAACTTGAAGTTGGACTTTTCTGATTTCACGTGTTTTTTTGAATAGTAATCTTATGACGTGTCAAATTATGACAATTCTTTTTCTCATTTTTGCCAAAGTTGTATAATTGTGTTTCCAAATTTCGGAATAAGTTTCTTTAAAATTCCAAATTCGAAAATTCAATTCACGAAACTCAAGTACACAACGTTTACCAACGAAATTTTTTTTAAATTTGCATATTGATTCAAAAATTGTATACAAATACAAAAAATTTATGATGAGAAAAAAGATGCGCCAGGAAATTTCGTACAAGATAGTAATTTGAAAAAAATTTATTTTTAAAAATTAATTTTCAAGGTACCAGGGGCCAATGAATACCTATTAAATATTAATTATAAAAACACAGGCCTCGAATCAACTTAAAGACACAAAAAAGTCGTTTTAGTCGATTTATATTCCAAAAAAAGTGGATTTGTTTTTTATATTAACAAAAAAATATTTTACAGATTTTTAAATAAAATTTTTTTTTTTTAATAATAATCCTTTTCGAAGGGTTAAAGTTGAAATTTTTAGAAATAATTAAATTTCAAAAGATATTGTTAATTTTCAAACAATTATTAAATTTTACAGAACTAAAAATAATTTAACAAACAAATTTTGGAAAACAATTTTTAAATTTAATTGAATTTTCAAAGATTTAAAATTGAGATTTTTGAAATTAATTGAAACTTTAAGTGTTTTGTAATTAAAATTTTAGATGATTTCACTAAAAATTTATTAGAAAATGCGGACAAAATACAATAATTTGAAAATCATTTTTGATTGAAAAATGGTTTCAGATAGTTGAATTTTCAAAGAATATTATTAAAATAGTTAAAAATAATTAAATTTCCTTAGAGTTATAATTGAAATTATTAAATTTCAAAAAAAAAAATTTTCGATGGCAAATTTTAGAAATAATTAAATTTTAGATGCTTTTAAATTCAAATTATTGAAAATTCAATTAATTTTGAATTCAAATTTTTGAGAATAATGAAATTTTATTTGATTTTAAATTTGAAAAATAATTAAATTTCAGTTCATTTTGAATTGAAAATTTTGGGAAATAATTGAATTTTAATTGAAATTTTGGATAATAATTTAATTTAAGTTCATTTTTGATTGAAAATTTGGATAATTAATTTTGAATAGAAATTTTAGAAAATAATTTTATTTTATTTCATTTTAAATTGAAAACTTGGTAAATAATTAAATTTTAAATTGAAAATTGTGGATAATTATTGAATTTTTAATTGATTTTGAATTAAATTTTCGGGTAATAATTGAATTTTAGTTTATTTTGAATTGAAATTTTTTAAAAATAATTCAATTTTATTGTGATATTTTTTTTTTAAATTATAAACAATTGTTAAATTTCATAAAAATTTTAATTGAAAAATAATTTTGATAAAATTGAATTTGTGATGTATTTCATTAAAATTATTAAAAATAATTAATTTAGTGAAGAATCATTTTAGTTCAAAATTTGTTAAATAATTGAATTGAAGAAGATCTGAAGAAGATCTACATTTTATACTAAAAAAATGTATTTTATTTACATTTTTTTTTTCAAATGTAAAAAAAAATGTCGCATTTTATTAAAATAAGTCGATAAAAGTCGTATTTTTGAAAAAAGTCGTATAATCCGAGGCCTGTAAACATATAATTTTCATTATTATCATTTAATATGTAATAATATTCTAATAAATTAAATTATTATTGATAATATTAATCTTTAATTTCTTTATAACAAACAATTAAATATTCAATTTGGCGCGCGTTTAATTTGCTAGTTAATTATAAAATTAATTAATTCCATTTTATAATTATAAATTCATTTTTATTAAAAATGTATTCATCATTTTCACACGTTCATGTTTAAAATTACATATTTCTAAATTTCTCATAATATACAATTTATATACTAAAGAATTAGTAAATAAATTACTCGCATACAATTTTTTTTTTTATAATTACAATTATAACAATATTATTATTATCATTATTACAATTATATTTATCCAGTGACTTCTATGATTATTTGGAAAATTAAAATTATCACAGAAGTTTGAATCGATGACTTTTTTTTCTTCAAGGCTTCTTGATTTATATTTTTCATATAGTGAAATTAGAAATTTAAAAACAAAAAATGGAAAATTAAAAATTGTACAATTTGCTAAAATGGAAAAATATTTATATTTTCATTAAAATTTGAATATATTTTATTCAAAAATTAAAAAAAAAAATAAAAATTGCTAAAATTAAAATTGTACTGTATATTTAAAAAAAAAATGCAATATAAACAAGATACTGAATCTATATCTATATTTACAAGTCAGTGTTAATAAATAAATAAAATATCTTTAGTGAAAACTAGTTTTTAAAAAAATTTAACTAAATTCTGTTTTACAGTTATAAATTGGATATCACGAGTCCCAACGATGAGCACTATATGATTTTGAGTAAATTATGTAGAGATTAAATAAAAACTGTTTTTTTTTCCAAATCTTTGTTGATTTTCAACTAACCCCCCCCCCCTTTTTTTTCAATTTCTTTAAGAATGTGATCTATAGGAAAGTGTCGCTAAAATTTGATGTGGACAAATATTAATTAAAGACGATTTCTTCATTATTCCAACATTGTGAAATGTTAATGGAACTTCACTGACACTCCAATGTTCTGTATTATTTAAAAATTTATTGATATCAATTTGACTAGTTTTTGAAATTTGAAATCTATTGTCAAATGAATTTTCAATGCAATAATAATCAATTGCCTGACGATGAAGAATCATTCCAATTCCATTACCAACGCCTTCAGGTACAGAAATAATACGTAAACTAATGACATTTAAATCAGATGGAAGATCAAATGAAAGTGGTGAATAATATGGTTTCAATTCAAATGGTAGTGTTGAACGTGGATGAAGAGCAATTATTGGATGAAGAAGTTCCTCCGATGATAAATGTGCTGCAAGCGATAAAAGACCCGATGGATGATCGTCTGGTACATGTGAGCAGTGGGATTTTTTCTTTTCAAGAATAATTGTAAATAAATGATTTGTCAATAAATTATCGGTTACGCCTTGGCCTAAACCACGATTATCGTCTTGCATTAATCGTCGATCTTGCATTATCTGAAAATAATTTATTCAAATTTAAAGAAACATTAAATAAAATGGTTAATTAATTTTTTTAAAAAAAAAACGTCATTAAAATTCATTAAATAATTAAATTATTTTTTATAATATTAATAAAATTTCTAAATAGTTTAAATTCAAATAGTTCAATAATTATTTTAAATACTTAAAATTTGAATTCTTGGAAATTCAATTATTTCAAAAAAAAAAAAAAAAAAATTGTAATTAAACACTCTTCAATAATTTTAAATCAAAAAACATTAATTCGTTTCAAAAATTTCAATTAAAAATTCTTCGAAAATTCAATTATTTTCAACATTTTTATTTAAAGCATCATAAATTCAATTATCTTCAAAAATTTTCATTAAAATCATTGAAAAATCAAATAATTTTCAAATTTTCAAACTAAAATTCTTTGAGAATTACAATATTTTAAAAACTAAATATTGAAGTACAAGATTCAATTATTTTTGAAAAATTTCTATTAAACTTTCTTTAGAAAATGAAATAAAAATGAAAAAAAAATTATTTTCAAACTAATCAATTAAAATTAAAGAATTTTATCTTTCCAAAAATTTCAAGTTAAGATTATTAAAAAATTAAATTATTTTCAAAAGATCCCAATTAAAAGATTTTGATGATTCAATTATTTAAAATAATTTCAATTGAATATCTTGTATAATTTAATTATTCTAAAAAATTTCAACTGTAATTCTTATAAAACTTAATTCGTTTCAAAAATTGCAACTTTAATTCTTTGAATATTCAATTATATCCAATATTTTTATTTAAATCATCATAAATTTAATTATATTTGAAATTTTCCATTAAAATCGTTAAAAAATTCAATAATTTTAAAATCTTCAACTAGATTTCTTCTTAAAATTACATTACTTTAAAAACTAAATATTGAAATACTTTAAGCTGATTTAAGATTCAATTATTTTTGGAAAAATTTCTATTAAACTTTCTTCAAAAATTGAAATAAATATTCCTTAACAATTTCAGCTAATTTCAAAAATACCTTTGAAAATTATTCAAAAATTCCAATTATATTAAAAATACTTAACCACAATTCTTCGATTACTCAATTTTTTTTAAAAACTTTAAATTAAAATTCTCTACAAATTCAATTATTTAAAAAATTTTCAGTCAATGACATTAAAAACTCAATTTTTTAAAGTATTTTTAATCAATACCTTTAAGAATTCAATTATTTAAAGAATATTCAATAAATATTTTTAAAAATTCAATTTTCAAAAATCTCAGCTGTAATTTTTAGATTGTGAAATTAATTTAAAAACCATCTGAACTGTAATTCTTGAAATGTTTAATTAATTTAAAAATTTTCAATTTAAAGTATTTGATTTTTCAATTATTTTCAAACTAATTAATTAAAATTAAAGAATTTTATCTTTCCAAAAATTTCAAGTTAAAATTATTAAAAAATTAAATTATTTTCAAAAGATCCCAATTAAAAGATTTTGATGATTCAATTATTTAAAATAATTTCAAATTGAATCTCTTGAATAATTTAATTATTCTAAAAAATTCCAACTGTAATTCTTAAAAAAACTTATTTCGTTTCAAAAAGTGCAAATGTAATTCTTTGAAAATTCAATTATATCCAATATTTTTATTTAAATCATCATAAATTTAATTATATTTGAAATTTTCCATTAAAATCGTTTAAAAATTCAATAATTTTAAAATCTTCAACTAGATTTCTTCTTGAAATTACATTATTTTAAAAACTATATTGAAATACTTTAAGCTGCTTTAAGATTCAATTATTTTTTTGAAAAATTTCTATTAATATTTCTTCAAAAATTGTAATAAATATTCTTTGACAATTTTGGCTTATTTTCAAAAATAACTGAAAAAATTCTTTAAAAATCCAATTATTTAAAGAATTTTCATGTAATATTTTTAAAAATTTAATTTTCAAAAATCTCAACTTTAATTTTTAGATTTTGAAAGTAATTTGAAAACAACAATCAACTGTTATTCTTGAAATGTTAAATTAATTTGTAAATTTTCAATTAAAGTTATTTGATTATTCAATTATTTTCCAACTAATGAATTAAAATTAAAAAATTTAATTATTATTATTAAAAATTTTAAGTTCAACTCATTAAAGAATTAATTATTTTCAAAAAGTTCTAAATATAAGTTTTTGATGATTCAATAATTATTTAAAATAATTTCAATTGAATCTCTTGAATAATTTAATTATTCTTAAAAAATTTAAACTTTAATTATTCGAAAATTTAATTGTTTTCAAAATTTTAACATCTTTAAAATGCAAATTACATTCAAATGAAAAAATTAAACGCTCTTTAATAGATATTGAATTGAAATTCTTCAAATATTTCATTCGTTTCAAAAATTGCAATTAAAATTCTTTAAAACTTAAATTATTTTAAAAAATTTTCAATCTATATCTTTAAAAATTCAATTATTATCAAAAATGTCAATTTAAAATTTTTGAGATTTCAATTATTTTTAAAGAATTGCAAAATTATACGCTCTTTAATAATTGAATTACTCCAAAAATTTATTTATTTAAAAAAAAAACCGTGAAAAAACCTTAAAATTTGTTCGAAAATTTTAGTGGCCACCATGTTAATTTAAAAAGTTAATTAATTAAAAAACACTGAAGTTAGTTAATTAATTAATGAAAATTAATTCTAAAGTAGAATTGTATTAAAAAAAAATATTTTTTTTATTTACCTCGAATTGTCCAGAATCCATTGACGTTGCTCCCAATGGTGTGGCAGTAAGAATTGTCAGTCTCACTCGTTTATCTTCAATATAACCCGCCGAAGCGAGAGGATAATAATTTCCCTGAAGTGGAATTTTCGAAAATCGTTGTCGTCGTATCATCTAAAATCAAATAATAATTATTATTATATATACCTACAAAAAAAAAAATTAATCCAATATATACAAATTTTAAAAATACCTATATTTTATTTTATTAAAATTAAATTACGATTAATAATTTATAATTTTGAAATTAAAATGACAAAAAAAATTAAAAATTTTTATTTCTTACATTAAGTCCATTAAGATCAGTGAAAAATTCATCTTCCGACGCAATATCCGTGTGTAATCTCATTGCAAGTTCAAAATTATGTGTCTCTGAAATATCGACTTCATTCATTATTTGTAAACCAAGTCCATCGCTTCCTGGTGAATTAAATAGTGTACATGTATGTCGTACATAGGGTAATTCAACGAATACTCTCGATAAAAGTGGACCACTAATAACATGGACAATTTGATTATTTTCCATTGTTATTAAATCGGGTTTTGATTTATCCGGTAAAAATAGATAAGCACCACTTCTGTCTTGACCAACATCTCTTGTTCCATATTTCACAAATTCTAAATGCACAGGCAATGTCATTTTATCAATGCGTAACGCTTTTAAAAGACCCGATTGTCCAAATGATGCGGAAAAATTGGAATGTTGACTTATTGAAAAATCCTGAGTATTTGTAATAATTTGTGGATTATTGAATTCAGAAACGCCAGTAAATGATGAAGTTGCATTTGATGGCATGTAGAGAGTTATTTTTGCCAAGTGTACCTCTCTATAAAAAAAAAGAAATAAAAAAAGGCATAAATTAGTATAAATTTCGAAAATTTTCTTTAATTTTCGATATTAAAAATGATTAATTAACAAAATGATTTGCAATTTGCAAAAGCATTGAAAAGCATAATGTAAATCATAAATTGTCTTTTGTGAAAATAAAGTGAGAAAAATAAGATTGTTTTGAAATTTTCTTTTTTTTAACTCACTTTGGTAATGTACTCCCAGAAACAGTGTGAATTACATAAGTAGTCAATCCAAATGCAGGTACAGTTATTGAAAAAGAAAGTTCATAACGTACTGCCGAAATAATTGAAGGCGCATCCCAAATTGGTGAAATTTGACATTCAACAGGATGACCCATTCGATCGGTGACTTTTGCACGAGGTTGAGAAATTAAAATTGTTTGTATTTTAGTTCTTTCTCTTGGCAGTGAATTGTAGAAAATCACTTTTTTCGATGGATTCTCATCGCCGAGAGTTAATATTTTTTTCTTACCCACACTCGTATGATGAGATCTAAAATTAGTAAATTTTTGTTTTTTTAAAGAAAAAGGAGAACTTTTTTAATATATAAATAAAAAATAAATATATAAATATAAATACACACCTAACTTCATCGAGAGTAAAATATTCTTCATCGGAATTAATATGAAAATTCGATGGAGTTTTAAGTAAATGTGCCACTGATTGTTGAAGAACATGTGCTGAATTATTTAAAGCTGTTAACATTTTTTGTGCATAATCAATAACAACATTGTCTCTTGCCGTTCCTGTAACACCATCATGATGTTGAAATAAAGAATGCCATTTTCTAGCTTCACTAATTTTTGCCATAATTTTTTCATCAGCTAATTGATCATTTCCCTTCATCCAAGCAATTGTTGATAATAATTCTGCACTTCGAATTGAGCCCAAAAGTACTCGATCCATTCTTTTATGAAAAGGTCTGAAAAAAATCGAAATTATTAATTTTCGAGTCGAGTAATGAGCTGAAATTGAAATTTTTGATAAAAATAATAAACGAATTTTTTAATTAGTTAATTAATTAATTAATTTTAATTTTAATTCATCAGTTTGAAAATAATTGAATAATCAAAGACCTTTAATTGAAAATTTACAAATTAATTAAACATTTCAAGAATTACAAATGATTGTTGTTTTCAAATTACTTTCAAAATCTAAAAATTAAAGTTGAGTTTTTTGAAAATTGAATTTTTAAAAAAACATTACATGAATATTCTTCAAATAATTGGATTTTTAAAGAATTTTTACAGTTATTTTTAAAAAATAAGCCAAAATTGTCAAGGAATATTTATTACAATTTTTGAAGAAATTTTAATAGAAATTTTTCAAAAAAATAATTGAATCTTAATGCAGCTTAAAGTGTTTCAATATTTAGTTTTTAAAGTAATGTCATTTCAAGAATAAATCTAGTTGAAGATTTTAAAATTATTGAATTTTTTAACGATTTTAATGGAAAATTTAAAATATAATTAAATTTATGAGGATTTAAATAAAAAAAAATTGGATACAATTAAATTTTCAAAGAATTAAATTTGCAATTTTTGAAACGAATTAAGCTTCTTTAAGAATGACGGTTGGAATTTTTTAGAATTATTAAATTATTCAAGAGATTCAATTTGAAATTATTTTAAATAATTGAATCATCAAAATCTTGTAATTGGATCTTTTGAAAATAATTAATTTTTTAATAATTTTATCTTGAAATTTTTGGAAAGAAAAAATTCTTTAATTTTAATTGATTAGTTTGAAAATAATTGAAAAATCAAATACTTTAAATTGAAAATTTTTAAATTAATTTAACGTTCCAAGAATTACAGTTAAGATTATTGTTTTTAAAATAATTTCATAATCTAAAAATTACAGCTGAGATTTTTGAAAATTGAATTTTTAAAAATATTAATTGAATGTTCTTTAAATAATTGAATTTTTAAAGGTATTGATTAAAAATACTTTAAAAAATTGAGTTTTTAATACCTTTGACTGGAAAATTTTTAAATAATTGAATTTGTAGAGAATTTTAATTGAAAGTTTTTTAAAACAATTGAGTTATCAAAGAATTGTAGATAATTTTTAAAGTAATTGGAATTTTTTTGGAAAAATTTTTACAGGTATTTTTGAAATCAGCTGAAATTGTTAAGGAATATTTATTTCATTTTCTAAAGAAAGTTTAATAGAATATTTTCAAAAATAATTGAATCTTGTACTTCAATATTTAGTTTTTAAAGTATTGTAATTCTTAAAGAATTTTAGTTTGAAAATTTGAAAATTATTGGATTTTTTAATGATTTTAATGAAATTTTTTGAAGATAATTGAATTTATGATTCTTTAAATAAAAATGTTGAAAATAATTGAATTTTCGAAGAATTTTTAATTGCAATTTTTGAAACGAATTAAGTTTTTTGAATTAAAATTATTGAAGAGTGTTTAATTAGAATTTTTTTTTTTTATGAAATAATTGAATTTCCAAGAATTCAATTTTTAAGTATTTAAAATAATTGAATTTTTTAACGATTTTAATGGAAAATTTCAAATATAATTAAATTTATGACGATTTAAATAAAAATATTGCATATAATTGAATTTTCGAAGAATTTAATTTGCAATTTTTGAAATGAATTAAGTTTTTTTAATAATTACAGTTGGAATTTTTTAGAATAATTAAATTATTCAAGAGATTCAATTTGAAATTATTTTAAATAATTGAATCATCAAAATCTTTTAATTGGATCTTTTGAAAATAATTAATTTTTTAATAATTTTATCTTCAAATTTTTGGAAAGATAAAATTCTTTAATTTTATTTAATTAGTTTGAAGATAATTGAAAAATCAAATACTTTAAATTGAAAATTTTTAAATTAATTTAATATTCCAAGAATTACAGTTAAGATTATTGTTTTTAAATTAATTTCACAATCTAAAAATTACAGCTGAGATTTTTGAAAATTGAATTTTTAAAAATATTAATTGAATATTCTTTAAATAATTGAATTTTTAAATAATTATTTAATTATTTAATTATTTAATAATTTAAATACTTTAAACAAATTCAGTTTTTAATGCCATTGACTGAAAATTTTTTAAATAATTGAATTTGTAGAGAATTTTAATTTAAAGTTTTTTAAAACAATTGAGTTATCAAAGAATTGTAGTTAATTTTTAAAGTAATTGGAATTTTTTGAAAAAATTTTTCCAGGTATTTTTGAAATCAGCTGAAATTGTTAAGGAATTTTTATTTCATTTTCTAAAGAAAGTTTAATAGAAATTTTTCAAAAATAATTTAATCTTGTACTTCAATATTGAGTTTTTAAAATAATGTAATTTTTAAAGGAATTTTAGTTGAAAATTCGAAAATTATTGTATTTTTCAAATGAAAATTTTTAATAATTGGATTTATAAAGGTTTCAAATAAAAATGTTGGAAATTATTAAATTTTAGTATTAAAAAAATCATCTCTGCGCAAAAAAAAAAAAAAAAAAAAAAAAAGAATAATTCAAAGCCTTTTATTACCTTGAAGTATAATATCCACTCCAATAATGATCATCTCGATCAGAATATGTGAAAAAATCCCCAGAAAGAGTTGGAAATTCAATGGTTGCTTTCGATTTTCTCACAGAATTAAAATAATCCGTAAGCGTTCCAAATTGAATTTGACTATTTAATTGTTGATTTTTATTGATATAATCAAATAATTTCTGATAATTATCATATTGTGCGTCCCATTCTTGTGACTTAAATTAAAAAATTTCATTTAGAAACCAAAAAAAAATTTTTGAGAAAAGAAAAAAAAAATAAATCTCAACCAACCTGTGAATATCTAAAATCATCACCCAATGGAACAAGAAGAACATTTGTCTTATAAAGTTGCGCTTTCTTTCTATATTGATCCAATAAAAGAATTGCACGTTCGGCAACATTTGATTTTGTTATTGATTTTGGATTCACTTTCCATGGGCATGTGACGCCAAAATTTAATAAACGAAGAAAATCAAATTGACAACATACTTTTGGATCGGGTCCACATGTATGTGGAACATCATAACTATAAAATGGCATCATATGTGTAAATAATTCCGTTTTACCATCATTGTCCCACAATTGTCGCCAATTGAATTCTAAATTTTTTCTTCTTGACAATTCTTTTTTCACTGAATAATGAACTCTTTGAATAACCAAATTCTCCAATTGTGCACCTTTATAAAGCAATGGCATAGTTGGCGAAATACCAAATGGATCAATTGTCCATCCACTGTTTGGAACATAATCGAGATTTGCCTTTAACCATTGATGACCCTCGGTTAATTGTGTTAATTGTGCAATCCAATGTGAAACTGATTCATCGGGCATAACCCAACCACCGGAAACTAATTCCAATTGTCCATCATGAACAAGACGTCGCACTGTTTCTTTGGTATCTGAATTTTGTTCGTCCCACCTGCAAAAAAATAAAAAAAAATAATAATTCATTATATTTCACCAAAAGTAGTTGTAATATTTTACGAAAAATCTTATTTGCCACGCTATCAGAAAATTTGAAAATTCTAAAAAAAAAATTAAGGAATTTTCAGGGTTTCTAACTAATTTCTAATTTTATTTGGAAAACCAAATAAAATTCCAAAACTTTTCCAGATTAAAAATTTTTTGTATTATATTAATAAATTTTAATGACAAAAATAAATTAAATTATTTTTAATTTTTTTTTTCATTAAAAACTATTGATGAATAAATTTAATTTTTGGAATTTTTAAGCCCCGGATCAAATTTAAGGGGGGAAAAAACAACGTTTTAGTCGATTTACATTACAAGAAAAAATTATTATTTATAATTATTATTATCAAAAAATTGTTATTGAAATTAAAATAAGATTTATTCTCTAATCTGATTTATGCGAATTATTTGAATTCAAGTTTAAAAAAATGTTTTGAAATAATTTTCAAAGAACTTAATTAAAATATTATTGAAAAAAATGAATTTAGAAACAAATTTTAAAAATAACTTAAAAATTTAATAAAGTAGCAGTTAACATTTTTAAAGAAATAATTGAATTTTTGGAGATTTATAAATAAAATTTTTGTAAATTTAAATTTGCTGAAGATTTTTTTTTTTATAAGCTTTTGATAATAATAATTTGAATTTCAGAGAATTTTGAATTGAAAAATGTTTTAAAAAAATTTAATTTTCAAAAATGTTGATTAAATTTATCAGAAATAAAATTAATTTTCCGTAGAATTTTTGAAATAATTAAATTTTTGAAGATTTAAATTTAAAATTTTTAGAAATAATTGAATTTCAGGTGATTTTAAATAGAAACTTTCATAAATTTTAATTGATGATTTTTTTTTTAAACAAATTTTAGACAATAATTGAATTTAAACGAACTTTCATTTGAAAAATATTGGAAATAATAAAAATTTAAAAAAAAAACTTGATTAAAATTATTGAAAATAATTAATTTTGCGAAGAATTCTAGTTAATAATTTAATTTAAATCAAATTTAAATTTCCAATGTTCCAACTTTCAATAAATTCTAATTTTTATTGATTAAAATAAATTTATCCATTAAAATTTTAATCAAATGAAAATTTAATCGATCAAAATTTTAAAAATAATTCAACGAAATTTTAATTAGTTTTTTTTTTTTGTTTTAAATTATCAAAATTTGAATTGATTTAAATTTAAAAATTATCCAAAGTTTAATTTATCCACATTTTTAATTGATTTAAGCTTTAAATCGTCGAAATTTTATTTCAAACAAAGTTGAATTGATTTATAGGTATTTCAAATTTTATCAAAAATTTCAATTTCTCCAAAAAATTTTAATTAATTTACGTTTATAATTATTTTGAATTTTTAATTTCTCCAAATTTTGAATAATTTTGTTTTTTAATTTATCGACATTTTAATTATTGATTTATGTTTCAAATTATTTGGTTTAAATTTTAATTAATTTCAATTTAAAATTATCATTAATTTGTCTACATTTCAATATTGAATTAAGTTTCTAATTCATTGAATTTTATTATTATCTATATTTTAATTGATTTAAGTTTTTAAATTATTGGAATTTAAATTTATATCCAAATTTCAATTAATTTAAATTTTAATTAAAGTTTTAAATTATCGAAATTTTAATTTGTCCGCATTATAATTTAATTAAGCTTCTAATTAATCGAATTTTATTTCATCTAAATTTTCATTGATTTAAATTTTAAATTATTGGAATTAAAATTTGTCCAAATTTTAATTAATTTAATTGTTTAAAATTTTTATTTGTCCCCATTTTAATTGAATTAAATTTCTAATTATCTAAATTTCAATTCAGTTTTGAATTTCAATTTTTCAAAATTTATTTTTTATACATTTTTGTAACTACCAATGCTTCATTCATTAACGAAAAATTTTCAATACAAATTTAGTTATTTTTATTTAAAATTATTGCTGAAATTATTGACTTAAAAAATCAACATTTTTAAAAAATTATTATTATTATTATATCATCGATATTATTAAATTTATCATTTAAGTATTTAACAAACAAAGAATGAACTTTTGAAAAATATTTTGTAAATAAAACTAAATTTGATTTAATTCAATTTTATTTTTTTTTCAATTTAAAAAAACGATAATTTTTATTAAACAAGAAAAATAGAGAAACATATAAGAAATATATGAAATTTTTTTTTTTTTTTTGTTAAAAACATACCACAATTTGAAATATGATATTTCGGCCCAAATGAATTTTCTTCGTTTATCCTTTGCCAAATGTGTCACCATATTATTTAAAATTCTTTGCGTTTGAAATGTATAATAATGTTCAAATGTACTAAGCCATCCAGGATCATTGTGTGAATGTGGAACAACAAATACTTTAAGTTTTCTATTATGATGCCATTCTTTTTCATCGTACGTTATATTCCATCCTTGTTTCCAAACACCACCATTTGGATTGTCAAATTTCAATTGTTTATAGACATTTAACATTTGTATATCAACTCGTGGAGTTTTTGTCATATCAAAATTACACGTTAAACTTTCATCCAATTCATTATTATTATTATTATTATTATTATTTAGCAACAAATTTGAATCAATTTTTCTTTCATTTTTCAAATTTGATAAAACATTTTCTTTTAATTGTGAATCTAATTGAAAATTTCTCGCTTCATTGTTATGATTTTTCCATTCTTTTTCTAATTTAGCAAGTCTATTCTCCAAGTGTAACCAATGATTCTGTTAAAATTAATAACAATAATATTAAAGGAGAAATAAAACAGCAAAGACGTTTTTTTTTTTTTTAAATTATTATTTCCCCTTATTCTAAGTTTTATTAAAACATCAATTTTTATACCTTAGGATATTTTAATAGAAATTAGAAAATAGATTTTTAAATAAAAATTCTTACATCTTTTACAGAATTCTTGAATTCATGTCCCAGGGGAAAAAGTGTCACATCCAACATTAAATAAATCATAACACAACATGCTATTAGTAATCCAGCTACCAAAGCCGCGATAATTTTTCTAATTTTCATATTTATTTTTTTTAAATTTGACACGTCACTATTAACATTAAAAAAAAAGAGGAATGTTTGCCCCAATAAAAAATTAGAGTAAATTATACACAAATAACAAATGACATACAAAATTTTTGAATTGGAATAAATAATGTATAGTCAACATATTTTATCATTATTATTTTTTGTTAGTTAAAAAAAAAAAAATAATTATATTTCCCCCCTGTTTGATATTGTTTTAATCATATCACAATTTTGCCTACCAACACACACATGCATAATTATAATTTTTAAGGAGGTTCCACAATAAATGCAAACGGCAAGTGCAAAGAGGGAAATTTGTCCAGTGCGGCTTAAGCGAAATTATTGTGTTTTGTGCTTTATCTTTCATTAAAAAAAAGGAACTGTGAACAGATACTAATTGTTTACATATGCGACATAAATTAGTGTTTTAGGTTATTTTCTAAGTGAAAAAATTTGTTTCTTTTAATTTTGCATCCAATTAATCAATGAAAAATGACAGAAAATGATCCAAAACCACGTGAATTTAAGCTCGATGCTGATTCTGAACTTCGTTTTGAAATTGAATCAAAAAATGAAAAGGTTCTAATGGAGGTAAATTATTTGTAATTTTCGTTACAATGTCACGTGAAAAAAATATTCTTATTAGTAATAATATAACAAATTATGCATTTTAGTACCTAAATAAATTTAACTTTCCTTGTAAAATATTAAAAAAAAAAAAAAGAGAACATAACCCTATTTTTTCGATGTTTTTTTTTCTAGTTAAAAAATGGATTAGGTGAAATTTTCGGTACAGAATTAGTGAAGGGTAAAAAATATGAATTTTTACCGGGTGCAAAAGTTGCAATATTCACATGGCATGGTTGTACAATTGAATTAATTGGTAAAACTGATGTAACATATATTGCAAAAGAAACGCCAATGATAATTTATTTAAATTGTCATGCAGCATTAGAACCAATGCGCGATATTGCCGAAAAAGGTGAAACACAAGGACCAATAACAATGATTGTTGGCCCATGTAATGTGGGAAAATCAACATTAACAAAAATATTATTAAATTATGCCGCACGAATGCATAGACGACCAATATTTGTTGATTTAGATGTTGGACAAGGTCAAATTAGTATACCAGGAACAATTGGTGCCTTATTAGTTGAAAGACCATCGAGTGTTACTGATGGATTTAGTCAACAAGCGCCGCTTGTTTTTCATTTTGGTCATAATTCACCGCAATATAATATTGAACTTTATAATTTAATTGTTACTAAATTGGCAAAAGTATGTCGTGATCGTCTTCAAGCAAATAAAAAAGCAAGAGCATCGGGTGTTGTTATTAATACTTGCGGTTGGGTTAGAGGCGATGGTTATAAATTATTAACACACGCTGCACAAGCATTTGAAGTTGATGTTATATTAGTTTTGGATCAAGAGAGATTGTATAATGAATTAAAGGACGATATGCCCGATTTTGTTAAGGTAAATTATTTTCATTTTTTGGAAATTAAAAAAAAAATTCACATTTTTTTTTTTGAATTTGCTTCTTTTTTTTTAAACGAAATTTTTATTTTACAGAAATTCAATTTACACAAATTGTTTTAATAATTCTAATTTAACAGATTTTTAATTTGGGACGGTACGAATTGAACACAAATAAACTCTACACAAGAAAATATTGCACCGTTAACTGTACACGAGTCAATTGTCAACAAAATTAAAATAAAAATACATTCTTCACAATTAAATACTACATCGAAAAACCCTAAACAATAAACTATTTACTAGAAAATTATCTTCATAAACTCTACACAAATAAACTCAACATATTAAGATTTAGAATTAGAAAAATGAAAAAAAAAAAAAAATTTATAATTCTACACAAATAAATACTACATCAGTAAATTTTACACAGCTATAAAAAATAAAAAATTAAATTTGACACAATTAAATTTTACACATGAAAATAATATTTTCTTTATTTCCGATTATTTATAAAATTCTACATAATTAAACTCAACATTTTTAAATTCTACACATCAAAATAAAAATATTTTAATCCTACACAAATAAACTGTACACATTCAAAATTCAACATATTAAGGGGAGGGACCGCTGAAATTTTAACACATCAAAATTAAAGCTGTTTAAGGGTGGTCAATTTTTTTCTGACAATATTAATTATTTAAATGTATAATATATCATGAAAAATTGAAAAACTATAAATTTGTTAATAATTTTTAAAATCAAATTCAAAATTCTCGAAAATTTAAACTTCTCTCACAATTTTAATTATTTTTGACTGCCGATTTTTTTATACGCTTGTTTCATGATTCTAAACAATCAAGCGTATGGATTTTGAAAAATTTCAATTTTTTCAAAAAATGAAAATTTTGAAAAATAAAAATATTTGTAAAATTGTTAAAAATTACCTTTTGTTGTTTTTCTCAGTAGAATAAGATTTTTGGTTGAAAAAAAATTGTTGAAAAAAATTATTACCCCTAAACAAGATCAATTTTGATTGCTTTCAATTTTAGTGGTAATTTTGAAAAAATTCAACTACTTCCACAATTTTTATTATTTTTTATTGTCGAATTTTTTTTACGCTTTTTTCACAATTTTAAACAATCAATCGTATGAAATTTAAAGAAATTTAATTTTTCCAAAAAATAAATTTTCTAAAATGGCTAAAAAAAATTTTTTTTGAAATTTTAATAATTTATAATAATTTTGGATCCTAAATTATGCCAGAAAAAAAATTGACACTCTTTAACAATAATAACTTCAGTAGGCTGAAATTTCACCGATCCCTCCCCTTAAATGAAAATAATTAAATTCAAAACGAGAAAACTCTACACAAGAAAATACTCCACCGCTAACTGTACACGAGTAAATTCTCAATAAAATAAAATAAAAATATATTCTACACAATTAAATACTACATCGAAAAACCCTACACAATAAACTATTAACTAGAAAATTATCTCCATAAACTCTATACAAATAAACTCAACACATTAAGATTTAGAATTAGAAAAATAAAAATATTATTTTTTATAATTCTACACAAATAAATATTACATTAGTAAATTCTACACAGCTATAAAAAATAATAAATTAAATTCAATTTTCATTTAATATGTTGAATTTTGAATGTGTACAGTTTATTTGTGTAGAATTAAAATATTTTTATTTTGATGTGTAGAATTTATAAATGTTGAGTTTAATTGTGTAGAATTTTATAAATAATCGGAAATAAAGGAAATATTGTTTTCATGTGTAAAATTTAATTGTGAAGAATGTATTTTTATTTTAATTTTGTTGACAATTGACTCGTGTACAGTTAACGGTGCAGTATTTTCTTGTGTAGAGTTTATTTGTGTTGAATTCGTACCGCCCCTTTTAATTTATTTAATTTATAATTTAGCATAATTTTCATTGAAAAGAATTTTAATGGGAATTTTTTTTTTTTTTCAAACAAATTTTTGTCATAATTTTTATTTGTTGATAAAATTTTTAAAATGACAAATTTGCATATTTAAATTACAAATTGCTGAACAAATAATCGATTTTTTAAAATAATTTCTGATTTGTCAATTTGAAAAATTATACGAAAATTTGTTTGTTAATTTTTTATTCTGTCATTTTCAATTTCGGCAAAAATTAAGATTTGTCATTTTAAGAATTCAAATTAATTATTAAATTAACTAAAATTAATTAAATTTCAAAAAATTAAGATTCGGTAAATTCAAAATTCTATCTTTTAAAAATCGAAATTGAAAATTCTTTTCAATGAAAATTTTGCTAATTTAAAAATCGATTAAATTTAATTATAATTCTTTATAATAAAAAAAAACTGGATAAGACAAAAATTATCTATTATATCATAATAGAATTAAATTTCTATTTAATATAAAATAATCAAATATTTTTTTTTAAAAAAAATAAACTTTAGGTTGTACATTTACCAAAAAGTGGTGGTGTTGTTGAAAGAGGACAATCGCAACGTGCCGAAACAAGAGATTCGGCAGTAAGAGAATATTTTTATGGTTTAAGAACGCCACTTTATCCACATAGTCTTGAAATTAAATTTTCTGAAGCGAGACTCTATAAAATTGGTGCTCCAATTTTACCAACATCTTGTATGCCATTAGGAATGACGGCTGATGAAAATATGACAAAATTAGTTGCCGTTACACCTGGACCAAATTTATTACATCATTTATTATCAATTTCATTTGCTAATTCAAATGAAGACGATATTATACAAACAAATGTTGCTGGTTTTGTTTGCGTGTATGTAAAAAAAAAGAAATTTATATAAAAATGTATTATCAAAAAAAAAAGAAAAATTTGTCGCATAAATTAAAACAATTTTTTGTTTCTTTGCAGGACAAATGTGGATGTTGAGAGACAAACGTTGACTGTATTAAGTCCACAACCAAAGCTACCTCAGACAGTATTGTTGGTTTCTGACATACAATTTATGGATAGTCATTAGAAAATATACCATTATTTTTTTTTTTAAATGGTATGAATTAATTAGTTTATTTTTTAAATGTTTTTTTTTTCAACAATCACTATTTTTTTGTTAAGTGTAAATATATTTTAATAAACTTAATATTTCTACGTTGAAAAAATTATTAATTTTATTTCATTTACTCTAAACGTATATTATTTATTTAAATTTAAATTTATTTATTATTTTATTTAGCACTTATATTATTATTTTATACTAATATTAATTATACTATTATTAAATTATACTAATTTTAATTATTATTATTTTTATTATATTATTATTATTATTTCTCTCCATGTACATCTCTGGATTTTTACAAATTAATTGCCCTCTTAATTACAAAAGTAAAAATTAAAATAGAATAGTAAAATAGTAGAATAATAAAATAATTAATACCGTTCTTAGGGCTAATATTATTATTTTTATTATTATATCAATATTATTTGAATTGTAAATTTCGAAAAGGACTCAATTCGGTTTTTTTTTTTAATTTTATCGGAGACAGAAAAAAATGTTTTTTTTTTAAATAGTGTTAATTAAAATTTATTTCTATAATTACTAAACATTATTATTATTTCTTTAAAATAAAATCTAACTGGCTGCATTGTTATTATTAATAATTAAGCGTCATTAGTTATCATTTAGTAATTTGTTTTTAATATTAAAATTTTTTAAATATTTAAAAAAAAAATTATATTTGATATTTTTTACATTTAATTTTGTATATTCTAAATTAAAAAAAAATTCTTTGCCGAAAATATCAAATCCAGTTAATAGAATATTTAAAAACGTATTGATTTGAAAAATTTTACTATTAATTATAAAAAAGTTATTGTATTATTATTATTATTATTATTATTGTATTATCAATAACTTTGTAATAATTTATTTAGTAAAATATTTCCCAAATATTTCGTATCAATTGATACGTTTTTAAATATTTTATTAACTGTTTTATGATAGTTTTTACACAAAAATTTTATTTAAAATATATTGAGTTTCAAAAATCAAAATATTTCTTTTTTGGATATTTTTAGTTAATTTTATTAAATTATTAATTTTTAACAATTAATTATTTAATTAAATTAAATTATTAATTTATTAAATTAGTTTTATAATGAAAAGTATAAAATTTTTTTTTGAATTTTCCTTCTATTTAACACCTTAAGCCTATTTCATATTCTAAGACAACGATAATAATCGATTGTCGACAACCAATCAAATTTAAGCATTTCGTTTTTACACACATTTTTTTTCTTCTTCTTTCCCAAGTACATGAGTTACCAAACCCTGTTGTGATCGTAACTAAAACTTTTGAGTAAAAGTCAGTAGTGTGGTCATCGGGTAATTAATTGGGTAAAAAATTTTTAGGGCTAGGCTGAATGTTTACTGTAAAAAGAAAACTTGACAGATGTTTTTCGTGTTCTTTGTGATAAATTACTCATTCATTAAAATTATAACTTGTGAGTTAACCTAATTGCAAAGTACGACACAGTTTCATTTTTCAATATTTTTTTTTTTTTTTTTTCTTGCTCAAACAACAGGATCGTGAAGTGCGAAACATCCGGGGCACGGGTGTCACCTTTTTTTTTTTTTTTTATTAGTAATATTAGTTATATAGTGATAGTATAATTTGAAAAAAAAGAGTGATCATAATAATAGTGCTGGCAACAATTATAATAGTGAGATCTCTCAAAGTGCAAAAGAAAAAAAAAAAAAAGAAAAGAAGCTATTGAATCTAGTGCATCAAAGAAGAAATAAAAATGGCAAAAACTTATGATTATTTATTTAAATTGCTTTTGATTGGAGATTCTGGCGTGGGCAAAACTTGTGTATTATTTAGATTTTCCGAAGATGCGTTTAATACGACCTTCATATCCACCATTGGTATGTATTTTTATCTTAAACTGAGATATGTATAATTTTGTAATTATATCTATATAGTTTTATTCTATTTATCAGTTTCATTTAATGATTATTGTACAATAATAAATGTAATTAAGAGAATCATGTGCCTTTAGATTATTATTAACTTGAATTTAATTGTTCAAAAAATTAAGACACTGATGATACATTGTTCTTGAATTAATTACGAAAACTTATTCGTCATAATTATATGCCTTAGTCTATTCGGAAAACATAACCTTAAAATTAATTTTTTCGTTATTTTTTATTCTTATAAATAATATAAATAATATTTCCGTGTATTGATAATTTTCGTTATAATTTTTTTTTATATTTATTTTTTTATAATCCAAATTTTTGAAATTAATATTTATTAAATTTTCACTAGGAATTGATTTTAAAATCCGCACAATAGAATTAGATGGGAAAAAAATCAAATTGCAAATATGGTAAGTTTATAATTATAAAAAAAAAAAATGAAATAAAATGTAAAGTTCGATTTTTAAAAAAATGTTTTTTTTTTTAAAATAATTTTCAAAAAAGGGACACAGCGGGTCAAGAGAGGTTTCGTACAATAACCACAGCTTATTATCGTGGTGCAATGGGTATAATGTTAGTTTATGATGTAACCAATGAAAAAAGTTTTGAAAACATCAAAAATTGGATTCGTAATATTGAAGAAAATGCATCGGCGGATGTGGAAAAAATGCTTTTAGGTAATAAATGTGAACTCACTGACAGGAGACAAGTCTCAAAAGAAAGAGGCGAACAACTTGCAGTTGAATATGGCATAAAATTTATGGAAACATCCGCTAAATCAAGTATCAATGTTGAAGAAGCTTTTTATACCTTAGCACGTGACATTAAAGCTAAAATGGAAAAAAAATTGGTGAGATTTAATTTTTAATATATATTTATTTTTCTTTTTAACCATTGGTGGAAGTTTTAATTTTAAATCATTATTATTATTTTTAACTAAAATAATTTTCTAAATGAATTATTTTTCAATAATTTTAATGAAATTCCTAATAAATTCAATTATTTTAAAATATTTTTCAATTCATTTATGATATAAATAATAATTAATAATAATAAATAAATAATTTTATGAAAATTCAATAATTGTTAAAAATTTGAAAAAACAAATCAATAACTAAAATTTAAATTCAAAATCATTTGAAATTCAATTATTTTTAAAAATTTCAATTTAAAATCTTCTAAAATTTGAATTTCCCATGTAAAACTTTTTGAAATTTAATACTTTCAACTATAATTCTTCTAAAAATTCAATTATCTAAAACTATTTTTCAAAAAAATATTTTAAAAAATTCAATAATTGCTTGAAATTTCTAAAAAAGAAGAAATTAAATAAAATTACAAAAAATTTCAATTCAAAATGAATGAAATTCAGTTATTAACAAAAATCTGAACTTAATAATTTAATAATTAATAATAATTTCAACCAATAATTTACATCAAGTTCTTCAAAAAATATAATTAAAAAAAAACAATTATTTAAAATATTCTTTTAATTAAAAATTCCATAAAATTTAATGATTAAAAAAAATTAAAAAAATTTTCAGTAATTAAAATTTTAAAAAACTTTCAATTCGAAATCTTCTGAAATTCAAATTTTAACTGCAAACTATTCTGAAAATTCAATTATTTTTTAATAAATTTGATATTTCTTTAAAAATTCAATTAAATATTTTTAAAAAAAGTTTCAAATAAAAACTTAAATTATCAGAAATTAAAAAAAAAAAACTAAAGCAGTTTAAAATTGCAAATTTATTTCAAATTTAAAATCATCTGCAATTTAATTATTTATTTTAAAAATTTCTCTTTTTTTTAAATTTTGAAAATACAAAATAAAAATGTAAAATAAATAAAATGTTTAATTTAATTACAATAAAAAATCTACTTTTTTTTTTTAATGTAAATCGACTAAAACGATTTTTTTTCCGCCTTAAAGTCGATCCGAGACTTGGAATAAATTGAAAAAAAAAAAATTTGGTAAAATTTAAAAATATTTAACAAAAATACATTTGCGAAAAGAAAATAACAATTCTTTCTGTTTCCCATGTCTTTCTCTCTGTGGTGCGGGTCTATATTTACAGAAGGTAATTCTATCTTGGAATTGTTGGTTACAATTTTTTGAGCATGCTTTAATTTTTCTTTTTCTTTTTTTACTAAAAATTTAAATTCAAATACTAACTAAAAGTTTATGTATTTTTTTTTTTTTAAAAGCAAAAAAAAAAACTCAGCAGCTTTATAAAACTTATTCAAATTGCTATAATAAAAAATTGTATATATATATTCTTTTTTGGGTACTATGTAAAAAATTTTCAAGCTTTCATCGTTTCTAACCATTTTTCTTTTTCAGTTTTACGCAAATGTTCCTTTTTTTGCATGTCTTTGTTTTTTTTAAAAATAATTTAAAAATAAATTTGAAAAACAATTGAGAAGTTTAATTAAATAAAATTGAAATTTAATAGGAGGCATCAAATCCACCAAAAGGAGGAGGTCATCAATTAAAAGCAATGGAACCACAAAGAAAACCTGCCAGTTGGTTTGCACGTTGTTCTATACTTTGACCCACCAAAATTATTGTTGAATTCATTAAGGCACGATTAATTGCGACGAACTCTATAATTATTATTATTATTATTATTATTAATATTATTATCAATTACTTCTATTTTCTTATGTTCTCATTATCGGACAAAAATTTATTGGCAACATGGACATTTCTTCATATCGAGGATTCGTCGCTTTTTATGCCTTGGACATTGAACCACTTTTGTGTTATTTAATATAAAAAAGAAAAAAGAAAAATCAAATATGACGATTTATAATAGGAATAAAGCGTAATTGGAATTAATTTTCCATCACATTTTTCAATGCAGTTAAATTCCATAAATGCGCAGTATCATTTTTTTTTTTTTTTTTTTTCATTGGTTCACTGTTAACAAGAAAAAAATTTTTCTTTTTACTAAATTTATTGTAATTGACCGCAAGAAAAAAAAAAAAAATTCCACATTTGTTACCTTATATAATATTGGAGATAAAATTTTATAAAAAAAGAAAACCTAGTGAGTTCACGCGAAAATAATGAACTAGATAATAGAGAACTACGATATATATAGATATATAAAAAAATTTAATAAATCGAAATCTTGTGATTGTGTACGAAAAACGAAAATGGATTTTTGAGATCTAAAACAATTTTACACGAGCTTATAAGATTTTAAAATCCCCACCCCACCTGAACACAATCCATTTTTTCTCTCATTTTGCAAATTCCATCTATTATAGTATATAAATAACGAATTAATGATCAAAAAAAAAATAAATAAATAAATGTAAATAATAAGTCTCGAAAAAAAAAAATATTAATCTCCTTTAATTAAATGGTAATAAATGTTTTTTATGCTAAATAAATTGTTTTTATATTTTTTAAGAACATTGATATAAAAAAAAACAAAAACAAAAATGAAAAAAAAATCAACGATATATAAAATAAGACTAATTTAACAGTTTTACTTATTATATACTGTTATATTTTTAATAGCTTTTTAATTAGAAAAATCTTTAAATAAGAATTTATGATTTATTAGGCCTGCCGATTTTTTTTTATCATTTAAATAATTAGCTGATTTTTTTTTTAACATGGTACTGCATAACGAAGCAATCATACCGTGATAACGGTTCTAGTTTAATTAAAAAATTAAATAAAAAAAAAAACGTGACGTGATGCAAAATCACGTTGGTATGGGTAGAATTTAGAACGACTTATTTTTATTTGGGTTTTCACTATATATATTATTAATTTTAAAAAGCGCATCAAATTAACATCTCTTAAACCCAAGAAATTTTTTTTTTTTAAATCTGTTTCGACGATTTTAATCGAAAAATTTACAAATAATTATAATACATTTTATATATTAATCTTCAATGTTTGTCTATTAATTAAATCCCTATTTTTGTAATTCCTGGATAAATGCTTCCATTTGTTTATCTAAACATTCATCACTATCTGATTCGTTTGTTTCATCATTTAAATTTATTTGAATCTGAAAATATTTAATTATATTGAAATAAATTGAAAATTAAAAACTATATTTTCTATTTATAATATCAGGCTTCGAAGTATTAAACTTCTTTACTTTTTTGATATTTTTTTTTTTTTTTTGGGGCTGGGTTATTTTTTTTTTTAATTAATTTTTACTAGGCACTACTAAATGCTTTTTTCTAAATAAATGTAAAAAAAAAATTGCCAAACTTTTGTAGTTTTTTAGGTTTATTAATTGATAATTAAGATAAAACTCTTGATAGTTGTTCATACGAATTTTCCTAATACAATTATTTCAAAAAATCTTCATTAAAATTTTTTTTGAAAATTAAACTATTTTTTAAATATTAATAAAATAATAATAATAAAATAAAATAAAAATAAAAATAAAATAAATAAAATTTCTTACATTATTTCAAAAAAAAAATTGCAATTAAACGCTCTCCAATAATTTTAATTTAAAAAACTTTATTCGTTTCAAACATTGCAATTAAAATTTTTTCGAAAATTAAATTATTTTCATTTAAATCATCATAAATTTAATTATTTTCGTAAATTTTCATTAAAATTCTTGAAAAATACAATAATTTTCAAATCTTCAATTAAAATTCTTTCAAAATTACATTATTTTAAAAACTAAATATTAAAATAATTTAGGATTTAATTATTTTTGAAATATTTCTATTAAACTTTATTCAAAAATTGAAATAAATATTCCTTAAAAATTTCAGCTAATTTGAAAAATAACTGCAAAAATTCTTTGAAAATTCAATTATTTCAAAAATTTTCATTTATCAACATTATCATAATTCAATTATTTTCGAAAATTTTCATTAAAATCCTTGAAAAATCCAATAATTTTTTTAAATCATCAACGAAAATTCTGTGAAAATAAAATTAATTTAAAAACAAATTATATTGAAATATTTAAAAATTTAAATTTCTTTAAAATTCTTTGAAAGCTCAATTACTTTAAAAATTTGTTAAAAATGCAATTATTTAAAAAAAATTTCAATCAATTTCTTTAAAAATTCAATTATTTAAAGAATTTACAATGGCTTTAAAAATTTAATTATTTTCAAAAATCTCAACTATAATAATTCTTAGGTTGTGAAATTAATTTGAAAACAACAAATCTCAATTGTAATACTTAGAATGTTAAATTAATTTGAAAATTTGCAATTAAAGCTCTTTAATATTATTCAATTATTTTCAAACAGATGAATTAAAATTAAAAAATTCAAAATTATTTTTTACAAAAATATCAAATTTAGTTCATTAATAAAATTAATTATTTTCAAAAATTCTAATTAAAAGTTTTCGATAATTCAATTATTTAAAATAATTTCAATTAAATCTCATGAAAAATTTTAATTATTCTTAAAATTTTCAATTATAATTCCTCGAAAATTTAATTATTTTTCAAAAATGGCAATTTAAGATCTTTGGGTTTTTTTTTCTGTTTTAACTTTACTTTAAGCATGATACTTTTTTTGAAACTACACTTCGAAGACTGATAATTTTTTTAAAATGAAAATTATAAATATTATAATCTAATTTTTATAATATTATTAAAAATATATATATTATAAAAATTTGTATATTATTATTATACTTTGGGAAGAAGAATATTTTCCATTTTATTTAATTCATCTTGATTTTGTTTTTTAATTTCAATGAATTTTGTTTGAAAATATTTAATTTTTTCCATTTGTTCACGTTCACGATGATGAACACACATTCCCATTACTAATAAACGTTGATTAAGTTTATTCATCTCTGTGAATGATTGTCGAAAATAATTATATTCCTGTTTAAGTTTCGAAATATCGCTAAAATAAAAAAATAAAAAAATAAATAAATAAAAACAAAATAATTTCATTAACGTTCTGCTAATTTTGATATAAAAATCTAATTTTTTCGACTATCAAAGACAATTTAATTTTAATTAAAAAAAAAAAAGAATAAAAAAAATATCTTCCTATAATTTTAAAATACATAAAGGTAGAGGAAAAAAATCAAATCTTTTACAAAAATAAATAAGGATATTAAAATTAAAAACTCACCAAACAAAATTTAAACATTTATTATTTTTTTAATAAAAAAAAAATTAAAAATGTTCTTTATAGTCGAAAAACTGATTTTTATTTAAAAAAAAAAGGAATTTTAATAACACGAAAGTGTAAATAAAAAAAAAAGTTTAAAAATAATTGTTAATTTTTTTTTTTTTTTTTTCGTTACCTATTTAAATTTTGAAGAATATTTCCCATTTCATTTTTTAATTCTTCTACAATTGATACAATTGAATTGTTAAAAGTATCTTTTTTCAAAATTTCTTCCTCTAAATATTGAATTTTAATGGATAATTGTAAATTTTCCACTTTATTATTTTGTGCTTGTTGCAAAAGTGAATCACGTTCTTTAACTGCCGAATTACAATTGACTTGTAATTTAATTTTTTCTTGTTGATAATTTTGTTTATCTCTTTCCAATAATTCAATTTTTTCATGAAAAATTTTTAATTGTAATTCTAATTCTCTAATTTGTCTACGATTATTGTCTAAAATTATTCGTTCATTGTATAATAATTGACGAGTTTCATTTAAATTAATATTCATTTTATCTAAAGCATCCTATAAATTTTAATAAATATATTTACAAATCTACAATTTTACAATTAAATTTATAAATTACATTAAAAAAAAAAAAAAAAAAAAAGTATAAAAAATTTAGTTTTTTTTGGTATTTTAAAAATAATACCGCTTTCCATTGTAACTCCTGTGCTTTTGCTTTTAGTAAAGTTTCCAAATGATAAATATCTGAAATTTGAAACTCATTTCTCACATCACTGTTTTGTTGCATTTTTTTTTTATTTTACGTAAATGATATTAAAAAATATAATTAGTTCAATATTTTTTTAAATTTTCAGAATTTTTATTTTCAACAGGGTTGGGTTGGGAAATAGACGAAAAGTCCTAAAACCTTCGAAATACGACACTTTATTGTATATGCGCCTTTAGTTTATTTTTTCCCCATAGAGATGCATTTCTATACAAATATATAGTCGAAGCCATTCCACACACGTGGTGATTATCTACTCCAGTTGTCAAAAAATTAATAATTTTTTTCTCTCTCAAAAAAAAGCAAAATAAATCCATAAAAAATGGTATTGGATTTAGATCAGTTTCGTGAAGATAAAGGATTTAATCCTCAACTTATTCGCGATTATCAAAAGAAACGATTTAAAGATGTTGGATTAGTTGATTCGGTTGTGACAAAAGATACAATTTGGCGACAGCTGCGTCATAAAGCTGATTGTTTCAATAAATTAAAAAATCTTTGTAGCAAAGAAATTGGTGAGAAAATGAAGAAAAAAGAATCCCTCGGAAATGATGAATTACCACCGCAGGAAATAATTGATAATTTAAGTCAACTTACATTAGATCAACTTAAAACATTAACAATTAATCAAATTAAAAAACTTCGCGATTATTTGGATAAGGAAATTGAAAATAATAATAAAAATTTAATAAATACTGAAACAGAAAGAAATGAAGCACTTAGAGAAATTGGTAATGTACTTCATGATTCAGTTCCAATTAGTAATGACGAAGATGAAAATAAGGTTAGTAATTATTGAATTTATAAAATAATTTTTTATTTAAATTTAAAATATTTATATAATAAGACTTTATTTTTTCTTTTATTTAAAAAAAAATGTTAACTAAAATTCTTTAAATTAATTATTTTTAATCATTTTTATTATTGAAATTCAATCTTTCTTTTCAAATTTTAATCGTTCATTACAAATTCAAATATCTTCGACTATTTTTCAATTAAATAGTTAATTGTTTAAAATTAAATTAAAATCACTGTAATTTCAATTATTTTATTTATTTATTATTTATTTTCAAAAATTTCTATTCAAAATCTACTAAATTTTAATTATTTTTAAAATTTTCGATCTTAAACTTTTTGAAATTTAATATTTTAAATTTAAAATATTTCCAAAATTCAATTATATTCAATAATTTTTATTTATTTATTTATTTACAAAAATAGTTGAAAATTATATTTTGAATATTGAATATTTTTTGAAAATTCAATTACTTCAAAAATTTTTTAATTTAAAACCCTCTAAAATTGAATTGTTTTTAAAATTTTCTGAAATTGAATTATTTTTAAAAATTTCAGTTAGAAATCTTTCAAAATTCAATTATTTAAAAAAAAATATTTATTTTAAATTAATTGTTAAATTATTGTCAACCAATAATTATTATCAAATTTTTCGAAAATTCAATTAACTGAAAACCATTTTCAATTAAAACTATTAAATTAAAATTTTTTTTTATAATTTCTAATAAATTCTTCAGTTACCGAAAATTCAAAAAAAAATTTGAATTTCAATTATTTTCAAAAATCTGAATTGTAAATCTTTGAAAATTCAATTATTTAAAAAAAAATCTTTTTCTAAATTTATATGATAAATTATTTTTAATTTCGAAAAATTCAATTATTTTCTAAAATTTAACAAAATCTTTTGAAATTCAGTTATTTATAAAAAAATTTCAATTGTAACGCTTCCAAAATTTATTTATTTTTTTTTAATAATTTCAAAATTTCTTTACAATTTCAATTATTTAAAAAAAAAAATTTTGAACTAAAATTCTTTAAATTAATAATTTTTAATAATTTTAATTATTGAAATTCAATCTTTCTTTTCAAATTTTAATCGTTCATCACAAATTCAAATATCTTCGACTATTTTTTAATTAAATAGTTAATTGTTTAAAATTAAATTAAAATCACTGTAATTTCAATTATTTTATTTATTTATTATTTATTTTCAAAAATCTGAATTGTAAATTTTTGAAAATTCAATTATTTTTAAAAAAATCTTTTTCTAAATTTATATGATAAATTATTTTTAATTTTGAAAAATTCAATTATTGTCTAAAATTTAATAAAATCTTTTGAAATTCAGTTATTTATAAAAAATTTCAATTGTAACGCTTCCAAAATTTATTTATTTATTTTTTTATTAATTTCAAAATTTCTTTAAAATTTCAATTATTTAAAAAAGTTATAAATAAAAACAGTAAAATTAAATTGATATTAGAAATTTAAAAAAAACTACAGTAGTTTAAAATTGCATAAAATTTATTTCAAATTAAAAATTTTTAATTCAATTATTAAAAAAAAAAAAATGTAATTTAAAAATCTGTAAAACTTTATTATTTGTCCGAATTTTTTTTTTTAATTAATAAAACTAAAAAGTAATGCAAAAAATTTTTAATTCGGATAAAATTTGTTAAATCAGATTTCAAAAAATTTTTTTTTAAAAATGTAACTAAGAATTATTTTTTTTAGAACTCTTTGTTTAACTAAATTAAAATTTTTTATTTCTTTCTCAATTTTGAAATATTCGAAATAAATTTTCTTAATAATATTAAGATTTTTAAAATAATTAAATAGTAAAATTAAAATTAAAGGTCGAACGCACATATGGCGATTGTATGCAACGTAAAAAATATTCACACGTTGATTTAATTCATATGATCGATGGAATGGATGGTGAACGTGGAACAACTGTATCTGGTGGTAGAGGATATTTTTTAACTGGTGCCGCTGTTTTTTTGGAGCATGCACTTATTCAATTTGCCCTTAGAAAATTATTTGACAAGGGCTATAAACCTTTGTATACGCCTTTTTTCATGAAAAAAGAAGTTATGCAAGAAGTTGCGCAATTAACTCAATTTGAAGAAGAATTATACAAGGTAAAATTTTCAACAAAAAAAAAAATTAATTAGAAAAGTTTTTTAAAATTTAGTTTTTAAATTTCATTTTTAAATTTATTTTAAAATTTAACTTAAATTAATATTGTTAATTAAAAATTTAATTATAATTTTGTTAATCAATTTAGCAAAAGTCGAGAACAATTTTTAAAAATTTTTCTGTTTCATTTTCAAATTTTCGGCCTAATTAATTAAATGGCAAAAATTTGAAAAAAAAACAACATCTTTTAGTGAAATTAATTATAGTAATTATAAATCTTGTGTGAAAAATGTGTAATTAAAAAAAAAAATGATAACACCAGGTTACGGGAAAAGGAAGTGAACAAGAAAGTGATAAGACAATTGATGAAAAATTTTTAATTGCTACATCGGAACAACCAATTGCCGCTTTTCATAGAGGTGAATGGATAGCGGAAAATTTATTACCAATTAGATACGCGGGCCTCTCTACATGTTTTCGACAAGAAGTTGGCTCTCATGGACGAGATACAAGGGGAATATTTCGTGTACATCAATTTGAAAAGGTTGGGAAAAAAATTAAATTAATTTTCTCGATTTAAAATTCTAAATGAATTAAATTCCCTTTTTTTTTTTTTTTTTTTTAATTTTTACAGGTTGAACAATTTTGTTTAACATCGCCTCATGATAATAAATCGTGGGAAATGATGGAGGAAATGATATTAAATGCCGAAGAATTCTATAAGGATTTAAATGTTCCTTATCGAATTGTAAATATTGTATCGGGTGCATTAAATTTGGCAGCAGCTAAAAAATTGGATCTCGAAGCATGGTTTCCAGGTTCCGGTGCATTTAGAGAACTTGTCTCTTGTAGCAATTGTTTGGACTATCAAGCAAGACGATTACTTGTTAGGTATTAATTGTTTTTCATTTTTATTCAAAAAATTTTTTTTCATTCTAATAAAATAAATAATTTTAATTAAAAATGAATTTTTATAATTTTTCTTTTCTAGATATGGACAGACAAAAAAAATGAATTCAACAACAGATTATGTTCATATGTTAAATGCAACAATGTGCGCAGTAACAAGAGTGATTTGTGTTCTTTTAGAAGTGAATCAAACTGAAACTGGAATTAAAATTCCCGAGGCATTGTCACAATTTATGCCAACGCAATATCAAAATGAAATTCCATTTGTTAAATCAGCACCAATTGATGTTATTGAAGGTAAAAAACAAAAGAAAGTTCAAAATTCGGTAAAATAATTTTAGTACTAAAATGTTTTTTTCAATTCGATTTGATATTTTAATTGTTTTTTTTTTTATCTTACAAAATGTATAACTTTAATCACAAAATAAAATATTTACATACAAAGCACGTATTTTCAAGACGAAAAAAAAAGAATGAAAAGGTTTTTAGTTTAAAAAAATGTTTACAGTTTTTTTTTAATTAACAAATAAAATATATATACATTTTTGTTTAAAATAATTTTACAATTTTTTTTTTTACTATTTTGTAATTTCAAAAAGGAAAATTTTTTTCTACTTTTTTTTTTTATATGATAAAATAGTATACTTTTTTATTTAAAAATTGAAAATTATAATTTATTATAATTTACAATTGGTTTAATTAATATATTATTTTGGAATTAGGATAATTCATTGTTAACAATACAAATACTTTCTATATGCCATTTTTGAGGAATGTATTCGCCTCTAGAAACAAATCTAATTGAAACATCAAGTCTTGATGCTAAATCATATGTTCCCGAAGCGGGAATTATAACTTGTAATTTTATTTTCCGATTTCCAAATGGTTCAATGTCACATTCAATAGCTGTATGACCTGCATAACGATAAAATGTCGATGCCTGAGGTGTATAGAGTTGAGATTTTATACTTGGTAAATGTGTTTGACTGAAAATAAGAAAATAAAATTTTTATTTTTTTATTTTCACTTTTGTTGATTCTAATTTTTTTCTATAAAAAATAAAAATCAAATGAAAATTCAAAATAAAATATAAAAATATTATAATTACTAAAATTGAAATTTCAAAAATTAAAATCAGAGGAAATAATAAAATTATTTTTTTTTTCTTACCTACTAGTTCCAATTGTATTAATTTTAACATCAATTTTTAATGATGAATTATTTTGCATTGTCATAATAATTGGAATTGAACAAAAACGTTTTCGTTGAAAATTATGTTTCATTAAATTCACATGTTTCAATGAATAGCAAAGAATATTTTTTTGACATTCATTTTCAGAATATTTATCAATTTTAACATGACTATTACGTCCATCAACATTAGCGTCGGGTCCAAATATTTTAAGTCTCGCTCCATATTCAATTATTGGCTCAATTTTAGTTATATCAATTGGTTCATTGTAATATTTACCAATTGTCATAATATCAATATGCTGTTGACCAATTGCCTCTCTTACAATAATATTTCTCTCCATTACATTTGCCTTCCATCGTAAAATTAAAATTGAATTCACATTCATTATTATTGAATTAATTAATTCATTTTCATTTGATGTATTTTCGTTATTTCTTTTTTTTATAAAATCAATATATGGTGATGTTGTTATTGATGGAATTTGAAAATTTTCCATTAATTTAACATTTGAATATTGTAAATTATCCGTTTGTTTTAATTTTAATAGAAAATGTGTTGTTTGTTGTGGATGAATTTTTGTTATTTTTAATGATTTTTTATTATTAATTAGAGACCAATTTTTACTTTGTAATGCAACGTCTATTAATTCAATTTCATTGATAAATGGATCGTGTACTTGATTCATATTTTTTATTTTGAGAATTAAATTTAACGTTGGATTTGCATCATTAATAATTGAACAACTTGCTCTTGTTATTGCATTTATTTGTATTGAATCGAGAACAGTTAAATGTAATGAATAACGAATTATTCGATATTTTGATTTAAATTCCGAATTTTCGTAATAAAATAACAAATCTAATTTATGATTCTCGGTTGTTGGTGCACGTATCCAAAAATTTGTACTATAATTTTCATTTATATTCAAAATATTAAGTGGAATTTTATGAACACATGATTTATTTTTTAATTTTCCACTATTTAAATTTACAATTTTTTCATTTGTAAAGGAAATTAATTTTGGATTTGAAAAACCAACATGAACATTTGTTAATGCAGCATTGCCAATATTTTTTAATGTTAATTCAACATTTTGTATTTCGCCCGATAACATTTCAGGTGATAATTTTGATAGGGAAATTTCCATAAATGGCGCCTTTTCAATAACATTCATTGATAATCGATAATCATTGCCATATAATACTGCATTGGGTTTTTCTTTAATGTGTTTTAATTTTGGTCCTTTTATTTCAAATAATCTCTTACCACAAACAGATAAACTATGCGCTTCATCTGATTGATTAAAATCACCAGAACTTGATAAATTATAACAAATGCCAATTATTTGTAAACTACCCAAAATTTTTGGTTTTAAATATAATATAAGATCTTGTTTTGAATTAGATTGTAGTAAAAAATTATCAACCAATTGCTCTTCAATAATATTGAAATATTTTTCTCTCAATTCATTTGATTCATTTGTTAATATTTCATTTTCTTTTGTTTCAAATGACCATAGTAATTTAATATTTGTTAATGGTAGAGAAATTTCTAATGGATTATATAATTGAATTGAAATAAATATTGGTTCATTTATAAAAACATTTGATTTTTGTGAATTATTTGTTTTATTAGTGTAAATTAATAATGATGGTTTAAATATCATTGGCACTGATCCTTGTGCTTCTGTTACTATTTGTTCTTCGAGTTTTGACCATTCAGTATTGTCGGAATCAATTAATGTTAATTGTGATACTAATTCTAAATTATTGTCACCTTTTAAATAGGGACCAGGTAAAACTTTAATTTCATTGCCATTAATTAATGGAAGTGGTAATATTGAGAGATTTTTTACATCTGATCCTTTTGATTCTTGAAGTAGTGCCTAAAATTTTTTGAAAAAAATACATATATTTTAATTATCAATTAATTTTCAAAATTACACAATTTTGGCAATTTAAATTTAAAAAAAAAAACGAAAAAACAGCTTTTAAATTTTGTTCGACAATTTTTAATGCCCACTTTGTGATCCGTTTGAGAATTTTTTGATCCAGATATAATTTTTTAATAAATAAAATAAAAACTTACATTTGTTGTGTGAAGAAATTCACGAAGAAATGCCGCTTGTTGAAGAGCCGGTTGCTTACTAGTGGGATTTAACAATTTTTCATAAAATGTTACAGCAAAAGCAGTTTGTTTTAAAGAATGTGCTTGTCTTCCAAGGGTAAAATGAATATGATCCTCAGCAAATGACCATCCTTTACCACAGTAAACCTTTGGAATAACATTTTTTGTTTAAAAATTTATTAATTTAAAAAAAAAAAATGAAATATTTACTTGATATGCTTGTTGATAACATCTCAATGAATGTTTCTTTTGTCCCGCTTTCGAGAATCGATGTCCAGCAATAACAATATGAAAAGCATATTTACGAATCATTTTTGGCCCAATAAAACAATAGGCAGCCTGCTCGAGTAATAATGCTGATCTTAAATCTGAATCCTCGCTTGTCATTCGAATTAATTGTTTTGCCGCATCCGAATAAAGGCCACGATTTTTTAAACACTCGGCACTTAATAATGTTGCTCTTGTCGCAAATTGTGGCATTTTACATGTATTTAAATATGTTAAAATTGCATCGTCCATATATTCAATTGTTTTTCTTGTCATTTCATCTTGCATAAATGCACTCAACGCTGCCATTTCCAATGCACCGGCATAATAAAGCCACGCTTGATCAACGGCAAAATCACGTTTTGCATTATGATAAGCCTGATAAGCCAAACCAAAAAGACCAAACATAAAATATAAATCTCCCAATCTTCGTAATTGAAGTTCCGGTGATTCTGATGTATATCTAAAAAAACAGAAGAGATAAAAATTTTTTTAAAATGTTTTTCGAATTTTGTATTTTAATATTATCGTACATTACAACATTTGCAGGAACAGAACCAGGAACACCGGGTTTACTTGTACCGAACCATCTTTTTGTTGCACTAAAAAGTGAACGGCTCACACCTTTTTTATTTGATATCACATCATTTAGAAGGCCAATTTGTCTTTCAACATAGGGCAATAAACTTTTTAAATAAAATTCCGACATCATGAATTTTAATCTTTCTAAATCATCTAAAGAAAGTCTTGTACCATGTTGAATTGTTGTTGTTCCTATTGTTATTTGTCCCGGTGAATCGGCCCAAACATTAACATTAATTGGCGAATTATCTAAATGAATTTTTGAATTTCCAATAATAATATCGTTATCAATTGTTTCTTGTAATGGACTTAATGGATGTATTGTTATTGGAACTGCTTCTTGACCAATTTCAAGTTGAACATTCAATTCATTAATCTCAGTCGGTGTATTAACTAAATCTGTAAAATCTGTTGTTGGAAAATTTGACGCTTGTGGCGTTAATGGCGTTCCCACTTGAATGATTCTAAAAAAATGAAAATTAATTTTAGGAAAAAAAAAAAGTATTTTAAAAAAGGGGGGGAAAAAATTTACTTTTCACTATCTGTATTTATTGGATATGGCATTGCAGAAACTCCACTAGTATCGGCTGGTGTTCGTGGTGAACTATTCTGTCCACTTCCACTCGAAATACTTCCATTTTTAACAATAAATTGACTCCACGGATCCGGTAAATGAATATTATCATCCGATTGACCAGGTGGTCTTGAATTCATTTGCAGCAAAAAACAATTATTCACACCGTATATATTTTTCATTTCTCTAAAAACATCCTCGGCTCTGAAAAAAAAAATGAATCAATTATTCAATATAGTAAATTAATATTTAAAAGAAAACTTAATATTAATTTAAAAAAAATTAAATATATTTATACTTTTTTTTATTATCCTGCGAAGTATCGTGAATTAAAATATAATAACGAAGGACATTATTGTTAAACCATTTGGGAAGTTGTCCGGGAATACTTTGATTTAATTTAGCAGCCATTTGTTGAATTATTTCTAATGGCTCATCATCCGATGTCGATACAACAATCATACATGCAAGAAAATGTCTTGTAAATTCATGATCAGATGGATATTGAACATTAAGAAATGTATCTCTCCATGCCTCGAACCATGGAATTGATAAAGGAAGACTGAGATCAATTGAGCCAGTATTAACAATTGTTGAACGTTCTGTATATGATGAACTAACAGTTTCATTTAACATTCGTCTTGCAATTGTTGGCTCTGGTGGTGTATTATTAACATCGCGAATTGATATTTGAAGACATCGAACAATATTTGTATTTCCAAGAGGATCTTTGATATGCCCTTTAAAAAAAAAAACGAAAGTATTAATTTTATAAATTAATTTAATTTAATTAAATTTTTGTCAGGATTAATAAAAAATTATTTCTATTTTTAAAAAATACAATTTTTTCGTATTTAAATCTATTTTTTTATTTTAATTAAATATATTTTTACTAATGATAATTATTATTGTACTTGATACTATAAATTATTATAATTATGCAACGTATTTCAAAAATTTATTCTTAGTTTTTTTAAATAAATACTTAAACGAATTTACAGTAAAATTTTTATTACTTATTTATCAATTAAACGGCAATATTAACAATTATATTGTTATTTTTTATTTTTAAAAGAAAAATAATTTTGAATAAAATAGAGTAGCCAGTAGGTTTTAAAAAATGAATTTTAAATAAACAAAATTGAATGTAAAAAATAGAAATTTAAATACAAACTTATATAAATAGATATTAAAAATAATTATAAAAAATAGAAAATATATTAAATTCAAAATTTTGTAAATGATCCTTGAAATTAAATCATGATTTGTATCGTGTTTTAAATCATAAATTAAATCGTGTTTTAAATTATGATATTGAAATAATTGTATAACCTTAAAATTGTACCAAAAAAAAAAAGAAATTAATTTTCTTTTTAAAAACATACCTTCACAGCTTAATCTACAAAATGGTTGAAGTAATTCAGTGAATGACAAATTGTTCTTTTGACAAGTTGTTTCAGCATTATTTGAACAAACAGCTGCCACTTGAGGAGAAAATGTATTTACAATAAATTCCCGTGCTGTTGATTTACACTGTGCCATTGTCCTAAAAAATATTTATTTGCTATTCTTGAAAAAATTTTAAAAAAACCCTCATAAACACACACATGTCAATAATTATTATTAACAAAAAAAATTTCAAGAGCACTTAAAAAAAAATTATCCAAACTCACTGAGAAATTAAAATAGCCTAAAATAACAAAATTTATTCATAAACTATATACACAACTTGTTTATTATTCATTGTTTTTTTTTTTTAATTTTAGCGAAAATTAACTACTGTCAAATCAGTGCCAATAATAATAATAATTTTCTTTTTTTTATTGGCCTTTTAAACATCTGCCAATAAAAATTTATTTAACCCATGACTGCCAAACTACAAAATTCAGAGATGGAAAGGTAGAATGTTTATAGTGAAACCTCTCATATGTGACACTTCCCCTTCACCAATATTTGTCCACTGGACAAATGTCACATTTCGCAAGTTTCTCTGTGTGTTTTCGGGAGTTGTGATTGGCTGATCCATCAGCATGTTTATTCTGATTGGGTAATTTTTTACTGTCAGCAACTCCCGAAAACATCCATTGTAAAGGTTCTTTTATACCTTCAGTATTTTGGTGGATTTTCACCGTGAAAATTGAATTTTGTTAGAGCCAATCAAATTCAGTGATTCCTCAGTGAAAATTCAATTCAGCCGATTGCTTGACCAAAATACTAGAGGTATAAAAGCACCTTTATTCAAGTTGTGACGTAGTAGAGTGACGTCACAAAGTTGAATTGCCTTACAAGACCATTGTGGACACAGCTTAAAGAATTGTTTACATGCAGTACATTGTGAGTACAACCTAATTGTCAGCCTTGTATGAATCTGTATATACATACATTATTTATATTAAGAAAAAAACAAAGTAAATATTTATTCAACTTAAATAATTGCTTGTTTCACTACTTTTATCAGTTTTTCTATTGAAAAAAATGAAATTCTGATTGTTTGAGAATCAAGCAAGTAAATAAATTATAATTTATTATTAAATGACATTTTTTTTATCCATAAATGATAAAAATTATAATAAAATCTACATTTAGACATTATTATATGGTCAATCACTAGAGACTGTAATTTAATTATTTATTAGGTATTATTATTATTATTATTATTATTTTTATTATTATTACTATTATCATTATTATTATTATTACTATTATTATTACTATTATCATTTTATTATTATTATTATTAATTTGCACAATATAAAAGTCGGATTTCTTAATTTTATTTATTAATAATTAAATAAATAATTAAATAATAATTTATTTAATTTTCATAATTTAAATAAATACGATGAATTTATAAATTTTTCGATTTAACGAGGAATTAGTTTTTTGAAAATTTAATATTCCACACTAATAAAAAAACTGAAAAAACAACATCCTTTCTTTTTCTCTCTCTCTCTGTAAATAATATTAATTTCTTTTAAGAAAAAATGTATAAAAAAAAAAATTTCAATTCACACTTTGTTGATTTGAGAATAAGGATTATTTTTGCGTGAACGCTAATGCGAATATGGCTTTTATGGGGTTTTTTTTTTTTTTTTTTTTTTTATTTATATTTTGTTATACCTAAGAATAAATTCGTTATACTAAAAATAATTAAAGAAAAACAAAAATACTATCCATTTTAGTGAATAGAATATAAGGAAAAATTGCTTCTTTCCAGTATTTTTAATGTATTGCATTGAATACAATAGAATGTTTCTATGTAATTTCGATTTGTGTCATTAAAAAATCTGATTTTAATCCGCGATGACTAATAATGATTAATATATTAATTTTTTTTAATTGCAATACATATCTTTGATTACACCGAATATTCATTTTTATAGGTATATAACTATATATATACAACACAGAAATATTTCTATGTATATACATACATATATATATATAGAAATATTTGTGTGCTCACGGGAATACATATTCAATTATCATTCAGTATTGACTCCTGCAATATTTTATCAAGGGGCCTATTATCAAAATTTTGCAGATTCCTTGCCTTAAATGTAGCGCAATATTAAGACAATAGACAAGTTTTTCCTATTCATATCCAAATCTATATCTCCTTATTGAAAAAGGAAGTTTATTAATTAAAAACATATCTTAAAGGATAATATTAATTGAAGATTTTTGTAAATATTGAAAAATTCTTAATTATACTTTTTTTATTATTTATTTTATTTTCCATACCCTATAAGTAATACATTAATAATTAAAAAAAAATGAGTGGAAAATTTTTTTTTTCCCCTACTTTTTGGGGGAAAAAAAATAGTTGATTCGCCCCTGATGAACGAAAACAGCCGAGTTATTCCGATCTGTGCGGAGGCCCGTAGCGGCCATGTGTCGTTCATAGACAGTAAGTCAGTGTTGGCTTTTTTACAAGGCTTATATATAGCAGATAACTAATCTGTGCAAATTGCCAAACATACACAACTGTCATTTGCACTGGACACACAAAGTGTTAAATATTTTTTTTTTCAAAATAACGTCTAGTGAATTGTGTATAGTGAAACTGAACATTTTAAAAAAAAGGATTGAACAAAATTTTCGTTAACGGCGTCGGCAGTCAGTTTAGTACAGCGAACCGACAAGAGGGAGTGAGAACACAACTGTTAAGAAAAAGAGATCGAACTATTAACTGAGACTCCTCGACGCCAAGCGTTTCTGCGTCTTCTAATTGTTAAAAAAAAGAAAAAAAAAGATTCTCTATGAGGGGGGGAAAAAGGGGAAATGAATATTTAAAAAAAAAAATCCTCAGATGAGAGATACATTGAGACATACTTATGGAAAGATTGAATAAAAGAGTGAGAGGTTTATTGAGGGTTTTTGTGTATTGGGGAGGGGTTTAGACTGTAGGAGTGAAATTCACACAGAGAGGAAGAGGACAGAGTTAACACGAAGAAGAGAGAGAGAAACCGGTGAGTGGAGACGCGCGATAGCGCTCCTGACAAGCCGTGATCGACCGCAAACTGCGTGATCAAAATTCCAAGATTGGATTTTTTTTGTTTTCTTTTTCTGGGTTTTTTTTTTTATTTAAAATCGACATTTGAAAAATAATTCTTTTGTCCTTTCGCCTCGTTTGAAAAAACCAGTTATTGACTGTAGAGGCACGCGTGTCGGTTAAATCGTGTCCTGACGTGTGCAAGAAGAGGCTAGGCGCCTGGAATTGGATTTGTGTGCGCGCTTCTTGTGTATATATATATATATGTGTGTTTTTTTGGTGTATATATGTGTTCAAGCCGCTTTACGATAGTGCGACAGAAAGTGGTGTGCGCGCGCGTCGCTACCTAGTAAAAAGGGTGTGTGCGGAAAATCGGAAAGGTGCTTCCGGATATGATTGTTACAATTTTTATTTTAGTGTATCTAGAATGATTAACATCATTAATAAAGAGGAAATTTAAAAAATACAAGTGTCGGTGAAAAAAGTTAATTTTATTTCCAAAGTGAAATAAAAAAAAAAAAAAAAAAAAAATCATCGACGAAAAAAAGTGATATAGGCGGATGTCAGGTTGCTCTTTGGTTCAGGAAGGTTGAGCTCTATCTGTGATTGGCTGATGTTTCTCTTGTATGTGTACTAGAGTGCGTCGCAGCAAAACCTGATTTTTACCTATGTGTGAGTGATATATTCTCTACTCTGTGCATTATATATTACTATACGTGGATTACTGTGCTATTGAGGATTACTACACTTTTGTGGATTACTTTAATACTGTGGATTACCATACACTTATGTGGATTACTCGACTACTTGTCTGTGGGAGGATATTTTCCTATTGCTATATCGAAAGACAAGATTGAACCAAGTGTGACGCTCAAATGTGCATGATGGTGAGTAACAAGAATGTCATAAGAATTTTTTTTTTTTTCCTTTCCTCTTCTTGAGTCTATTCTTAAAATTCAGTTTCATTTCTTTTTTTTTTTTTTTAATAATATATGCTAGGAATAAAAATTAACGTGACCCTTGAAAAAAAAACAACAAATTATTCGAAATATTTTGTATTTAACTATATACAAAGAATTTGTGTTCTTTAATCGAATTGATGGTTTTATTTTGATTATTATTATTTTTATTTTTTGGGGGATTCTTTGTGTTAAATAAACTTGACTCTTTAGTTTGGTTGGATATATTCTCACCAACAGAATTCTTCGCGCACGCGCTATAGTGATGACAACGACGAGGACGACAACACCTCTCCATGATCTATGTTGAGTTACAGAGACTCTTTAACGAACATAGGCTCTGCTTTCGTTTTTCGCTCTCCATTAACCACCTTCCTTTCCGACAACTACCATTCCACTACTCAACTGTTAGTGTACTAATTCTCAATACTTGTATTTCACACATTTTTTTCGTGTATGTGTGTGTGAAAGAAATTACTTAATTGCTTGGGGGTGGGGGGGAAAGAAAATAAAAAATTATTTTACTGTTTCACAAGAAAATGAGAGAGAAAAAGTAATCATACAAGAAATTTTAAACTTGAGAAAAATCAATATGAAATGTACTACAAGTTATGGGTATAAGGATTCCTTAAGTGTATATATATATACACACAATGGTTTCCCCATGGATGCTTTGTTTTATGTTTTTAAAACTAAATATTTTCCTCGTTAAAATTAGAAATATAAAATAAAAACCCTAATTTATTACATTAAAAAAAAAAATTAAATAATTGAATTACGAATTAAAAAATTTAAATTTTTATATTATATTTGTAAAAATATGTTTATAATAATTTTGGGATTTATTGAAAATTCTTAACATTTGCCAAAAAAAAAAGGGAAACAAATTTTTGGGGCTCGTGGTCTATTAATAAAATAGTTAAATCTTGTTGCACCTCTTTTTTGAAAAAAAAATTCTTTTCTTTTTTTTTATGTTTTTTATATACTTATTGATTCTAAAAATGTTTTATTTTTTTTTTATCAACTTTTTGCTTCTCTTGCTATTTGATCAAATGGTTATTCGAACTTTTGGAAATTCGATAAAATAAACATTGGAACTTTTTGATTATATATTCTATTAAAACAAACATTCAATTCTTTGGCTATTTTATAATTATTTATTGACATTCGAACTGTTTGGTATTTTATTTTGAATTAACATTCGATTTTTTTTTTTTTTGTTGAATATTTCGATAAAATAAATATTTAAATATTATTGGAATTTCGGACAATTAAAAATACATAGTTATTCGAAATTTTGAAATTCGATATGAATTTTTGTTTTGTTTTTTTTCTGTTTTAAAAAGGAAATTTTTTTTTCGCGTTAATCATCAGAAGTATTTAAATAAGATTTATAAAAATAGAGTAGGGGGAATTATGAGTAGCTTTAGTCACTAACAATAAATATTTGCTATTTTTATAATAGAAGTTTTCTATTTTTTTTTTTTTTTTTTTTTTTTTTCTTTTATTTATTGCAAATGTCATATAAAAAGTGGAATAACGTTAACAGAATTTTTTTTTATTTTAATAAAAGCACTTATATATATATCAGAAAATTCCTATATGTACAAAACTTGTTTTTGGTAAAATAAAATTAAAAAAAAAATTCAACTTAATTCTACTTGACAGTGATTTGAACATGAACTCGTTGACAAATCACTATTAAGTACATTTATAGGGTTATGTTAACTATAGAAATTACTATAATTTTAATTATAAAAAGTACTTAATTAACATAAAAATTTCTATACAAAAAATATTGAAAAAAAAAATTTAATATTTTTATTAATAGATACTATAAATAAATAAACATATATAAATTTTATTTCTATATTTTAATATAGAATTTAATTATAATTTTTATCTTTATTTTTTTTATTAATTGCCTGTTAAATTGAATTGGGATTAGGACACATTTTGAACCATAAAATATAAAAAAATATATTTTTTTTATTTATTTATTTATTTAGTACACGGGTTTTAAAAGAACCCTTGAAATATAAAAATATAAAAAATATAATGAACAAATTAACGCACGCAAAATTTTACAAATTAAATGGAAAAATTTTTATTTACTTTAATTATTCTTTAATTTAATCATTGTTTTAATTAAAACCTTTTTTTTGGGGGAAATTTAATTTGATATTAAGTTTAAGAGATTTTTCGTGCACGAAATTGATATTCTGACACGCAATCGAGTCAGAATTAATTTTTTCAAATTAAAAACAGTTTTAAAATTTTTTTTTCACTTAACCATAGATTATAATTAAACTTTCTTTTTATGCTGAACAAGAATAATTTCACAAAATTATTGTTTTTTTGTTTTTTTTATTGAACAAAAAATCCATTATTTTCTAAAATTCAAATAATTGACACTAATTTATTAATGCAGGTTAGGAAAAAAATTTTTTTTTATTTTTTATATTTATTATTATTATTTTTATTTTGCCTATGGAAAATTAATAAATAATAAAATAGTTTTATTTTAAATAGTGATTTCAATTTTTTTTTTTTTTATTTATTTTTATTATTTATAATATTTTTTCATTTAATTTAAAATATAAATATTCAAATTTACAATAAATAATTTCTAATAACTAATTTCAAACAAATTTCACATAACAGTTGCAATATTTGGTTTTTAATTAATTTCTCAACAAAAAAAATCTACTCGATTTAGTTAACTTTTAAAATTTGTAATGTTTTGAAATAAACGTTAATTAACGAATTTACTGTCTTGTTATATTTTTAGTCGTTTATATGTTTTATTGATATATTTTCTTTAATGCACCTAATTTACTTTCATAATTTTTGACCAAGTAATTATAAAACACTTTTTGGTGACCTCTTTAAAATTAATATATGACTATTAACAAAATATATATATATTACATTTTATTAGTTTGTATTTATATATAATAGTTATAATAATATTATACTAATTTTAAATAGAAAACATTTTTTTTTCAAATTTATCAATTAATAATCAATTATAAATCAAATAAATTTTATCAATTATAAAAGCATGTTTCAAAAAAAACAAAATTAGAGATGTAGAATTTTATTATCTTTATAAAATCAACATAAAAAAAAACATTTTAATCAGTTAAAATCTCTGGGCTCTATGTTAATTTGTTTAAACAGATGTAATTTTAATTTTACTTTATGATTCGACAGAAATATTTTGTAACGAATTTAAATTTTATCAATTTTAACGAATTTTAATCGAATAATTTATTAACATTATTGTATATTTGATATTTGCCTTTTGTTAAAATTGTTTTTTAAATTAATTTTTTTTAATGAAAATGCCTTGTATACGATTATTTTTGATTTTTAGATAATATATTTATAATTTCTCGTTTACTAGTTTCGAATTGTTTACACTTCCTTATCAGCGTTTTTTATTTTCAAAAATATACAGAATGTATAAAACATAAAAAGATTTTAGAAATGATATTATTTAAAAATCTATAAATAATTGAGAAAAAAAAATTAGTAGAAAATAAATATTATTTTGTACAATAGAAAATTCAGCTTTTCAGTAGCTTTATATTTGGTTAAATTTAATACTTAAACTACCATAGCGGTCGCTCAGACCGCTATTTAAACCTTTTTTTGTTTATTACTTTGTTTTAAAGTACAATAGAAGTTTTAGCCTTTCAGTAGATTTATATTTGGTCAAATTTAACACTTTAACTACCGTAGAGGTCTCTCAGACCGCTATTTAGATATTTTTTGTTTATTACTTTGTTGTAAAGTACAATAGAAATTTTAGCCTTTCAGTAGATTTATATTTGATCAAATTTAACACTTAAACTACTATAGCGGTCTCTCAGACCGACAATGAAAATGTTGTACATAACCTAAATACTCTCTAAATCTGATTTAGTCACTTTAGAATGATTTAACTGCGCCGATTCGTTCATTGAATTAATTAGTAACTGTTTTGACTAATTTTTAGTCAACAATAACTAATTTTTAGTCAAAAATGCCTAATTTATAGTAGAAAACTAATAATTCATTTAGTAAAGTTTACTCATTGATATAGTAACCTAACTAAATCAAATACTAACCTTATTAAATGAATTAGTAGTTTTCTAATAAAAATTAGTAATTTTTAACTATAGATTAGTTAAAACGATTACTAATTCATTTAATAAACAAATCAGCGCAGTTGAATTAGTCAAAAGTGACTAGAAAAACAAAAAAAAAAAAAGAAAATGCGGTCTGACAGACCGAGAAAAGTATTAAGCGTAATTTTTCTACCACCTAGCAGTTTAAAGGTCGTAATTGCGTTGTAATCTTTCTATTGGAAAGTTCTTTTCTTCTTTCTTTCGAATAAACGAAAGTTCTGTCAAAATATAAGAAACTGGCCTTTTTTTTTTAGAATTCTATCAAAATGACAATTTTTGTACAAATAAAAAAAAAATAAACATTGAAATCAAAAATTCAGTTAAATTAGAATTCTTTGAAATTCATTTAGACGTAAAATAACATTTGGTGTAATTATTTTTTCAGATTTTGTCATTCTTTGAGGGAGACGAGGAAGTGATAATGGAGGAATAAAATTGAAGAATTAAATAAATATTAAATGGTAATTAAAAGAGGAATGGAAATATTACACGTGTGATTTGAAAACAAAACGATAAGAATTGAAAATAAAAAACAAAAAAATTTCTATGTAATAGGAGAATAGAGTAGTAAAAAAGAAAAACGAAAGTAAGAGACGAGAACCGAGAAGAGGTGCGTAATATCAGGGCTAGTTAAAATAGAGTAGTCGGGAAGTGATGTGTTCGATGGAAGAAGTGGCTCTTGCGGGAGGTGGTTGGAGTAAAAGAGCTGCTAACCAAGGTACAACTTGGTGCAATTTGAGATCGACGAGAAAAGTTGGGCGATCGTTGACCAGGCTGGCGGGCGCCGGGGAAACGTTTCCAAGGGCATGGCGACCACGCCACTAGGCGGTCGCCTCCCTAACGTAAACCGTAAAGGACCGTCACCGTGTGTCGGTGGTGGTGGCGGTGGTGGAAGTAGTTCTAGTAATAATCAACGAAAACAAGAGCGTACTGGAGGTAAAGATCATCATCATCGACATCATCAATCTCGTGAGAAGACGGGTCACCGTCAACAGCCGCAAAGAGGGGACCAGAAAACAAGCACAGTGGCTGCGCACGCCGGGGAACTGGATCCGGCCGCCACGAATGCGTCCAACAACTTTGAGTACGACGACAATGAATGGGATATTGGAATAGGAGATCTTATTATCGATCTGGATGCAGACATTGAGAAGACGAGAGACGAGAAATTGAGTTCGGGGACCGGCATGGCTTCTACGCCTGCCTCGGCAGCAACAAATACCACGAGTCATCAAATTCAAAATACAAGTAGTCTTAATTCTTCCTCCAACGGTACTTCACTAGTGGAAGTACCGTTGGAAAGTACCAGTGGCAATCACTCATTGATAGGTTCAACAAAACACCCAATAAGCGGTGTTAGCAGCGGAAGTGGAAGTAGCGTTAATAATAACAACAGTAACAATAACAACAATAATAGTACCAACGCCGGACTTTCCGGCAAGATGGCTGTTGAACATTCAGCCACTGTTGATAAGGGCCTCAAAATGAAGATCAAACGCACTAAACCCGGGACCAAGACCAGCGAGGCTAAACACGAAATTGTCAAATCCAACGAAATGAATGGTATTGTACAAGATGGAAGTATTTCATCAAATTCAAATTCCTCATCATCCTCATCATCATCAACATCCTCAACGTCCAATACATCTTCCGCCCAAAATTTAAATTCCACTGATAGCAATCAAAGTCAATCAGTGTCTAGTAAAAATAAATCAAGCCACACACCAGGTTCAACGTCGGCGACTGGTAATAATAATTCAACGCCAGGATCGAAACGTGGTTCAAGTGGACATCGTAGGGATAAAACAAGAGATAAGCACGAGAAATCACAGAGTAATCATGTCACACAACAAAGTAAACCTGAAATGAATGGTACGACAAGATCGCCACAGAATCACACGTCCTCCATTTCTTCTTGCGTTACTACCTCTAATATGGTGACATCGACAAATACTCTTACCACATGTTCGGTAACATCAGCATCTTCCTCATTAGCTTCCTCATGTACTCCATCTACCGTTACGTCGTCGTCGTTGTCGTCGTCGACGTCATCTTCTTCGTCTTCGTCGTCAACTAATGCCATTAATACCACATCGTGTTCTTTATCACCGCCAACTTCGTCTGGTTCATCGTCGTCATCGGCAGTTGCTGCTGTTGCTGGAAGTGCTAATAATCAAACACAAGGGCCTACCCCTGCGGCAATTGCGCCACAACAGCAACAACCACAAGGACCACCGTCAAGTTCGAGAACAGGAGGATTTTCGGGTAATCAAGGAACTAGTACAACGACTACTAATACCGTTGGTGCACCATGTCCTCCTGCAAGTCCAGCTAGTGCTACAGCTGCGGCAGGATCCGCTGCAAAACCTGAACAAACTAAAGTAGCTTCTGTACCTGGATCACATTCAATTTGCAATCTTGCGGATGAATCAATGGATAGTTCAGACAGTCCACCACCTGCCAAAAAACTCAAGACATGTCCTAAATCTGAACTCAAGGTTTGTGTTTTATGCTTTTTTAATTCCTATATTTTTCATTATATGTGACGCTCCACGAGAGAAGGGACCTATCTCCGAAATAATATTAGGCTTAGCTTTCATGTACGGTGCACGGAAAACTGAGCCTAATGTTATTTCGGGGATAGGTCCCTTCACAGAAAATTAAAAGGCATTAAAATAAGCTGCAACGCTTATTATTTTAATCCAATTTTGCTAATTTTAATCCATTTTGGTATTAAAATAAGCAAAATTGTATCTTTACTTACTGCACGGAAAATTTTTGGTGCACCGGTTGTATTGGTTAGTAAAGAAACTCTTGTATTTTAAAATTGGACATCAGTTATCCCGGTTTGGGGCAAGTTATGTCCCCTATGGTGCGTCTGATGTCCCCTACAATTCTTCAGACCCACCAAATCACGATAACAGTTGCCCTTAACCCATAGTACAACGCACTTCTACCATAGATTAAGCGTCTGATGCACCAAAATTTTCTCCGTGTGTAACGAACCAAGTGGTACTTTTTTTTTATTTTTAAAAATCCTTGCTTAAGAATAAGAATTCTTATATTTATAATTTTAATATCAGAAAATAAATATATTTAATGATTCATCAATTGAGTCATTCACTTGTTATTACTTATGGTGCGATTCCAAGTGAGATTTTGACTTTTTCGGAGTAGGTTAACCGATTGCAATGAAACTTTGGAATTTTGTTATATATAGTAAGACTAATCTTTAACGTAAATTTCAGCCTAAAATATTTGTTAGTTTACGAGATTTGCAATAATAACAAAAAATTTAAAACTGCTATATCTTCCGTTCTAATAAACGGATTGAGGTCTACTTTTTTTTAAAATGTCAAGGAAAATGAGAGGAATAAATCTCTTTCAGAACATTTTTTTATAATTTTACAACTAAAAAAATTATTAAATAATAATTGAATAACTTTCGCGCGACTATCTAAAATTCAATCACTTAAAAGCTAAAATGATCTTACCTGTGTTTTCTTTAATGTTCCAAAGGATTTTTATTGTAAATGTAAGTTTAACTTAAGAAATTTTATTAATTTATTAGTATAAACAATTGAGATTTCTGCTAGTTGACGTGCAGACGACATTGCGCACGCAGCATTCTCACATAGCCAATTTAGTCCACGAATCACGTCAGTTGGCTATGTGAGAATGCTGCGTGCGCAATGTCGTCTGCACGTCAACTAGCAGAAATCTCAATTGTTTATACTAATAAATTAATAAAATTTCTTAAGTTAAACTTACATTTACAATAAAAATCCTTTGGAACATTAAAGAAAACACAGGTAAGATCATTTTAGCTTTTAAGTGATTGAATTTTAGATAGTCGCGCGAAAGTTATTCAATTATTATTTAATAATTTTTTTAGTTGTAAAATTATAAAAAAATGTTCTGAAAGAGATTTATTCCTCTCATTTTCCTTGACATTTTAAAAAAAAGTAGACCTCAATCCGTTTATTAGAACGGAAGATATAGCAGTTTTAAATTTTTTGTTATTATTGCAAATCTCGTAAACTAACAAATATTTTAGGCTGAAATTTACGTTAAAGATTAGTCTTACTATATATAACAAAATTCCAAAGTTTCATTGCAATCGGTTAACCTACTCCGAAAAAGTCAAAATCTCACTTGGAATCGCACTATGTCGAGATTGGAATGAGTAGTGTCATCAAAGGTTAATAATCCTCCTTAAATAAATCACATAGTAATAATTATCAAAATTTTCTCAAAATTCTATAAGACTAAATTTAAGGAACCCCGAATTTCTCCAATGATTTACTTTTATTAGTAGTTTTTAAAATTCTAAACTTTAGAATGGTAAAACGAGTTGAGAAAAATTTGCCAAAACTTTAACCCAAAAGTACTGGCCCATCTCGGCTCTCTTCAGATATTAATTCCACATTATTTTCTGAGTAATTTGAATCTAAGATGAAAAACATTAGTAGAGGGATTTTTGAATAAACTCGATTTGTATAAATTCTTTTTCAAGTTGGCGAGTATTCAATTTAGAAGTGTCAGAATTAAAATTCAATGTTTCGACGTTTTTCCGAAACAAAAAAGGAACGGGTTTTTCTTCATGACTGCTAGCTTTTGACATTTTTGAGCGAACAGTAATCGAATTGATAATTATTCAACTGTTTCAAAGTAAAAAATTTACTATAAAAAGTTAAAAATACACAAAAATCATTTTTATTGAAAAATCCGTCTACGGATTTTTTTCATCTTAGGTTTAAATTATTCAGAAAATAATGTGGAATTAATATCTAAAAAGTGCCTATAGATGGGCCAGTACTTTTGGGTTAAATTTAGTCCAAACCAAACGTGTTTGATTTTTCCAAAATTTGAAGAATTTTTGCGCGGATTAGTTTGTCCAATGAACTCAAGGCTTCATTTTTACATTTTGAAAGAGTGTATACCAAATTCTTAGAGCGATTCCTTAAAATCGATACAAAAATAAATACTTTCTCATTTATATTAAAAATTTAATTTAAAAATTAACCATTCAAATATACCAAAACACATTGTTTCAGATTTTGATCAAATCTATATACACAGAAAACGTAAATATTCTTGTTTTTTTATTTCCGTAAAGTTTATAATGGACATTTTAGAGGATTTTGAAATAAAAACTTATAGTCATTTTATATTTTAACTTTTGAGAAATGTCTGTAAATTTTTATTAAATTTCTCAAAATCCTCTGAAATGTCAATTATAAATTTTACGGCAATAAAAACTAGAATATTTAAGCTTTCTTTTTACACTTAAAAATTGTCTCATACTGACAATTGTTTTCTAGGGGGGGGGGTCATTTTGATATTGAATGCTTCATATAAAAGAAAAGTGCCGAATACAGATAGATATTGATAATAATGATAGAAATTATTGGTCGTTACAATCATATTTATGTGTAATGCAATATTCGTAGAATGGATACAGATATCAGATGGTTGCCACGCTACTTTTGCAATATTCTATAAATCTTGAAAAAAAATCAGGGAATTTTAGTCTATAGCAAAAGCGAAGAAAAGTATATAAGAAGCAAAAAATTATAGGTTATGTTTTGAAATTTTTAAGTGAAAATACACATCTATAACTTTTTTGCTTCTTAGGTACATATCTTCGCAACTGCTATATGTTTTTGGGGGCGCTAAATCCGAATCCCAGGTCTGTTTAATCTCATCAGATCAGGATTCCGCAATAACTTCAAAAAACACATTAAAAACACTTTTTTTGAGGTTATGGCAGAATCATGAAAGTTAAATGGACCTTGGATTCGGATTCAGTAATCTCAAAAACATAGCCTAATTCAAAAATGAAGTTACGGTTTTTCAGTTTTGCACGGCAGCATAGTCAGACCCCCCTAGATTGGAACGTTTTTTGTGTGGCTGTGTATTTAAAAATGAATGTTTAATGACGCTACGATTATCACTAATCATAACCTAAAATTTGGTTTGTCTTTAAATTCCCTTTTCACTAGTAGATAGTAAAATCCACTAACTCATTTCTACCGTCGGGAATTGTTTACGTGGTCTTCGGATTCTACTCTCTAAATCTAAAGTAGTAAAAATTTTAACTAATTCGAATTAGTGACTCACTTTTTACTTTTCAATTAGTAGAATTTAACTAAATAATAGTAGAAAAAAAAGGGAAATTTTTTACTATCGAATTAATGAAATTTAACTAATTTAAAAACAAAAAGTGAGTCTCTAGTTAAAATTTCTATGCATTTCTGACAAATTTTGCTCTGGAAATAGTAAAAAATATTATTTCTGTAGTAAATCTTATTTTAGGAGTAATTTTTCTTATTTCCGAAGCAAAAGTTGCTAGAGATGTGCAGAACTTTTGGACAATTTAGGTTTTACTTTTGTAAGTATAGTAAAAGTTACTTTATATTTTTTTTCATGTAGAGTTTAGTTTTTTTGGTGCAGTCACAATAATAGTACACTCAGAAAAATTCTTGGTAAATTTTATTTTATTTACTATTTCTTCTAGTTCCAAGAGGCTCCAGTTAAAAAACTATAGTATAAAAAACAATTTCAAAAATAGTTACACTAACAGTAAAATCTACTATTTCTGTAGTAAATTTAACTGATAATAGTTATTTTAATGATTTAAATGACAGTTATTTCAACTGAAAATATTCAAAATTTTAACTGGCTTAAATTAACTATTTAAATTTAGTACTATTAACTAAATATTTCAGTAAAACAAAATCATTCTAAATATGATAGTTTTAAATACTTTTTTTAACTATACCCAAAAGAGTGATTATTTTTACCAATGCAAGTTTTTTGAGTGTAGATGTTTATTTCCTTATTATAGGTATATATATTTTTTTCTAAGTATTCTTTTTTCTCAATGGGTTACTTTTACCTCGCATTTTTTTTTTTACACTTACGATTCAGTGAAAATATTTCGAGCTGGACCGTCAGATTGATTGGTTGGTGTTCATATGTATGTAGTCCAAGCAATATTTGACCGGTGAGCACGTCAACGGGTGAGAGAGAGAGAGAGAGAGGTTGAAACGGCTGATAGGATACGACCGTGGTAGCGGAGGTCGGGGGTGAAATCAATACTCTGCGGTCTCCGCCCTCGAGGGTAACGCAAACTAACACTATCTTAAATTCAGCACACACTTCTCACTTTTCTGTACCTTCAGATGCTACATCTTCTATATAGTATACGTGTATTTTTTATTCCCTTTTTTTTCAAAATAATGTTGATAAAGAAATTATATAGACACGTATTTACTATCTACATATATAGTATATTAGCGTTATACAAAGTAGTGCTTCTAAGTCGTTTCTTATCACTGTTAAATATGTGCATTGAGTTAAGTAAATACCTTCTGATAAATGACAGTCAAAATTATTTAATAATATTGGAAAATATGATTATTTTTAAAAAGCATAAGTGCCAATAAGAAGGGGGGAGGGTCCATTGTAGAAGAAAAGACAATAACAAAATCTAATTTCAATTGGAGAAAATAAAAAAAAATTAGGAAATCTGCTCTGTTAAAAGTAAAAATCAAGTAAGTTTGAAAGTTGATACAAACGATTTTCATCCTTATGCGGTTTTTTGGACAGCAAAAATGTTATCTCATTTTGTAACTTGCGATCGTATTTTATAGTTAGAAATCGGATTATACAACTTTACGCGCAGAAAAATTGAAATTTCAATCTCGAAAAAGTGTTGGCTTGAGATATTTTAATTATCTCCGTGAAATGAATTGAATGAAATTTTTGTATCTTTTTCTTGTCGAACTATATATTGGTTGCCAATAGTGGACTTTTGATAAAATTTTTGGATGATATTGCCATTAATCCAATATTGATTTCGCTGACAAGACAAATAATGAATATTCAAATTTTTGACTACTAAGACTGGACTATTATTGAAAAGCAATGATCGATTTCCAAATACCTGCCCAGTTTTCGTAGACATTTAATAACCATAAGCTTTTGAGAATCTGTTTTTTGTTTTGGCAATCGAAGATGGACCATAATGATTGGCAACTTCGTGAACATGCCAAGATTTTACCAATTGTGGTACAATATTGGATGCCAATGGTTTGACAAGAAAAAAAGCGATTGGGAATCATCATTGGTCCATTATTTAGCCAATCGTAACCAATGGTAATTTTCCATTGGGTATCGCAGATTAATAAGGTTCATACTAATTTTCAGTATGGTCAAAAACTGATACAAGTTCGGAAAGCAAAGTTAGTACCAGTTTTTGACCAAATAATATCCGAAAATTAACATGGTTTATGTATTAATTTATGTACCATGTTAATTTTTGGTATTATTTGGTCAAAAACTGGTACTAGCTATGCTCTCAAAATGTAGCAGTTTTGCTCTCAAAACGTACCAGTTTTTGACCATACTGAAAATTAGTACAGACCTTATTAGATTTCCATAATATTTGGTGTTTATAACTAGTACTAGCTTTGCTTTCAGAACTCGTACCAGTTTTTGACCATACTGAATATTAGTATAGATCTAATTAATTTTCGGATATTACTTGGTCATAAACTGGTACAAGTTCGGAAAGCAAAGCTAGTACCAGTTTTTTTGACCAAATAATATCGAAAATCAACATGGTTTATGTGTTAACTTATGTACCATGTTAATTTTTGGTATTATTTGGACAAAAACTGGTACTAGCTATGCTCTCAAAATGTAGCAGTTTTGCTCTCAAAACGTACCAGTTTTTGACCATACTGAAAATTAGTACGGACCTTATTAAATTTCCATAATATTTGGTGTTCATAACTAGTACTAGCTTTGCTTTCAGAACTAGTACCAGTTTTTGACCATACTGGGTATTAGTATAGATCTAATTAATTTTCGAATATTATTTGGTCAAAAACTAGTATGTATTGGAAAGCAAAGTTAGTACCAGTTTTTGACCAAATAATATCCGAAAATTAACATAGTTCATATTAATTTTCAGTATGGTCAAAAACTGGTACAAGCTAGTACTAGTTACGAATATCAAATATTACGGAAATTTAATAAGGTCTGTACTTATTTTCAGTGTGGTCAAAAACTGGTATATTCAGAAAGTAAAGCTAGTACTAGTTTCTGAAACCAAATAATACCCAAAAATTATTAACGTCTAATTTTCAGTATAGTCAAAAACTGGTACGTTTCAGAGACTAAATAGTACAAAATCATGTTTGTTTTTTGTAATTTTTTTCAGTAAACGCAGTTTCTTATATAAATTCCAAAATAAAAACTGCTATACGGAAAATTGTATGCGCAGTTATATATTATATTCAGAGCTTGAGAAATGATGAAACGCGCGGGATTGGGGAGGATAGAAAAAGCATGTTAGAGAGTCTCTTACTTCTATCATGGTAGCTTAGAGAGGCAAGTTAGTGAGTTTGCAGGTTGAAGGACACTAGGGAGGGATTACGAGTATATACATATATATAGCAAGGTTGCTAAGTTAGTAATTTTTGCTTGGCTAATTTTTTTTTTTTGAAAATTATTCCTCATTCTACTATATCAAATAATTGTCTCAAAAATTGGAAATAAACATTAATTTTCTTTATGAGTTGTAGTAAAATTTTTAATTTTTTTTTAACTTCTTTCAAAGTAAATTCCAAATTGTTCGGAATTTCTGAATTTATATGGCAATAGTAAAAAATACTATTTTCGAAGTACAATTCTTTTTAGAAGTAATTTTTTCTATTTCCGCAAAGCGAAAGTTTCGGACAGTTTAAATATTATTTCTAAACAATTTGAAATGCGTTTCTAAAATCTGTAGAGTAATTTTTTGTCCCAGTTCGAAAAAATTAGGTTAATATATGGAAAAAAAAAATTATATGAATTTTGTTGGCTGTGGAAAACTGAGACTATTTACATGTAGAATCAAGTGACCTAACAAGTCACATGGTCTTAATATGCAATACAAAGTAGACGATGTTTAGCTATTTATATACCATTTGTTTTTTATTTTCTCATATATATTGTAGGTTTTTTTTTGTGTCTTCAATAGTATGTTTTTATTATAGGAATTAAAAACATTGAATATTTAGTTGTCATTTTCTGTTATTATAAATAAAATAGTGTCTAAGGATTATAAAAAAAAAAAAAAAATACTTTAGAAATGCATTAACTACCTTTGTTTTTATCGAGAATTAACAATTAAATGGTTATATTTTTCTTTTAATCTACACCTGAAATTATACATGTTTATCATATTTTTTTTTTACGATCAAAAACTTGTAAACTCTTGTTTTCGTGAATGGATAATATTTTGAATTCCATTTTAGTTGTACTTTAAAAAGTACCTAGATTTTTTATTGTTATTATTTTGTATTTTTAAAAATTTTAATTATATACTGACAATTGGAATATTAAAATTAATTTGTTTTTATTTTGTTACAGGACATGTCTGATGTATGCGTAGGAACAAGTGTGGGGACTATTACGGAACCTGAGTGCTTAGGACCATGTGAACCTGGTACCTCTGTAACTCTTGAAGGAATCGTATGGCATGAAACTGAAGGAGGTAATAATCCTTGATATTATTATTATTATTATTATTATTTTACGGAAAAAAAAAACTTTACCTGGAACAGCGATATATTTCACTAAAACAACGAAAGTTTTTCGCTATTCTAGAGAAACATATCGTTGTTTCAGTTAAAGATTTTTTCCGTGTATTACTATTATTATTACTATTATTATTATTATTACTATTACTATTATTAATATTTCTAAATGGTTCACCGAAGAAAAAATATTCTAAAATTTAGAATATACACTTGGGACCTATTTTAGAATATTTTATACTTAAATTTAGTATGTAATATTCTTAAAATTGGACTATATTCTTGATACTTAGTATATATTCTAAATGCTAAAAATGTATACTAAATACTAAGAATATATTCTAATTTTAAGAATTTAACATACTGAATTTAAGTATAAAATATTCTAAAATAGGTACCAAGTATATATTATAAATTTTAGAATATTTTTTTTTTCGGGGTTTAAATATTCGAAAATTAAAAATAGTAAAATAGTAAAACTTACTTACTTACATACTTACTGAGCACAGGCCTTCGTTTAGATGTAAGAAGTTAGTTAACTCGTGTCACGCGTAGTAGGGGAATACGAATATATATACAGATACACACTATAACTAACAAGCTGGAATGAGGTTCCGAATTGACCCGACGAGAATCCGAATTTAGACGAAGTTCACTTAAGTTTGCTTCCATCGACATGCATATAGTGTCTGGCTTATATACCACACACTTTTTAGAAAGAAAAAACTTGTTCAAATCGCATTAACTAAGTATTTACTTTGATAAATATACGAAACATAACCTCTAAATGTATAAATTTAACAAATGACGCTAAAATTTTTTTTTATAAAATTCACCGACACCATCAAAATATATTTTAAATGAAAGTTTTTATTTTTACCTTACAGGATTGTTGTACTATACCTGAAGTATTCTTTGGTAGAACGATGCTGAAGTTAACTAAATTTATGATCGACGAATTTTAGAGAAATATATATATATATTTTTTTAATTCAAAATTCTATGAATTTTATAATTTTTGTCTTGAATTGCAATCTTAATTAACAAATTTGTAAAAATTATTTTTTAAACAAAGAAAACGTATGAAATTTTTTTTTTTAATCCGTTAATCATAAATTGTGAACTAAAGCATTGTTTTGTAGGCACAATTTTAGAAATAGAATATGCGAGCGTTATATTTTTTAAAAAATCGATTATAAATACATTTATTAGTACCCGTACAACAATTCTGTAAAGCACGGGTACTGCAACCTTAATGTATATTATTTTAATTTTTAATTCCCCTCATAATGCAAAATATGTGACGCAAATTATTCTATAAGAATTATTAATTAGAATTTTCATTTTAAAATATTCTATTAAATATATAATTATTTTTTTAAACGAAATATCATAAAAATGATTCGTTTTTTCTTTTTTTTTTTTGTTACAGGTGTATTAGTTGTAAATGTAACGTGGAGAGGTAAAACTTATGTGGGCACATTACTGGATTGTACAAGACATGATTGGGCGCCGCCACGATTTTGTGACTCGCCAACAAGTGATTTAGATGCAAGAACGCCTAAGGGTCGTGGTAAAAGAGGTCGTGCAGCAGCTAATACAACTCCTGGAAATGATCTCAGCAATTTTACCGAGACAAGAAGTTCTGTTCATAGTAAATTGAGAAATGGCGGTGGTAAAGGTCGTCGTGGCGCTCAAAGTTCACCGGCAGCAAGTCCAAGTCCCGCGTCATCGGTGACAGTGACAACGGCCAATACAACGACATCTTCATTTGTACCCCCTCGCGCTGATCCCGCAGCAAAAAGAAAGTCACGTGGACCCGAGGAAGATGACAAAAGCAAAAGAAGAGCACCACCACCGCCAACGCCAACAAGTGGCTCACCTCCCGCAAGTCCAATTCTATTGGAATGCCCTGAACCTAATTGTAGTAAAAAATATAAGCACATTAATGGACTGAAATATCATCAAAGCCACGCACATGGCTCAGCCGATGATGATGATACTAAAGAAGGTATCACAAGTATGTCTGAGAATGATGAGAGCAATATTGAAACCCCAAGTCCAGCGACACCGGTTAAATCGCCTTCGGAGAAAATGGAAGCCGTCACGCCTATTAGAATTGCAAGTCCCACGAATACGTCAATACCCCCCGAGACACCACCCCCACCGCCGAGAGTTCCATCTCCGATTAGCAATGAAACGCCATTAATCGTTGGAAGCACTGCTGCTGTTGCTGCTGCTGCGGCAGCTGTTGTCACTGTACCCACTGTTGCAGCAACTTCGTCGTCATCGTCGTCGTCATCATCCTCGTCGTCGTCCTCATCATTATCACTGTCGTCAGCGGGAGCTGCCATCAATATTACTGTACCAACGGTCACTTCGGATAAGAGTATCGTTAAACCAGGTGTTCTTCGCTTTGGACAGGATGAGCAAATATCTTCACAAGCCAATGCACCTTGTCTCAGGCAACTGGTAATTATCATCAATGGAATAGTTAAAGTTCAATTTTTAGAATTTTATTCTATCCTCGTTAAGCTTAGAGAAAATTAATTCTTTTTTACAAAAATTAATGGACTGTTTTTTCGTTTTTAGGTACAGCAGCAAACGTCGCCTCTGCAATCATCAAATCCCAATCCATCAAGTCCAAATCCTCGTTCGAGTCAATCTCCAAGGCCAGTACAAACAAGTTCACTTCCCAGCCCAGGAATTCCACAGCCCCTTAATATCCCTCAACCCCCACAAACGACGACGACAACAACAACAACGACGACAACTCAACTACAACACTCAATTCAAAGTAGTATTGTCTCATCTCAACAATGTCTTTCTAACGCACCACCACCACTACCTCATCATCATCATCTTCATCATCACCATCATCAAACAACTCAACAATCACATCATCAACTTCAATCTGTACCACCTCCCCTCACATCTAATAATCAACTTCTTACTTCTCAACAACAACAACAACAACAGCAGCAACAACAGCAACAGCAACAACAACCACCGCCACATTCGCAACAAAATCAACAAACAAACCTACTCACATCATCGCATCCCGGTCTTCAAAATCTCTCGACCAATCAAATGCCAAGCCAATCGACTTTACAATCAACACCAGGCGCAACGCATCTTCAATCATATTCAAACGTTGGTCTACATACAAAAATACCCCAATTCAAAGTTAAACCAACTGCCGCCTTAATGCCCGAACAAGACAAAAGTAAAGATCTCCGTTCAACGAAACCACAAGGCTACAAGAAAAAATCACGTAAATCACCAGGTGGTAGTCCACATCCATCGCCCCTTGAATCGCCATTAATTGATTCAGGACGTGAGGATGTACAATCGCCCGCCTATTCTGATATATCCGATGATGCAACACCCGATTCTGATAATATTGACAAAGGCTTAAAGCCAATACACCAAGAAAAAGATACAAAGACTTCACAAAGTCATTTGCCAACACAATTTAATATGTATCCTTATTATGGCCAGTCACAGTATCTTGTTCCAACTGTACAGGACAAAACTGGACAGGATCAAACAAAAATAAGTGATCTCACATCAAAACAAGAGATTGTTAAACCTCTCAATATACCACAGATGCCTTCAATCAATAGCTTGCAAAGTATTGCGGCAGAAAAAGAAAAATCCAATAAGGATATAACGCAAACGCAGCCACATTATTATGCAAGTTATGGTGCTTATATGCCACCTGGTTATCCTTATCAGCAACAACTTGCACAACCGCCACCAACGCAAATTCAAATTCAAGACACCGAGGTGCATGAACAAAAATTATGTAAAATTAAACAGGAACCTCAGCCAACGAATTTGAAGGATAAACAACATGAGAATCATCAAATACTTAAAGAAAGTATTGAAATGAAAAGTCAAATGACGCCCTATCATGTTTATCATGGTACACAAAGAGCACCGCCACCAACGAGTTCATCGCAAATGCAAGATGACAGAAGATATTATCTTTATCCCGGTGATCAAAGGCGAAAAGATGAATGTCCCATTAAACAAAGTCAATCGAAACCATCAATACCACCTAGTCCTAAGCATCAAACATCAAAGCAAGATAAACCACAGGAGATTGTGAAAAATGAGGATATTAAAATTAAACAGGAAGGCGTTAAACCAACAATGGAAACGCAAGGACCACCACCGCCTCCAACTTCGCAATATGCTTATATTCATCCTGGTTATATGCCACCGCAGCATTATGGAGCTTTGAGTTTTGATCCAGGACATCCGGTTTATCGTGGGTTGAGTCCAATGCTAGTTCCGGGTCCATACAGTGGCAATCCTTATCTTCATCAATTGCCAAGGTAAATTTATTTTATTTAATTGTAAAATCAAATGTTATTGAAATTATGTTTTTTTTTTGGGACGCATGATTATGTTCGAAAAATCATTAGTCATAATTTTATTGAATTTTATTTGTCCTAGTTTTGAGCCGAATTTTTATTTGTTCGAAATAGCATTTATTCAGGCCTCAGATTAAACGACTTTTGCGACTATTTCCGACTTTTCTTTTTTCAAAAATACGATTTTTTCGACTTATTTTAATAAAATAAGACTTTTTCGACTTTTTTACATTTTTAAAAAATTTTTTTTAATAAAATACGTTTTTTTTTTTTAGTATAAAATGCATTAATTATTTTTAATAATTTTAATGAAATTCATCACAAATTCAATTATTTCAAAAATATTTTTCAATTAAAATATTTTATGAAATTTAACAATTGTTTAAAAAAATTTTTTTAAATTGAATAAAATTACCAAAAATTTTTAATTCAAAATCACAAATCAATTCAAAATCTTTTAAAATTCATTTATTTTCAAAAATTTCAATTTAAAATCAACTAAAATTCAATTATTTTCAAAATCTTTCAAAATTCAATTATTTTCAAAATTTTCAATTTAAAATCAACTAAAATTCAATTATTCTCAAAAATTTCAATTCAAAATTCAATTATTATTAAAATTTTCAATCAAAAATCAACTAAAATTCAATTATTATCCAAAATTTCAATTGAAATTTAATTATATTCAAAAATTTGAATTTAAAAGCTTCTAAAATTTAATTATTTCTAAAATCCTCCTGAAATTCAATTATTTTTAACTATTTTTATAATCTTCTTCTAAAATTCAATTATCTAAAATCATTTTGCAATTAAAAAGATTTTTAAGTTCAATTTTTGTAATTACTGACAAATTCTTCAATTATTTTCCAAAATTTTAATTCAAAATCTTTAAAAATTCAATTATTTTCAAAATTTTCAATTTAAAATCAACTAAAATTGAATTATTCTCAAAAATTTCTATTCAAAATTCAATTATTATTAAAATTTTCAATCAAAAATCAACTAAAATTCAATTATTATCCAAAATTTCAATTGAAATTTAATTATATTCAAAAATTTGAATTTAAAAGCTTCTAAAATTTAATTATTTCTAAAATCCTCCTGAAATTCAATTATTTTTAACTATTTTTATAATCTTCTTCTAAAATTCAATTATCTAAAATCATTTTGCAATTAAAAAGATTTTTAAGTTCAATTTTTGTAATTACTGACAAATTCTTCAATTATTTTCCAAAATTTTAATTCAAAATCTTACAAAACTCTTACAAAATTTAATGATTTTGAATAATTTTATTATAATATTCTTAAAAAATTCAATTATTTAAAATTATTTATATTTTTATTTTATTTTATTTATTTTTTTCAATTAAAAACTTTTGAAATTCACTGTTTGTCTGTATTTCTTAGAAATAATTCATCACCAAAAAATTTCAATTAAAAATCACTTGAAGTTCAACTATTTTCAAAATTCTGAATTTGTAAATCTTGGAAAATTCAATTATTAAAAAAAAAAAAAATTGTTATCTTAAATTTTTTGATAATTTTTAATTCTGAAAATTTAATTATTGTCTGAAACTAGACAGAATGTTTTAAATTTTTAGTAGAAATTTGTCATACTTAATTAAAATTTTTTAAATATACGTCTTCGATTCTGAAATATTTTAAATAAATTGTTTTTTCTAATAATATTCCTATAAAATTATTCTTATTGAGAAATTAATAAAATGTATTTAATATCTAATAACATTAATCATTTAAAATAAATTTTTTAATAACTAATTAAATTTAATTAAAATTAAAAAAATCGACTTTTTCTACTTTTTTTTGGAATGTAAATTGCCTAAAACGACTTTTTTTACGCCATAAAATTGATCTGAGGCCTGTAATAATAAAAGCATCAGAGAAATATTTTTATCAAAGAAAATAACAATTTTTGAATTAGGGCTGATAAAAATTATGATTTTTTTTTAAACAAATAAAAAAAAATCCGATTTTTATTAAAAATACTGAAAAAATATAAAAAAGCTGAATTTGTTGAAAAAAAATCCACTTTTGGAAAAAAAAAATGAAGAAAAATAAAAATTTTCCATCATTTAAACAAAGAAAAGTATTTTGTCAGATTCAGGGAGAAGGATAAAATTTTTTTTCTGGAAATCAGAGAAAAATTAAATTAAATTTTTGTGACAACCCTGATTGAAAAAAATCGTGTTTCTAAAATTTTCAAAAGGTAACTTTTTTTTTATTTGAGACGCTTGAATTTCTGTTAAATAACAATTGGAAGAAATAAACATTACATTTTTTTTTTAAATTGAATAAAAATAAAATAAATAAAAATTATTTACGAACTTACAGAAAAAAAGAAGGAAAAACTCAAAAAAGTTAAATAATTTTTATTTGACAAGAAACTTTTGGGTAAAAATAAATTTTTTTAAATTCTACAACTGAATCTTTCAAAATTTGATATCAATTTCAAAATATTTGTTTATGTTTTTTTTCAAAATTTTATAAAAAAAAAATATCTTATTTTATTCATTGAAATATTCTCTACAATTTTTTTTTTTTTTTTTCAAAATGATGTTGAAAATATTTTATTTGAAAAATTACAAAATAATGAAAAAAATTGTTTTTATTAAATAATTTTCTTATTTTTATTGTCTTATTTTCGTATATTTTCGAATTTTTTCAATGTTTTAATTGTTTTTTTTATATTATAAATAATAATAAACATCATGTTTATACTGGAGATAAATAATTTTAGTAGATAAATAGCTAAAAATCTTATTTTTCTTTTCTTTTTCAATTTATTCATTTTCATTTTCTTTTTATTATAAATAATAACTATTTGTTTATACTGTAAATAAAATAATTTTATTAAATAGCTAAAAAAAAAAAATTTGTTTTATCAATTTTCCTCTAGGTATCATGGCGCCGCAGAAGATTTGAGCAGACCACCAGCAGGAAAGGCACTCGATCTTCTGCAGCATCACGCGAACCAGTATTACTCAGCTCATAAAATACATGAACTTCAAGAACGCGCCTTAAAGTCACCGACGCCAAAAGGTGTTAGTTCATCAGCAAGTCCATCGTCAGTTGGCGGTCCAAATCCAACAAGGCCACCAAGTGGTCCACCAACCGGTGTTCCTGGACCACCTCAAGGTCAACAATCGTCAGGCAAACAAAGCCAATCAATGGGACAACAGCCAACAATGGGACAGCAACAGCAGCAGCAGCAACAACAACAACAACAGCAGCAACAATCAACAGTTGGTCAAGTTGAAGTGCCTGGTGTAACTGGAAATCTTGGCAAAGACAGTAGAACATCATCATCGCCACCGCCACCACCTCCTAGATTAGTTCATCATACGCATCTTGATATCGGATACTCGATTTTGAACGGTCAATATCCCGCGCCTTACGGTGGTAAGCCACTTGTCAGGCCCTGACAGTAAGGCTTCCATGAACGTCGCGCTTCCGTGACAAGTGAAAAAGTGACAAGATTCTAACAATTCAGAATCGCCCCTTCCCCCCCATTTATAAATATGAAATCACGCACCCCCCCTCCCCCCCTACTGGCTGACTTTGCACGACATAACCAAAATGCAACGTGATAAAAAAAATGAAAAAAAATAAAAACGGCAAATTCCGCCCTCGTCCAAAATTTTTTCTATTTCACGTCATTTCTTTTTTTTTTTAAATATGCATTAGCCTTTCTTTTTTTTTTAAACCGTCGTCTAAATAATTTTTATTTTTTGTGACGTAAAAACGGTACGAATTGAAATTTTCATTTTTATAATTGAATTTTAATTGAATGAAACGGAAATAATTGAATTATTCCGAAATTTATTTTCTGTCTGAATCAATAAGGGAGGAATAATATTCTCAATGGGGGAATTTTCGTAGTGACGAATTAAAAATTATCGAATTTTCATTTAGGAGAATTTTATAAAGAATTTTGTAAATAATTTTACAATAAGCAAAATAAGATGGAAGATGGATGGAGAAGAATAACAAAATAATAACAGAATGAAAGAATTTTGATGAGGAGAATTTTTATTTAACTAAATTCTGATTTAGTAAAATTTCCATTTAACTAAATTCTGATTTAGATAGAATTTTTATTTAACTAAATTCTAATTTAGTAAAATTTCTATTTTAGAAAAAATTTAAATAAAACAAATTTTCTGATACATTAAATTTTCAATTAATACAATTTTCATTTAAAAAAGTATCAAAGAATCGTAACAAAAGTTAGTTTAATTGTGTATTGTTGTATTTTCAAAGAAAAGAAAAAATTAATTAAATTTTGAATAAAAGCTTCAGTTAAATTTTAAATAATTTAATTTACAAAATTTTAAACAATTAGAAATTAAATTTAAATCAAAATTAAGTTTTCTGTGTCTAGAAACTTTTAATTTTTGATTAAAAATGCAATTTCCAATTCATTAAAATTCTCAAAAATTAAATTACGAAAAATTATTATTAATTAACAAATTTTGTTCTTTTATCGAATTTCTATATTTATCCAAATATTCAACTTAGCAATATTTTTGTTAACTGAATTTTCATTTTACAGAATTTTTTGTATAAAAGAATTTATTTAACAAAACTTTGATTAATGAAAATTTTTTATTAAAAACTAATTTTTGACATGAAAACTAAATGACAATTTTGTTAATTAGAAAATTAAGTTGAATGAAAATTTTCTTTAATAAAAGATTTATTAATTAAGAATTTTGTTAAATATAAATTTTTTTAAATTAAAAATTTTATTATAGAGAAATTCTGTTAAATAAAAATTTTCTTACATAGAAATTCTATTAAATAAAAAATTCGATAATTTTTTTAATTCGACGCCACAAAAATTTCGCCAAATTTAATGTTGAAGAATATTGATGCGTCTCTTTAATAATTGTATATATATATATATTTTTTTTAATCATTAAGTTTTAATTTATTGTCAATTTAGAAGGTTTAAAAACATAATCTTAAACTAAAAATTCTTTAATATTGAAAAAAGAAAACAATAGAAAAAAAAGAAACAATAATATAAAATAATTTTCATATTTCTGATAATCGGATATATGCCAAAAGTCATTTAAAAAAGAAGAAGAAGAATAAAAGAAAATAATTTTAATATATTTAAAAAAAAAAAAAAAAAACTATAAATACGATTTGGAAAAAAATACAAGTCATCAAAATTAAAATTATTTTTATAATAATAATAATCCACGTTTTATTCGATTTAAATAAATAATTCATTTTTTATTATAATCCTTTAAAATTTTGTTTTTTTGAATTTTTTTGAAAATCGAAAATTAAAATTATTTTTTTAAATTCTTGTTTTTATAATTTTTAAATAAATTATTTAAATATTTAAATAAATTCAATACAAATGATTGTAAACTATTTTATGAGGAATAAAATAAGGTATAATTGTCATTATTATTATTATTATTATTATTATTATTATTATTATTATTATTAATAATAAAAAAAAATAATAATAATAATATTGATTAAAATCGAATTTATTTCAAATTGTTTGATTTTTCTGTACAAAAGCGTATTTAGTTTGAGATTATGTCTATTATTAAACTTTCTTAAAAAACCGCTCTTTTCAAAACAAAACAATAAAAAAACAATGGAACCTTTCTCTTTTAATAATTATTGATATACATTGTCAGAGTGAAAAAAAATGACTAGGGAAAAAAAAATTAAAAATCATTACCTGAAATTTAGCGGGAAAAAAAAACTTTTTTTTTTTCATATTTTGTATTTTCAGCACTGAAAAGAATTTATTTTGCATCTAGGTTAATTAAAATTGTATTGATTGTTATTTTTTTCTTTGAAAAAGAAGAAGACTATTTTAAATAATTGAATTGAATAATTATTTTTGTAAAAATTCTCTTATTGTATAGAAAATTCTTTTCAGTACTGTGAAAAAAATATAAAATTCCAATGATTTTTAATTCTTTTTTTAAAACAATTTGTTTTTCAATTTTGTTGAAATTTTGATATATTTCTTTTCAATCGACGATATTTGAGAAACGGAAAACTATGATAATTTTTTTTAAATTTTCATTTACCTAAATACATTCCAAATATCAAATGAAACATTATTTTCAAGCTAAAAAAAAAAAAAAAAAAAAAAAAGCAAACACTGATGCAATATCATTTTAGCTAATTTCAAGTCGTTGTGCAGTAGGCTAGTTCAGACTGTGATAATTATTTGTCGTGCTTCAGATATGCGAAAGCATTTTTTATTTCGAAAAAAGAAAAATTCATTTCGCAATGGTTAGAGTTACTCTAATTTTTTTTTTTTTCTTTTTTTTAAGTAGACTACAGTCTTCCATGTTAATAAAATAAAATCATCACCTTTGCACCAATCTTTTAAGAGTAAAAAAAAAAGAATACATATTTGTACAAAAATCATTTTGTATTAGAAACAGTGAGAAAGAAAAATCTAATTTTAAAATTAATTAGAAAATTGGACTGAAATTTATATATATATATAGGCCCAACAATTTTTTTTTTTTTGAAATGAGTTAATTTTATACTATAAATATAATGTGTATATTCTATTTCTGCTTTCGTGGTTGAGAAAATGCAACCAGAAAAATTCAGAGCGATCTGTTAACGATCACTGCCATGATTAAACGCGCAAAACTGGAAATACTTAAATTCTATAGAAAAACGACTTGAATAAAATATTTTAAACTTTTGTTTTTTTAAATATATATATAGGACGAGGGCGGCTATTACAATAACAACAATGTTCTATTAAAAAAGAAAAAACACGGGATTTTAATTTCTGTAATTATTCACAAAAGTAGCATTATAAGCCAGTTGAAAAATTTTGCATGTTTTTTATACGTTTCCGATTTGCAAAAAAAAAGTATTACAATAAACAATATATATGATATATATATATATAATTTTTTTAACTGTATATAATTACAAATATTTCTAATGAAATAATTAAAAAAAAATTTGACAACTGGTTTTGTTTCGTTCTACTTTTGTTTTCTTTTTTTTTTATGGAAAATTCCGTGTGTATGAGTCTCAGACTCTAAATTAGATTGTATATACTGTAGAATATAAATGTATTATATATACATAATTATACATAGGAATAAAAATATATATATATAAATATAAATAATATAATTATAAGGAAAATAGTACGCGAGACCTCGTGTCTTTTTTTTAAAAATCGAGGATTCTCCTAAAGCGTATCTTGCATTTGATTCAGTTGTCAATCTAAGATTGAATATATTGAAAAAAGAGGGGGAAAAAAAAAAAAAAAAAAAATTAGATAAAAACGTGACATGCTTAAGCGGCAAGTTTCGCTAGACTGAAACTCACAGCGGATATTTGTGGACGTATTTTTTTTTTTTTTTTTCTCTTGTCCTTTTTGGATAATTACACTCGCACATGAGAATTAAAAAAAAAATAATAATAATTCTTATCTGTAAAATGCGAGAGTGATTTTTTCATTTAATTTCCGTGTGAGTTAACAAAGAGTGAAATTTTTAAAAATTGCGCATTTGTGTTTTTGTATATATACAAATTATACAAACTCATACAAATTTCAAAAAAAAAAAAAAAAAATGTATACACAATTATGTATATATATTTTTTTTTTGATTTGTATGCAGTGAGTAAAGAAAAAGCGAAATTAATGTATTTTATTGTAAAGAAAAACAAAAAAAAAAAAACTGCGAACTTGGATTTTTGTAGAAAATTACGTAACTTGCTAAAAAAACAAAAAAAAAAAAAAAATACAACTATCTTCTAGGTCATTTAGTTCTTAATGAAGGAAAAAAAAATACGATTCTAAATAATAAACAGACAGAGAAAGAGAGAGAAATGAAAAAGAAAAAATTGTATGAATGAACGAACGAAAAAATGTGTAAATTTAATCTCGAAATTCCGAGATTTTTCATGAGTGGTATAAAAAAAGAAAGAAAGAAAGAAAGAAAGAAAGAAAGAAATAAGAAGTGAAAAAAGAGGAGAAAAAAAACTAATTACGTATAAATATAGTTCGGTATTATCATCATCATTATTATTTTACTAATAAACGACATTGCGAGATGATAACGTGTATGAGCGAATAATAGGTATTGTATATCCTGTTTTCAGGCGTAAATGAGAATAGTAAAAACGGAACCTTGTTGGGTTGCATAGTGATGCATATGCCAAATCAAAAAAAAAAAAAAAAAAAAAAAAAAAAAAAAAAAAAAAAAAAATGAAAATAAAAATAAAAAAAAAAAAAAAAATGATACATTAATTAAAATTCAAGTCGCGATTTCTCGGTTTTCTACACGTGGGTAGAACACTTTTTAAGTATTAATTAAATACATAGAAAATAAGCGGAGAAAGGGAAATAAAGGAAAAAATCAATACCTGTTTATTCATTTTCTATAATTGTAGAACGATTATTTAATTAGTAAAGTTTGCATATGAATAAAAAATAAGCTTTAATAATACTAATACCAGTTATTATTAATTACTATTATTATTGTTGCTGTTAAATAATTATTCAATATGTGAAGGATAACTACTATTTTTTAATATTATTATTATTATCATTATTATTATTATTTTTATTATTATTATTATTATTATTTTTAATAATAATAAAAAAATAATCCTATAAAAAAGGAGTAAATAAGTAGTTATCCAATTTTACTGTATATATATATATATATATATATATATATATATATATGATTATAATTTCCAGTGTCGAATTAACAGTGTTGAAGACAACAAAGAAGAACAGAAAATTTCAAATTTTTGAAATTTAAAATAATGAATTTAATTTAACAAAAAAAAAATAATACAATTGATAAAGAAATCGATTTTTCAAATTATAATCCCCTGTATTTAGATTTCTTTTTTTTTTTTTTTAATTTCGTACAATTAAAATATTGTTTCGTAATTTTTTCTCTTTCTCCGCTATATAAGAGTATTGGTGGAACAAATTTCAAGAAAATGTCAAAATTTAAAATCTACAATTTTGCATTTTATTCAGAAAATAATTTTCCGAAAAAAAAAAATCATATCCTTTTATTTTTAATTTCTCTAAAAACAGTTTTAGTGAAAAAAAAAAATTATTTTTTAAATTAAAAAATAACTTTAAAATTTGTTTTTTGGAAATTTTCAAAATTAAATGCAATTTTAATAGAAAATTTTGTAAAATTTTGTCAATTTCTTTTTGTTTTGGTCCAAGGAAGAAAAAAAAAAGAATCATTCAAACTCGAAAAAAAATAAATAAATAAAAAATAGTTTGACCCACTCAATTATATATATATATGCTAAATGCACATGTATTTGTGTAATATTCTATACTAATTAGATACCCAAGTACATGTGCAAACACAAATTAACTCTCATCAAATATTTAAATTGTGCACTATGCTCCGACTTGTCCAGACGAATAATAAATAAATTGAAAAATCTTTGGCTTTTCAGTTATATATTAAATAATTAATTTTTAACTTATTCAATATCTGTAGATGAAAGGTTGTGCTGGTAATAAAAAAAAAAAATATATATATATATATATATACACATATATATACATATCAGGTATGTACACATCCGAGAAGTTATTTGTATAATGTAATTATTTCAATATATTTAATTATAAGGCTATAAATAAAGGTATATAACATTTGCTTGTATATATACCAAGAAATATTTTTTAACTTTGCTATTATTGAATTATGTTCTTTTTTTTTTTTGAAAAACAAATATTTTATTTTTTAAGTTCAAATTATCGCAACAATTGGTTTTTTTTTTAAATGAAATAAGGTTCGTTTTTTTTTATTTTATTAGCAAAGTATTTTTTTTAAAAAGAAAGTTAAAATTGTTAATATAATTATGACCAGTGGAGGATTTAGCATTTACTTCAGGGTGAGGTCATTTTTATTGGCCAATTGTTATATTTAATTATTACTCTATAGGAGTTATTATATAAAATTTACAATTCTATAGAAGTATAATTTTTCATAATTGTTATGAAACAATTACATATTAGGTTGTGTCCACAATGAAATCGCCTTTAGCCATAGCTACCGCACCCTGCTCTAGTGAAAATTTAGTAACTTTATAGTTAAAATTAAAAGTTACTATAGTCACTAAATTTTTACTAGAGCAGGGTGCGGTAGCTGACGAGAATTCTGGCAAGGTTTAATGGAGCATTTACACCTTCGGCAAAAAATTGTCTTCACTTTGCATTTTCCGAAATACACTTACCTGATTGGTTGTTCACAATGAATCAAATTCTGGACAACCAATCAGGTAAGTGTATTTCGGAAAATGCAAAGTGAAGACAATTTTTTGCCGAAGGTGTAAATGCTCCATAAAGGTGCTTTTATACCTCCACTATTTTGGACAAGCAATCGCCTGGTTTGAATTTTCACGGTTGTATCACTGAATTTGATTGGCTTTGACAAATATTCCATTTCCACGGTGAAAATTTGAATATTGTTAGAGCCAATCAAATTAACTGATTCTCTGTGGAAAATTCAGTTCAGCCAATTGCTTGACTAAAATACTTGGAGGTATAAAAGCACCTTTACGATTTTCTATTTTTAGTTTCGTACGATTGGTCATACTGCGCGATTATTATGAAGTTCTCAATCATTTGAACAAATGATATAAAAAATTGAAATAAAAAGATTTTTTCTCTTTAAATCCAATAAAACTAGTGGAAAAAAAAGCAAAAATATGTCTACTGTTTTGAAGAAGGTATTTAATATTCTCTTACTGTACAAAATTTAGCAGACAAATGAAATTTTTTTTATTAATAGCATATTATACGTAACCTACTTTTTTTTCTATGTATTTTCTCAATAAAGTTTTAAATTGTTATTTCAATTTTTGTTAATATTTCTCAAATCTATTTTTTAATCGTTGTTTTTTTTTGGTATCTATTTCGAAATTTCAAATTTTAGAAGAAAATATTTTTATCTCTCCTAACCTCAAAATTGAAGTGATAGTAATTATTTTTAAAAGGATTTAAATAAATAAAGTTTTTATATAGAAAAAAAAACAGAGAAAATAATATGAAACTAATGTTTTAGACAACTGGTTTAACTGGGATTTTAGTATCAGAATATCCCCATCGTTCATTGAATATTTTGTATGGTAAAATTCTTCGTGCTCTCGATAAATTACCTCAGGACTATCCTTATAGAACAACGACGGAAAAATTAATCAAAGAACGAGCAACAATTGTCAAAGATGTAAGTCACAATATTTTCTTTTTTATTAATGTGAAAAAAAAAATTTATTTCAAAACTAATGTTAAACTGATAATTTATTCTTTTTGGAATTTTTTAATTACGTTTCCATTTTTTTTTTTAAATATTTTTTGACAAAAGTTTTAATTTTCATATGATAATGAAAAATATATATTATTTTTAATAATTATTAATTAATATTACTATTAAATTTAATTATAATTAATAATAACTATTAATAATATAAATAACGAATTATATTTATTTATTATATTCTTATTATTTTATTTATTATATTTATAATATTAATATATAATATTATAGTAAATTAAAGAGCGGAACATTTATTTATTATTAAAGAAGGCGAAAAGTTTGTAAAAACTCTGTATTGAGTATACAATTAAATGAATTATTATTATTATTAATAATATTATATAATATTATATATTTAATAAATAATAAATTTTTTTAAAAAATAAAATTAAAAATTTGTTAAATTAATTATAATTAAAATAGAATAATAATTATTTTAGAATCCGGATGTTGAAAATATAGAAAAAAAAATTGGATGCGGTCAAGTTGAAGAGTTAATAATTCAAGCACAAAATGAATTGGTATTGGCTCGAAAAATGTTAGAATATAAACCATGGCAGCCACTTGTTCAAGAAGCACCAAAAAATCAATGGGAATGGCCACCACACAAGTAAAATAATTCTCTAACTGTGCAGTACTTGTGTATTACAATTAATTATAATATTTAAAACTTTTAATTAGCATCAAAATATTGTTTTAGTTACTATCAATGTAATTAAAAAAAAATATATATATATATATTCAAGTTATTAAATATACATTAATTTATTAGAAAATTTGTCAAGTTATTCAATTTGACAATATAGAAAAATTATCTGAAATAAATTCCTGTGCCTAAAATTACTTTTATTTGAAAAAAAAAAATTTAAGATTTTTATAAATAATTTAATTTCAAGAGATTTTAAATTGAAATTTTTGTGAAATTGAATTAATAAAAAAATTTAAATAATAATAATTTAGAAAATTTATTTTTTATAAATTACAGACAATAATATTAAATAATTTAAAATTAAAGAATAACAAAAAATACTTTTAATTAATTGAATTTTAAAAGATCTTTGTTGAGATTTCTAAAAAAAAAATTAATTTGGTGAAAAAATTTTAAAGAGCAATTTACAAAATAATTGAATTTCAGAAGAGTTATAGACGAAATTTGTATATAATTAATTAAATTTCAAACGATTTAAAATTTTAAATTAAATTTTGTAAATTTCAATTGAAGAAGATTTCTTTTACAAATTACAGAGAAAATAATTGAATATTAAATAATTAAATTCTAGAAAATTCTGTTGAGATTATTAAATTATAATTAAATTGGCGAAAAATATTGAATAGAAATTCAAAAAAAAAAAAATAAATTTCAGAAGTCCAAATATTGTATAAATAATCAAATTTATAAATTTGTTTTTTCGAAATTAAATTTTTTCATTTCTGAAGACAATGTTAAAAGAATTTTTAGTTAATAATTGAATTTTAGAGAATCAATTGAAAAATATTTTTAAAAATTTTAATTTTCGAAGAATATTTTTCTTAAAAAAATAATTAATAAAAATAAAAAAAAAATTAATAAAATAATAAATAAAATAAAAATAAATAATATTTAATAATATAATATTAATAATAATAAATAATAAATAAAATAATTAATTTTATATTTTTAGATTCTTCAAAATAATTGAATGAGCTGCAGTTTGTACTGAAAAAAATACATAACTTTTGTTTTTTAAATTAAATAAATTAATTTTTAATTCTATTTTCTAAAATAAGTCGGAAAATTAGTCTTTTATTAAAATAAGTCAAAAAAAAAATCGTATATTCCGAGGCCGATTATTATTTATTATAGTTTATATATAAATAAATAATAATTTTTAAGCTTTTTTCTAACGTCTCACATTAATGCGCGTTAATTACGATTTTACACTCACAAGAGTACGGAACCTGAGGATTAAAGGACCTAATTTTCTCAGTGAATGATAAATTTTTCCAATAGAATAAAATTCCAATAATAAATAATTATTAAAAAAAAAATAATAATAAAAATAGTAAAAAAAAATGCAATATTAAAAAAAAATAAAATTTTTCCATTAAATACAATTTTTTTTTCTAAATGCATTATATATACCTACTGAATGTATTATAATGTACCTAGATACAAGTTGAAAAATGTAGGTGAGCTAGGGGCCCTATTGCGGACCCCTTACCACATTCAGAGAGACTGGTATGAGTCGCGATCTCCCGTTCGTACAGTTTGATACAGTTTCTTATTTTCTATTATAAAACTGATATTAACTCTTCAAACGTTAAGTCAAAAGAAAAAAAAAAAAAAAGAAAAAAAGAAAAAAATAACTAAATTAAATCATAAAAAAAGAGTTTTCTTTTCGTTTTGTGTTATTGTCATTTATATTATTATTTATGTTTGAAAAATCTGTTTTCTTTATTAGAAAGTATAAGAAAAATGAATTGTGGTATGTATAGTGTTTTACAGATTATTAGCATTATATACGAAAGAAGGTCAATTTGTGAAAGTGCGACTTTCTTAATAAATTAAATTCTAATAATATTATTGAAAATAATTCAATAATCGTATTTTATAAGTTGATTAACCACTTTTTTTTAGTGTTTTTATTTTTTTAATTAAACTATATATTATATTACATTTAGATATTTATATTTATTTTATAATCATATTTTTTTTTATATGTACTTTTTAATGAAAAATTAGTAAAATTCCAATAAAAATTATTTATTATTTTGCTAATTTTTAAATAAATTGATATTAAATTGTTTTGCCTTTTTTAGTTTTTTTCAATTATAATTTGTGATTAAAAAAATATTCGAATTATTTATTACAGTGCCAAAAATGTGAAAATATAATTAAGAAAATAAGAAACTGTTTAAAAATAGAATGGGAAATAATGGAAGTTCTTATCAGCATCAATGTACAAGTAATGGTTTTTCAAAATTTAAAAAAACAAATCGTGGATTTTCTCAATATTCAAAAAATTCTCTAGGAGAAAAATTTTTACCCGAAATAATTGATGAAAATTTACATGAAAATATTTTTAATGATAATAATAGTAATGGAAATTCAGCTTTAACATTACCACACGATCTTAATAAGGTAAATTTATAAATAAAAAAATAATTATAAATATATAATTTATATTAAAAACTAATTTTCATAAATAAAATTCAAATTTTATTTATAAAACAGATTAAATTTAATAAACACTGTCAAAATATTCGTCATTATCATGATCAACAGCAGGAAAATCAAAATCATCGAATTTCTCAATGTGGAAATTGTAAAATAGTAAAGAAGAAAAATTTTGCAAATCAAGAAAAAGAAATTTGTTCCAATATTAAGAAATTTAAAAGTGAACCAGATTTAAGGTAATTTTTTAATTATTAAAAATATTTGTTTTCTTTATTTTATTTATTAGAAAAAAATAATCTAAATTTTTTCCCCCTCAATAGATATTTAATGACAAATGAAGAAATGTTAAGAGCATTAAATTCACAACGTTATTTGGCTATTGATGAAAAAATAGATGAAAATGAAATTCGTTATCGTTCGAAAAAAAAATATAAAGCACCACTACCGCCTTTAATAATGAATTCAAAAATTTCACAATTTCAAATTGACAACAATAATAAAAGTGAAACAATTTTTAATGATGAAATTAATGAAAAAGATCATTTAATAAAAATATCATCATCATCATCACCTTCACCACCACCGAGAAAAACACGTCTTTTTAAAACTCGTGAAAAATCGAAAATATTGAATAATGATAATAATTGTCAATTGTGCTCAAATCATCGTCATTGTACAAAATTGAAAAATAAACAATTTTTACACGATACAACAATTATTGATGATGATAATAATTTATGTCAATTATTACAAAAGGAGAAACAAAAATGTTTATTGTCATCACATTGTCAGAAAGAAATTATAAGTAATGGTAGTATGAAAAATAGAAGATTTTTAAATTGGAAGAATAAAAATATTCATCCAAAAGAATCTGAGCTCAATCATCAGCCATCAAAGAAAATACGAACAAATTATGAATTTAAAAAAGATTCTAAAGAAGCATGTTGCTCATTAGAAAGTAGGATATCAGGTAGGTAAAAAATTTTTTTTTTCCAAATTAACAAAAAATTAATTTCCTTTTTTTTTTTTTATTTCAGAAAAAAATCAACTTGAATTAAATTTTCCTCTAGGAAAAAAATTTTCACAACAGCGAGATAAGAAAAAATCATTAAACAGTGAAATAAATTCAAAAGAATTTCAAAATCAATGTAAAAATATTAGTAAATTCACGGATATAAAATTTTTCCCTCTTAATAAAGAAGATAAAATTCAAAATTTAATAACAGATGATAATTTATTTGCATTAAATAAAATACGAACTAATTCATTAAATAGAGGTATAAATGATTTTAATAGTAAATTATTGAGAAAATCAACAACAAGAAATGATGAAAATAATTTAAAAACAATGACACCAAAATTATTTTCAAATCAAAGAAAAATTGATATTTCAAAGTCACAAATTGATTTAAATGCAAATGAAAAGAAAACAAAACAATGTTTCAATGAAAATAGACATTTATTGGAAAATCATTTATTAAAAGAAAAAATTGAAGACGAAGATAATGATGATGGATCAGAGGAGGAAAATTATTTAAATAAATCATTTGAAAATAAAAGAATTCACGTTGAAAATTTTCATTTTAGAGAAAGAAAAGATAATTTAACTGAAAGTTATTACAATAAAGAATTATATGAACCATTGGCAAAAATGGAGAAAAAATCATTATTAAATAAAGAGAAAAGAGGGGAAAAATTTTCACAAGCAACAATTGATGATAAAAATAGTTATTTGAATCAAAATACGTAAGATTATTTTTTTTTTTTTGCACAAAATACAAAATAAATAAATAAATAAAATACGTGTAAGTAAAAGGCTATTCAATTATTTGCGACTATAAAATTTATTATAATTTACAGATTTCCAATTTTTAACTATTCAAAAATGAAGACATTTTATTTTGGTATGGATAATAGTAAAGAATTTAATCAATGTGTAGATTATCAGGGGAAACAAATTTGTGGAGATTTTTTAAAAACCGGTATTAATAATTTGGAAAATAACGATGTGAGTATATAATACAAAATTTAATTATATTTTATATATAAAAATTATATTCAAATTATATTCAATATTCAAGATTTTTTTTGTTTTTTTGGGAAAACTTCAAATTGTTTTTTCCATAGTTTTCAATTTTAATCTCTCGATTATTATAAATACTGAAAAAAATTTATTTGATTCAAATATTATTAACTATTATCGAATAAATATTTACTCAAAGCAAATAATTTTGATTTGTATTGAAATAAATTAAAATAAATATAAATAAATATTTAAATAAATTGTATTTGAAACAAAGCCAATTTAATTGACTAAAAAATTATTTATTACAAATAAATATTTATTTGATAATAGACAAATAACTGATTATTTGAATTAGATAATTTTTTTTCAGTGTTTTTTTTTTTTGTCTAAATAAATTTTATAAATTCCTCAAAAAAAGTAGATTAAAAAAAATGAAGTTCCTTGTTTTTAATTTTTTTTTTTCTTTTAAAATCAATGTATGGCCACCGAACCTTGAAACGTTGAAAACCGGAAAAACGTCGTGAATTTAGTTAAGTCGTAAAAAAAACTGTCGTTATACAAATTATTGTTATAAATATTTTTGTTGGTAATTTTACAAATTTTTTTTCTTTATATTAATCTATAAAATCAATTTTTCAGGCGCATAAAATATAAACAATTTATTTAAAGAAATAGAAGTTAATTTAACGATTTTTAGAATATTTTTTTTTTTTTTTTGCAAATTACTCGTAAAACTGTCTGAAATTATTTCTAAAAAAAAGAAAATTTTTTTATAACTTTTAATTGTATAGTTAAGTTAATTTTTGCTTTTTAGAAATTATTTTATTTTAATTTACTCGAGTGATATAGGCAAAAAAAATATATATTTGAAAAATCGAAGGAGAAGTTAAATTAATTTTTATTTGCTAAATTAAATTTTTTTTTACAAATTGTACAAAATTTGAAGAAAAAAAAATGAGAAATATTAAACGAAAGCAGTGTTAATTTAAAAAAAAAATTAACGCCAACCGTAAGGAAAAATTGATTTTGTAGATTATAATATAGAAAAACAATTTATAAAATTGTATAAAAAAATATTTATAGGAATAATTTGTAAAAATCTTCCTGTAAAATCGCATTTTATTAAAATAAATCGAAAAAAGTGGCATTTTTCTTTTTAGTCGAAAAAAATTGTACAAAGGCGTAAATTTTAAATATTTTTTTTTTTTTATATCGAAGTGAATTTAATTTTAGATTGATAAAGAAATTCAAAATGAAATAGACGATATTGCTTTGAGATTAAGGCCAACTTTACCAAAAAAGCCACCTGAGATAACGAGATTTTCTCCATCTGATGCTTGGAAATTACTTACTGCTTTAGAAGCATCTGAACCAATGAGTACTGTCAGCGATGAAACACCGGTATATTTTACTATCTTCTTTTTTTTATTTTTTTTATTTCTACCAAAGAATACAGTATTCTTTAATTAATCTAAAAAATACTTTTACTTTTTTTGTGAAAATAACTAAAAAAAACAAAGATATAATTTAATTTCTATTTCTTATTTGCGTATATTAGGTGATAATACAAAAACAAGAAGAAGATGATGATGATGATGAAGAAGAAGAAGAACGTCTACCTTATCCAATGGCTTTAAATTATCACCGAAATTCACAAGATAAATCCGGAGATTCTGGAATTGATGCCGGCGTTGTTATCAATGAAATTTCACCCTTAAGAACAACATGGACACCACAACAAGATTTAGACGACGAATCAAGTGGTAGCAGTGATATTATTTACGAAAATTCATCACATCAATTTAAAAATTTTATTCAATTTCCCCAACGACCTCATGTATTTTCACTTTCACTTCCACGTGAAGAAAATCGTTCATTCTATTATCGAGCAGCCGAATCTAAAACAAAACAAGAAATTCACTTTTCTGATTCCCTTCAAAAAATAAAACGTTCCGTTTCCGGTGCATTGGGCTTTACACCAATAAATGAGGAACAAAAAAAATTGCCATTAGAATCAACAAATACAATCGATGACAATTGGTTTTTATCTACAAGTGCACCAACGTCATTACAAAATTATTATACAGATAATGATACAATAAATTATAAAATAAAATCGCCAATAATGGAAGAAAAACCAACAGAATTATTTTCATCACAATTTCTTTCGAAAAAACACATAATATATCTACCACAAATAGAAGACGATGATTTAAATTTAAAATTACAATTTAAAAAAAAACAACAGCAACAACAAATTATTAAATATAAAAAATATGAACAAAAAGAAAATGAAAAATTTAATTTTAATAGACAATTTTCAAAATCTTGTGAAAATATTTCTTCTCATGATTCTAATGTATTAGTGAAAAAGGAGATTTTAAAAACTAATTATATGAATGATATGATAAAGGATATAAATAGTAAAATTTTTAATAGACCAAAAAAATTTACATTTCAATCGACAGTAAGACAAATTGAAAGACGAAGATTGGCGGAAAAATTTTCAAAAGAAGCTGAAGCCAATGAAATGCAAAGAAAAAATGAATTGGAAGCAATGATAAAAGTTGAAGAGGAATTTCAAAGAAAACGAAATAAAGAAAAAGAAAATATTCGCTATCAATTGAAAAATATCAATAAGAGATAGAAAATCGTTTTTTTTTTTTTATACGAGAGTTTATAATTTGTTTTTTTAATTTTAAGAATAGATTTTTTAAAAATATTAATATATATAGATATTTCATTATTTTTAACGATCATTTTTTTTAAAAAAAACTGTAAATTAATTGTAATATTAATAAATAAAATAAATATTTTTAACAATTTTGTTTACTATTGGATTTAAAAAAATTTTTTTTTTCTTTTATAAAAAATTATAATTTATATTTATTTATAATTTGAATAAAATAAAATTTGGATAATTTGAATCTTAAATCAATTAAAATTACAAAAGAAATTAAAATTCAAATAATTTAAAGCCTTAAAAAATTGAAATTTAGATAATTTTGCACTTTAGTCAAATTAAAAAATTTAAACGAATTAAAATTCTAATTTGAAAATTAAATCAATTAAAAATTCCGAATATTTTGAAACTTAAATCAATGAAAATTTGAATAATTTTGCACTTTAGTCAATTAAAAAATTCGGATAATTTGGAATGAAAATCAATCTTTAACTTTAATTAGAAAATAAATTAAAAATAATTTTTTTCTAATACTTACACAAATATTGCAAATATTAAATCGTCACATTTCACATGTGACGATAATCACAATGCTAGACGGATGTTTCACTATTTTCTAACGATAAAACTGTTAGTGTATTTGGTCTCGATCCACATAAAATTTGTTCCTCTGGATGTCGTATTCTTGGATCAAGTGCACTTCTTTTAACGTCGCTGATTTTTTTTATTGGCGTTCGACTTGGAGATGATTTTCGACTACTTGGATAGGATTTTAAAAGTCTTGCTCTGAAAAAATAAAAAGATTGAAAAAAAAAAAAATAGTAAAAAGTACTAAAAATTTAAAAAAAAATAAAAACTAATATTTTATAAATTTTTCCTGAGTTATTGGCGTATTAAAAATCAAAAATTTTTTTTAGAAACATTTCCTTTTTGGATAATTTTAATTATTAAAATTGTTATTATAAGTTGTACAAAATTCAAGTTTTATCAATTATTATTTTTCTAAAAATAAAAATTTTAGAAAATAAAACTCACGCATCTGTTAATTTCATTAATAAACGTGTATAAACTTGATATTCATCATCTCCAAATTCAGTAGGATCGTGACGTGCCTGTTCATAAAGATCACAAAATTGATGTACCAATCTTTGACTACTTCCATTTAATGGTGCGGCCAATGTTGATAGTAAAAATGCTCTTAAATTTTCAGTTGGATGCCTCTTTAAACCATTATCGTATCGACTTATTTCTGCTTCTTTAAAATATAAATAGATAATTAAGAAAAAAACACTTTTGTAATTAATTTTTCTCTTTAAAACGAAAAAAAAAACGGTATCTTAATTACCTAATGATTTAATATCATCAACTGCTTTTAATCTGTAATAATGAGGAGGAACTTGATTTCCAGAAACCATTATATATCTTGGATCACTAATTAATTGTGGCTCATATTGAATTTTAGGAATTACTTCAATTCGTCTCTCAATTTCCTTTCTCAGGGACTGAAAATATTTTTTTTTGTCGTTTAACATTATGAAAAATTAAATAAACATTTATTATAAATATAAATATAAATTAATTAATTTTAATCATAAAAAATATATTTTTTTTTTTGTTAAACATTATGAAAAATTAAATATAAATATTGTATATTTATTATTTAATAAGTAAATTAATTTAAATAAATAATAATAAATGTATTATCATTAATTATTAAAATTATTATTATTAAAACTGTATTATTTGTTATAACAAAATAAATTTAAATAATAATAAATTTACGAAAATCAGTTTTCGATCACAAAGGAGAATTTGATTTTTTTATTAATTAAAAAAGTAATAAAAAAAAATTATTTTTTAAACTTACTTCACAATCATTACTAATTACTGAGATTTAATTGTTTTTTTTTTTCTTCGTTTTTATAATTATTATAACCTAAAAATTTTGAAATTTAAATTTACTATAAAATTTATTAATTTTTTATCATAATATTATTTTGAATTTATCACTCAGAGATATTTAGTAATTAAGATTATAATATCGATCTTTTTTTTATAGTTTCGGAGTCTGAACGTTAAAATATATAATTTTTTTTAATTAATAAAAAAATCGAATGATCGAAAAACGAATTTTTATATCAAGATTGAAAGAACGTTAAAGAAGTTTATAATAATAAATTTATTAAATTAAATAATTACAAAATGTATAAAAATTGTTTTTTTTTTTTTTTTTTAATAAATACCTTTCTTGCATCGTGACCAATTGGAACGTGTGGACCTCTTCGTGATCTTAGTGCAAATCGCATTATTTGCCTTTTTGCAAATATAAATAACAATAATATCGTTTGTACACCAGCAGCAATAAATATTACAATTGTAACGCCTGACAATTGTTTCGACATATTTTATACGACAATCAAAATTTTAATTTAAATAAAAATAATTAACAAAAGATTATAAAAATAACCTATAAAGATGAATAAACATTTTATGGGACTTTAATAGAGAAACAGTATATTAAAACAATATTCAGTATATAAAATAAACTATATTATATTTAAAAAAAAAATTTAACAATCAGAAATCACACTGCAATTACCAAAATGTCAAGTTTAAGTGACGTCGAAGTAAACAAATATTTCTAACCTCACTGACATTTAATTCTAAAAATTTAGAAAATAAATTTTGACAAAAAAATCATAAATTTAATTAACAAGGAAAATTTTAGTGTTATTTTCAAGTTGTTTTATACATGAACAAGTGATTTAATTGATTAAATATTTAAAATTTGTGTAAATTTTGATAAAAATGGCTAATTGTGTCGTCTGCTTTGCTGTCAGAAGTTCGTGACGTCACTTTTCAAATTTCATGAAATGGCACCCATTTGCAGGGTTGGGAAGGTAAATAATAATTTACTTTACCTTTATTTACGGTAATTTACCATGTATTTTACGATAAAATTCAAAAGTGAGGTTAATATCGGTCTTTTGTTATTGTTTTTTTTTTAAATGTGTGTGTAATTAACGAATTAACAAAAATGAGTTTTGCAAATTGTCAACTATCTAAAAGTTCATTAAAAGAAATAAGAGACTTCATATCAAACAAAGATATTAATTCTAATCCTGCATGGCTTTCAATAACAGGAAAAGTAAGTATAAATTAATTAACTAAATTAATTAATTATAAATTTAATTCTACTCTATTATAATTTTTTTGAATATTCGAAAGTTCAATTCGAATATTTCAATGTAACTAATTTAAAAAAATTTTAAGTTAATATAAATAAGTAATTTCTACATTTTCGTTTTCCGTTTTTAGTTTAAATTTCACATTGCCTTAAAATATTTTAAAAAAACATAAAATACCTATAAAAATAATTAAAGTTGTTAATTTATTTTTAAATTTTATTTAATTTATTCAATATTAATTTATTAACCTTTTTTTATTTTATAAAATAAATTTTAATAAATTAAATTAAAATTAATTTAATAATTAATAATAATAATAATGATAATAATATAATAATAATAATAATAATAATTTTAATTTAGAATAGAATTTTATTTCCTTTGACAATACAAATAGTTGTTTTTTTTTGTCCAAATAATTTTAATTAATTTAATTTAAATTAAATTTTAATAAATTATAATTTTATAATATAAACTTTAATAAAAAAAAAAAATTAATTTTTGTAGTCATTGTACGAGAAAAATGAGAGTCAACATGATAATAATAAAAGAATTGAAAATGAATCAAATTCAAATGAAAATTCTCTAGAGGAAAATGATGTTAACAATGAAAATCGTTATTTTTTCACTCAAGTGGAAAATTTTATGAATAATTCAGAAAAATTATTAATTGATTCATCATTATCAATGGAGGATTTAATAAAATGTTCCATTGAAACTTTAGAACAAACGAATGGTCGTCTTAAATTTCAAAATTTAGAAGATTTAACAAATGATGAATTAACAATTGTTTTTAATGCTTTAAATGAACGTTTAAATGAAAATGGTGTATTTAATTTATGTTATTCCATTTGTAATATGACAATTGAACAAAGTTTAACATTTTTACCATCATTGGCAATCAATTTTTTATTGCCCAAGGTGAGTTTTTTTTTTTTTTTTTTTTCTTTTTAATTTGTCCCCTTTTGTTTTCAGAATTCTAATCGCTATTTTAAAATTTTTAAATAAACATCAAAAAATTAATTTAAAATAAATATTTACTAATTATTTATTTTTTTTTATTCTAGATCACTGAATTAGAAAACGATTCAGTTTTAATAAAAAAAGGAATTTGTGATTGTGCACATAAATTTACAAATGAATTACGAGAATTAGTATTAACAGAAATTTTCAATAGTGAACCAAAAAGTATTAATATTATTATTGCATTGTTGAAAATTTTTGATAGTCAAAAACATATATCTTTTTTATCGTAAGTGGAAAATTATTTATCTTTTTATTTTTTTCTATATAAAATATTTTTACTTTCAGTAAATATTTATTATAAATACTAATTAATTAATTAATAATTTTAATTTTTTTGTTTATGTAGAGAATTTGCAAATCGAACACAAGAACTAAAACAATGGCATATTTCTATATTAAATATGTTTCCATCAGTTAAATTAGAAGGAATTTCAAGGAATAAACTATTGAAATTGTATGTAAAAAAAGCAAATTCTTATTCAGATAATAAAGATTATGCTAAATTAATTCATTCTTTTGCAAAAGCTAATACACCATTTACAGATGAAGAAAGAACAATGTTATTGGAAATTGCAACGTTAAATACGACAATTTATAAAAAACTTATTATGAAATATTGTGTAAACTAAAAAACTATTATTAATAATAATAATAATTTTATTTACCTATTTTAATAATAATAAAAATAATATGTAATAATATTTATACAAATTTATATTTTTAAAATAAATAATAGAAAAACGGAATTGTTTTCTTAATTTTATAAAATTATTATAATCCTCTAAAAATTATATTTTTTTCAATACATTATTCGTTTTTTTTAAATAATTATTTAAAATCTGCTCAATTAAGTATTTTTTTTTGCTATTATAGTTTTAAAAATTTTTTTTCTTATTTTGTAAGCCCGTTTTTTTAATGTAAAAAAATAAATTAAAATTGTGGAATAAAAGAACCAAGTACTAAAATTTGTGAAAAATATATATTGAAATAAAAAAAGAAACAATTTTTTCGAAAAAATATCGAATCCTTTATTTTTTTATTTTTCAAAACGTTTTATAATTAAAGTAAACTCAACATCACTAAATCACTTTTGTTAATTATAAATTTTCTTTTTTTTTTCTTTTCCTGCTAGCGTTGAATTATAATATAAAACGTAACATTTACATTTCGTTAATATAATTCAATTTCAAAAGTATTAAAAAAAAAAAATTCCAATATTCTGTTCTATTCTCATTTTTCAATATTAAAGAATTTTTCTTTTTTTTGTACAAATTATTTTAATTCTTAATCATTTCTTATAAAAATGATTAATTTTTTTCCAATTGTCAAATCACTGTTCTCAATGTAAAAATTCTTTCAAAGAAATTTTCAAATTTTTCAAAAAAAAAAATTACAAATTAAAATCTTTAACTATTAAATAATGTTTTAATTCCTTTTTTTCTCAATATAAATTAATAAAAAAACAAATTCAAAAATTAAGAAATTTTCCAATTTTAAAATAATTTGAAAGTGGAAAATTTTTGCCCGTTTTTCAAACTAGAAATATTAACCTTTTTTGAAAAAAAAAAAATAGATATGTAGAAAAAAATATTAAAATTCAAAGAAAATTTTGTACTTTTCATTTAAAAAAAAGAAATTTTTTTGGAAATATTTTTATATAGATTAACAGTAAAAATGTAAAAAAAAAAAACTGTCAAAATTTGTACGACGAAAACTATTTTACAGTCAATTTAATGACTTAATGCGAATGTTAACTTTTAATTAGTAAAAAAAAAAAAAATAAAAACAAAAAAAAACTACATATATAAAATATTTAGAATTAAAATTTTTTACTCGCGATTTATAGCAATGCTGTTATCCTCAAAGTTCAAATCTGTTCTGCAAGGATAAACTTGTTTCATATTTCCCTCGGAATCAACGACTTTCACTTGTTCCACGATCAGTTTGTGAAATTCTTCCGTGTCGTTTGATTCTGGTGTGCAGCCCAATCCTTGAATAATAATTTCCTTCAAGAATTGATCCATTACTTGTCTACAAAAAAAGAGAGAGATATATAAAAAAAAGTGTTTTCTTTAAAAATATTCTTTTAATATTTTTATTCTATAATTTTTAATTAAATTTTTCATTTTTTCACAAAATTCCTAAAGAATTCCATCAACAAAGGAAAGAAAAAATTTAATTTAATTGCAAAATTTAATTTAAAAAAAAAATTTGATAACAAAAAATGTACAAAAATCAATAAATAATTATAAATGTAATCAAAAATTAAAATAAAATTAAAAAAAAGAAAACCAAAAAAAAAGAAGAAAAAAAATATTAATTATTAAAAAAAACAATGAAGAACAATAAAATAAAAAAAAAATAAAAGAAAAATTACAAATTGAATTAAAAATTTTTTACCTGCAAATTTTTTGTGATGTTGCACTTGTTACTTCAATGAGAATATTTTTTGTGCTTGTCGACATTTTTGTGATATCACTATTAGTGATTGGTGGAAAGGAAATTACTTGATTTTCATTATCTAAAAGACAGGGAAATAGTGGCTTTCCCTCAATCAAATACAAATATTTATGAATTCCCGAATAAACGCTACGTTTTTTTTCTTTACGCAAATTTTCCGCTTCCGTTTGTAATTGATTAAAAAGTGCAGCTCCCGAATATATTTTATTGCGCATTAATGGCTTAATTTTAATTTCCGTTGGTGGCATTGCAGTGTATTTAAGATTTCCTGCAAAAATATGGAAAATCAATTTTTATTTATTTTTAAATTTTACAATTTTTATTTTATTGAATTTAAAATAATTATTTTTATTATAATTCTAAAAAATTTACAATTTGTTTTTTAATAAGTCTTTAAAATAAGAATTTTTTTTTTCAATTTAGAATACTCTTTTTTTTCTCGATTTAAAAAGAAATTGTATTTTAATTTTGTTCTTTTTTTCTGTAAATTATGATAATTACAATTAATTTATAAGATTTAAATAATTTTTTGAAAAAAAAGTTAAAATACAATTTTTATTTACATTGAGATAAAAAAGAAAAAATGTGAAAAAAAAACATTTTTTAGAGACTGATTAAAAAGAAATCGAAATGTGACAAATTTCGTAATTATTTGAAAAAGAAGATAAAAATTAATACGATAAAAAAAAATAAATAAAACATTGAAGAACAAAAACAAACAAACAAACAAACAAATACCAGGTTGAAGAAGATTTAAATCGTGTGTCGCTAAAGTGGCCGCATTTCTTTTCTCACAAATTCCATCGTGAAGTTTTGTTTGTAATTGAATGAATTTTTTAAAACTCTCATCATTAAATGTCATATTGCGTACAATACATGCAATAATATGTGGACGAACTGTTTTTACTTTTTCATTTATTTCAATTTTTGGCGTTTCATCAGTTATTTTAATAACACGTAATTCGTGTGTTAATTTTTCAATTGCATTAATAATTTGTTCATTGTCAGATAATTTTTGTGATTTTTTTCCTTTTTTCCCCTTTATTGTGGTTGTTTCTAAATTGCCATCGGACATTTTTGGCGAATGTTGTCGCACATAATCGAGAACTTGTTTTGTACGACATTGATCAACAAGTTTTGATAAACGTTTATCAGATAAATTGTTGCCCTTTAAATTTAATTCTTTTAATTTTCCACAGTCGGCTAATTCTCGCGGGACAACTAAATGAAAATTAATTAATTAATTATCACTTTATTAAAATTATAAATTAATTAGATGAAAAATATTATATTTATTAATTTTAGATATTTTTAAAAATTAATTAATAAAAAGAAAAAAAAACGATTATTAGTTTATTAAAATAACTTTTATAGTATATAGTAGTTTTATATTAAAATTTAATAAAAATTAATTTTTTTTTTAGTATTTTATAATAAAAAAAAAATCGATATTTTAAATTTTTAATTAGTTAATAAAAAATTCCATTTCATTTTTTACTATTAAATATTAATTATAATTACTTTTAATTATTAATAAAATTAATTACATTCCTTAATTTTTTAATATAATAATTTTTAGATAAAATATTCAGTTTATTAAAAAATAATTGTTAAAATTCCTTTTGAATAAAATTTTATCAATTTTTGATTTATGGAAATTATAATCAAATTCAAAATTAAGTAAGAATTTTCAAATTAAATTTTTTATTCTTAACGGATTTACAAAAAAATTTGTCTACCAGATAAATTTATATTGTTGAATCAAGTATATTTAAAAATAATTTTTGAATTAAAATATATAATTTCTAAAGTTTTAAATCTAAATAAAAATATTTTACTAATAAATACTCAAATTACCTTTTTTTTTTTTTTGAAAATAAAAATTTCAAATTTTCAAAAATAATATTCAATCAATTATTATTGAAAATTTTTACTCATTGTTGGAAAGAAAAATTCAACTTACCGGAAATTTTATTCTCCGCCAAATCGAGTAATTTTAATGATGTCAATACATGAATTTCACCAGGAATATTTTCTATTGAATTTCCATTTATTCGAACTTCAGCAAGATGAACAAGTTCTTGATAACAAATATCGGGAAATTTTTCAAATTTATTATTTGACAAATCCAATAATGCTAATTTAAAATTTTTCTCCTGCGATGGTAAATCATTGAGTAAATTTGAACTAAAATTAATTGTTGTTATTTGTGGTAATTCACTTAATTCTTTTGGTAAATATTTTAATTTATTACGTGAACAATCCAATACTTTGAGTTTTGTTAATTTTTTCAATGTTAGAGGAAGTTTTTCTAAATTATTCGAATGAAGAACAAGTGTCGTGAGATTAATTAATTGACCAATTTCAATTGGCAATTCATTTAATTCTGTTTGATGAATATTTAAATAATTAAGATTTTCAAGATAAAATAAAGTTGGATCAATGCCTGTTGATGATATTCTCTTTGATATTGTTGAACCACTTAATATTAATTCATGTCGATTTTCCTTTGCCGCTGTAACAATTTCTGACCAACTCTCCTGTGTTATCATTATTATTAATATTTGTAAAAATTCTATCAAAAAATAAGTCAAAAATACAAATAAAGACAATAATAATAATAATATATAAACAAAATTAGAAATATATATATATATATTATTTACAAAAAAGACAAGAACGTGTCACTTTTTGTTAATTTTGAGGTTATGTTTGATAATCAACTGTTTACATCTCATAGTTTTTAATTTTATCAACAGATGTCGTTTTAGCGGGAATTTCAAAAATTCATTTCTTTTATATTAAAATAAAATAACTTTTTTTTTTAATAGTAATTAAAATAATTGAAAAAAAATAATTTCCGAATTATTAAAATTGTAACATATTTTGATATATTTTAAGAGGAAAATTTTTTGGAAAATATCTTTATAAGGAAAAAAAATATTTTTTTAAAACATTTATTTGAAATAGGAAACTTCCATTGTCCCATTCATTTAAAATAGGAGTTGATACGTGGGATAAATATATTCAAATTTATTCAAAAGCAGTTTATATCTAATCCTAATGTTGGATTTATGATTATGAACTGGTTTTTCGTTATAAATTTATAAAGACAAATAAATTTAAAAAATTCAACTTAATTATTTATTATTATTATTATTATTATTATTTTTTATTATAGTTAAATATTGTTATTTTTTTATTTTTATAAATATTATAAATTATTAATTTCAAAAATCAGATTTAATAACTAATTTATTTAACAAAAATAAAATTTAATTTAAAAAAAAAATTTTTAAAACTAAATAAAAAATTAAAATATAAATAAATTAAAAATTTTTTTTATCTAAATTTTCATTTTAAGATAGTAGAAAATAATTTTTATTTAAAAAATATATTATTGCAAATTAAAAATATGATCGAAAATTTGCTAAATGTTATTATATGGTTAACCTTGAATTTTTATTAAGGCTATAAAATCATGACGTAACATCAATAATATTTATTTTGACTAATTTTCATGATGATGATGATGATCAACCTTCATTTTAATTTTAAATCTCAATGGAATTAAAAAAAAAAAACTTTTTAATTTTCAAAATATATAAAGTACCTATAAATAATCATTTAATTTCAATTTAATTTAGTTAATAAAAAAATAATAATAATAATAATAATAAATATATAATATAAATAATAATAATAAATATGTAAAAAATAATAATAAAATTAATTGAATAAAAATTCAATTAATTGAAAAAACTGAATACTATAAAAATAATTTTTTAAAAAAGTTTTTTAAAATTAATATATATTAAGGATAGAAAATATAAAATAATTTTTATTATTTATTTATAATTTCTTGAAGTAAAAAAAGAAACTGGTTTTGCTAATTATTTTTCCAAATCGGGTTGAAAAAAAGAACTTTAACAAAAAATTTGAATAATTCGTTATTTCCGTTTCTGAGAGTTCACGGCTATCATATGAATCCTTCCCCGAAACTTCCGCATTTGCAAAAAAAAAAAAAAAAATTATCTCAAGAGGGGTAACGACCTTATCCTCACTAATATAAAATCATCACCGGACATTGTAAATCCAGTCAGTTTCCTCTCGTATTAGCACCTTTAGACTTCCTAAATTTTGTTTCTTAAAAAAATAATAAATAAAAAATTTTTTTTTTATATAGTTACAATAATTATTTTTTAATCACTTATTATTCGAATTTGAATTTATAATTCAAATATTGTTATTATATTCAAATAATAATAATACAAAATTTTTCGTAACAAAACTATTGAAAATTATTTAATTAAAATAAAATTTGAGGCAAGTATATGATTTAATTATATTTAAAAATTAATCAAATTTTTTTAATTTTATAAGTTAAAATAACATATATTTTAATTGAAAAAATATTATTAGATAATTTTTTAATTAAAATTTACATATTTACAACGAAAAAAAATTGATATAAATTTTGTTTATTTGTTACAAAAGAAATGACTGATTTACTGATGATGGTAATAACAATATTAATATCGGGGTCAACGACTTTTGCATGGCCTTTTCAACAAGTCAATGTCCTTGACAATGGCCTTGAAAATACAAATGGTTTAATTGCGTATTTAACGCAATTGGGGGAAAAATTATTTTCCGAACCTAATGCAGAAAGTGGAAGTCGTGTTGCCGAATGGAACGTGGGAATGAATGTAAATCCTGAAGAACTTGGAGAATATGTTGAGGGTGATATTTTATTTCCAAGTGCAATGGGAAGAAATGGACTCAAAGCAACTTCAGCTCGATGGCCAAATGGTGTCGTGCCCTACATGATTAGTCCATATTTTAGTAAGATTTTAATGACAAAAAAAAGAGATAGCAATATTTAGTTTTATAGAAAATTTTATAATTAAACTATTTTGAATTTAAATTTCCCGCCAAATTATTAGACAGTTGATGAAAGCTAATATATAATTTTTTTTTACCGGACACTAGAAATCATTTTGAGATGTTTTCCTGTTCCCTCATGTATTTTCCCCAAATATTATTCATGATCTAGTATGAAAAACTTGCTTTCAGTCACTGAATTCAATACGACATTAATCGCATTCAACGAATTTCTTCTTTATTACCCTTTTGTATTTTCACAAATTATTCATGATCTAGTATGAAAAACTTGCTTTCAGCCACTGAATCCACTACAACACTAATCTCACTTATTGAATTATTTTCTTCTTAATTTTATATTCTGGTAGTTATTGTAGCAGTTATTTATTATATTCTTTCCATTTTTTTTTTTTAGACAAAGAACAACGAAATTTAATTCAAGAGGCAATGGATGACTATCATAGACACACGTGTATTCAATTTAAACCATATGAAGGCGAGGAGACTGATTATATTCGTATCACTGCAGGTAATACTGGATGTTGGAGTAGCGTTGGAAAAATTGGTGGACGTCAAGATATAAATCTTCAGGTTCCAGGTTGTGTCACAAAAAAAGGGACAGTGATACATGAATTAATGCACGCTATTGGATTTTTGCACGAACAAAGTAGATACGAGAGAGACGATTTTGTTCGTGTTCAATGGAATAATATTCAGAGTGGTAAATATTAAAAATAAAAATCGTTACGGATGGTTTCCATTGTCTCCACTCGCCAAAATCACCATTTGCCATAATTCTCGTCAACTACCGCATCCTGCTCTAGTGACAATTTAGTAATATTTAATTTTAACAATAAAGTCACTAAATTATTACTATAGAGCAGGGTGCGGCAGTTGACTATAGACAAAGAGACAAAAGTCCTAGTTACAAAAATCAAATAAATTTTTTATTAAAAAATAAATAAAATTAAAATTTATGAATAAAAATTAGTTTTAAAAAATAATAAAATAAAGGCGAATTTTTTTTAACAGGTCGTGAAAAAAATTTTGAGAAAGCTTCAAAACTAACAACTGATGCTTTTGGAATTAATTATGACTATGGAAGTGTAATGCACTATTCATCGGGTGCATTTTCAAAAAATGGACAACCAACTATTCTTCCAAGGGTAAATTTTAATATTTAAAAAATAATTTATTTATTAAAAATAATTTTTAAATATACGAAATTTAATTAACTTTTAATTGTCTTTATAGGGAACAATTGATACAAAAGTTATAGGCCAACGAGTTGGATTTAGTAAAAAGGACATTCAAAAAATTCGCCGAATGTACAAATGTGGTAGCAAAAGAAGTTTTAGTTTAAGTGATTTTTTCTTTTGAATTATAAAGTTCAATTTGAAACTTAAAAAACATATATATTAATTTACAATTATTACCAAAGAACGAATATGACTTGAAAAATTATTTAAAAATTTTAGAATTTTAAATTAAAAAAATTCAATAATTTTCATATATAAATTTTAATGTAAAATTCTCATATATGTATATGTATATTAAAATAATGAAATAAATTGAATTTATTTAAAATTAAATCTGTTTTATTATTTTTTTTCAAAAAAATAATTACAAAAGATTAAAATTGAATTTAGAAAACCAAAGAATGAAAAAAAATTTAACGTGATATAACTAAAAAATTTATTAATGTAAATATTATTTAATAAAACGTGACAAAAATGAATCATAGTAAATTATAAAGACATAATTTTTTTTTTTAATCGTTGAAAGAATTCTTTTGTATTTTTAACATTCTATAAATTATTAGAATGTAACATAAACTGAATCAAGCATATAAATTGAAATTATTTGAGAAAAAATTAATATTTTTATTTAAGACGTACTTAGATGTTCAATACAATTTGTGAAAGTGATGAATTTATTAGCGGGTGAATATTGAAATTTTTATACAATTGTTTTTAAATATCATTTTATATTAAAAAAAATTATCTTCGTTTCAAAGAAATTTTTTATTTAATTAAAATAAATTTTTCTTTCACTCTATATCATACAGAAAAAATCTTTATTTGGAACAGCTATATGTTTCTCTAAAATAACGAAAATTTTCGTTTTAAATATACGAAATTTAAATTAACTTTTAATTGTTTTTATAGGGAACAATTGATACAAAAGTTATAGGCCAACGAGTTGGATTTAGTAAAAAGGACATTCAAAAAATTCGCCGAATGTACAAATGTGGTAGCAAAAGAAGTTTTAGTTTAAGTGATTTTTTCTTTTGAATTATAAAGTTCAATTTGAAACTTAAAAAATATATATATATTAATTTACAATTATTACCAAAGAACGAATATGACTTGAAAAATTATTTAAAAATTTTAGAATTTTAAATTAAAAAAATTCAATAATTTTCTTATATAAATTTTAATGTAAAATTCTCATATATGTATATGTATATTAAAATAATGAAATAAATTGAATTTATTTAAAATTAAATCTTTTTTTTTTTTTTTTTTTTCGAAAAAATAATTACAAAAGATTAAAAATGAATTTAAAAAACCAAAGAATGAAAAAAAATTTAACGTGATATAACTAAAAAATTTATTAATGTAAATATTATTTAATAAAACGTGACAAAAATGAATCATAGTAAATTATAAAGACATAACTTTTTTTTTTAATCGTTGAAAGAATTCTTTTGTATTTTTAACATTCTATAAATTATTATAATGTAAGATAAACTGAAGCAAGCATATAAATTGCAATTATTTGAGAAAAAATTAATATTTTTATTTACGACGTACTTAGATGTACAATACAATTTGTGAAAGTGATGAATTTATTAGCGGGTGAATATTGAAATTTTTATACAATTTTTTTTAAATATCATTTTATATTTAAAAAAATTATCTTCGTTTCAAAGAAATTTTTTATTTAATTAAAATAAATTTTTCTTTCACTCTATATCACATAGAAAAAATCTTCATTTGGAACAGCTATATGTTTTTCTAAAATAACAAAAACTTTCGTTGTTTTAGTGAAACATATAGCTGTACCAGTGAAACTTATCGCTGTTTCAGGTGAAGATTTTTCTGTTCAATATTAGAATTTCTTTGATTTAATGCACAAATTTCTTTCATTCCAAGAAATTTTTTTTAAAACTAAAAAGCTTTTTTTGTTTCAGAGAAAATTTTATTTTGAATAAAAGAAAACAAATTAAAAAAATTGGTTTCTTTAAATCAAAGAAATCTTTTCTCTGGTTGTATATATAAAAGTTCATTTTTTTTTCTTTATAAATTTTTATATAAAAAATTGAAATAAATGTTGTGTATTAATATTTATCATGGAATAAAAATAAAAATTGTTTATTTAAAGGAATCATATTTCTATTATTAATTATATTGGAACAAAAAATTGACGTATTGTCAAGTAGAAGAAATCCTGAAGAACATGGAAATTACTTTCAAGGAGATATTATACGAAAATCTAATTTGTTTAAATCTGTAATAAAAAACAGTGAGATGAAATGGCCTAATGGAATAATTAGATACAAAATATCAAAAATATATAGTAATAAAATTTGATTTTAAACAATAAATAGTATGTAACACGTTCTTAAGAAAACTAATAAAAAAAAGCAAGTGCTTTTTAAATAAATTAATGAAAAGTTATTATTTTTATGATAATTACATATTATAGGGTGATTTTTATGTTCCGGACCCCTAAATTTTTTTTTTAATTCCACTTCTTTTTTTGTTTAAAAAAAAAGAAAGAAATAAGATTTAAAAAAAATTAGTGGATCCGGAACATAAAAATGGCCCTATTATATATGAAAAATTAATAATATTTTAATAACACAATTAAGTGTCTCTCAATTAAATTTAGTTGTTTCTTTCTTCAGATCAAAGTAATTATGATATGATAAGAAGAGCAATGGATATTATTGAATATAATACTAATAAATGTATTCAATTTAAAGGAAAAAAAAAAAAAACCAAAGATTATATATTTATTTTGGATAAAGAAAACTATGGATGCGGTAGTCATGTAGGAAGACAAAAAGGAAAGCAAGACTTGTTTTTAGAACAACCAATTTGTCTTGAAAAATTAGGAACTATAATTCATGAATTATTACATGCTGTAGGACTTTTTCATGAACACGTTAGACCTGATAGAGATAAATACGTAAGAATTTTTAAAAACAATATAAAAACGGGTGAGTAACAAATAATATTTGTATAAAATTCTGCAATATTTCATAATTAAATTAAAAAAATGTTTTTTTTTTTTTAAACAAATTTCATTAATTTAAATATATTTACTTTTAATTAAAAACAAGATATAATATTATTTTACAGGTGTAAGAGATAATTTTGAAATTGAGGATGAAGAAAATATTAGATTCGACTTTGATTATGATTATGGCAGTATTATGCATTATTCAACTAATTCTTTTGCAAAGACTATTCATTTAAATACGATGCGTCCAAGAAAAGTAACTAATTTAATAGTTTATTTTTTTAAAAAAAATTAATTTTTTAAAGTGAAAATTTAAAATAAAATAATTTTTTCCAGCCAAATATAGTTATAGGTCAAAGAGAAAGACTTAGCGCAACTGATATAAAAAAATTGAAGTGGCTTTATAATTGCTCTTTTTTGCAATAGATCCAAAAAAGAAAACAAAAAAAAAAAAATCATTATTTTAATTCTTCTACCATAAGATAATTATAAATCTTATAAGTTTGTATAATTTATTTGATAAAATAAATTAAAAAAATGATAACAGGAAACAATTATAAAATTCTCGAAATAAATATCAAATTCATTATCTTTTCAGGAAATCATCAACTACTGAAAATTTTTGTTTCTTATTTTTAAATTTTAATTAAAGAATCGTGACAATTTTTCATATTTGAAAAAATAATTTATTCATTATCATTTTCATGATAGACGTTCGTTTATTAAACAAATCGTGAAAAAAATCAAAATATCAAGTTTTATCAACTTATATTCCACCAAATATTGTTTTTTTTTTTATTAGCAACACTATTTAAATTGCAATGTTTAGAAGAATCGATTATCATTTATTATATTAAATCAGTGTAGAGTGGTGTATAGAGTGAATTATTGTAATTTTAAAAATTAATCATTAATTTTAATTCTAAATAATTGTTTAGCTTCTAAGTAGTTTAAAATAGAATTAATTATATACTAGTGGAACAATAACAATTAAAAGGTAATTTACATAATTTTTAATATTGATTTAAAATTTTAATAATTCCTAAAGTATATGAAGAAATATTTTGAAAATTTTACTTTAGACTCAATAATGTAATAAGGAAATGTAATTTTCAATATTCATTTGCTTAAATAAACAATTTATTTACAATAAGGAAGTAAAGTTCTTTTTATTCACAAAAGTAGTTAATGAATGATGATTATATTTATAAAACAAAAATTTTATTACCTATTGACATAATTTTTAATTTATGAATGAAATTCTGTTCATATATAATGCGAGGAGTAATAAAAATTTGTATCTTTTATTTTCAAAAAAGTAGAAATAATTTTCATTAAGGCCATCCGGGAAAAATCCCTAACCTAAAAGTGTTTTCCCGCGCGAGATATTACTCGTAAATAACTTGAAATATCTTGTTCGGATTTGTCGGATTAATTAGATGAGGGCGAGCTGATTAAGAATCATCTCCATTTTTACAAGTAATTTTGTTGAAAAGTATTGAAAATCGTGATTATAAAAGTTGGATTTTTGACAGAAGTGGGAACAGTAGGGGAGGCGAGCACACAGACATTGAATCTATGTGTCAGTGGCCCAGAAGGTGGCGCCAATTTTAGCTAGTGGCCGCTGCTGAACTAACTTACCCCAAATTACTCCACTTTAAATCTTTAATAAAATAATTTCCTCACAATATTATTGCAAAAATGGAGAAGAGCCCCACTCAGTGACCCTTCCTCTATTATTCCTCCAAATGCCAACTCGAAATACTTTATCCTTTAAAGATGAGAAGTAATTTACGAAACCCCTTTTTGCCAATGTTTAAACATTTTTTTCAATAATTATTTATCAAGATTTTGCAAAATTCCGAGAAGAGCCCCTGGCAGGGTACCTTCCTCTATTATTTCCAAAAAATTACAACCTAAAATATTCAATTTTTTTCAAATGAGAAGAAATCTACAAAACCATTATTTTCTCCCGGATGGCCTTAAATGAATTGTAATCAAATTTTTATTTTCATTTTCTTTAAGAAAACTTAATATTATGTTTTTTCTTTTCAGAATAATTTTAACTGTAGGTGAATTTAAAAAAAAAAAAAAAAAAAAATGCTCAAATTAATAAACTCACAAATAAAATTGATATTGATTATAGTTGTAGGAATTTTTGTTCCCCCATTAAAAACATTTACTTATCAAAATTATGTCGGTGATTATCCATTTAGTATTGTTTCTTATTTCTTAAATTCAAAAAATCAATTATTACCCGAACAAAATAGTCCAAATCCAGATGAATTAGGATCTTATATTGAGGGTGATATTGTTCTATCACCGGAAATGCAAATTGAAGATTTTGAAAGTGAAAAAAAGCCAAAATTATGGAGTGATAAAAAAATTCCCTACATAATCAGTGCTGAATTCTGTAAGTTAAAATTTACTTCTATTTATTTATTTTTAAAAAAAAACTTTAAAAAAAACTCTAAATTTTGATAATTTCATTAATTTTTTAATTAGTTGAGTTATTTTTTTCAATATGATAATAGAAAAGAAAAAAATCTGTTATGATTATTGCATGAAACATAACCTATTACAATTATTACTCGCATGATTAAACCCCAAATTTCATTTGACATAATTTTCATTTGACATAAAATTCATATGACATAAATTTCTCCTTAGAAAAATTGGGGGCGGTTCAAATACTACACAATTAAATTCTACATCGTTAAAACCCTACACGTCAAACTCTACACAGTTAAATTGCACGCCGTTAAACCTTATACAATTTATTTTTTAAATTCTACACACTTAATGTGTACAATGTTAAACTCTACACAAATTTATTTTGTAGTGAAAAATTAATTTCTTTAAATTCAACACGGTTAAATACCACAACGTTAAACTCTACATATATTTCTTTTGTAATAAAAAATTAATTTTCTTAAATTTAACACAGTTAAATTCCACATCGTTAAATTCTACACATATTTATTTTGTAATGAAAAATTAATTGCATAAAATTCTACACAGTTAAATTGTTCACCGTTAAACTCTCCATAAATTTATTTTGTATTATAAAATAAAATTTGTTTAACTCTACACAGTTAAGTTGCATATTGTTAAACTCTACAAAAACTAATATTATAATATAAAATTAATTTTAATAAATTCTACACCGTTAAATTGCACACCGCCAAACTCTTCATAAATTGATTTTATAATAGAAAATAAAATTGATTAAATTCTACACAGTTAAATTGCTCACTGTTAAATACTAAAGAATTTATTTTTTAAATTCTGCACAGTTAAATTCCACCTCGTTAAATTCTACACAGATTTATTCTCTAATGAAAAATTAATTGCATAAAATTCTACACAGTTAAATTGTTCACCGTTAAACTGTCCACAAATTTATTTAATAATAGAAAATAAAATTTGTTGAACTCTTCACAGTTAAATTAAACACACTTAAACTCTACACACACTAATCTTATAATATAAAATTAATTTTATTAAATTCTACACAATTAAATTACACACCGTTAAACTCTTCACAAAATTTAATTTAAAAAAAATAAAAATTTATTAAACTGTACCCCGTTAAATTGCACATTGCTAAACTCTAAACGATTTAGTTTTTAAATTCTAAACAATTAAATGCTACAATGTAAAATTCTACACAAATATATTTCGCAATTAAAAATTAATTTCGTTAAATTCTACATAGTTAATTTCCACACTGTTAAACCATACACAAATTATTTTTTAATTGTACACAATTAAATTGTACAATGTTAAACTCTACGCAAATTTATTTCATAACAAAAAATAAGTTTTGTTTAATTCTGCACAGTTAAATTGCACACCGTTAAACCATATACAATGTATTTTTTAAATTCTATACATTTCAATTGTACAATGTTAAACTCTGCACCAATTTATTCTTTAGTGAAAAATTAATTTTGTTAAATTCTACTCTGTTTAACTCTAAACTGTTAAATTCTACACAAATTTATTTTGTAAATGAAAAATTAATTTTGTTGAATTCTACACAGATAAATTCCACACCGTTAAACTCTTCACAAAATTTAATTTTAAAAAAATATAAAATTTATTGAACTCTACACAGCTAAATTGCACATTGTTAAACTCTAAACAATTTAGTTTTTAAATTCTACATAATTAAATGCTACAATGTAAAATTCTACACAAATTTATTTCGCAATTAAAAATTAATTTTGTTAAATTCTACATAGTTAATATCCACGCAACGTTAAACATCAGACAAATTATTTCTTAAATTGTACACAATTAAATTGTACAATGTTAAACTCTACGCAAATTTATTTAGAAAAAAAAAAATCCGCCATTTCAAGAAAATTGTTACTCGGGGGTTTTTTGGGTCGCTGATTACGAATCTGATATCAGATTTTCAATATTTAAAATGGCGGATCCAATATGGCGGATGATTATTTAAAAATTTGGATGCATTTTCTTGCAACCTGATTATTGGGAGGTTTTCGGGGTTGCTGATTACGAATCTAATGTTAGTTTTTCAAAATTCGAAATGGCGGATTTTTTTTTTTTTAAAATAAATTTGCGTAGAGTTTAACATTGTACAATTTAAGAAATAATTTGTCTGATGTTTAACGTTGCGTGGATATTAACTATGTAGAATTTAACAAAATTAATTTTTAATTGCGAAATAAATTTGTGTAGAATTTTACATTGTAGCATTTAATTATGTAGAATTTAAAAACTAAATTGTTTAGAGTTTAACAATGTGCAATTTAGCTGTGTAAAGTTCAATAAATTTTATATTTTTTTAAAATTAAATTTTGTGAAGAGTTTAACGGTGTGGAATTTATCTGTGTAGAATTCAACAAAATTAATTTTTCATTTACAAAATAAATTTGTGTAGAATTTAACAGTTTAGAGTTAAACAGAGTAGAATTTAACAAAATTAATTTTTCACTAAAGAATAAATTGGTGCAGAGTTTAACATTGTACAATTGAAATGTATAGAATTTAAAAAATACATTGTATATGGTTTAACGGTGTGCAATTTAACTGTGCAGAATTAAACAAAACTTATTTTTTGTTATGAAATAAATTTGCGTAGAGTTTAACATTGTACAATTTAATTGTGTACAATTAAAAAATAATTTGTGTATGGTTTAACAGTGTGGAAATTAACTATGTAGAATTTAACGAAATTAATTTTTAATTGCGAAATATATTTGTGTAGAATTTTACATTGTAGCATTTAATTGTTTAGAATTTAAAAACTAAATCGTTTAGAGTTTAGCAATGTGCAATTTAACGGGGTACAGTTTAATAAATTTTTATTTTTTTTAAATTAAATTTTGTGAAGAGTTTAACGGTGTGTAATTTAATTGTGTAGAATTTAATAAAATTAATTTTATATTATAAGATTAGTGTGTGTAGAGTTTAAGTGTGTTTAATTTAACTGTGAAGAGTTCAACAAATTTTATTTTCTATTATTAAATAAATTTGTGGACAGTTTAACGGTGAACAATTTAACTGTGTAGAATTTTTTGCAATTAATTTTTCATTAGAGAATAAATCTGTGTAGAATTTAACGAGGTGGAATTTAACTGTGCAGAATTTAAAAAATAAATTCTTTAGTATTTAACAGTGAGCAATTTAACTGTGTAGAATTTAATCAATTTTATTTTCTATTATAAAATCAATTTATGAAGAGTTTGGCGGTGTGCAATTTAACGGTGTAGAATTTATTAAAATTAATTTTATATTATAATATTAGTTTTTGTAGAGTTTAACAATATGCAACTTAACTGTGTAGAGTTAAACAAATTTTATTTTATAATACAAAATAAATTTATGGAGAGTTTAACGGTGAACATTTTAACTGTGTAGAATTTTATGCAATTAATTTTTCATTACAAAATAAATATGTGTAGAATTTAACGATGTGGAATTTAACTGTGTTAAATTTAAGAAAATTAATTTTTTATTACAAAAGAAATATATGTAGAGTTTAACGTTGTGGTATTTAACCGTGTTGAATTTAAAGAAATTAATTTTTCACTACAAAATAAATTTGTGTAGAGTTTAACATTGTACACATTAAGTGTGTAGAATTTAAAAAATAAATTGTATAAGGTTTAACGGTGTGCAATTTAACTGTGTAGAGTTTGACGTGTAGGGTTTTAACGATGTAGAATTTAATTGTGTAGTATTTGAACCGCCCCGAAAAATTGCTCGGATGCCGTCTGACAATCACAGGGTAATGAAACTAAAAAGCTGTTCACAGGGTTGTGTAGCCAAATTATATAGTCAAAAGTCCCAAATGTAGCACTTCACTACATTTCACATTCGCGACATTTGGGATGTTCCACTTTATAATTTGACTGTACATCCCTGTGTACAACTTTTGAGTTTTATTAGGGTGTAGTCACATGAATCAAACTACTTGATTGGCGGAATAGACATCGACCAATTAAATTGTAAACTCTTGCGGTAAAGTAATATTTGCCACTAGAGGCTAAAGGTTAGTTTCCATTGTCCACACTCGCGATTTTTCATAATTCTCGTCAACTACCGCACCCTGCTCTAGGGAAAATTTAGTGACGTTATTGTTAAATGTAGAAGTTACTATGATGTCACTAAATTTTCACTAAAACAGGGTGGGGTAGTTGACAAAAATTATGAAAAATGGCGAGTGGGAACAACAAAAATCAACCTAAATTTTGATTGGTTGAAGACTATTCAACTAATCCACTAATCTGACCCATGTGACTGTGCTCTTAGGGTGACATCACATGAAAGCGTAAAGCGTCAAATTTTGTAACTAGATCATGAGTAGAGAAATAGATAAAGATATGTTTTTCCTTCTCGCACTCATAGTTACAAAATTTGATACTTTACGCCTCCATGTGAGATTTACAGCATCAAGACATAAATATATTAATACAATATTGTACTTACATTTTTCCTTATTCAGATGAAAATCCAATGGCATTAAAAACAATTTATGATGCAATAAATGACTTTCATTTATTGACGTGCATTCAATTTGTCCCACGCACTACAGAATCTGACTACGTTGAAATTAAAGCTGACTCAAAAGGATGTTGGAGTTATGTTGGTAAACAGGGTTTTGTACAAACAGTCAATCTTCAGATTCCCATGTGTTTGAGAAAAAAAGGAACAGTCATCCATGAGTTTATGCACACTATTGGCTTTTTTCATGAACATCGTAGATTTGAAAGAGATTTTTACATTGACGTTCACTGGGATAATATTAAAGATGGTAAACTATTATATTATTAAAATAATATTTAATAATAATAAAAATAAAATTAATTAATTTTATTTAGAGGCACAAATTCATTTTCGAAAATCGATGAATCCAACTGACGATTTGGGAATTCCCTATGATTATGGAAGTGTTATGCATTATTCACAGCTTGCCTTCTCGAAAAATGGGGATGCTACTATTCTTCCAAGGGTAAAATATACTTATAAGTTCATACCGTTTACAGCTCAATTAAATTTAGTGACAATTTAATTGCTTTCTAGTAAATTTCTGAAAATTTTAGTTATAATCAGAAACTTACTAGAAAATTACTAAATTTCCACCACATTTTATTGAGTAGACGGCTGATTTAAAGCTATGTCCACAATAGACTGTTTTTATGTCCTTATGTTCAACATAACGCAAGAAAAAAAATAGTTTTCTATTGTATTCTTATGTTTTGTTGAACAAAATGTTATGTTCAACATAACGCAAGAAAAAAAATAGTTTTCTATTGTATTCTTATGTTTTGTTGAACGTAAGGGCATAAAAAAGGCTATTGTGAACATAGCCTAATGTGCATACATGGAAGGTTGCCATTGTCCCCACTCGCTATTTGTCATAATTTTCGTCAACTACCGCACCCTGCTCTAGTGAAAATTTAGTGATTTTATAGTAACTTTTAATTTTAACTAAAAAGTCATTTTTCATTAGAGCAGGGTGCGGTAGTTGACGAGAATTATGAAAAATGGCGAGTGGGGACAATGAAAACCAACCCTAATGGAGCATTTACACCTTCGGCAAAAAATTTTCTTCACTTTACATTTTCCGAAATACACTTACCTGATTGGTTGTCAAGAATCTGATTCATTGTGGACAACCAATCAGGTAAGTGTATTTCGAAAAATGCAAAGTGAAGAAAATTTTTTGCCGAAGATGTAAATGCTCCATTAGGGAGAAGTAACTAGACCTTAAGGCCAACGCACAATAGCCTTAGGCTGAGATCACATGGTGGCAATTATTGCATCCGAATTAATAATTATTTAACTAACAGTATATATGTAATATTAATTAATAATTAAAAGTAATAATTATTAATTTCAGATGATTACAAATGAAGTATTAGGTCAACGTTATGGATTTAGTGAAAAAGACGTTCAAAAAGTCAATACAATGTATTCATGCCCACCAAAAACAGAAATTCATTTGGCTCCAAATACAACATGGTGGAATAGTATTCGTTTTTTTTAAATCAGTAATATATAGAATATAGAACTTTTTTTTATTTATTGTAAATAATGCTCATTTTTTGTAATGATATTGAGTAGTTTAAGAAATAAATTATTTATTAAAAAAAATTGTCATTGCGTCTTAATTTAGGAGATGGAATAGCATGAGAGAGAAAAGAACGCAAGTATATTTCTATCCTTTTCTATCGTATGTGGAAGGTTACCATTGTTCCCATTCGCTATTTATCATAATTCTCGTTAACTACCACACTCTGCTCTAGTGAAAATTTAGTGAATTTATAGTAAACTTTTAATTTTAACTAAAAAGTTAATAAATTTTCACTAGAGCAGGGTGCGGTAGTTGACGAGAATTATGACAAATGGCGAATGGGGACAATGGCAACCTTCCATGTATCACATTTGCGAATCAAAAAACAGTTTGGGGAGATTGTCTGGCATACTAAAAGTGCTTTTAAGGCGGTTCCAGAATAGGTGCAAAAGCCAAGTACAAGTGCAAGTCCAAATGCAAATCCCATGAATGCAAAAGAGATAGATAGACTACCTATCTCTTTTGCATTCATGGGATTTGCATTTGGACTTGCACTTGTACTTGGCTTTTGCACCTATTCTGGAACCACCTTTATTGGGAACGGTGGTCTAGTAACAATCTAGTAACTTTGACCCATTCTCTCCCTCCATTTTGTTTTTTCTACTCTTTCTAACCTATTAATTGAAGAGAGACAAAGAAAGAAAATGGAGGGAGAGAATGGGTCCCCACAAGATGGCGTATTGCAGTTTAGCCGATCCCAATACCTTTAGGCTTCAGTCCCATGGCAGCGTTTTGCGTTGCGTTTTGTCACTAGACCATGAGTGTAAAAGAGATGCAGATATATGTTTGCTATGTTTACACTCAGGGTCTAGTGACAAAACGCAACGCAAAACGCTGCCATGGGACTGCAGCCTTAGTATTTTGGTCAAGCAATCGGCTGGATTGAATTTTCAAGGAGAATCACTAAATTTGATTGGCTCTTAAAAAAATTCAATTTTCACGGTGAAAATCTAATATTTGTCAGAGCCAATCAAATTCAGTGATACAACCGTGAAAATTCAATCCAGCCGATTGCTTGAACAAAATACTGGAGGTATAAAAGCACCTTTAGGAGATTAAATTTTCCATAATATCAATCGATTTGAGAAGGGAATATTTGAGAAAACAAATATGTTTCTCAGTACAATTAATTTTATTCAAAATTATTATATAAAATATGAAAATTTTTAGATTTGAAAACTAAAAACATGGTCCGTATATTAGTTTATAAAATAATAATTCATTTTCTAAATGATTTAAACGAAAATAAAGATGTCTTTTTATTTTTTTTTGAAAAGTTAAAAGTCATATAAAAAATCGGATTTCTATTAATAATATATTAGAATAATTAGAGTTGTTATAAACAACTTTTCTTAAAAAACAAAAAAAAAAAAAAAAAGCAAATTAACAATAATTTTAGTATCAAAAATTAACAAATTTTATATGATTAAACATTTATAAATATTGTAGACTTTTAATAATGTCTACAAATTAAAAAAATTAGTACTAAAATGCAAATAGTATACCTTTTTTTTTTTTAAATATCAAAATAAACATATGTTGAAATTTAACTTCTATTATTTCGATTTCCCCAACCACGACGATGATTATCTTTATATTCATCCATAGCTCGTGCTCGATTTATCGATTCCTCGTCATCTTGTTCAATCATTTTCTCCTTTTCCTCATCTTCATGATCTTGTTGTGCATTTGAATCATTGTTTGCAATATCTTGAAGACAAGTTGCATTCATTTTATTACGTTCCGAAGGATCGGGCCAACTGAAGAAAAAATAAAATAAAAATATGAAGAGAATAAAATTAGAAAAAAGGAAAATTCTAATTTTTTTTAAAAAACATGCCTCAAATCGACTTTAATTTATTTCGAATATTTGAGAATCGAACTAATTATAAGACAAATTTTCAAAATTTTATTTAAGTAATAATTTCAAAAGATTTTGTTAATTTTCAGACAATAATTAAATTTTACAGAACTAAAAATAATATATATATAAAAAATAATTTTAGATAACATTTTATTAAAGTAATTGCAATTTCAAAGATTTACAATTTTGATTTTTGAAATTAATTGAAATTCAAGTAATTTTTAATTAAATTTTTTTTTAATGATTTCACTAAAAAATTTATTAGAAATTGCAGACAAAAATTTATATAATTATAAAAAAAATTATATTATATTAATATTTGAAAACCATTTTTAAGTGAAAAATGGTTTCAGATAGTTGAATTTTCGAAGAATATTATAAAAATTTTTTTAAAATAATTGAAATTTTTAATAATAATTGAATTTCAAAAGATTGTTCCAGATTTCAGATAATAATTATAATAAGAAAAATTTCAAGTGATTTCTGTTAATGAAGAATTTATTAGAAATCACAGAAAAAAAATTGAATTCCAAAAATTTTTAATTTAAAAATACTTTCAGATAATTGAATTTTCGAAGAATATTATAAAAATTATTAAAAATAATTAAAATTTTTGCAAATAATTAAATTTTAAGTGATTTTGAATGAAAATTTTCTTTTAAATTATAAACAATTATTAAATTTCATAAAAATTTTAATTGAAAAATACTTTTAGATAATTGAATTTTCGAAGAATATTATAAAAATTATTAAAAATAATTGAAATTTTTGAAAATAATTAAATTTTAAGTGATTTTGAATTAAATTTTTTTTTTTAAATTATAAACAATTATTAAATTTCATAAAAATTTTAATTGAAAAATACTTTTAGATAATTGAATTTTCGAAGAATATTATAAAAATTATTAAAAATAATTGAAATTTTTGGAAATAATTAAATTTTAAGTGGATTTTGAATGAAAATTTTCTATATAATTATAAACAATTATTAAATTTCATAAAAATTTTAATTGAAAAATACTTCTAGATAATTGAATTTTCGAAGAATATTATAAAAATCATTTAAAATAATTGAAATTTTTGGAAATAATTAAATTTTAAGTGATTTTGAATGAAAATTTTCTTTTAAATTATAAACAATTATTAAAACTCATAAAAATTTTAATTGAAAAATATTTTAAGATAATTGAATTTGTAAAGAATTTTATTGAAATTATTAAAAAAATATTTAATTTAGTGAAGAATTTTAGTTAAAAATTTGTTAAATAATTGAAATAAAGAACATCTGAAGAAGATCTGCATTGTATACTAAAAAAAACGTATTATGTTCAAAATCTTTTTTTAAAAAAATCTAAAAAAAAAAGTCGAAAAAGTCGCATTTTATTAAAATAACTTGAAAAAAAATCGGAAAAAATCGTATAATCCAAGGTATGTTAAAATAATTTTCACACTTACTCTCCATCTTTAACTCTTTGATCATAAAATTCTTGTACAGTTAATACCGGTAGACTTGGATAACCAGCGCCATAAACTTGCTTTTGAATTTCATCTCTTGTTATAATTATTGGTTTCAATTGTTGTGTACTTGGATTTCGTGTTTTATGAAAGTGTGACGATTTTTTATCACCGTCATTAATTTTTTTCATATGCTCCAAAATTGGCCTCTCATCAGCCAATGAACGTAATTCGTCCAATGCTTGATTCACATAAATTTTCAATAGTGTCTTAAAATATTCCCTTTTTGAATCATCGTCAATATTTAAATCATTCATGCCCTGTTTTAAAATTTGTAAACGTGATTCCAATTCTTTTTGTTCTGTGTATCGTTGAATTTTTGTATTTCTAACGTTTACCTAAATGGGGGGGAAAAAAAAACAGAAAATAAAAAATAGTTTAAAAAAAATATTTTTCTTTTTTTTTTTTAATTGCACAAACCATTTCAGTAATCATTTCAGCGTTTGATTTACTTCTTTCAATGGCAGTTTCTTCTGATTCAATTTTATTTGCCTCGGGAATTTGAATGTCTGTGAGGCCATAGGATTTTAAACGTTTTAAAAAATCGACAAAATAAATTTCAGCAACATCGACAATATGCATACGATCATCAGCACCGCAAATTTTTGTCGTTAATGTCCCTAAAAGAGCTGGTAGTAAAAAATATTTTATATTTTCAGTGGGAATTTCATCGAAATTTTCATTTGCACTGAACATATCAACAAGTGATACTAATTTTGTTGCTTCTTCAAATATACGCATTGCATGTTTAACATCCAACTGTAAAAAAAAATTCGAATACAATCATATGTATATATATATATATATTCCGAATAATTTAATAATTAATTTTTAATAAAAACAAAAAAAAAATTTTTTAATATTTAATAAATATTTAATAAATAATAAAATAAATTAATATTGAATAAATTAAACAAAATGTAAAAATAAATTAACAATTTTAATTATTTTTAAATGCTAATTTTATGTTTATAAATTTATATTTCATTATCGTTTAAGGCCAAACATAAAATTAGCATTTCAAAATAATTAAAAATGTTAATTTATTTTAATATGAATTTATTTTATTATTTATTAAATATTTTATAAAAAAAAATTTTTTTTTAAAAATAAATTTTAATACAAAAAATTTTTTTGCGGTTTTGAAAGAAATTTTCAACCTTTTACTTAAAGTAAACAATTATTTTCAAAAAAAAAAAAAAATTAGCAATTTTTTAAACAAATAATTTTTATTATTTCGTAAAAAAAAGTTTCAACTCCAATTTTTCTAAATAACAACAATTTTGTAACATTTTTTTTTTTATTAAAACTTGTTTTTTAAGGACAATTTGATAATATTAATACATATATAAATTTGTATAAAAAAAGAATCGATTTTTAATTTTAGGTTATGTCGGAATTGTTTCTTATATATATTGTATACCTATATATAGTGTCTGAAACGTTTAATTTTCGTCTAATCAAAATCATCAATTTACATTAAAAATTTTATCTAAAATGAAATGAAAATCATTTAATTTTGTTTTGGAAAAATAATAAAAGTAGAATCACATTGAATTAATAGTTGATAATTTACATAAATATATAAAAAAAAAATTAAATTGTAATTATCTGTAAACAATTGTAAATACCTGAACTTTTGGTGAATTTGTTGCTTCCTTCGTTTGATTTATATCATTAAATAAATCAAAACCTTTATCAAATAATTCTGATAACGATTCTTTAGAATCAATTATCTCACTATTCGAAGCCATATTTCAGAATTTATAAATAAAAACAAAAATATTCACTATTTTATTATTCACGAAGCAATAAATTATCTAAATTTAATATAATATTAGATTTAAGAAATATAGGAAATTGTATAAACTACAGTTAAACGATTACTTTTTTTTTAAAAATCAAATGAACACAAATATTATCACCAATAACATAAAATGACCTAAAGCCGTGTCTTGATCAGGGTTGCGTATGTAATATACCTCAGGTAAAATGACATAGAGTTTTTTTTACGTATATTACATATGTAAATTACGTGAAATTTTTCAAAAACAATGCAGTTTTCTATGGTGGGGGGTATTTGACTGGGTGATTTCCTATGGCTGCAGTCCCATGGCAGCGTTTTGCGTTGCGTTTTGTCACTAGACCATGAGTGTTAGGCTGCAGTCCCATGGCAGCGTTTTGCGTTGCGTTTTGTCACTAGACCATGAGTGTAAAAAGGATGCAGATATATGTTTGCTATGTTTACACTCAGGGTCTAGTGACAAAACGCAACGCAAAACGCTACCATGGGACTGCAGCCTTAAGGTGCTTATATACCTCAAATTTCGATCAGATGAACATTATTTCTGGACCGTGAAAATGCGTGAAAAGTCATTTTCACGGCGGGTATTTTTGAATTGTTTTAAACAAAAAATGTTTTTTTAAGAAATATAATATTAAATAATTGTTTTAATATGTAAGAACACTTTAAAATAGTGATAGAGAGATGATTTGATTAAAAAATTTAGCAAATTTTGCTTTAAAACGTTTTCTGCTACAAGAAAGTGTAAAATGACGATGTTTGTGAAATGGTTTGTACAGTGTACATGTGTACATATTTCTTTCAGTTATTCGAAACAATTAGTTGAATTTAAATTTATTTGATAAACATTTCAACTTACCGATTTATTTTCAGCACTCATTATTTATTACAAGTTAAAAAGAACCGACATAACATAAACAAAACTCTGAGAGACACTAACAAGGAAGAAGCACTGTACAAACCATTTCACAAACATCGTCATTTTACACTTTCTTGTAGCAGAAAACGTTTTAAAGCAAAATTTGCTAAATTTTTTAATCAAATCATCTCTCTATCACTATTTTAAAGTGTTCTTACATATTAAAACAATTATTTAATATTATATTTCTTAAAAAAACATTTTTTGTTTAAAACAATTCAAAAATACCCGCCGTGAAAATGACTTTTCACGCATTTTCACGGTCCAGAAATAATGTTCATCTGATCGAAATTTGAGGTATATAAGCACCTTAAAAGAGATGCAGATATATGTTTGCTATGTTTACACTCATGGTCTAGTGACAAAACGCAACGCAAAACGCGGCCATGGGACTGCAGCCTATGTTTCAAAATGCTAAAAAACCGACTGAAAAGTATTCTAGTACTAGTTTGTTCCTTTGTGATACCAGGTGGCACATAGAAGCTTCCGTAGACGACACCTCCCCGCCAATCGAAACGATTAAGGCCTTTCTCCAATAGGATCCTAAACTCTTGCGTTGCGTATGCATTGCGTCGGTTGCTATTGGCAACCAATGCTAAAATCAACGCGTCAGTCACGCAACGCAAAAGTTTAGGTTCCTATTGGAGAAAGGCCTTAAAGCGCATGTATACCTCACCGATCTCGAGTATACTTGCGTCTTGTACCATTGGAGTAAAAGAGACAGAAATATCTTTTGTCTCTTTTACTCCAATGGTACACGACAGAAGTATACTCGGGATCGGTGAGGTATACAAGCGCCTTAAAGGTGCTTTTACATGCTTGGTTTTTGGCGAAATGAATTTTCACAATCGAATCACTAAAGATTGCAAATTGCAAAGATAAAAATGCTTTTATATCTCCAGTATTTTTGTCAAACAATCGTCTGGATTGAATTTTTACTGTGGAAATCGAATATTTGTCAGAGCCAATTAAATTCAGTGATTCTCCGTAAAAATACGTTGATCGCCGAAAACCAAGAAAAGCACCTTTAAGGTGCTTTTATACCTCAAGTATTTTGGTCAAGCAATAGACTGCATTAAATTTTCACGATGAATCACTGAATTTGATTGGCTCTAACAATATTCAATTTTCACTGTGAAAATGGAATATTTGTTAGGGCCAATCAAAATCAGTGATACAACCGTGAAAATTCAATCCAGCCGATTGCTTGACCAAAATACTGGAGATATATATAAAAGCACCATTACCATAAAATGCAACATTTGGAACGTTCCACTATATTGTAAGACGCAATATGTGAAACCACCCTAAAACGTCGTATGAACATACCTGTCATAGAATATCAAACTATAGCGGGCAATATGTCCGATTAATAAAAAAAAAATGTCCGACAAATACGTAATTTCCATAAAATAATTCCTTCAATAATTTGTTATATCAAAAAACAATTTGTTTAACTTCAAATTAAAATTTCAAACAGTGTTAAGTGAAATTTATAATATATTTTAGTTTATATAAACGTGAAATTTACCAATTTAAAATTTCTCATTCGGTCTCAACTTTTTTTTTTAAAAAAAAAAAAAAAAAAACTTTCTGTGTGCGCCAGTAATGAATGTAAATATATAAGTTTTTTTTTTATTTTACATTTTACAATTATCTATTATGCCGCGAAAGTGTATAAATTTATTCCAATTTAGTCAGTTATAAAGGAAGATTAATTATAATTCCTCTATGATGTCGGCAACACCAAATAAAATACGAGGTATTTATTAATTTTAACCTCAAATGAAAATTTTAATTTTTTAAATTTTATTTGTAAAAAAAAAAACAATGTAGTTTTTAAATTTTTGTTATAATTTTTTTAATAATTATTTTGAAAGAATGTAAATTTACAACTGTATTCAAGTTTAGGAATAATAAATACATTTTGTTAGGTCCTGGTCGTCCGCCAAAATTAAAGCCATGTTGCACATGGTGTGGTGAAACAAAACAGCCATTAAAATATGTTTTACCAACACAACATGGAAATAAGGAATTTTGTTCGCAAATTTGCCTATCTGAATATCGTAAAGGTTATGTCTCTGAAAGAGGTGCTTGCGTTCATTGTGATAATGTTATTCGTGGTACACCAGTGAAATTAAATCCAGATGGACCGTATTTTTGTTCGAATTTTTGCTGTAATAAACATCAAAAGAAAGATGGACAAATTGACACGAAAAAAAGTAAGATATCAATTTTTTGGTTTAATTTAAAAATGTTAAATTTTGTTTTTTTTTAAAATAGATAATAATGAACAGAGAGCTACAGCAGCTTCTCCTGTACCATCAACAATATTAGGTAACAATAATGCTACAACTACAATAACAACAACAACAACAACAGCGACAGCAACAACGACGACGACAACATCAACAACAAATCAATCCTATAAATCTGGAATTAATATAACACAATCACCATCGACATCAAGTGGGAATTTTCAATTTGAAACCTATCAAACATTTGATTGGGAACAATATTTAAAGGAAACAAACAGTACAGCTGCGCCTGCAGAATGTTTTAAACAAGTAATTTCTATTATAAATTTATTTGCAATTAATTTTTATTTAAATTATATATTTATTTTTTCTTAACAGCATGAAATACCACCGATAAATGAATTTAAAATGGGTATGAAATTGGAAGCACTCGATCCACGTAATTTAACATCAACTTGTATTGCAACTGTTGTCGGTGTATTGGGACCAAGATTACGTCTTCGATTAGATGGTTCTGATAATAAAAATGATTTTTGGCGTATTGTTGATAGTAATGAAATACATCCAATAGGACATTGTGAAAAATTAGGTGGTATGCTACAACCACCATTGGGATTTCGTATGAATGCATCAAGTTGGCCAACATTTCTTTTAAAAACATTAAATGGCGCCGAAATGGCACCGGCAAAAATATTTAAACGCGAACCAAGAACACCGCGTACAAATATGTTTAAAGTTGGTCATAAACTTGAGGCAATTGATAAGAAAAATCCACAATTAATATGTACAGCAACTGTTGGCGCTGTTAAAGACGATAGAATTCATATAACATTCGATGGTTGGCGTGGTGCATTTGATTATTGGTGTGAATATGATTCAAGAGATATGTTCCCAGCTGGTTGGTGTTTTAAAAGTGGACATCCATTACAACCACCTAAACAAAAATGTAAATTTTATATTTGATTTTTTTTTTTTTTAAACTGGGAATCATTTTTTTTACCTTTTTCTAATTTTTCAGCCACTGGACAAAATCGTTTTAAATCCAGAACAAGTAACGTTCTTCCAGTGATGGCAGTTTCTGGCAGTGGATCAAGTGCAGAATCTGCTGTTACTTTAATTAGTCCAACATCGTCGCGAGCACCACCACAATTGGCAACAGAACCCGATACAAGTAGTGCAAACAGTCGACTATCAACAGAAAATGGTAAATTTTCATAGTTGTCTTCTATTTTTTTTTTTTTTCAATAAAGTAGGAAAATAATTTTGATTTTTTTTTTCTCTTCAGTTACATTATACGTGAATCATACATGTTCCTGTGGTCCATATTTTGATCCACGTAAAGTAAAAGCAATGCCAGGACAATTTGGAACTGGTCCAATTTCAAATGTGGCGCGAGAATTATTTCAGGCATTTTTAATGGCCGCTTTAAATCCACGACAAATGTTAAATCTTTTAAAACGTGGCGAAGGTGAATTTATAACATTAACATTGGAGAGTAAACCAACGACAGTGAGAATTCCTGTTTTTGTTGAAATTGAAGATTTCTATACATATATTAGACGACAACTTGAAGAGCTTTGTGTATGTGAATATTTATTATCAAAACGAAAGGAGAACTGTAATAAATGTATAATTAATGCACAAGCAGTGAGAAATAATGATGAATCTAATTCATCATTAGAAAAACGAAGATGGTCTGCTGATAATCAACAAAATTCAATGATTACAATTTCATCAACAGCGACATCACAACAAAAACAGGATCATTCGCAAATTATTGGTATTCCAACAACGCAGAGTGTATCGTCAGTTACACCATCGCCTCCAAAACAACCGAGAAAATCTCTTCCTGGTAAAATTTATTTCTTTTTTTTTTTTTTTTTTAATAATAGTAAAAATAAAATGGAGAAATTTTATTAAAATAGAGCAAAAAAGTTTTTAATTCCATTTTTTTTTAGAATTTGAAGCAGCGACATCGACAACACAATCTGAGGTTCCAGTTGCGAAATATTCGTCAACAGAACCTTCTGAATGGACAATTGAAGATGTTATTCAATTTATTGCAGTTACAGATGCTGCACTTGGACAACATGCTGATCTCTTTCGAAAGCATGTAAGTAATTTTTCTTTCTTTCATTTTCTAATTTATGTCATTGCTTTTATTTATTAAAAAAAAATTGTATTTTATTTCAAAATAAAAATAATTCAATATTCAAACAACAATTTAGAATTTTAATTCCATTTTCTTTTCTGCAGGAAATCGATGGTAAAGCATTGCTTTTATTAAATTCGGACATGATGATGAAATACATGGGTCTAAAATTGGGACCAGCTTTAAAAATCTGCAATCTCGTGAATCGAATTAAAGGCCGAAGACATTTAATACTGTGACTTATTTAAAAAAAAAAAGAAAAAAAAATGTCACAGCCGAATTTACAAAAAAAGAAAAAACATATTTCTGCTCTTTATTACACGCAGGTATGTTGAGCAAATTGTATATTTCTTTTCTGCTTCTTCAAAAATATAAAATCTAATTTCTTATATTACATTTCAAATTGTAATAGAAATTGAACATGGTGGCCACTAAAAAACTAAAAAAAAAAAATCTCCATCACTTTTCTGTAAAAAAAAAAAATAATCAATGTCTAGAAATTGGTTTCCAATTTCTAATTAAAATAATTGATTAAATTTTTTTCTTTAAAATCCATAACTATTTATTAATAATTTAGAAAATAGTGTTTTTAATTAAAATTTTAATTAAAATTTTAATTAAAAATTTAATTAAAAATTAGTAAAATATTTAATTACATGATACGATTTTCAAAACTATATTTTTTTCCTTAAAGAAAATATAAAAAATTTTCATCAAACTAAATCGATTTTTACTTTAGAAAAAAAATTTTTAAAAGTCATTTTTTTATTATTAATTTTTATGCTTGACACGCTTTTTCGAGTATTTTTTCTCAAATTGTAATATTAAATAATTTCCCTGTTTTTTTTCCTGAAATGTGGCCACCAATTGAACTAATACAAATAAAAAAAAAAAAAAAATGTACGAGGAACAGATTTTTTTTTTTTTTTAAAGTAGAATGGAAAAAAAAGAAGAAGAAAAAGAATGTTATCAAGGCTGTCTTCCATTTTAGGAAAGCTTGCGATAAACTTTCAAAACTTAAGATCTTCCCATTCTTGCCTTTTATATTTTTTTATATTCTTTCTTTTTGGTTTTTTTTTTTAATTATACAATTCTTTTTTTTTTGGGATTCATATTTAATATGATTCTTTCAAAAGAAATTATTTATTTATAAATGATTTATTAAGTTTGCTTTTAAAAAAAAAGAACAGTTTTAAACTTTTAAGTTTAAAAAAAAAAACAAGTTTTGTAAGCAATTTTAGTTTTTAAAGTTTTTTTTTTTTTTGTGCTATTTAAAAAGAAAAACCGGTGGGCAGCCCTATAAGAAACGGCGGTGAAAAAAAGCTTTTTAAATTTGTGAATATTCCCGTGAATATTAAACGTTGTCCATTAAACGAAAATATATCACGTTAATTTAGAAAAAAAGAAACTAATTTTAAAGTGGTAAATTTTAACGGACATTTATTATATTTTATCTAAAGGCTTGTGATCTCCGTTGAAACGATATAACTATATCTATATCTCAATACGGAACTGATCATTTCAGTATCATTTTAGTTTTTTATTTTTAAAAAACAAAATTTTAAACTCCTATTATCAATTGTTTTTTTTTTCTTTTCTTTGAAATCTGATTTTAAAAAAATAGGGTAATTTTTTTTTTCTAGGATTCTTTTTCAATAGAAATACTTTCTATTAATCAAAATAATTCAAGAGTGCGATGTAGCAATTTTATGATATTATTGATTTTTTTTTTTTTTGCGGAAGATTATCATTTATGTAAGATAATTTTAATTGTTTTAATTATATATAAATAAATTATATATATATAATTTGTACTACTGTAAAAAGAAAAAAAAATTGAATGACTGCGAAAGAGAAAGAAATAGGGAATAAGTTGTGTGTGTTAACAGAAAATCAATGTTTAAACAACTTTTATCATAATAGTATATATATATATATAATTGAATTTAAAACTATTGAATCATTGCTTTTTCTTAAAAAAAAAATCACTACAAAATAATTTGTCATTATAGGTATATTAATCAAAATAATTTTTTTTTTTTAAATTTGTTTTAATAAAAATGAATTTTTTTTTTAAAAAGATTATTATTAATTTATATATAAACTTCTGATATTAAAAAAATATATTAGTTGTACAAACTTTTTTAGCTTTTTTTTTTTGCATAATACATACCTATAAATATAAATTATTAATATCACAACAATATAAATAATAGTATATTATTCTCTATTATACCTGAAAAAATAATATCAATTATACAGGAAAAATTTAGAATAACTGAATGTTAATTCCTTCGAAAATAATTAAAAAAAAACTTCCAGATCTATGTACTATTATCATTATTATTATTATAATTATTAAAATTATTATTATTATTATTATTATTATTATTATTAAAATTATTATTATTATTATTATTATTATTATTATTATTATTATTATTATTATAATTATTAAAATTATTATTAATGATAGTAAAATTATATGAAATGCATTTTAATCAATTTCAAAAGTGTGAATATGCAATATAGTCAAATAAATTCAAAGTAATTGAAGATTTTTAATTACTTTCCCAAATATAAATATTTCTTATTTTTTATATGGAAAAATTTATATAAATAAATTATTTAAATTTTTTGTTAGAAGTTAATATAATTATGTTTATATATATAAATTTTTGTTCATTTTTTAATATAACTTCTGCAGATTTAAATAATGTTGAAAATCAATTTGGAAAAATATATTAAAAAATAATTTTTTTTTTTTTTTAAATAAGGGAAATTGGTTTAGTTTTATTTTTTTAAAAAAGGGAGAATTTAAAATTTAAATTTTTGTTATGGTGGGGGAGTACCTAACCTTAACTACATAACCTCAAAAAAAAAGTTGCCTCGCTAAACCGCGCGTTTATGTTATAAAATAACATAACTATGAAATATAATGCGCGTGTAAATATTATGTTTTATCAATAATATGTTTATAAGTGCTGTTGTTTTTTTTTTTTTGTGAATTTTTAAAAAGAAGAAGAAGTGTAAAGCATAATAATTCAAATTTGTGTTTAATGCGCATATTTGCATTTTAATAATAATATAATTTAAAAAACTTAAACTTTGTATGGTTTTACAAAAAAAAAAAAAAAATGAATTATAATAAATAAATAATATTATAAATTGTATCATATTTAATTTAAAACTTCGTAAATAAGAAATGAAATTATGGATACTGGCAGCGAAGACGATGAAAATATAATGTTTGATTTAAATAAGAAATCATCTCTTTTATTACCAACAATTAATGATAAAAATTTTACAAATAATGCCGACTTTAGGGATAGTTTTCTTCGTCTCACATCAATGGTATGTTTAATTTTCTTTTTTTTTTAAATATAATTATGAATTAAAGTCAACGAAATTTTCTAGATTATTTAATTTTTAAAATCGGTAGTGTTTTGAAATATTATAGTGACAATATTTTTAATTTACAATTTCAGGTGAGACGTGTGTATTTTAGTTATCTGTACAAATCATTATTAAGTAATTATGCTATTTCATGTACAGCAAAAGATGTCGATGATTTTGATTATAGAGTTAAAAATTGTGCTAGTCAAATGGAACTTTTTGCAGTTCGAAACGCTTTGGAAACTTCATTATATCGAAAAGCAATGATAAAATTGGTATAAATATTTTTCTATAATTTTTTTTTCCTTTTTTTAACATTTAAATTAAAAATTTTTTAAATTTTAAATTTAATTTAATATAAACTATATTTTTCCCTTAGATCTCAGAAGTAAAGGAACATACAAATGAGCAGAAAGTTTACAAAACTTTAATGTCATTTTTAATAACAACGCCTGAAAAATCAGATGTTGCTATTCAAACAGATGAAATAATAACAACAACAACAACAACAACAATGACATTAAAAAATGAAAATTTAAATACAGAAGAAAAAAATGATATTTCCACTACAGAAGGGGAAAATAATTCAAATGATCATCAGGATATTACGATAAAAATTGAATCGTCCAATGATATTAATTCCGAAATCGAAACTCAAGAACATTCTATAAACGAAGCTATTGATTCAAAAATTGAATTAAATAATATTGAATGTCAAAAATCAAATTTAAAAATTGATAACGAAACTCTCCAATTAAATGGAAATCCAATTATAAATAAAAATTCCACTATTATTGCAAATGAATCAATTAATGCAAAAGCTGAAGATTCACAAGATTCACTTTTTCAAACAATGGAAGATATGTTTTGTGAAAGTGACGATAGTAGTGATCTCACAACACTTATTGAAAAACATTCAACAACTAATCAATTTGATAATTCATTATCACAATTAAATTTAAATTGCACAAAAAATGATGAGAAAAAATTATTAAAATTACAAGAATTTAAAAGAAAAAGAAGTGCCGAGAGAAATTTTTTAAAAGCAAAAAAACGTAATACAAGAATATCACCAATTGGATTTAATGATTTAAAAAGTTCAAAATATCGTAAAAAAGTCAATGAAATATGGCTCGTCGAAAGAGTTCATCAATCGTCAAAATTAAAATCAACAATGTTAGAAATATCATTGATAAATTATCGTAAATATGGACGTATAAAGGAGAAATTTATTGCATTATTTGGTGAATCAGACGATGATGATACACAGCCAGAGTCGCCAATTTGTATTGAAGAACATTTACAAGCTTGTAAAGAAAGAATTGCACCTTGGATTGTTAAACATTTAACGCCATTTTATAATCAAAAAAGAATATCTAGCCGTGAATTATTTAAAACAATTTGTAGACATGTCACTGATATGCTCATTATTAGTAATACTTTTCCAGGTTGGTATTTATTTTTCAAAAAAAGTTTTAAAAATATTATACTTTTCATTTTATTTTTGCTTTAGAATTTTCAAAAGTTAATTTTAATTCAAATTTTAATTTAATATGAAATAAATAAATTTTCGTTTGATTTTTTTGTTTTTCAGATGAAGCCGCTGTTGAACATTATATGAAAGATTTTTTTAAAAATAGAAAAAGTATTAATACTGAGGCTGACATATATCTATAGCGTACTCAAATGTTATTTACATTCATATTTATATAAATAGTCATTAAATTTAGAAATTAAACATTAAAAAAAAACTCGGTAATTTTTTTTTTTTAAGTTTTATTTATTCTCTGTATATGAAAAAATAAAGAAATTTTTTTTAAAAAAATTTTGGAATTAAAAAAATTAATATTCCCTTATATTGCAAAATAAATTGTATTTCAAATAAATAAATCTGTAATTTTAAAAAAGAATTAAATTTTAATAATTTTTAATATTAAATTAAATATTTACATTTTTAAAATTATTATTATCACATAATGTAAAACTAAATTTTCCAATTGTTACTATTATAAGTAAACTATCGTTTTATGTAAATAATTTATAATAAATTTATTTTGTACATTAATTCTTAGCTAACGAATTTTTATTTAGCAGAATATTAAAATAGTCATTTAATTTACATATGACTTTATTTAAAAGAACTTTCATTTAATCGAATTTTAATTTAACAGAAATTCAAATTCACCGAATTTTAATTTGTCCAAATTTTTTATTTGTACAATTTTTAATTTGTCCAAATTTTTATTTATACTATTTTTAATTTGTTCGAATTTTTATTTGTACTATTTTAAATTTATTCGAATTTTTATTTGTACAATTTTTAATTTGTACAAACTTTTGCGTCGCCGAATTTACATTTTTCCGAAATTACAAATTGTCCGAACAATCAACAGAAAGATTTTGGCGCAATTTTTAAAATTGACTAGAAATTAAAAAAAAAAAAAAAAAACTCGTAATTGGTCAATTTCAAAAATTGCGCCGAAATCTTTCTGTCCGTTGCTCGATTAATTTACCTAGTTTTCCTTACCTTTTCAAAATCAGTAAAAAAAAATGTTTTCATTTTAGAAAATGTTTTATTTTAATTTTTTTTGTTTTTTTCTTGCTATAAAACTAGATAACAATTTTTCTCTTAATATGTTTTATGTATATCGGGAAGTATATTCTACTATAATGTAGACAAGTGCTTTAAAACTATTTGTAAGGGAACGTTTATAAACTATTGCCAATTTTTTTTTTTTTTTTTCAAAAATTTAACCCCTGCCCACTTTGTGGCACACTTCCGTACACTAGCGCCATTTTTGCCCCTAGTAGCAAATACCCTAACCTCTTCACCCCCTTGAGAAGTTTTACATATATAGTTTACGAACGCTCCCTCAACAAGTGAATTTTAATATTTATAATTTATAAATAGTGTATTTTTCAGTGTATAAAGTAGTTTTTTCATTTTTTTTTTAATCGTAAAAGATAAAACCATAAGTAAAAAGAAAATATATATAACATTAACAATTTAATTATATTTTTCAAAAATGAGTGAAATAAAATTAAAATTTTGGAATATATTTACAATGAATATTTACATAATGTAAAATATAAATAGAACATAAAAACATAATAACAATAATTATTATATATTTATAATACAATTGCATAAAAAGTAATTTCATTTACTGTTATAAAAAGAAGACGCACTTTCGACATCATTTTGCGGGCGTAAAATACAAAAATAAAAAGGTTAGTGCGACAAAGAACTATTATTTTGTTTTACAATTTTTTTTGTTTTTTAAATACATGGGTCATTTTTTCTCAAATAAAGGCAATATTGTAAAATAAAATATAAATAATAATAATAATTATTGAAGAAAACTAAAATCATATTAATTTTGTTAAATATACAAAAAAAAAACGAGTTCAAGATTCTTTTATTTCACTTATAATAATAATTCGAAAATTATTGCCACAATGTACAAAATGACCCGTGTATTTTTTTTTGTAACATTTTTTGTTTATATTAAAAAAAAATGTTTTCTCATTCGGTAAAAAATATGTTGGCAAAAATTTCGAAATTTCTATATTTATATATACTTTTAGAGGTTAGAAATGAATTTTTTTCGTAAAAATATTTTTGCAAAAAAATTTTGAAATTTTTATATTTTTATAATTTAGAAACTTTTGGAAATAAATCATAAAACTGACTTTTCATCAACTGGCTCCTCTTTTATTGAACGATTGCAATTCATTAGGGCTGGATTTGCTACTGCAATTATATTATCTCCACGCGATGCAATTACCTGCAAAAAAAAAAAAAAAAAAAAAATTTAGAGTATCAAATAAATCGGAAATAGAGGCTACAAAATTAAAAATTGAAAATTATTTTTTTATAAATATATAAATAATACCTTAAGATTAAAATCATTTTCATTTTCTTTATCAGTTTTTTCTCCTTCAATATCGTTAGCGTCCTAAAATGAAATAATAAATATTAATTAGATTAAAAATTACACAAATATTTTTTTTCTTCTAAAGAATAAGGATATCGCTTTGAAAATTTGTTTGACTTTTAATTATTTAATTTAATTAATTATTAATTTAATTTAATTATTTTATTTAATTAATTATTAATTTAATTTAATTTAATTATTTTATTTAATTATTGGAAAATTAATTTGTAGTTTATAATTTTTTTCGCCAAAAACAATTATTTAATATACCGCGTAATAAAAAATAAAAAGAATTGTATAGATAATGAATATAATTGTTTTAAAAATGAACAAACCTGAAGAGACAAAGATTCATCATTTGAAAATGAAAATTGACTATCAGAGTCGCTAACTTCTTCAACATTGGAATTGAATAAACCATTATCACCTTTATTTTGCCAAACTGGACTGAAACAATTAAAAATTTATGTAAAATTTTTTCAACTAATATTTAAAAATATTATATATTTTACAGAAATTATTAATAATTTTGACATTTATTAAAATTTATTATTAAATTATTAAATGGAAAATAATTTTAATTAATAATTTATTAACTTAAAGACAAAAAAATTATTAATAAATAAATGGACGGACAGTGAAAACAAAAATTTAATCCCTCTTTAAATTTTCGTATTTTTGAGAAAAATAATTTGAAATGAAAATTTTTTTTTATTAAAAGTAAACGTCTACAGTCAATTTCAGTAGTGTTAGTCAAGTGGGATTTTGTGCATCACTTTATTTGCCTCTATACTACTTAACACTATACTATAACGAAAAACAAGTGATATAGGTCTACCGCTAGAAATAAATATTTTCTTTCACAAAAATTACGATATCTCTTAAAAAATACTATTAACAAATTATTCATGAATTTTTAATTTTTAAAATTTTAATTAATTTTCATTTTTCTTTTTTTTTTTTATATATTATTGCTAATATCATTGCTATTAATAAAATTAAAATTTATTTTATATAAAATAAAAATTGATAACTACCTCATCGACTTTTGTCTTCTCAGAGAAGAACTATTAATTTCTGAACTTGAACAGCGAAGATCTAATTCAACCTGAAACAGAGAACTGCTACAGACAGTAGAAAAAGAAAAAAATAATGAGCTATTTCAATGCAAAATTGATAAAAAAAAGTTTATAGAAAAAAAAAAATATAAACTTTTTTTTGTTTTGCAAATATTAACAAATTCAAAGAAATTTTTTTTTATATGTGATGCGCTTTAAAAAAAAAAAAGGGGATAGTTTCGAATTTTTAAGACGCCGAATTTCCATTTGTCCGAAATTACAAATTTTAAATTAAAATTCGATTAAATTAAAATTTTCTAAAATAAAAAGTCCTGTAAATTAAATGACTATACGAAATAAGTTTTTTTTTAATTATTCTGTCCAATTCGGTATCAAAAAATTTTTTTAACGTAAAAATAGAAAATCTTTCGAAAATTTTAATTCGAAATTTGAAAATTCGTCTAAAAAATAATTATTTTTAATAAAATTCTTTAAAATGAAATTTCTGAATTATAATTTTTATGTAATAATGCGCTTCGAATTAAAATTTACTTTAATAAATTTTGTATATAGAAAATTAGATATAGAAATTCTATTAAATAAATATTTAGCTACTGAAAATACTGTTAAGTGAATATTCGGATAAATATTTTTCTGATCTGCGCTTCACATATAGAAGTTTTTTTTTTTTTTTTTTTTTTTCTTTTTTGGAAACAATTATCAAGCTTTTTTTTTTTTATCGTGCACAAGTCTTTTATAGAAAAGGCAATAATTTTGTAAATAAAATTCAACGTGCAAACATGCAATTTCTAAAATACAACGAAACACCCAGCAGAAGCATTTGGTCATGCTATACTTGACCTTTGTTATTAAATCAGGGTTACGTAGAAAAGTGCGAATTATGATGAGTTGTGCTCTACAGATTTTATGCGGTGCACGAACGGGGGTTAGAAACTAATATGAATTTATTAGCTGGTTAGCAACAGAGAATTACATTGACCATTTTTAATGTATGCAACATTAGCAGGTTTTTATTTGAAAAATTAGATATTAATTTTTATTAATTTTTTTTTTTTTGCTTTCAATGTTGCAATCTAACCTGCGGTGAGTCTTCACCCTCAATACTATCGTGTTCCAATTTTTGACGTTTTAATCTTTCAACATCACTTTCGTCGCCATTCTCATGCGATCTTGATAACGATAAACTGAAACAATAAATATTAATTAAAAAATATTTAATAGTGTAATAAAATAAATATTAATAAAAATAATATAAATATTAATAAACATAATATAAATATTAATAACAATAATATAAATATTACTAAAATAAATATTAACAAAAAAATAAAAATTGGGAAAAAATATTAAAATATTTTGAAAAATGAATAAAAAATAATAAAAATTCGAATAGTTCGCAAATAAAAAAACTCACTATTGACTTTTAGAATAGTGATAACCAGAATCTCTGACAACTCGCCTAGCAAGGGGAAATAATTCATCTCTTCGTGTCAATAAAGCAGGAACAAAACTACAAATTTGAGCAGCTGCCTCATTAACTGATACTTCATGTAACGTCAATGGTTTCTCTGGTTTTCTTTTACAATCAAATCTTCCATATATTGCCGCATATTTTCTTATTTCTTCCATTCTACGTGGATCAGTGTCTGACATGGCCATCACTATCTAAAAACAAAAAATTATAGAATAAAACGTGGCAAATTTAGTACAATTATTTTTTTTATTAAAATAGTAAAAACAAGAAGGGGGTCCTTTATGTTTATTTCATAAACATTATGCTTCCTCATTATGTGAAGCAAAAAATTCGCTTCCTCGTGAAGGAAGCAATGAATTTGTCCAATTCAATTGATTGATTTAAAAAATTTCGAGTTAAAAATGTTTTAAATTAATTAAATTTTTTGAAAAATAAAGAAAATTTTAATTAATTTTGAGTGTAACATAAACTTTATATATACGAATCGATTCGTTTTAATGCAAGGAATACAATTATTTTAAAAAAACACAAAATTTTTTATCTAAAATATGAATTTTCGATTTTTCAATTTTTATTAATTCTCAAATTTTCAATCAAATCTATACTTTATATATACCAACCAATTCGTTTCAATGCAGGAAATAAAATTATTTCATATATAAACATGAATTTAAATAAACACATCATTTTTTAGCTAAAATGAGAATTTTTGATTTTTTAACTTTCATTAATTCTTTAAATTTCAATCAAATCTATATTTTATATATATCAATCGATTCATCTTGACATAAAGAAGACGATTATATTATATATTACCTTAAATTTTTCGATTCAAAAATTTTTTCAATTAAAAAAAAATTTTTGGAAAAAAGACGATAAAATTTTTTTTTTGGGGTATTTTTAAAAATCCTCTTGTCATTTTTGAGAGATTAATGTGTTAAATAAGCCTACCAAATTTTACGCAAATCCATTAAAACCTGTTAAAGATATCGTGTTCACAAAAACTATCCACACACACATACACACACACACACACATACATACATCCGGACAATTGATCAGGATCTCATATAACATGTTTCTATATAGAGGAAAATTTGTTTTCACCATTTTTAAAAATTTTATAAACGAAAGGACTACATAGCTTCCTCCACGAGGAAGCAAAAAAAAAAAAGAAATTAATTTCAATTAACACCTCGAGATTTTTGCATATTTTTTTCTTCACATTATGTGGTTTTGGATCAAGTGGCCTCAATGAAGACGAAAGTCTTTCTGCAGCGTCGGCTAATTTTTGAACTTGCGATGGTAATAAAGTTGGCGTTGTTTGAGGTGGACTTGCCGGTGCAATTGCATTTGGACTTGGCGTTGTTCCACTGCCACAAGACGATTCACATGTGCCAACCTTAAAAAGAAAAAATAGAATCAAATTTATTAAATGCCTCAAAAATTTGCAATTATTAATTATTAAAAATAATTAATATTAGAATTTTCATTTTAAAGAATTTTATTAGAAATAATTAATTTTAGACGAATTTTCATTTTTCGAATTAAAATTTTGATAGATTTTCTATTTATACGAATTTTTAAATAATAAAAATTTTAAACAACCAAATTTTTGTTTGGAGGAATTTTTATTTTAGAGTCATTTATTTAACATGACAAAAAAGAATTTTAATTTAATCGAATTTTATGTGATTCGAATTTTTAAATAATAAAAATTCCAATTTACTAAATTTTAATTTGTTCGAATTTTTATTTGTACAAATTTTTAATTTATACAAATTTTTAAGACGCCAAATTTTCATTTTAAAAATAATTCATGTCACACAAAATTCGATTCAATGAGAATTCTGCTAAATTAAAATTCTGCAAAACAAAAATTTTGTCATGTAAAAATTCGTATAAAAAGAAAATCTGTTATATTTTAATTCGAAAATTGAAAATTCGACTAAAAAATAATTATATCTCTTATAAAATAGGTAATTTAAAATAAAGATTCTAATTAATAATTTTTATGGGAAATTCTATTAATTTTCTAATAAAAAAATTGGTGTAAATAATAATTCTGCTAGATTTAAATTCGATAAAATAAAAATTTAGTAAAATGAAAATTCGAGCAAGTAATAATTTTGATAAAAATTAAAATTCAATGAAATAAAAAAAAAGTTAGTAAAATGAAAATTGTAGCAAATAATAATTTGGACAAATTAAATTTCGATAAATTAAAAAATCTGTAAAATACTAATGCTGACTTTAAATTCAATGAAATAAAAAATTTGTAAAATGAAAATTCTAGAAAATAATAATTTTAACAAATTAAATTTCAACTAAATAAAAAGTTTGTAAAATGAAAAATTCTATCTAATGAAAATTCAAGTAAATAATAATTCAAATTCGATGAAATAAAAATTCTGTCAAATTAAAATTTGATGAAATAAAAATTCTTTTAAAAAGACAAAATTTAAGAAAATAATATTTTTGTCAAATTCAAATTCAATGAAATTAAAAAAAGTTTGTAAAATAAATATTCGGCAAATAATAATTATAAAACATTCAAATTCATTGAAATAAAAAGTCAATAAAATGAAAATTCTGTTTAATAAAAATTCGAGCAAATAATAATTCTGACAAATTCAAAGAATGGAAAATTCTTTTAAAATGAAAATTCTCTTTAATGAAAATTGGAGGAATTAATAATTCTATAAAATTCAAATTCAATAAAATAAAAAATGTATAAAATAAAAATTCGGTTAAATGGAATTTCTCTTAAATAATTATTCAAAAAAAAAAAAAAAAAAATAAAAATTTGACTAAAAATAAATTTGAGTGAATGAACTTTCCGTCAAATAAAAATTCTAACAAATTAACTTTTTTTTAGCTTTTTCTTGCGTTTCAAAATATGTTACTGTAACAATTTCTTCTAAAAGCACAAAAAATAATTAATTCAAAAGCGTATGACAAAAATACTGCTGATGCAATAGAAATTTTTTTTTTTTTTTAAATAATTTTTTATAGTATTTTCATATATATATATATAAAAATAAAAATATGAATTCACCTGTAAAATACCAGGACTATTGACAGTTGGATAAGACGGCAATGATGGAGCATTATTATTGGGACTAGGACTATGTCTAAATGTTGAAGAGGCAACAGGTGTTATTGTTGCATTAACATTTGTAGTAGGCACAACTGGACTGACACTTCTCGAAGGCAATGATGCTATAGATAAATGTGAGGCGACAAATGGTGTTGAAGCTGATGTCATTGATTGTGAATTTGATAAAATTGTCGCCGTTGAATTTGTTTGTTGAAGTCTTGGACTAATACAAGGAAATCCTGTTACCGATGGTGTTTTCAAATTTCCTGCCGATGTTGAAACAACTGGCGTTTGAAAAAGAGCTGCAAAAAAAAAATCATTTTTATAAATTCCAATTTAATTAAATTTAATTAAATAATTTATAATTATTTTTAATTGTAATTTTTGGTCTCAAAAAAAAAAAAAAAAAAATTTAAACAGATATATTTTTTTACAAGGATTAGTTAGCCATTCTTGAAGAGTCTTTTGAAGACGTCTCACGTGAAGTGGTTTACTGGCCATTCCAACTAGTGCCATTATTTCTAAAAATTCTTCTTCGCCAGCGTCGCATAATTGTTGAACATCATCACCACCTATAAACAAATTATTTACAATTAGAATCGTTTATCAAAAAAAAAAAAATAATTGTCAAAAAAATGACAAATAATAAATAGAAAAAAATAATAACAATAATAAATAAATGGTAAAAAATTAAATAAATAAATTAATTAACTAATTAATTAATAAATATGTTAATAAATTGTAAAAAATTTCATAATAAATAATTTTATTTTGATATAATTATTTTTTAGACGAATTTTTATTTTTTAAATTTGATAGAATTTCTATTTAAACGAATTTTTAATTAACTATAATTTTTTCGCTATCAAATTTTTGTTTCCGGGAATTTTCATTTGGCGGAAAATTTCTCTTTACTCAACTTTTTATTTAAAAAAAAATTCTAATTTAACTAAATATTAATATAGCAGAATTTTCATTCAACGGAATTTTTATTTTCACGAATATTATTATTTGACAAGAATTTTTAAAACACTATAAATTTCTATTTATCTAAAACTGCAAATGGCGCGAATTTTAAAATAAACCAATCAGAAATGATTAATATAGAAAATTCTAATTGGCTAATTTTAAAATTCGCGCCATTTGCAGTTTCAGACAAATTTGAAATTTAGCGTTTTAAGGGCAGGTCAAAGTCGAAGCAATTTTTACATAGAGCATTAATGAAAAAATTGCATCGACTTTGACCTGCCCTTAAAAATTCTTATCAAATATGTAATAATATTCGTAAAATTGTATCTATAATTAAAATTTTTTAAATTTTATAAAAAAATTACTTAGAATTTTATTCAAAAAATTTTTTTTTTATTTTATACCCATTTCAAGAAGTGTGTCATAATATCCAAGTAGAGAAGCTTTCTGCATCACTCGATATAATTGTAATTCTGCTTCATTTTGAGGTACTGAAGTTTGTACCACTGGAAATAGAAAAAATTATTTATATATTAATAATATCTAAAATAATATTTAAAAAATAATTAAAAAAGGGGCCCATAATTATTTCATAAAAGCATTAATTAAAATTTTCATTTTCAACAATATTTTATTTATAATAATTTTTTCGACAAATTATTTCATTTTACGAATTGGCATTTGACAGGATTTCTTTTTAAATTAATTTTTATTTTACAGAATTTTAATATAGCATAATTTTTATTTAACAGAATTTAAAGTGATTCGAATTTTTAAATATTTGAATTTTCAATTCACTGAATCTTTGCATTTTTCCGAATTTTCGTATGTACGAATATTGTTTTTTTTTTTTTTTTTTTTTAAATAGATTTCTTAAAACGGCGAATTTTAATTTGTCTAAAATTTCAAGTGGACCAATAAAAAATCGACAGGTAGATTTAGGCGCGATTTTTAAAAAATTGACCAATCACGATTTTCTTGATAATTTCTGATTGGTCAATTTTAAAAATCGCGCCGAAATCTTTTTGTAGGTTATGTTTATTCGGTCAATTTGTAATTACGGACAAATAAAGATTCTTCGTTTTAAAAATTCTATTAACCGACAATTCTTGCAAATAAAAATTCTAACAAATAAAGATTTGGTAAATATTGGATATTCTAACATTTAAAAATTCGGTTAAATTAGAATTATTAGAGGATTTTCATTTAAACGAATTTTAATTCACCAGAATTCTCATTAAGTCGAATTTTATCTGATTCGAATTTTTAAATGACAGAAATTCCATTTCACTGAATTTTAATTTGCACGAATTTTTAATTAACAGAATTTTTAAAGAAGCCGAATTTTTATTTATCCGAAACACGAAGTAAGAATAAGGAGTCTTCACTCCATGCGTGGATTGAAGGAAAAATGTTCCCAAATCTGGTACAAGCATTCCGGAAAATTAGAATAGTCGGAGGTGGCGTTCGTAACGGGAAAAACCTTAAACTATTGATTTTCCTAATTAAAGTCGTCTGCTATTTTTGAAAAGTATATTATAAAATCACATAATTCCATATTTTTGAAAAATTAAGTAATTGAATAAATAGTAAATGTTAAATATGAAATATTATTTGTATTTAAAAAGTCATTTACAAATTAATTAATTTTCTTAATTTTAATGAAGTTCTTTAAAAATTCACTAACTTTAAACTTTTTTTTAATACACATTCTTTAACAATCAATTATTGTTTTTTTTTTTTGTTTTTACAGTAATCTGTAGCTATTTAATTGTAAAAAAAAAGTTTGCATTAAAAATCTCTTAAAATTGAATTAATTCGATCTAAGAATCTTGCTAATATATGACTTTTCCGAAATTCAATTATTTTTAAAATTATTAAAATTCTTTGTAAAAGTAAATGTAATAAAAATGTTTTTAATCATATTTAAGTAAAATTCAATAATTTAAAACATTTTAAAAACTCTTCATATTGTCATAAAGCACACCAGTTTACAGTGAAATTGCCAATGGTACGAAACATTTTTTTTTATTAATAGGTGTTTTTTAAGTAAGAAAAACATATTTTTTTCCTTCGTGCAATTTTGCTGAATCTAAAAAAACACATTTTCGAGGTGTGACGTTACTTAAATTCACCTGTAGGAAAATTAGCTTGTCCAAAAAAAAAATAATATACCATTGGAAAGGTATAATTAAACTACCTTTCGAACTTTCGTCGTACTGTAAAAACAAGAATTGATTGTTAAAGAATGTGTATTAAAAAAAAGTTTAAAGTTAGTGAATTTTTAAAGAACTTCATTAAAATTAATAAAATTAATTAATTTGTAAATGACTTTTTAAATACAAATAATATTTCATATTTAACATTTACTATTTATTCAATTACTTAATTTTTCAAAAATATGGAATTATGTGATTTTATAATATACTTTTCAAAAATAGCAGACGACTTTAATTAGGAAAATCAATAGTTTAAGGTTTTTCCCGTTACGAACGCCACCTCCGACTATTCTAATTTTCCGGAATGCTTGTACCAGATTTGGGGACATTTTTCCTTCAAAGTGAAGACTCCTTATTCTTACTTCGTGATCCGAAATTACAAATAGAGCCAGCAAACAATCGTCAGAAAAAATTTCGGCGCAATTTTTGAAAATTGACCAATCACGATTTTCTTGATAATTTCTGATTGGTCAATTTTCAAAATCGCGCCGAAATCTTTTTATAGGTTATGTTTATTTGGACAAATGAAAATTCGGCATCTTAAAAATTTCCGCCAAATTTGAAATTCGGACAAATTAAAATTTCGTAAAATGGAATTTTTGTCATTTTAAAAATTCGAATCACGTAAAATTTAATTAAATGACAATTCTGTTAAATTAAAATTCTGATGCTAAATAAAAAAATCATGTAAATTAAATGCGATTATAGAATAAAAATTGTGGAAAAAATTTGGTTAAATTTTGTTAACTAAAAAATCGTATAAAAAGAAATTTCATTAAATCCTAATTCAAAAAATAAAAATTCATCTTAAGAAAATAATTATACAATAAAATTCTTTATATAATGAAACTTCTAATTAATTATATTAAATTCTCATCGTAATAAGAAGGTATTATTTTTATTAAATATAAATCATATACGCCTCAGAAATACCAATACAAATAAAATTTTATGTTTTTGAAACAAAATATCATCAGTGATCATTTTAAAACGGGGATCAAGTCACAAGGCATCACAGTGCGAATAGTATTTGCTGTGGACTAGTTTCTTGCAAATTTCGAGGAACTGTGAGAAAAACATGCCGACGTGCACACACGTATCGCGTATAAATTAATACAACAGGTAGAGAGAAAGAAAGAAAGAGAGAGAGAGAATGAAAGGCGTGTGTGGGGTTGTGTGCGGTGAAGAGAGAAGGGGATCCACTTTTCTCGTCAGGATATAGGTGGAGGGTGTTAAAAAACTGGCCAACGGATCTTATTACGAACCAGGGCCCGATCTCACGCTATATACATATATACACAAGATGCGATCTGGACCGTGCGTAGGGTGACTTGTCTCGCGAGATTTTTATATATAGTAGGCCCTGAAGTTGCCTGATGGTATAAGTAGCGATAGGTGGATAGCAATGCACATGTTTTTTGTTTAAAAACCTCAGACAACTGATGTGCCATGCCATATAGTTGCATTGCGCTGCATACCGCATGCGGCTATTAAATGGAATTGAAAAGGTTTTTATTTTTTTTTTTTTTACCCCCATTCAATTCCTTTAAAGTCATCACTATCTCCAAAATTCTTAAAATTCAATTTTTGTTTTTTATTTACAATTAAGATCCATAATCAGAAGAAGTCATCAATTTGATTTTATTTTATTAGTATTTAATTTTAATTATTATTCCATAAAAATAATTAGAATTTTGATTTGAAAGAATTTTATTAGACATAATTACTTTTTAGACGAATTTTCATTTTTCAAATTTGCATTTGACACGAATTTTTCCCTTTAAACGAAGTTTTATTGTTCAGAATTTTTAAGAGGCCGAAATTGCAAATGACCAAACAAACAATTGATTTCGGCGCGTTTTTTCTTGATAATTTCTGATTGGTAAATTTTAAAAAAACACGCCGAAATCGATTGTTTGTTCGGCCATTTGCAATTTCGGACAAACAAAAATTCGGCGTCTTAAAAATTCTGTAAAACTTCGTTTAATGGGGAAATTCGTCTAAAAAATAATTATATCTTATAAAATTATTTTAAATCAAAAGTAATCAGGAATCGAACCCGGGTTCGTCGAACACAAATTGAGAATGCTAACCCATGTATACTAATAATTTTCTATATACCTAAAAATGTGTGTTTTATATCCTTTAAGAGACTGAAATTTATATTCATAAAACAAATAGAAGGAAAATATTACTAATCTCACTGCGCGAATTTGTTTTATTATTGATACATAAGAATTTATATTATCCTCTGAGGCACAACGTTTCTTTATAATAACACATAAAAACAATATGCCCGTTTTAGGTGTAAAAAAAAGTTGTTATGTAAATGACAGACAATAGACACAGACATCCAATCGGTATGCGTGATAAATATATGTATATGGTAAATATATATAAAGCTATATGCACTATATTGCAAAAACAGGTAAAAATAAAAAAAAATTGACGCAAAAAAAGAAAAATATATGCATAAAGTAGGTTTTTAAGATAAAAATAAGACAAAAAAAAAAGTACAGTGCAGTTCATTAAAAATATTTTTATGAGAATACAATAGACAATCAACTTTTTTTTTTTTTTACTATAAAGGAAAAAAAGTGAATAAATATTTACAAGGCAGACTAGTATATATAATATTGTGATTCAGTATTTTAACAATTTTCGTTAGTATTTAAGGCGCTAAAAAGAAGTATCTTATTTTAAGATGTTTTGGTAGCGTTTTTAAGACATTAAGATGTTTAAGATGTCTTGATGTCTTCAAAACGCTACCAAAACATCTTAAAATAAGATACTTCTTTTTGCAGTGTATATACACCTCACAAAATTCTGAACTTGGAATTTGTCAAAATTAGTGAAACCTTTGACAAATTTCTAGTATACTCAGAATTTATCAGTACAAGCGTTTTTAAGTTATAACAAATATTATTCAACGCTCTCCTTAAAAGGACCTTAGAAAAAATTATAGGTTATGTTTAGTGATATTTTAGTTGTTTTTTATCACAAACAAAATCTTCTTTTGCGTAAGATAGGAAAAACATCAATAATAAAATATTTTGGTACAGCTTACATATATATATATATGATTGTTATTATGTTGGACAAAACACGGAAAGAAATGACAGAGAGGGTGGAAAGAGGGGGAGGCAGAGGGGGGTGTGCGTTCTTTGTCCAATACTTGACGAAGCTGGGCGCGCTCCCTCTCTTATAACAAAAACGAGTCTAGTTTCTTAGCGCCCGTTTGTGCACGGCGGTTAGTATTTCGTTTTTTGCCGACATTGTAATCAAGG